CGCGCCCCCCCCCCCGCCCCCCCCCCCCCCCCCCCCCCGCCCGCCCCCCCCCCCCCCCCCCCCCCCCCCCCCCCCCCCCCCCCCCCCCCCCCCCCCCCCCCCCCCCCCCCCCCCCCCCCCCCCCCCCCCCCCCAAACAACTAGAATCGCCGTTGTCAATCAAGTCAACACGTCGCCGGGGCGCGTCGAGGTCGTGTTGGCAAGACTTTGTGGCGTCTAGTCACGAAGGTTCGCGATGGCCAAGGGTAGCAGAAAGGTTGCCTCGCAATGGCGTGGGGGAGGAAAGTCCCTGTGGAAGGGGTGAGGGCGCACGTCCAAGAGGGAGCGGAGGCCCGGGCAAAAAGTGCGAATTTGGCGTTTGGACGCGATGGGGTTGGTGCCGAACGGAGGGAAGCCTTATCAGTCGCGTGCAACACCAAGTTGGCGAGGCTTGGAGATGGCTGCCGATGGTTAGAGGGGAGACCAGGCGATTTTTCGGATGCGCGCGCGCTTCACCGGGCTTGCACTTGATGATGGCGAGTGGTGAAGACGGGCTCACAGGTGGACAAGTTTCGCTGTGACGGCTCGTGCGGCTAATGTGGACCCGCCGCGCGTAGTTTTCAGCACGGCTGTGGCCAGTCAGCATGCGGCGTCGAGTACTAAGGCGGATCTCGCTTTCCCGCTTGCGGTGATTACATAAGGCTAGCTACTCCTACACGTGACTCAAATGGCGTCCACGCGAATCTGGTCGCGTCGCGTCTCGATATCACCAAGTAATTGGGCCATCAAGAGATCACCTCCTGGCCTTTTTCTTTTCTGGACCCTCCTCTTCATCACTCAAATCCGCAAACTGCGTTTGAGGTTGGGTTTTGTTGTAAGCTTTCGTGAACAGTGGATCACTCTGAGCCTTGTCAGCATACTTCAGCAAAGCCTCGCGCGGATCCTCATGCAGCATGCGTGCGAGGGGGATGTTCTCCGCAATGTGCCTCTCGTCGGGCTGGCTCTTCTGAAACGGAGTCTGGAGTGGCTGTTCTGGTCGCATGGGGTCTTTGCCCTTCCCTGCTGCCCTGTTCTTCGTACCGGGCATCGCGCCAGGCGTGATGATGGCATCACCGGAGATACCGAGAGTTTGGTCCATGGTAAACTCGGGATTGTCGTCGACATGCCTTTTCTTGGGCGCACGCGTAATCACCTCGTAAGCACCGCGACTCGACCTTTCGGGGCTGTAGAGCACTCGCGTCTCGCCGTTCGCCGACCCTGTCAGAATCTGGTTAATCTTGGGATGCCAGTCCACAGCAATAAGGGGAGAGCCTGGAGTAACAGGCGTGACTAGTTCTGGGCGGAGGTTGCCCGGGTTCAGGATGTGCAGGTGCCCTGTCTCTGACCCTGTCAAAATGCTCGTCGAGTTGGGGGCGTAGCGGATGTTGCTGGTCGGGTAATGGTCCGACGTTGACGTGTGCGCGACGGATACTAGCGGTTGCTTGAACTTGCGCGTGTCCCACAGCTTGATCGTGTCGTCGCCTCCGCGGGTGACTACCATACGGCCATCAGAAGAAATGTCAAGCCCACCAGTCCAGGTCTGAGGTTTGTGCGCGTCGCGAATCTCACCAGCTGGGCGGTTGAATGGCCCGTTACCACCGTACATCACGAGTGATCCGTCCAAGGCTGCGGCGACGAGAATGTTACCTGTCTGGCCCGCTCCGCTCCACGCAACGGCAGTCATTTTCGTTCGCCCGGCCGAACCAGCGGCTTTTGACTTGAATACCACAACCTCTTTCTGGGAGCGCTTGTTGTTGATGTCCCATATACGCAGTGTGCTGTCTGTGCCCGCGGTTACGCATATGTTCTTGTTCGTAGGATGCCACGTGCCCGATGTGACCTCTGAAATATGACCCTTGGTGTTGTGCATGTCCCGTAGGTACATGTCGCCCTTGACAAACTCGGTCACGATGTCGCCATCTCTCGATATAATCTTGGCCTGCGGGTGTGCCGATATGCACAGGAATACGCTGCCCCCTAGAGGATTGAACTGCACCTGGTGTATCGCATGCGATTCAGCCACATCAGACGGCTTCCCAGCAAAGGGGTCTACCGATCGAAACGCTCGCAGAGTGGTGGGTGTCATGGACGCAAAGTCGTGCAAGTTCGTCTTGCCATCTAGTGACCCCGTCACCAGCCGCCCGCCTGCAGGATCGAGAGATATCGTTGTGACGGCTCGCTCGTGGGTTTTCAGAATCAGCTCGTGGGTCACGGGGTACTCGTCGCCGTCGTCCGAATCGCTATCGCTGTCGCTGTCGCTGTCGGAATCATCGCTCGCCTTGTCGTCCTTGGGCTTTTTGTCCTCGGCCGGTATGACTCTGCGGCTGCGCTCAATCTGAGCTGCAATGTCCGGGCCCCCCGACTTCTTGCCGAATGCCGCCGGCAAAAAAGCCTTCATCGGATCGTCGTCAGCCAGCTGCGGCACCTCGATTTCGTAATCATCGTCGGCGTTCATCGTGTCCAACGGGCTATGGGACGAAGTCCTAGCGCAGAAGAGAGGGCACGGGGAAACGGTGAGTCAGGAAAGAGGGATTTATGGAGGAAGCAAGAGAGGGGGTGTCGAAGAGGTTCTTCGTCGGGCTTGCCGGGCCGTTGTGATGTGCTGGCATGGCACTGGCACTGGGCACAGTGGGCAGCCGTTGGCGGTGGATCCTGGAAACCACTTGAGGACACACACATATTTGGTGGCGGTCAAGATTCCTTCTTTCATATTAAGATTCATTCGCCTCAAGCTCGCGTCGTAATAAAACGGTACGCTTTAATCTCGAAGCATGACCTTGCTGTGGATTAAATTCTCGCAAATTGCCTCGGCGCGCCTGCAAAACTAGTACCAGACCTAAGGTAACCACATCTGTTGTTCGTTTGTGGCTGGATGCATCGTCAAGGCATGGCGAAGCCTATGCGGCAGCAGCTGTCTTAGCTTGTGCCAGCCTCTCCAACTCTTCTTGTTTCATTTTATTTGCGTCCTTCATCCTCTCTGGCACAATGAGCTCTCGATCCGCCGTGATCCTCCACTCTCCGAGGTGATCCTGACCCAGAGCCCTCAATGTCGTCTGTTCGACTAGGCTATACGCGCCATCGGCTCTATTGAACATAAACGGCTCTTTGAGCGACACTGGCGGATTCGTTATGATCCGTATCTGTCGCTTTGGATTAAACGTTGCGCTGTGAAGCATCAGGGGATGCAGGAGATAAACATCGCCAATCTCGCCAGTCACCTCCACGAAATCGGTACACGACTTGGCAATGTCGATGAACCAGTCCAAATCCTTTTCTCGTTTGAACTCGGCATGCCCTCGTGGCTTCATCCTCGGCGAAACGCCTTGTGGGTGGTCATACAAATATCTCGCGACCTTGGGGATAGCTTCTGGACAGATCATGGTGCCACCACCGCCGGGAGCAATATCGGAGAACAGGACAACGACCAACAGGGCTTGTTCCGGACTGTCGAGGTAGTGGACGAAAAAATCGCCATCGACATGCCAATTATCGAGGTCGTGCGGGTGGAACTCTTTGCCCTCGTTCTGCTCGCTCCCGAGGTTCACGATGAGTCCATCGCGCCAATACCGGCTCTTGTCATTGATACGCTCATCTCCTCCGCAAAGCTCTGCGATGGCTGACCAAGCTTTTGGCGCAAAGTCTTTGGCAAGGAACGCATTGTGATTTGGCATGTTGACTTTGGACTTGGTCCACGTGGATTTGTCGGATGGGTCGACCCCTAGTCGCACCCAGACATCTTTGGTAATGCTCGCCGCTTGCTCTGGAGTGAAGCATTCCTTGAGATGGAGGAAACCGCGTTGACGAAAGTGCTCCTTCTCAGCCTCTGTCAAGGGCGCGGCACGCGAGGCCATCATGAACGTAGGCTAATGGTGCTGGACTTCCAAGGCAGTGACGGGTCGATGGTCTGGTTATGGTTCTGCTAACCCGTCTCGTTCATTTGGAGGCTATCGACAGACCGCAGCTGGTATCATTGTCTCGCTAACTTCTCGAGCTGGACATTTAAGCCGCTTCTCGCTGCGTTCAACCTTTGGCTGAATTGCCGGATATATGCGTCAGCCCCGTCCCTCCTCACTCAAGTACACATCGGCATCAGAGCGGAGGGTTTGTCTGATGAGATAGCTTCCAGAGGGTCACCTGTCCCCGGGATCGGCACACACTTCGATCTGTACTTACCAGGTTGTAGTCTGATTATGGCCCGATGCACGCAGCTCCTTCTTCTCATGCTTCAAGCGCCATGGTTGCGTTGCGAGTTGGGCACTGTAAGATCCTTCCTTATGTGAGAAGTCCTTTTTGTTGTCTGGCATAGTCGTCTCTTTCCATGCCCTCAACATCAACAAGTAGGATAAGTCAGGCCGAAGACAACGGTCAGTCACATCAACAACCTTGCAGTGCTACTTCTGCCTGCATGTGACATCGAAGCTGTCACTGGTCGCAGCAGGAGACTTGGAGAGACTACATGTGCGCAAGTAGTGTCTTGACCACATTGTCCTGCAGGCCCCCACGCCAGCCCAGCAAGGAGAGACGAACCTCTACAGACGAGGATCACTGTCTACGGCCGCTATATATGGATCTGTGTGCCCGTGGTGATACCCACGCGAAGTCATAATGGTACCTCGTCTCGAGGGCGATCCCACGTTCCGATCTGGGGCTCCGCACTTCTCCACCTACGCCGCGTGGGGTTGCCTGTCTTAGTCGTTGCGCGTCTCGCGGGCGAGGAGTAACTACCAGTATCATTCTCGTTAATCTGGAATCATGGCCTTTCCAATGTGTCAGTCGTCCCCGAGTCGCGTGGTGAGTACTCCACGAATCGGGCGTTCAGTCTCATGGGGAGAGACAAGCTGTTGAGGCGCAATGGGCGGCAAGTCTGGGGAAGACTTCATATTTAAATCCAAGGGGTAGCTGCTGTTCTCTTAACAAACGATTATGTGCTTAGTCCATGTACACTGAATACCTATCTTGAGTGGCCCATTCTTATTCCTACGATTCACAATGAGTCCCTCTGCTCCTGCGTCGGAGTCCACAGCTCCAGTGACAACTGAGGCCCAACAACACGAGACCAAGGTTCAGCTCGCTGGCAAGGTCATCGCCGGTATGCCCTACCTCGAAATGTGTGTGTGTGTGCTTCTACTCACATACGCACAGTAACTGGTGCCAACCGTGGTATTGGACTGGGCGTTGCAGAGTCTTGTCTTGACAATGGCGCCGCCGCTGTTTACTCAATAGACATTGCTACTCCTGGCGATGAGTTTGCTACCGCCCAGAAGAAATGGGGCAGCAAGTTGCGCGCCATCTCGGCTGACACAACCAAAGAAGCAACAATCACTGCTGCCGTCGACAAGATCATCGAGGAGCAAGGCGCCATCCACGGGATGGTGGTGAACGCCGGCAAGACCAACCACAAGGCCGCCCTGGACTTCACCGAGGAGGAGATTCTGTCGTTGTTCAACATCAACCTGTTTGGTGCCTTTTACTCGGCTCGTACTGCTGCGCGCGCCTTCATCAAGCTCGGCATCAAGGGTGCCATTGTCTTCACAGCCTCCATGGCCTCGTATCGTCCCAACAAGCGCGTCCCGTCCGCGCCTTATGGCGCTACCAAGGCTGGCATCCGCAACATGACGCACACTCTCGCCATGGAGTGGGCCAAGTACGGCATCCGTGTCAACTCGGTGTCGCCAGGTCTCGTTGAGACCGCCATGACCTACTGGGTGCCTCAGCAGCCGGACTGGGAGCAGCAGTTGAAGTACTATGGCGGTATGCCCCGTCTTGCGCAGATCCAAGAACTAGGTGGCGCGTATGTATACTTGTTGAGCGACGCAGCAAGCTATACCACGTCCATCGATATCCCAGTGAATGGTGTTATTGGAAGTAAGTTCTTTCGCATTCTCCTGGTTGTTGCATGCTAACGAAACGCCAGTCTGCTAAGCGGTGGGCAAAAGAGGACTCGATTGTGGACAAGGCATCGCTTAGACAGTACCGTAGACCTGAATTGAGTTGCTTCGTGATAAAGACGTTATTAAAGTTTGAGTGGCCAAAGTGGAATGAGATCGGAGATGATGGAGATGAATGATTTGGCACGTGCCGTCGCGTCGCGACAAACAGCGACACCTCCCCACCATGCGCCGGGCCTCTTTTTCGTGACTTGCCATCTCACAGCCCGTGCAGCCATCACACTGAACACACAGCCATGCCACCTCCATTAATAGAAGAGCTCGAAGACGAGCAATATGCCTCCTCAGAGGACTCGGACTTTGCGCCCGATGCGGTTCCAGCGACAGCCGACTCAGACGTGTCCGACTCCGAACCCGAAGACGCAGCTGCGGACGCAGATCAATCAAGCAAGCGCGCAAAGGCCAAGGCCGACAAAAAGACAGCGGATGATGAAGGGTATGACAATTCAGGCGACGAGGCTATCATCAAAAAGGGGGAGAGGAAGAGCAAGCGGAGGAAAGGGAAAGATGCAGATGACGAGGACGAAGGTGGTGAGGGCGGATTGATCAAGACAAGGCGCCAGCGCGCTGCAGAGTATGTAACAACGGCATCTATACACACAGAGCGGAAATTTAATTGACGCGCGTAGAAAGGAAGAGCGTCGGATGGCTGTCAGCACCGGCCCCGTCACCGTCGACGTCGACGCCCTCTGGGCAGACATGATCTCAGGCAAAGCCACTGTACCAGCAAGCCAGCCGGTCGAAGACGTCACCATGGAAGAGGCTCCCAGACCGGACCCAATACCAGAAGAAGAAATGATCCGTATAAAACGGACGTACAACTTTGCGGGAAAGGTGCATACCGAAGAGAAACTGGTTCACAAAGAGTCGGCCGAAGCAAAGCTCTACTTTGCCTCGAACCCGCAGCCAGACGACCAGACACCAGACGCGCCTCCGAAAAGGGCCACACGCAAGGCTTTTCGAAGTCGCTTCGAGCCCCCACCGGTCGAGCGTTTTGCCCAGCGCGCCGATCTCAACTTGGGCGTCACTGCGCGCCGCGAGGCCGCGGCCAAGAAGCTGAACACGGTCGAGAAGAGCAGGATGGACTGGGCTGGCTTTGTGGACAAGGAGGGCATCCAGGACGAACTTCAAATGGCTGCCAAATCCAAAGAGTCGTACAATGCCCGAACGGAATTCCTGGCGCGGAGTGAAGCGAAGCGTGATGAGGACGCGCGGAGGGTCAGAATGGCGGGGCGAACTTGAGGAAATTATGATACCAGCACTAAGCGTTCGAATTGACTTTCTACACCAAATTCAGAAAAGAACGATCAAAAGGTCGATCTGTTCCGTCGTGTGACTTTGGGCGATCTTGGTGGGGTCAGCCTTGCACATGCCATTTATTCTCACGACTCCAATCCCGTCCATGAAATTTCAGGCCACCGCCACCTGTAGTTCACCATCACATCAACATCACAAACATACACTATCATGGCGGTCCTCGGCAAGCGAAAGGCGCCTGCGCCTAGCAAAGAGGAGGAGATCGATGCGGAAGAGATTCTGCGCCGACATTTCGAAGCCCGATTCGCGCCGTTGGAGACACCCACTGCGCCTGCGGTCGCAAATACCGACGAGCACACCACCAACGAGGTGGACGACAACGACGACGATGCAGAGCAAGACGAGGATGACAGCGCCGAGGACGAATGGGGCGGTCTTTCCGACGATGCAATTAGCGACTCGGATGAGGACTCGGAAGATGATTCCGAGGAGGTCGTAGAAGTCGTCGACCACTCGACATCCCAACCGTCAAAATCACAGACCATGTCCAAGCACGAGCTTCGCGCATTCATGGTGAGCAACACACATTGAAAGAAGAAGAAGAAGGAAAATCAACCCATCACTAACTCGCCCAGTCCTCAAAAGCGCCATCCTCTGAACCCAAGAAACAACCACCCCCACCCTCGACCAAATCAAAGACACTACCCGAAGACGCCCCCTCGCTCCTCGCCAATGATCTCGAGCTTCGACGCCTTCTCTCCGAGTCACACCTCCTCGCCGCCCCTAAATCGTCCGCCTTTGCCGAACCGAAACCTTTTACTAGCGGCAAGGTGCGCAAAAAAGCGACCGATATGCGCGTGCAGGCGCTGGGCTCCAAGTCCAGCATCCTCACGCAAGACAATGTGCCCATGGCGATCAGGAAGGGTATGAACAGTGCACGCGAGGAACGGGAGGCCAAGAGGAGGAGGGAGGCCAAGGAGAATGGTATCATCTTGGAGCGGCCCCAGAGCGGCAAGCAAAAGGAGCGCAAACGGGACTTTGGTAGTGGTGTGGATCGGCCTGGCGTGGGCAGGATGAAGGGCGCACAGTTGACAATCTCGGATAGGGATATTCAACGAGTGGAAGGCTCGCGGGATGTCTTTGGTCGCAGCGGCAAGGCCGGGGGCAAACGTCGTTGACGGCCTCGATAGATGATATCACATGGAAGGCAAGGGGGGATATGGACGAGCATGAGCATCAAGTTTTTTTTCGCTTTTCTTTTCCATCTGTCACGCCACCTGCCCCGGTGACAGACTTTCTGCATCAGCCATCGTGCGGTAAGTGCAGTGATATATACACGTTGCTATACTTCCTCTTTTAGACCTCTATCTCTCAAGAGATCAAACCCGCGCCTCGTTCCGATGCCCCAAGATCACGGAAAATTCGCCTTGTACCCGGGCGAAATGTCTACTATCCTCCAACAGACGCTCCATTCATAAAGAAACCCGTAAATAAAAGACGTAATAATGAGAAAAGGTGGTGCGTTTGACACATGTGGTGAGAAATGGAGAGCTCGACATGAGCTATGAGAAGTTGCGCAGATGAGGATAATGTGACAGCAGGGCCACATAATTTCAAAAGGCTCGACATTGTACTCAAATACCGCCAGCGTTGACGGAACCCGTATGACTCATGGTCATGGGCATGCTCAGAGTCTGCATGTTCGAGGTGTATGTCTGATTTGGCGTGATCGTTGCCGGGGCTGCCAGGCCACCATGGGATTGACCGAGCGAATTAAGCGAGCCAGTCACATAGGCATGCTCGGACGACGGCGAGGCCTCTTCGAGGGCTCCGAGCTGATCCTCGCCCGAAAAGTCTTCCTCTTCCTCGCCGGACAACGCGAAGGGACCCTCGCCACCATCCTCGCGCTCATGGGTACGTTTGTGCCTGAGAATTGTTAGTCGTCTATACACTAGACAGCGCGAGAAGTCACTTACTGGGCTAGGTTGTCTGATCGAGAAAAGGCCTTGTTGCAAGAGGGGCAGATGTAAGGACGTTCTTGAGTATGTGTCCGCACATGGCGCTTGAGATGTTCTAACCGCTTAAAGAGACGACCGCAGCTGGGAATCGGGCAGGAGTGGGACTTGTGGGGATATGGTCCCAACTCCATCACAGTGGCGGAGCGCGCACGACGGACAGCACCATTGACGCCGGGGCCTGTGCGTTGAGAATGCTCATGGCCACCTTCGGGTGATAGGTCGCCATGGGCATACCCTTGTTGGATCTGTTGGATCGCCATGGGGTTCATGGAAGGGCTACCCTCCACCGTGGAGAGGGGCGTGCCGTGCCTTGACATCTCAACGGCATCCTTGTGGTGCTGGTGCACCATGGAAGCCCCAGTGCTGAAAGACAGGCCAGGAGGAGAGTTGCCTGCCGACTCGTCGCCTTCGGCAACAGGACCGATCGATGCGGAGATGGATCGCCTAAGATCAGATGGCCTGTGAGCAGCGCTGCCGGGTGTAATGGTACCGTTTGAGACTGCCGACATAGATGTGGGGATGGATGAACGCCGCCTTCTCTGCTTATATGTCGGCGAACCTTCGATCACAGAGTAGACGTTGTTTGCACCGTAGTTGTTGCGGTTGAAATGGGTGCCTGCCATGTTGGAGGGGGGCAGGTGCATCATGCCATTCATACCGTTCATGCCGGGGACATGGTCAGGAATAGCCGAGTACAGTCCAGTCTCCTCATTGGCAATGTACGCAGGCTCGGCGGACAGGCCGAGCGCATGCTGAGGAGGCGTAATGGGCTCAAAGGAAAGACCTCGGTTGCTGTAATCCTCGTACTGCGAAGAAACAAACGAGGGAGCGGGCGAGTATTCCAGACCATATGAGGGCATGGAGGAGTGACGCTGGTGGCCCTGGGTGATGGGCACGCCGTGCTGGTTGTAGTGGACACGAGAGAAATCAGCCTCCCTCTTCACAGAGGGGACGTGGTGCGTCATTTGCGGCGCCATTGTCATTCCATAAGGTGCGATTGCGTCCATCCCCTCCGCCAAAGGGGGCATCGACTGGGGCATGGCGTGGGCCATCGAGTGTTGCATGGACTGCGGCATCGATTGCTGGGGGATCATGGGAGGTGGCATGGAGTCCATAGCCCGCATGACCGGCGAGTTCCCCTGGCTCTGAGGAAACCCAGCCTGCTGCGCGTTGAACGACGACGAGTTGGCTTGCTGTGCCTTGGTGAGCTGTTCATACAGGGACTGCGACGAGTCGTACTGGAAGGACAGGGCGGGCTCGCTGACTGCCATGGTCGTAGCCTCCTGGCCCATTTTCTCGCGCTTAAGATCCCTTTCCAAAGCGTCGAGGAAAAGCCTGTCGTGCGGCACGCTATACCAGTAAAACACCTTTTGCTTCTTCTGTGTGCGGATGCAGTTGTTCTTGTAAAGGAAGTCCAGGAATGGGCTCTTGGGCTCCTCTAGAGAGGCGTCGGTCCCGGACTTGAGGTTGCGAAGGTCTGAGAAGATGCCCTCCTCGAACTTCTTGGAGTTCTTGACCGGGCGGCCAAAAGCTTGAAATCGGAAGGAGAGACATCGCACAATGTCGGTTCCCGAAATGTGGAAGAGGTTATTCCACAAAACGCAAGAGACATATTCGCCTGTCGGGAGCAGGAATCGTCGAATGTACTGTTCAGGCGTCCAGTCGACAGGCGCAGAGATGAGAAAATACTTCACTGTGAGAGGGAATGTCAGCCGACGTCACAATGCGACCCCGATCCTGCGCCAAGACCACCGTGATGGTGCAGAGAGTCAATATTACTTACAGTTGTCGACTTGGTTGAGTGCAACCTGGGCATCGTGAGGCAGAGCCTGCTGGGCTTCCGTACTCAGCATAAAAGTCTCAGGCTTTTGGGATGCCATGGCCGCATTTTGAGAGTACATCCCGCGCTAATCCCCGTGGTCTCGAGTCAATGGTTGGAGCGCGTGGCAAGCGTAGGTGACGTCGGATTCGACAATACGGGGTTGACTTTCAATGGCGTGTAAACAGTGTATGCGCATTCGGCATATAGACACACTTGTTTGCTGGGTTGTCTTCTAGCTATCGCGCGACAGAGGTTCGAGTGAGGTGTAACGAGTGGAGGCGCTGCCTTCCTTGTTGACGATGAGATGTGTTGGTGTGACGAGTGTAATTCGAGTCCAGCCCGGAATTTGGAATAATGAAGAGTGACCGAGATCAGCGACGACCGTCAAGGTGCTGCTGATGTTGCGACTGCTTATTGAGTCGGTATAGAATGTGAAGAAGCGCGCAGGTCGCTGCTGCTGAATCCGCCGTTCCGTGGTGATGGAAACACGCGAGGAAACGAAATGAACGTGTCGAGACCAGAATAATCGACAGGCCCGCGTTGTCGATTTCCCAAGGATGGTGGAATGAAGCTGGCCGTGTGGTACGGTATGCGACGAGAGCTGTCTTGGTACCTTGCGAGGGTGAGGGGGGTCGCTGGTCTGGCGTAATGAGGGTTTCGACGTGGAAACAGAACGGACGGGGACTGGGCCTCGTGAAGTAGAAAGAAATAAAACGGGAAAAAAGGGCGTCAACGACTCTCTTCCAAAGAGGACGTGGGAAGGAAGAGAGGTGCGAGGGGACGATGGAGGCGACCGAGCAGAAATGAAGTTGAACGAGAGAATCAAGAACTGGACAGGAAGGGGGAAGGAGATTTCGAGAGGGCAAGTGCGAAGCAGCAAGTGAAGAAGCCCGGGCGAGCGAACGGAGGGAGGCTGCTAGGCCAGGCTAGTGGCCGGTACTGTGCCTTCTGAGCGAACAGTTTAATGAGGTGGAAGCGTTCCAGTGCCCACTACGCGGGACTTGCCGGCTACCTCCTCCAAGGCCTGTTCTCGGCGGGTAGAGTGGATCAGCAAAGTATCTCAAAGTCACCCTCATCCCCTCCAGCGGGCCTGGCGCTGGAGCTGAGGGCAAGCGCTGCCGGCCGCTGGCGACTCAGACAGCTGCAGCGGAAGTCCAGTCTATGGGAAGTTGGGAACTTGCCCTTTGCTCCAGTCGTCCGTTGTGGCTTTCTTTTTAGATTGTATTTTAGTTCCCAAGATGTCGCCCACGTTGTCTGAACAGCTGATGAACTTGAAAGGCGAACACTCAAGGGAGCTTCTGCCGATTCTCCCACAACACTGCAGGCGCCCTCTTCCCCCTCAACTTCAGAGCCACGCGCTCGCTCGCTGATCTTGATGCGCTCACGCAATGAATCCGCGATCGCAGATAGCGCCCATCTTCCCAGTTGACACCGACCAGAAGGCACCATGACCACACAGAGAGCTGGGCCCCGTTCTCTTGCATTCAGGGATCCGTATGGTGCAAGTGGATTGGACATGGGAGCGTCAACGGGGAACTTGGAAGCCCGCCAGCGGCGGCAGGGAGGGGTGTACAGTGGCAGCCATCTACTGAAGGCAGACGCCCGCGTGCCAGTCGTTCCGTCACAACAACGCGACGTGCCTTTGGCGTGGCTTGCAGGACATGGAGCTCCCATTGACCTGGCTGGTTGGACCGAGCGATGCGTCGATTTCGCTTGTCGCATTGAGTGTATGTACTGCCCACACACAGCCAGAATCCGCGCGGAACAGAAAAAGGAAGATCATTCATCGGAGCTCGGTGAGAACGACATGTCACATCACGAGAAGGGCTAATAGTCTGGCAAGCCACAAGATTACAACATGAACAAACAAGAAAGACATGCTGGGGCCATGAGGCTCGTCTCCTAGACCCACGCCCGATCCGCACCTGAGGAAAGCTTTCTCTCGGGCAGGTCGACTCAACTGCCTGGGCAACGGCGACAAGGGTTGCACAACCGGAGACAGCTTCCCTTTCCATGCAGCTCTGCTCTTCCAGAACCAAGAAGACCTCAACGCTAAGCTCATGCCCCGCCGACGATCTTGTTGTTGGCAGGGCCAGGCTTCTCATCCCGCCAGACATCAAGTCTATGTTCGTCTCTCCGCGATGCCCATTGTTTCGCCTTGAGCCACTGTCACAAGGCGACATTACTACAAGCACATGTGCGTGGGCAAAGGCCAGCTCAGTTGTCCATATGATTTCAGCGCCATGGCCACGCGCGAACCGCCGGGGGAGGGCGTCCCCTGTCCGCCAGCGTGGGCGCCAAGAGTGCCAGCACCAGGAACGCTACCCATCAGCGCCCTGACAGATGGATAGAAGGTCTCAAGGATGATGATTGACGTGCGATCCCGCTCCGAGTGCCTGGCTGACAAGAACCAGGTTGAGATGCCGACAGGGAACAGATCCACCGTGATGACCGATAAATTCAGCATCTGTACTGAGACGGTCGGCGCGGAATTCACTTTGGGATACTCGTCCGCGGACGCCAAGCTACTATGTTTGCCATTCATGCGATCAATTAATAGGTACGTACGTATAATAATAATAATGAACTGATACGTACTCTGGAGGCGGAGATAGCGTGCCCTGAGTCAGTATATCACGACTATGAGCTTAGTCTTCAGCGCAACTTCGAGCCTTGGACCCTTTGGAAAGTTTTGCTGGTGTCTTTTGAGTCTCACAAAAACAGATACGCTCACAAAGTACATCTTCTTCTTTTTACTTGTCGAGCGTTGATTATTGTACAGCAACAACACGTCCCTCGCACAGCATTGAGAGCTCTTCAGGAGCAGCCGATCGTCAAGCTAGACACCCAATTAGACTAACATTAGACTGGTGGTCACTGGTCGCGTCGCTGAGAGCCATGAGCTTGACCCCGCCTTCCATGTGGCTCAGGTTAGTACTTTTAGCGCAGCCAAGGCGGGATGTGAAGAAGTCCCTGCCACGATGAAACACGCCTGCTGCAATGCTTCAGAGTTGAACAACACCAAGTGGTGACTCTGTGACAGCTGAGCTTTCAACGTCCAGCCACCTACTTGAATGATGATGCGCCCTCCATGAGCAGTCGACAAAGCTCACGGCCGAGTAGCTCCTTGGCGGCTAGCCTAGCTGGCTGCTCAGTTGAGATCGTGGCGGTGATTCTCGTACCTGGTTTGGGCCTTGCGAACGCGGCTTGATTTATTCCAGTCAAAGGTCTTTGCTGTCTCATTTGGCCATCCGCCGTACAATCGGAGGGCGGGAGGCTTGAGACCAGCAGCACGTATCTACGCACACTCATCTCCGATGTCTAATCATCCTCTAGCATCCGTAGGGCATTCCGATGAACTTGACGGATACATGTGTTATTCTGGGAATGCTGCAAGAAGTCCTCGACGTCGACCCATCAGCCCAACAGTCCGTCTATAGTTAGCTGCTCTGGAGTCTGATCTGATAATCAGCCATCGAAGCTGCTGAGATCAAGCCGTCATGTCAGGCCGCGACTCGGGCGAGATGGCTTGTCTTCCCCATGTTTGGTGTCACGGCTAATGTGACCAGGGTTAAGCATGCGATGCCCCTTTGCAATCTTAAGATTCCCAACATGTACTAGACAAACTGCACGCGTGGGAATGCGATCGTGCCCTTTTTTCGCTTATAATTTGTCACCATTACAATCAGCCAATTATTGCTCTTGGAAGACCGCAAAAAAGTACGCTGTGCTTGATTGACTGCTGTAGGGGTAGGTACAGTAGACAACTGCTGACTTAGCATGACAGGTCGCCCGGCCCTTGGCCATGCGACCGCCGTTGTGGGCGTTAAGCTGTCCAATCTGGGGGGCCATGCAGTCTAGTTCTGTGAGAGCCTCAATGCACTTGATAATTCGCGACACTTTCGACGTCCTACTGAGGTCAAGCTGCTGGTTGAAAATGCTTACCTGGTATAAACCTAGATGCTAAATTTAGGCTATGGGCTAGATCTGAAGCAGCCAATCAGCGGCTGAGACAACGGCTTTATGCAGGCGATACGCGAGGCATAAAGCAACCTCGGCCTGATTGGTCTCCTCAGATGGTCTGCGCAACGCCTACCGACCACTTGCTTCGACGACCACCAGGCGTCTCGACGTTGCAATCATGGTTTCAATGGTAATTGTTATCATCCATTACACCGCCATTTTGACAGCATCTCTGTGTGACAGATCTTAAAGCTTTGGCCGGCAATTTCGGCCATCCTCAAGCTGTGCATGCAGAGGTGGCCAGTGCCATTATAGGCATGCGGATAATATTATAGTTCACTCGCATCCCGTCGGCCTTATCACCGGCTCACCTGTATTGACATTACTAACGCAGAAGTAACTGCCGATGGTCAGTCGCACTTTAATCCATAAGGTTGTCGCTCTCGACAATGTGGACCACGACTCTATTTATCACCGGCGCGCTATTATCGTCATGCAGCTACTCCAAAGCAGACGGCGCTCAGCAATTTTGGGTTGCTGGTGGGTTTGCCTGCAGCCTTTCACCTATGCGGCTGCACCCACATACATCAGGGGCTACTGTATGTACGCATGCACGTAGCTTTTTTTCTCTAGCTGTGCTACCCAGCCTGCCAACCTGAAACACCACACCAGCGGACTTGCATGCATGTACGGCCATCGCCCAGCGTCCCTGACCAAGCTCCAAGATGTACCTTGTCGATGCAGCTATTGTGCGCTATGTGACGCCGTCGCTCCTATCCGCGCCTTCCCCATTGGTGTGCCTGACCATGAGGCAGCACTTGCTTGATCGCCTCGGCACCTACCGCAAAACCTACCCACAGCACCACCACCCAGTCCGCTCTTGGAGTGTGCTCCTCAGTCGTACGTTTCAGATGTCTGCAATCGGTCGCTTTCGTGTGCCGGCAGTCGTAAAAGAGGGTCAGTTACGACGTGGACTGAAAGCTCGCGCGGCGAGAGCAGCTAGCTGAGGTGATTGCAGACCACCGAAACCCGTCTGGGGCCCTTTACGACGAGGTGAAACTCGAGAATGGACGTGTTCAAAGGGTCCAGGCAGAGGCAAAATGGTCTTGGCCTTGCTGAAACACAGCTCGCCCACCAGCTTGGTGGAGGACTCAGAGAAGTGGCCAGCCTTAGCCGCTGCCGTACCTTTGCGAAGAACCTCGCATGACGGAGGCGACAAATCATGTCCATCTCTGGGCGTGTTATGATGTCTTCAGCTTGGTTCTGGATCGGAAAGCCCAGGGGTCGGTCGGTCGGTCGTCGGGTTTGTTAGAGCTGGATCTGTGGTGACTACAACGGGCCCGTTGTCCCACATGACCTTCGGGCGGCACGACGACCATCTTTGCTCGACCGGGCTTGTCAGACTATGCGCTTGAGTCAGTCCAGTGCCTTACTGTTCTTCTCCGAGTCTGGACGAATGCCTGCGTCGCCAACGGCATATCCGCCTGGGTCCGCGTGTTCGCGAGGCTGTGAGCTGCCCTGCGAAGCCTTCAGCCAAGCACCTCGTTACAGGGACCCCCTATCCGGTGCATGAATTCTCTATGTCTCTTTCTGTGTGAACTAACATAGTTGGGCTCAGGTCAGGTCGCAGGTCACACAACTCGACAGAGTGTCGTGCTGGCAAGGGAGTACAGCATCGACACTCGTGGCAACGCATATCCGTTTCCCTGTGTTCCACAGCGTCGGACAATTCGACGCTGCCTTTCGTGATTCGATGCAGGTTGTCTGTTGCTATCGTCAAGACTGTTCTGTGGTCGTGCGGTTTGTGGCCCCCCCTTATTGTGGTTAATTGAACAACACGCCTTCATAGTCACCAATATCCGATGACATGGTCCGCAAATTGTAATAATGCACACCAAATCAAACTGTCTCATTATGAGAAATCCCGAATCTCTTGTGTAATCAAATCATCAAGGCTACGAATTGTGAAATCGAAAAGAAGTCGACCTGAAAGGTGATAGCAGTCCGCGTTGTAGGGTAGGTCGGATTGCGCCGACGTACTTCGTACAAACTCTGCGTTTAGACGAAAGACCTTGAGCTGTGAGCATCCTTTCATGTTTGTACTCATCACCTCACACGGTCAACAGGCAAGCACAAACGCTCGTATATATTTCAAGGCTCTCGCTCTAAAAGACTCTCTAGCCTCCGATCCCCGTCCTCCCAACCCCTTTTGTACATCCCACAGGTCACTCCTGCAACATCCCACCGCCAACTTTGAACACCCTAATCCCCGACCACATGTACACTCGTTAGACATCACTTGACACTAGTATGCACAAAAGCCAAAGACCAACAACTGCTTCAGGAGCGCGCCTCCTCGAGCTCGAGCTCCAGCTGCCGAATCCTCTCACTCTGGTCCTGTGATCCTGAGGAACCAGCAGAGCCCACTGCCATTTTGAGGTTCTGAACCTCCTGCGAGAGCTTGCTAATGGTGTCGTTCTGCGAGTTGATCAATTTGGTCTGGTCCTCAATGAGCTGCTTGATCTGGTCCAGAGAAGTCTCGGTGCCGTTGGTGGAGGTAGGGGCCGAAGAAGAAGCCGCGGTGGCCTGCACGGGCGATCTGAGGGGCGACGAAACCTTGACGGGCGCAGGCGCAGGCGCGGGCGCGGGAGCCGGTGCGCTGGTTTGCACCTTGGCCGGGGCTGGAGCCACAGCAGGTTTAGGCTCGGCCTTTGGCGTAGGTTGGGTCGGAGCACGGGTAGGCTTGGAGATTTCCTCGAAGCTAGAATCGTCGTCCTCTACCTCCTCCTCAGGCTCGTTGTCGGCAAACTTGTTGGCCATCGCAGCAATGGAGCCCTTCTGCTCCGTCATGGTAGGCGGGGGCGAACGCGCCGCGGCAGCGGGTGGCGGCACCTCCTGCTTGGGCTGCTCAGGCTTTGGTGCAGGCTTCGACACGGGCACCGGCTCGACCTTGGCTGGCGCCTTGAAGTCAGACGCCACTTCCTTAGGCGCGACACCCTCGTACACGCTCTCCAGGTCGATCTTGGCAGGGACATCAGTCTTGCCATCGAGCCATTCCTTGGCCGACATGGCAGGCTTGTTGCCGACGGCGGGAGGGAAGATGTCGGCCTGGAAAGTCTCGGCTCGGCGGGGCACGGTGAAAGAGATTGGCTCAATGTAGGCGTCGTTGACGGTCTTGTAAGCCTTCATGACCTCGTTCTCGTGAACCTGGGGACGTCAGTGACCGTCTTCAAGAGACACAGATTGGGTGTGCATACGTTGATGCCACGACGAGGCATGAATGCCAGACCGCGCTGAGGCTCCAGAGACTTGTACTCGCTCAAGTACTCAAACTTATCGTTCTCATATTCGTAGTATCGGATGTTGCCGTCACTGGATCGGTCAGTCTTATAGCCAGTCATTTAATAGATGTGACCTACCCTTTGCCGGCAAGGTAAAGACAGTTGGAGCCATCATCTAAAGGTCGTGAGCTTTCATTACGAGGACCATCGGCAGCACGACTTACCCCAGAAAGGCATGCAGACACCCGAGATGGAATCAACCATTGTGAATCCGCCGATGGGCTCAGCCCTGCCAGGCTCCCACAGCGCAATCTGTCTCTCGCTCATCCGCGAGAAACCTGTCGTTGCGAAACGGTTGTGCTCGCCCATCCAGACAGCCCTGCTGTTCTTGGCGCCGGCATGGCCGGGCGCCTCGTGGATCGGCTTCTCCTGACGGACATCCCACACGCGGAGCTTCTTGTCACGCGAGGTCGTGGCCAGGAGGTCACCGCTGGCGTTCCATGTCAAGCTCTGCACGATATCGGTATGCTTGAGGGCCAGAGGCGTTTGACCTGTGGCAATGTCCCAGATCTTGATGTTGAAATCGCCGGACGCGGAGGCCAGAATGTTCTCGGCGGCGGGGTTGAACAGGACCTGTCCGACTTTCCTGCACCCGCGCGTTAGCAACTGCGCAACTTATTTCTGCCAACACGACGGCTTGCGCACCTTGAGTGACCGGCCAGCTTGCTGACGGGGGACACGTCCGTGATTTCCTCCGCATCTGTATACAGCGTAAAGTCTTGCGGCACTTCCCAGATAAAAACCTTGCCATCTTCCGAAGCAGACGCCACGATCCGATCGTTGAAGGGGTTCCTCCATGCCACGTTAGCCACCATGCGCTTCTAGTACGAGGGGTTCGGTCATGTGGTACCAGTCGGTGTCGAGGACGACGGCGGTATGCCCACGGAACAAGGGGATCTGGTCGGGGAGCTTGCCGCGCTCACTCAATGGTATGACTGCAAAAGCGCCGCCACCGGAGGCGTCCCAATTGACGGAGAGGTACTCGGGGTTGACCTGCGCAACACATCAGCCACATTGGTCTCGACTATCCGCGGGAAGATGAGGGGGGTTACCTTGACCAAATTGGTGTCCCAGGCATTTCGGCTGATGCGCAGGTTGTCGTAGCAGGAGTCCTTGCGCGTCGATTTGCCAAAGACGTGGCCTGGACGTGGTGAATTAGCAACGCGCAGCTCCCAGACCCCGTCGTCAGGGACAACCCACGATACTTGGACGATCGAACGAATCGGCCAGCCATTGTTGCGACAGTGGGCTGCGAAGCAGACTGGAAGAAAGTACACAAACAAGAGAAACGCCTGCCGAGTCAGGATCGCAAGGAATAAGGTGCGAAACGGACAGTGACGTGGAGGTGGACGCAGACAATCGAGGCGTTGGTGGCAGGTGTTGGAGGCTGGTAGCTCCATGGGGCTGCCGTCTATCTGCCTCACTCGACAGCGACTGCGCCACATCCATCTCTCGAATCCTCCCGCTCTCTTCTCTTCACAACGAATTGCTGCGCACGTGACACTTCTGACGCAAAGGCACTGTTTCATCTACAGTCTACTTCGTGCCATTCATACCATTAATGCTGCACGATTCATGAGAGGATGTAACATTCATTATAACTCATGTGTTGTAATACAAAATTCAAGTTCGTGAGGCCAGTGATCACATAGAAAAGCAGCCCTCAAACGCCGACGCAGCGGTTCAGTGTTCGTCCTCCTCAACACCCCTTTGCCATGTGGATGGCTATTGTATATCATAAACATGAAGAGAAAGTACCATGGCGAGAACGCGTCCAAACATTGCTCGTCATTTCATCCGCCAACATACGACACCATTGCCCCAAATGCCAGCTTCGGGGGCGATTTCGTCAAGGTCGTACCGGTCGTCTATCTCATGCTCGCCGTGGACCCAACGGGCCTCAGACGTACGCGCTCTTGGTTCGTGAATGCACACGGCGCCCCGAGGGTACGCGGCGACCCGAGGATACTCTGCGAGCCTCAGATCGACGCCGCAGCTGCTCTTCCCGCTTGAGGACGAGCTCGCACCATTTGGCCCGAGACCTGGGGCCGCTTATCTCGTCCTCGGCGGCACCGTCATCCCGGCCAATGACGTCGGAGAGGACCTTCATCCAGCCTTCCTTGTCTTCTGACGTGTCGGCGTAGAAGTCAATGACCTCGCCGTTGTTGAAGCGGATGCGGAAACCCTCCTCAACAAACATGTAGCCTTCTTCTTCCTCGGCAAACGCGGATCGGCGGCGCTTCCCACCCTTGACGAGCGTGTCCTTTTCCGTCAGAGCGCGACGGTCGTCAATGAGGCGCTTCGCATTCGAGAGATTGATGCTCGCTCGAGGCTGGCGTGTGGTCTCATGGTAAGCTGTGAGTTTGGTGCCCACAAGCTTGAAATAACGACGGCGCCAGTACTAGCCATGTTAGTGACGAACTGGAGATCATATTGAAGTGTTACTTACGGGGCAGTCTCCGCCTTGTTGACTCAACGGGCCTTCCCAGTTGCGGGACAACCTCTCCTCAGTGGCCTTGAGTTCGCGAATGCACGAGTTCATGCTCTTCGGCATGTCTTCCTCTGTGGTGTTCTTGGGTCGGGGAACAAAGAGCAGCTGGAGCTCAAGCTTGCCAATGGGGTAAGGCGCGCGACGGACCACCGTTGCGTTTCCGCGCTTGCTCTTGACGCTTGAGGCAAAGCTAGCCTCCTCGACCGCCCACTCGTTGAAGCAGGCGACTTCCGCCATGTATGGACGGCCAAAGCAGCGGCTCTCGTGATCCTTAAGGCAGACATAGGAGCGACCAAAACTGCCATCCTCAGCGGCCAAGGGAGAGAGAAGCTCGTAAGCAGTTGGAACGGCGTTGCGCTGGCGCGCTTGCGAGTCACGATACTGCCGTGCGTTGCGCTCTTCCTCTTCGCGCTGGCGAATCTCCATCTCCTTGCGCTTTTTGGGGGATGCGAAAACGCGGCTGAACGTCGATGTCTTGGGCTTGGCCGTCTTGACGCTGGGGTTGTCGAGCTTGATGGGCGCAGGCTTGTCGAGTTTGACGTTGAGGGTGAGCTGGAACTCGAGATCGTTGGGAACGACAAGTTCAAACTCCTGCCCAATAGGGGCATTGCGAGCAAGCTCCAGCCATGCAGTGGTGACGCAGTGGACGCCGTTGTCGAGGGTCAGACTGAACCAGCTTCGCTCGTTCTTGGGGATGGGAAGGTCCAGATCCTTGACACCCATGACCTTGACGAAGAGGCGGCCCCTTTCCCCAGTCTCGGGAGCGGCAGCTTCGGCCTGCTCCTCCTCATTGACCTGATCCAGACCTGTAGCATTGCTTTGCTGGCCTGGCATGGGTGGCACGGGACCGTTGGGGACGCCAGGGCGCACACGAGCGCTGCTCTTGCGCTTGCCATTCCAAGGTTCAACGACCCAAGATTGAGGGCGCTGTTCTTTCACCGGCGAGTTGCCAACGGAACGGGCTAGGCGTGCGTCGTCTCCATCCTTGTCAGTGGCTGTCACCAATTTGGTGTTCTGGCGCATGAGATAACCTCGCTGTCGTGGAGAAGACGTGTTAGCAGAGTGTACTTGAAATGATGATGAGTTGGACGCTTGTCCATGTGGCTGCTGAGTAGGGGTGGTATTGTGCAAGTGTTGTTTTGGGTTGTTCTGCACCTTTTGTCCTTCAATGACCCGCTCAAAGTCTTGATCGAGGCTGAGTCCGAGGTCGAGATCAAGTGTCAAGCTTCGGTTCTTGAAGCTTGGGTGGCGGTCAAGGTAGCCGTCGCCTTGCGTCTCTGCCACCTCCATTGGTGCATCGCGCGATAGCCTGTTTTGGTGCTTTGCCGGGATGGGAGGGACACCGGGGATTTCGTGACTAACTTGTCGCCGGGCCTCACGCATAGCTGCCAAGTCTGAGGGTGTGTTTGAGACGCGTGTCTTGAGCTTCGAGCCAGACGCCTTGACGGTGGCCACACGCTCGGGAATAGAAACAGACTCTTTGGGCTCTTTAGGAGGGGGTGGCGCTTCGTACTCGTCGTCCGTGACAGGGCGGTGAATCACAGACTCGGGCGTGCCAGGCTCTTCGTCGCTCTCAGGTTCACCCCAGCCACTGCCGTCATACTCTGGCTTCGACAGACGGCGGTCGGGCGTCCTAGGGCGGACATCTTCTGTCTCACCCTTTTCAACTTCCACGACCTCAACCTGGGGCTCGGGCTTCTTCTCTTCTGTGGGCTCAACCTTTTCGGGCTCAGAGATCATGTAAGACTCAAAGTCGCGAGAGAACGCGGCATGACTTGTGTCAGGACCGAGGTCAGGGATTGCGGAACCAAAGACAGTGGCTTGCATGGAAGTCGAGGCTCTTGGGGTGGTGACCTCATCTCGCTCGGGCTGCTTGGCTTCAACCTCTTGAACAACGGGATCATTCTGATCCGAGTAATTGCTTTCATAGTCATTGTCCTGGCGGGCTTCTGGCTCTGGCGTCTCGAGCTCCGACATCATGTATGACTCGAACATTTCCGAGTCGTCGTCATACTCATCCGCAGCAGGTCGATTGATGATGACGCTGCTCTCCTCTTCCTCATCAATATCATCCAACATGGAGTCTTCGGTGGATGGGATAGGGACGTCTGGGTCGTGAGGCAACTGTCTCTCAGGGCTGCTGCGGGTTGGGCTGCGTTGCGGGCTCGAACCTGGAGCTGGTGACGAGAAATTGTAATCAGACTCCCGGTCGAAAGCCTTGTTGCCATTGACGCGGCGCATGATGGACTCGCGGGAGATGCGCGACGGCATCTCGTAATCTTCAAGGAGCGAAATCTCTCCAATGGTGTCGTCCGCCTCATGATCCTCGTGGATGTCAATCGTGGAATCCGAGAGTGGGCTGCCGAACCTATCGCGCCCGTTTGCTCGCCTGAGGCGGCGTTCCCGTTGTTGTTCAGCGGCAGACTTGGCGCCACTATCATCAGACAGCATCATGAGCTTCAGGCGCTCTTCAAGCGTCATTTTGCCATTGCCGATGTTTTGGATGTCCGATTTGCTGGCCAAAGCCGCAGGGGGCGTTGGCAGACCTCTATGCGTACCAAGCATCCTCTCCGCAGTAGCAGACAGAGCAGGGGATTCTGGAGCAGATCCCGCCGATTGGCTCCTGGTGTGACCAGCACCCGGGAGCGGAGGCAGAGGACGGTGCTCAGAGTTGGCAGAGTCAGAGCGCTTGGCCTGGGGACGATCCAGCTCGGGTAGCGAGGGAGCAGCGTCAGGCATAGGGCTTCCTTCCCACTGAAATGGGGGTCTTCCTTGGACCATCGGGCTATCGCCGCGCCAATCGTCTGGACCGACCACAGGTGTCTTGTCTGTGTCCTCGAGGGAAGCATCGAAGCTATCCTCATGATGGTCCATGTTGGTCGGGTTGTAGAGCACGTCGTCATCATACTCATCGCCCATCGACTCGTAACTCCCTTCCCTTGAATTCGTTCCGATAGATGACAGATCTGGCGTCGCCATTTCGTACTCATTGATCTGGGGCGGTGCAGCGTCAAAAGTCACGCTCTTTGTGTGTCGGTGCAGCGAGCGGCTGCCGGGCAGATTGATGTCGGTCATGGAGGCGCCTTCGTCAAACTCGCGATCGAAGCTGCTCTTGAACTTGGATGGCGAGAGGGACGATTTTGTGGGGGATGTTTGCTCCCTGCCCGGGCTCATGACTGTGGTGCTGGAGGTGCTTCGGTCAAATTCGAAAGGGTCGGGAGACTGGGCGCCGCTCGACGTGGATGTGCGAAATGAGGTCCCTTGCACCTTGGAAAGGGGTCTCTCAATCTGTGGAAGGCGGGTAGGATCATATTCCTGCTTCTGTTCAAGGGCAAGGATGTTGCTGTTCTTGACCCGCGAGGCCCTCTGGAGGCGCTCAATGGAAGATCGTCGAGTCGGTGACGGTGATCCGGTGCGAGTTCCAAAGTACATGTTTTCGCTGTTCTGGTTCTGCCAAAACAGGCGAGGGGACGTGGCCGTTTCGAGAGGCGAGGACTGGAATGGTGATGAATCGGTATTGAATGCTGATTTCTGAGACATGCTGCGTCAGCGCCTTTGAGCCAGAGCAAACATGATGGGAGGACAAACCTTTGGGGATGCGTTGTTGGGCTGGTGCCAGCTAGGCGAGTTGCGACGCTTCTCCATGGGAGACAGCTCCGACAATGGACGAGGCACCGCGCTTGCCATCTTGACGGGTGATGATGACTTGTTGATGCGCAGAGGATGAACCTGCCTTTCAGATTCCATTTGACTCTAGGCCTCTTGTGTTGCGATCATCGGCCGGGACTGGAATGTCGCAAGCGCCAATCTCGACCAATATGTATCAGAAGGCTAGGAGAAAGCGAAGGTGGAAGCGAAACGAATGCTGCACAAGCAGCAAGGAAAAACTGACCAGAGGCAATGTCACGCGAAAGAGTAGCGTGAAGCCTGGAGAGCAATGATGAACTTGGCGGTGAGATGAAAGGCTGCGGATGAAAGAGCGATTGTAGGTGGTTTGTGGTGGTCTGTGGTGTTTTAGGCTCCCAGGGGCGGCAGGCGCGATTGGCCGGCGTGACAACAACAGTGAATCGGCCCCTCGACCTGCTGTCACCACAGCAACCGTGTCCCATTGCAAGGATCCCCGCATGCGAAACGGGTGCCAAAGCGCCGCACCTCGTAATAACGGCATCGGCTATAGATGGATACAAACCAAAAACCTTGGAAAATGCAGCCTGCATCTTATGCATTGACCAGTCGGGACTCTGGTGAGTGGCAGACTTTTCACCCGAATGACAGACATGACGAATGCGCCTTGTCACGAACTGGTTGGGTCCAGACTCCAGAGAGTGGACAAGTGGACAATTGATGCGCTTTTGATCTAAGAAGCCTATACGTACGTATCCCGTTTTCTGGCGAAGGCCATCATCACGCACCTTGCTTCTTGTTCCACTCCACACAATCATCAAACTTGACGCCTTGGCCACCGAAACAGTCGAGTGCGCTGCCAATGGTGAGGTCGACTTTGCCGTGGCTCAGACGCTTGACCGCCTCCAAATCGTCCAGGCTTCGACCACCGCCAGCGTACGTGACGGGTATCGAGCACCACCGAGCTAGCCGCTCGATAAGTTTCTCATCGACTCCCCTTTGCAGGCCCTCATTATCAGCAGCGTGGATGAGAAATTCTGAGCAATACGGCTCTAGCGACTTGATGGACTCTTGCGTGACTTCCATATCGGTTATAGTCTGCCACTTGTTCATGGCCACGAACCAGCGATCATCGCCTTGTCGACGACAGCTGATGTCAATGACGAGCTTTGTCCTGTCGCCGCCCAAGGCTCCCAGCACAGCATCCAGGCGTTCTTGGCTGAACTTGCCCTCAGGAAAGAGGAACGAGGTGATGATAACCTTTTTTTTCTTGTTAACGTGTGTTTCGCCAACGGACATTTCACAAACCTTTTCTGCGCCGGCGTCTATCCAGCTCTGCGCATTTGTATCTGAAATGCCTCCTCCCAATTGAAGACCACCCGGCCATGCTTGTAGAGCGTCTGTCGCAGCCGCGCTGTTCCCGGGGCCTAGCATGATGACATGGCCGCCGGTGAGTGCATTCTCTTTGTACATGCATGCATAGTGCGAAGCTGGGAGTTTCGACACATAGTTGGTTTTCAAAGCCTCCGATGTGCTGTCGAGCGTACCACCAACGATTTGCTTCACCTCTCCCGCATGGAGATCGATACATGGGCGGAACCTCGTCATCTTGTGAATCTCGATTGTTGGCGATGAGGTCTTGGTCGCCAAGTATTCGGCGTTGGTGGAAATGCTGGTGCTGGTTTACTAATTATGACTCTATGCAGCCAGGCGCCATGACCTCCGTTCAACAAACCTGAGACGACAGACGACCCCACCTTTCGCTAGCGGCGCCACTACACCACGAAAGTCTCGCATCAAGGTATTGTTCATTCTAGCTCTGCCTCTGAAGCACCAACACAGCGATTGCGCCCGATCCGATACCCATATGACATTTGGAGCATTAACAGAAGGTATCTTGACTTGACGCAATTATCGAGTATTGGAAATTGAAAGCGTAGTCTACCATCGCACAGAGAAAGGCCTGGGCCAGGCGTCATCCTGACTATGCAAGTCGTGATCCTGCTTTATAGCAGCCCTCCGACACCAGATGGTCAGATAATGAATCCATCAGGAGATCCTGCCAGGACACCACAATAATACCATATGGTAATTGACGGAGGTTGTGATACGCGGAGATTCAGCTAGCAATCTTGAAATACTGTACTATTCTCAAGTTGATCTCAATCTGAAGAAACAATAATTGGGAGCCCTATCTCGTTCCCTACATAGCACATATTTTAGAATATCGGCGACGTTTCTTAACAAAGGTTATCAGGCCGAGTAACACGGGTCGATTGGTGTAGTGGTATCATAGTTTACTGGCAAGTTTGTTCGTCGATAGTTTAGTAAGATCAATACACGGTGGCTAATATATCGCAGTATATACAGTCAAGCTAGAAGAAAATTCCCAAAATACTACCCAAATGAAGAACAATCTCAGGTACTCATATCGACTCAATAATGCAGAGAGGACAGAATATCAATACTCGACAGAACTCTCAGCGTCCAGGAACAGATGGATCGAGTGGCAGCCGGCGACGCTTCTCCCTCTGTGGTGCGCCAGGTCAGCCGTGGGCTGGGTCGTGAGCTTCGCCAACTATGTCGGTTTTATGTTTCACGAGGTCGCCTTGCAACCCGAGTCTATGCCGCCGCTCCCTTTACGCCAGCCGCGCTTTGCTCCACTAGGTCCTGCCTCCAGCACGCCTCCCATTCGCAGCTCGACCGGTCTGCCTGAGTTTGGCCTTCGACACGTGCGTGAGTCGGGCCTGCGCCCCCCTAAGACCATTCCTCCACCTCCCGAGGATGTCAACATGGAAGACGACGACGACGACGCTAGTGCCTCCTTCTTGGCCCAGGAGCGCGTTGAGTAGGAGCGTGTCCGGGCTCCCTCTGTGCCTTCCGCGTCTCCTTAGGTCGTCGAGATCTCTTCGGGGGCTTGCACTTCCTCCTACTCGCCGCCAGCTCTACACTCGGCGAATAGTGATCAGGGTGAATCGGCGCCGGAGCAGGGAGAAGTCGCGCCCGAACCCAATGCTGCCAGTGTGGCTTGAACTGGGTCGATTCGACGATGCTATTTGGTTACTGAGCTTCACATGAGTTTATACGCTACCCTACCTTCGTCACATTCCCAATGACGCTTGTTGAACTGGGTGGTATGCTAAGGATCTCGTTGCATCCCGTGTTGGTACGATCCTACTTCATGGAGCGAGTGTCCGCCCTCTACAGGCTTTGTTGACGCAGGTGCATGGCACATGAAAGACAAAGTATTTTGCTGCATCTCGCGTGAGTCATTAGGTTACAGTGTATCAGCAAATTTGTACATTGCTCCAACATATGGAATCATTGTCTGTCAAAAAAAGCGCCAACAGCAGACCTGACCTTGCGAACGCATTGCCTTCCTCGATACCCGCGATACCAGTGTGCCGTTGCGCTCAACATACCTCAACAGAAAGGCATTTGAATTGACCACGCGTGCGGAAATTGATATTCCACCGCATTTGAGACAACTGGACGAATACGAGGCGGGCAGCAGATGGTGAAGCCTTCAGGCGCGGAAGCATTAGTGGCAATTCTTTCGTGATTTAACGCTCCAATAGTCGGTGCGGTAAGCGATGTGGCTTGTGTAGTTCTGCACTGGTCAACATTGCTGCCTGACGTGTTCGTGCGAGTCCAAAGCTGCAGATCAAGTTTGTGATTCAACACAACCCCGGCCATAAAATTCGCCAAGTAGATGGGGTTGGAAAACAGGGAGAACAGTGGTCACCTAAATGGCCCTGATTGATGCCTTAAGAGCCTTTGTTGGCCCAACAGAGATTAAAAGAATTGGGAGGGTCTTCGGTGCATTGTTTTCATACTGATTGATGAAAATCGTTGTCGAACAACCAATCTCTTCGTTGAAGTACCGTAACTGTCGTCGCAGTTTGAGTGCCATGGCCCTGTAAACCCAACATGGCCTCGCCACATACCTCCTTTGATGAGCTGCCCTCATTGATATCATCCGTTCACCCAGAACATCAGTATGCGCAGTACTGGAAACAGACCACGGTTGGCTGAATGATCGACTCTTAATCTTCGACAAGGAAAAATTGCCTTGCTAAAGTGAGAAACAAAATTAATCAACCAGAGAAAGTCAGAGGCAGTAGCCAATGTTAATTGGAAATCTCCTCAAACACTCTTTGGGGAGAAAATGATTGACCACAATGCGCGAAGTTCACAAATGTCACGAAGAGTCCTACTGCTTTCTCCTTATGCAGGCTAAACTATCAATTGGTGAGTAACTGCCTGCCAAGACCACGTTTCTTAGGGTTCTTCTTGTCTCCATTGAGCAAGTCGAACTTCTCAAATTCCCAGCGTGGCAGTGTCTCAGCAACGCCCCTGCTGCATACGAGAGCCACGCTTTCGCCGAGCATGTCTCGTTCCTGTCTGTCGCCATCCAAGTCACAATTAGACTTACCAAAATACTCTGGAACCTTTACACACTGAAGACGGCTTTGGACTCATGAACAATGTTGGCGGTGCGTGTTAGAGGTGGTATGTGTCGAAATTCTCCCGTCTTCGTCTTGGATCACAAGAGGCGCGAGTTGGAAGAAGTTGACGTCCAGGAGTTGTCGTGTATGTGACTGATGTAAGCAAATCCAACCCCCCACACGCGAAAGTTCGCGGGTTCAATCCCTGCGTTGACCTTGTCTTTTTGCGTAGTTCCTTTGTTGAAAGAGTGAAGCTGGGATCTCTTTTGGCCAGCACCTAAAAGGGGTGGGGGCTGACAAGGAAGGGACGTTTCCAACGTGTCAGGTCAACGAGTGTCCGGGGCTGAACTCTTTGCTAAGGACAAGGAATCCCAATTCAGAATGTAGTGCAGCGGTAAATATGAAGAGACGGAACTGCGAACGTTGGTGCAATCACTACAATCAGGGCTCCAAACTACGGACGTCAAAGCACACGCAGATTGTTGATGTAGTTACACACTAGTGACCCTTGACTGTTGCCACCAAACACACCCAATTCGACGAAAGAATAATCGAGAATGGAACGGAACAGCTCCATTTGATCTGCTGGAGAAAAAAAAAGAGCGAAAGCCGTGAAGGACTGGAGGCCATTTCCATTCTGTGTTGACTGAAGGGAGAGACCCAACGCGTGCAGGCATGATAAATAATTATGCCGTACCATGTCAAGGTCATGTTACTGTATCCGTAAGAAGCGCCCGGCGACGCTCTTCCGGGCATGCCTCGCCGCCTGCTGGGTTGACGTCCAAAAAGTTGGACGCGGCCCCTGGTCTCCAACTTGATGGAGAGACTCCAAAAAGACAAGGTCAACGCGGGGATTGAACCCGCGACCTTTCGCGTGTGAGGCGAACGTGATAGCCACTACACCAGTCGACCTTATGTTTAATTGAGATCCGAGGACTCGTTGTTGAAACAGAAGCTCACATTGTTTATTATGTGGCGCGTGGTGATGCTGGGACACAGTCAGGAGCAACGACGTCGGACGAACTGGAAATGGGTGACAAGGCGACCACTCAGATTAATGGGATGAACCCCACATTGCATGGCTTCCCGTCATCTGAAGTCTCAAGTCTCCTTTGGGTGCAGGTGCAGTCGTCTGATCATCTGATGTTCCTTGCTGTTAGCCGGCAGTCTGGCCAGGCCTGCTCACTGCGAGATCACTCTCAAAGACATCATTCAATCACGGCCATTCAATTGTCAATTGTTCTCCCGAAACGACCATTGTAGTCGCATTGATCTCACGGACAATCGTGATTGAACCCCCCGAACGAGACATTCTGCGATACTGCAGGTTAGGCAGGCGTCGCGCCTCTGGTCCTGCCGAGCCCTCGAGGCTCGCGCCAGAAATAAGCTCCAGGCAATTGGCCAATAACCGCGATCGCACCTGCACCACGCTCTGGACCCCAGCCCGGTCCCCTCACAGGGAGCTTGCCTGCGTTCCTGTTGCGACTTGCATGTCCTCTCGTGGTAACATGAGGTGAACCGTATAGCTGCTCGGGTTGTTGCGACGGTGGACCTGCAACTTAGCATTCCCACTATACCTACACGAAGTAATAGAGAGAATCGGGCATAGAATATTGAGTATGTACCTATGTTCGTTATTGGCTTCTGAATATCCACCCTTCCATCTATTGACCCAGAACATGAAGATTTTACTGTAACTCTCCTAATCAAACCGCAACAAGTTTAACGTCAGCAGATTAAAGGGCGTCACAGTAAGGCAAAGGCATGGTTTATAAGACGGTCCTTAATCAAATAACTTACCTTATTGAAAGGAATTGGGAGCCACTAGCACCAGCGAAGAAGCTGACGCTGGCGCCAGAAGAGATGTTGATGTTATGATAGGACATCAGGCCGGAAAAGAAGTAACAACCTTCGGAAAGGGTATAGTAAACGGTCTCTGTGACTGTCTCAGTCAGCTTCCCGTCTCCCTAAGTATGAAATCACGGGACGTCCATTGTCACTTGACAGGGTGCCATGGACTCAATAGGTGCTCGAGAGATTGAGTGAATATCATGAAAGCGATACTCCGAGGTAAAGGCTCAAGGGCTGGGGAAGGAGGAAAACATCGAGGAGAGAAGACAGAAGGGCATGTTGGGGAAGAAGGCTCAAAATACACACATGCAGTCAGGTGTGATGTGATCGGTGTGAAGGGACGCTGACACGTACCAGGCGCGGGAAGAAGATTGTTGACTTCATGTTCATGTTACCTGCGCGGTGATGGTGGGGTGTTGAGAAATGGGGAGAAGAGAAGAATGTGAGAGGTAGGAAATCACCCATTATAAAGGAGACCCCCGACCGCGACAATCAACCATCAACAATATCAGACCGCCCTCAGATTTTACCTACTGAATTACGCACTCACTCCCTTCAGTCTCATTTGAGGTTTGTTTGCCGTCTGATGCCAGAGTCAGCTATCACCACTGACATGGAAGGCAGCCTAACTCGTAGCAGTATCTCAATCACCAACTGACAGCCCGGCAGAACGCACAACGGTCGGGCGATTGATCATAACATGTTACAGTGCACTAGATGTGGCGATCAGACCAGAGTAATACAGGGCGCGCACGGCAGCCTGGGTGAGCTTGATGGCTCTCTTGACTGGTAAGGATGAATGTGTCCCTTTACGCTCTTGAGCGGGAAGTGGAGAGTTTCTGTAGAGACCTGCCACAGAAGGAAACGATTGGAAGATCACATGCAATGTTCATGTTAAATCAAAGGCATATTGACTACATGCATGCGATATATAGTGACTGGGAGTTAGATTACTTCTTAGGTTGCCTTTATATTTAAACTGCCAAGGAATTTCGTCGAGAAGATACTATCGAGTAGCATCGAATAGGAAGCGTGTACGATCAGACTCGGTGTGTCAGAGCTGCCTAGATCTGCGCTATGACTGACCTCGACTTTCGTTACGAGAGGGCACTGGAGCGCAGTAGTAGAGGCTAAAAGGAGTGGGCACGGAAATGCCGGATTCATGTTCCTCTATACATGTACCTTCATTTGCCTACCACACATGATCGCTACGAGCTGGGCAAGTTGTGACTCGTGAGATGAGAAGTGAGTAGCCATGTCAAAGGCATGGACTCCGGATATTTTGTGTATAGACACCATAGTGACCACGCTCACAGCTGTCAGCAGATATTCGAGTCTCAATTTAAAGTACGCACAGCGACGAGCAAAGAAATACATAATAGCAGAAATATATACAGGACAATACATGGACAAACAAAACCACCAATACACGCAGAAGAGACAACAGAAGCAAAGGAGAGTAAGGTAGAGTGCCACGCACTCACCCTTGCCAAGTCACGGAAAGACTAGTTCGTGGTCCTCAATCTCGAGCAGGGTACTTTGCATGGCAGTTTGCTGGGCCAATGATGCCAGCAAAGATACTAGGCGCTTTTTGTAATCCAGCAGACACCTTCGACATCGTTGTGAGCCTCTCCCAGTCAGCACAACAGCCGAGTTCCTTTCTCGTACATCTTCGTGGCACACTCGCTGCAGCCCATGTCGAAGGCTGTAGGACCATGCCAGGTCCACGACAGTCTACACTCAGCTTCCTCCTGATGGTGCCTTGCAGACTTCATGTCAACTCGTCAAGTGCAGCTGATCATCAGAACAGAAGTCATGGAACAACCAGGTTTGTTGGTGTCCTGCCAGCTTGTGGTCGTGTTGATATCCGGGCCGCGCGGCTTTGTGTCTGGTGGCATAGCACTTGCCCTGATATTTCCCTAAGAGCTTGTGTACCTACGCCTGACTCCTTGCCAGTCCTTGCCTAGCCAGCAGTTGAAGTATTTCGTGATGTGATGTGGCGCTTCCCAGGATGCAGCAGAAATGAGACCAGCCATTGACCAATGGCTGGTAGCGAAACTGCCCCACACTCCCTACCCCAGTCCCCTCACTCCGACTCCGAGCAATAAGGCCAACACCACCATCCATCCATCCCTCGACCACCGCGCCTCCAATTTCTGCCTCAAGCACACCTCGCCTGTCCCCCTCCCCATCGCCAACAGTCATGGCGGACTTTCTCAAGAACGCCTTTGGCGGCGTCAAGGACGTGCCGGCCGCCAAGGTCGACTCTGGTAAGCAAGCAGCCGCCCGCGTGCTCTTCCATTGCTAATTAAACGCGCGCGCCCACAGACTTTGCCGACTTTGCTGGTGCCCCCGACCCGGTCCCCGAGCCTGCGCCCGCCTCGGGCACGCTCGCGGCCGCCGCGTCCTCGACGACGGTGCCCTGGACCGCGTGGTACAACGTGCACGAGCGCCACACGCTGTCCGAGTTCAAGTTTGAGGGCATCGTGCTGCTGGTGGGCGGCCTGATCCTGGTGCTGCACCTTTTCGGCGCGCGTCTGAACCGCAACAAGGCCCGCGCCTTTATCCGCGCCCACGCGCCCGCGCTCGTGGGCGAGTTTGCCTGCGTGGGCTTTGAGGGCAAGCCCAACACGCTGTCGGGCGACGTCGAGCCCGAGTCCCTGCTCAAGGAGAAGTCGCTCTTTGAGTTTGCGACATACGCGACCGGCCGCCAGAACATTGCCTTTGCCGACGTCAAGCTGACGCTGACGAAAAAGTTCAACCCGCTCGTGCTCGGGTTCGAGACGGTGGCGGCCTACTTTTTCGAGACGACGTTTGACATGCCCTACGACGTGGCCGAGGTCTACATCTACCCCTTTGACGGGCAGGAGGCCCGGACGGTGCCCGGGTACCCGCCCGTGGCCAAGGACGCCAAGAGCAGCTACGACTCGTTCGTCTGGGCCGTCGTCAACAAGGACGTGATGCAAAAGGTGCGCGAGGCGCGCTACGACATCTCGCTGACGGCCACCAAGGAGAGCCCCAAGCTACCCAACTGGCTGACGGTCATGAGCGAGAGCGCCGAGATCACCGACGCCCTGCTGACGCCCGAGCTCATTGGCGCCATCACCGCGGCCGGCGAGCACAGCTTCGAGTACCTCCTCATCACCGACCAGCCGACCGACAAGCCCAAGACGCTCGACGAGACCAAGCCGAGCAAGCGTATCATCCTCAAGTACCGCCTGCCCGGGAACAGTGACTACAACGCCCTCAACACGCTCTTCAACTACGCCCTGCACCTGCCCGACTTCCTCGTCCAGCACGGCAGCTTCCGGCCCGAGGTGCTGCGCAAGGTCCGCGCCACGCGCGACAACATGAGCAAGGAGCTGCGCAAGGCCGCCGAGGAGGAGAAGAATGAAGAGCGCATCCTCGAGCGGGAAAAGGCCAAAAAGGCCAAGCGCGACGCCGAGCTTGCGGCCCTCGACGCCAAGGCGCAGAAGAAGTATCTCGAGAAGGAGCAGACCAAGGAGATGCGCAAGGCGCAGAAGAAGCAGGTCACGCGTGCGTAGGGGGGGGAAGGGATTTTGTAACATCACTGGAGAGGGAGGTAGCCGGGGGAGTCAAAATGAATAGTCTACTGTTAAAATCTATCACATTTAGGACTCTTCGTCCAGCGCAAAACGGTTCGTGAACTTGAAAGTGGCAAGACCCTGCTTGAAGGCGTCCACCAGCGCATCGACGCTGTCCACCGCGTACACACCGTCGCCCTCAGCCACACGCGCGGCGGCGGACGAGCCCATGTATCCAATGGGCTTACCCCAGTGATAGCCATCCTCGACAATCTGCGCGGGGCGCCGCGTCGGGTACAGGGGCGACTTGGCCTTGGATGCGAGCAGGACGTCGAGGCCGTTGGTGGCGACAATGCCGTCAAAGGCGACGGCGTCCGATGCGGCATAGGTGCTGTCGACGCCGTGGCCCATGGTCTCGGCCACGACAGCAGCAGTCACGTCCATGGCGGCAAAGGCCTCTTTGAGGGCGGTGGCCTGGGCGACGGACCCGTTCACCCTGTGGGAGGCGAGGAGGCCGACGTGGAGGGTGGCGATGGAGGGCAGGGGCTCGCCCATGATGCTGAGGCCGGCGGTGGTGTTGTCGTGGTAGTAGGTGGGATCGGCGGCGGGAGCGTCGAGGCCGAGGGTGGAAGCGACGCGGACGGCGACGTCGTGGCTGATCCTGTTGAGCTGGACGAGGACGTTCTCCTGAATGTCCGGGCTCACGTGGGAGACCTCGAAGCGGATGGCGTCGATGAGCAGCTGCTGCTCGACGGGGGTCAGGGAGTTGTAGAAGAGGCGCGGCTGGGACCAGTGATCGGCAAAGGACTGGGGACGGCGGCGGACGAGCGAGGAATCAGAGGCGATCTTGCGGTTGGGATCGGTGAAGAAGCCGCGGCCCTCGTCGCGGCCGGCCTGGCGGGGATAGCCCTTGTTGCGGGTGTTGGGGGAGTAGGGGGCGGTGTTCTTGTGGATGAGGTTCTGGGCGGCGCCGTCGCGATTGTTGTTGCGGACGGGGGCGACGGGCCTGTTGATGGGGAGCTGCTCAAAGTTGGGCCCGCCGTGGCGGTTGAGCTGGGTGTCGAGGTAGGAGAAGATGCGGCCCTGGAGCAGAGGGTCGTCGGAGAAGTCGACGCCGCGGACAATGTGTCCCGGCTGGAACATGACCTGCTCCGTCTCGGCAAAGTAGTTGGCCGGGTTGGCGTCGAGGCGGAGGAGGCCGAGGGGCTGGAGGGGGGCGAGCTCCTCGGGGATGATCTTGGTTGGGTCGAGGAGGTCAAAGTCCCAGGCGGCGGCGGCCTCCTCGTCGACGACCTGGACGGCGAGCTCCCACTCGGGGGCGTGGCCGGCGGCGATGGCGTCCCAGAGGTCCCTGCGGTGAAAGTCTGGGTTCTTGCCGGCGAGATGCTGGGCCTCGTCCCAGACGAGCGAGGCGCGGCCCTGCTTGGACTTGAAGTGCCACTTGACGAGGCGGGAGGTGCCGTCGTCGGTGACGAGGCGGTAGGTGTGGACGCCGAAGCCGTCCATGTGGCGGTAGCTCCTTGGGAGGCCGTAGCCGGCCATGGCCCAGAGGAGGGTGTGGAGGGTGGTGGACTGCTGGCTGAAGAAATCCCAGGCCGAGTCGTGGGCGGTGGCGGCCTGGGGCACCTCGCTGTCCGGGCTGGGCTTGACGGCGTGGATGAGGTCGGGGAACTGGATGGCCGACTGGATGAAGAAGACGGGGATGTTGTTGCCGACAATGTCAAAGTTGCCCTCGTCCGTGTAGAAGCGCGTGGCGAAGCCGTGCACGTCGCGCGCCGTGTCCGCGCTGCCTCGCGAGCCGGCGACGGTCGAGAAGCGGACGAAGATGGGCGTCTCCTTGCCCGCCTCGCCCAGGAACGAGGCCGCCGTGATGTTGGAGTAGTCGCCGTAGCTGGTAAAGGTCCCGTGGGCCCCGGCGCCGCGCGCGTGGACAGCTCGCTCGGGGACGCGCTCGTGGTCAAAGTGGGTGATCTTCTGGCGAAAGATAAAGTCCTCCAGCAGCGTCGGACCGCGCTCGCCCGCCGTCAGCACCTCCTGGTCCTCAATGGGGCCGCCAACGTCAGAGGTCATGTAGCCCTCCGAGTCGTCGACCTCGAAGTCGGCCAGGTGGCTGCGGGAGCTTAGGCCCTCGGCGCGGGCTGCGAGGTTGCCCACGTCGGCGAAAGGGCATTGCGCGTGTGAGAGGCTGGCGAGGCTGGCGAGGGCCGTTGCCAGGAGGGCAGAGTGAACGTGAAGCATGGCGAGGGTGGGGGAGAGATGCTGAGGAGGGTGGACCAAACGAGAGAGCGCAGTCTGTCTGGAGAGGCCGAGAGGGACGGCCTGATATACATCTCAGAGTTCACCTCACACCGGCTTCACATCCTTGCTCTGCGAGGCGGGACGATGTGACGGACAACTGGACTCTGGAGGCATCAGCACATGCTGCTGTGTAATTACGTAGCACTCACCATGCATCAAGCAGTAATGCGCCCATTGTCACTGGTGGGCGTGGGCCACCTTCATCTCCGCCGATAGAGTGCCTGCACGTTTGTTTGATTGTCGGTCTGCAGACGGTATGCAGGTACGTACGTACGTACGTACTGTATCATCAGGCCAGTGGCTCAATCGAGTGCGATTGCCGAGGGCCCTCATCAATGATATTGGACCTCGAGACGAAGCGTCCATCGTGGCATCGATCGACCGCCCTCCGCACGCCCACCCACCTTAAATCAAACTCTAACGGGCCTGTCCAATCACTGTCACTGGGCCAGTTTAAAGACCACAGTAGCCCAGAGTGCCGTCCAACTACCGCGAAACAAAACCAAAAGACTGGTGGGCGGGTGTGGCGCTCGGGAGGAGGGCCGGCAGATGCATGGAGTCGTATTGGAGACCAGGCCAGGCCAGGCACGATAATGAATGACCAGTAGATATCCATCCAGCTGCGTTGCATTGCATAATGACTGTAGAACGCACAGCAAGGTCTATTCATAGACGACCACATGGCTGCGTGCAGATGGCATCAGCTGATTTTGTTGCCATCGTCCTTGGTATCGACCCTTTCTCTCCACTCGTCCGTGTGATGAGGAGGTGATGCTCTCGCCGGGCGCTTAGAAGCTTGGTGATTTGGAAAATTGAGTTATTATTAAACAAGCCGTCGCGGACAGACAAGGTTGCATGACGGCAGATGCATCTCGGCGACGATCCCTGCTTGGCACAGCGCGGAGCAAAGGCTCATTCATGCTGGTAGCCTGATTCATGCATGGAGGCCTTGGTCGGTAGTAAATTAGTGCGTAACAGAATAAAGTGCCAGAATAGTGTGCCGTGAAGCCATGCTTTGTAGAATCGAAATCGTGAACATCGCTCATAAGACCAAACAAATCACCCCAACAGGACGTCCACCTCCTCGGGCTCGGCGCCCTCCCACGCCTTGCGCAGGACGTGCCCCAGCCCCCGACGGTAGGCGACGCCGCCGATGCGCTCGATCCAGAGCACGTTGACAATGTCCACAAAGTCGTCGGCGTCCTTGTTGGCCGCAAACTGCGCCGCGCTGAAGACGTGCGAGCCCCGCCGCTCCGTCGCCGTCGAAATCGCCACAAACTCGAGCACCTCGTCCCCCTCGTAGTTGGACGATTGGATTCCCAGCCACCCGTCGTGCGCCCGGAAGCTGCCCGCCCACCGCTGCGTCGTCCGCGACCACAGGTTGCCCACCGCCACCGGCGGGTTCATGGCCGCCTCGCGCGTCGACAGCGTCGCGTCATAGTCCACCTCGAACAGCGCGCTCGTCGTCCGGAACGACAGGTACGGACCGGGGAACGCCAGCTCCCCCGCCGGCGCTGGGTAGGCCACCCCGTCCTCGGGCGGCTCCTCCACGGGGATCGGGTACCTGAAGAGCGTGAGGTCGTCGCTGTCGTGCTGAAAGTGTGGCCCCACGCGCGTCCAGCCAGGCGGGTACGACGACACCGAGCTGCGCCGCGAGCGCAAGTCGCGAAAGTGCAGCCCATTGTTCGTCACGGGCGCGCTGGCCGTCCGGTCCGTGAGCGCCCACGTCACCGTTGGCTTGATCTTGAAGGCGTGCGGCGACTGCAGCCGCTGCGATGTGCTGCCGTCACTTGTCTTGTCCACCACGTAATCCGCCGCCGCGCGCCACAGCACGAGGTCGACCGGCACCCCGTCGAACCACCACCCCATCCACGACCACGACGGTAAGAATGGCGGCTGGATGACCGCGCGCCGCCGCATCGACGCCTGCGGTCGCCACAGAAGCGCAATGTCCAGGAACATGAGCGGCATGCCGTACAAGAACCCCCCCGGAAACACCCTCGACAGCACATGTGTGATGCCGGCAAACGCCTTGAGTGTGTCGTCCACCCTAGTCACGCGACGTGCACTGTAGTCCGCCGCGATGCGTGCGTACTCGTCCAGGTCCGGCCACGGCGCGTGCCGCCACGCAAAGGCCGCCTCGGACAGGGGATGCGCGCACGCAGCCCTGCGTCCCCGCACAGCCGCCGTCGGACTGTCTTGCCATAACTCGCAATGACACTCCCAGGTAATAGCATCCTCAAAGAAGAAGACCTTGCGCCGAGAATAGTATGACTCCTCCAGTGTCCACCCTCGCGTGCTCCATTTGGACTGCCGCACCAGATCGGCGTGGTTCTCCGTCCCAGACCCCAGTCCTCGCGGCCCCTGCCTGCGCGGATTCAGCGGGATAAGACCAGTGTGCACATCGCCATGCGCGGCCACGAGCGTCAGGTAGGCGTTGGCGAATACGTAGGCCATGTGCTGCGTGTGACTCTCCATCTCGTCCTTGTCGTCCTGCGTGATGCACAGCTGGTCTACCCAGAGATACCGTAGTCCCAGCTTGCGCGCCGTCCACATGGCGTCGAGGATGGTCTGCGGCAGGTCGGCCTCGGGCAGGGCGTCCTCGTACACGTCGATGTTGGCCTTGGCGAGGCGGATGTCGCCTGTCTCGGTGCGCGCGCCGCCGCCCCAGACGTAGCTCAGCGCCACATAGCGATCGCCGGGCTTGCTGCGGACAAGACAGCGGTCCGTCGAGTCAATGAGCCAGGTGGGGCGAAAAGTGTCGACCTCGTCGTCAGTCTTGGACGAGCTGGGCGGGCTGCAGTGGTGGTCGTGCTCGCGGTTGCACGTGTCCAGCCAGTCGCGGATGCGGGAGATGGGCGACTGCGTGGGCTTGCCGGGCGCCGTCGAGGTGCGTCGCTGGATCGACGCCTGCGTGTCCTGGCGCGCCTTGAGGAACGAGTTGCGCACGCGGTCGGTGATGCTGTTGCGCTTGGAGCTCGTGCTGGGGTCGCGGCGCGGCGACGACCGGTTGAAGCCAAGGTCGGGCATGGAGGTGGCAGCGCTCGAGCTGGGCGCTGTCTGTCTGCAGATGCGAATCGTGCAGCTGGGCGGGTGAGACTGGAGGGCAAGGTCAAGATGAGGACTGAGGTGTGAGTGAGGCGAGGGTTGATGCGCCTGAGGCCTGATGCGCGACGCGACGCGATTGGGTCGCAATGTGACGGCCTGACGGCCTACTTGTACAGGCCTGACCAGGAGCTGAATAGGCGCTGGATTAGTGAGCTGAGGCTGCTGAGCCCCCGGCAGACGCCTGGAGCTAGTGGGGCCGCATCACCTTTCAGGGCATGGACAGACTGGACGATGAAGTGCACGTACAGCCTCGAAGACACCGCGTCTGAAGGACTGAGTAAGGACTGAGTCTCAAGATGATCCAACTGCATCATTCAAGAAGCTCTTAACGTAAAGTAGGTAGACACGTGGCACCCCGCTGTCTCGGCATCAGTGTCTTGCCTCAGCAGCGTTGCCTGGTCGACCACAGGGACCACTCACAGACTAATCATCTATTCTCACGCTCCATCAACCAACGCCTCTCTATCACCAATGTCCTCTATCGCTAACGCCCTCTATCCTTTTCTTGTACAGTCCCCAGAGTACATGTAGTTTACTCCTGCGCCGCGCGCTTCAGGTCCTTCTCCAACAGGCTGGTGCCGGTCATCTCCTCCGGCTGAGGCAGGCCGAGCGCCGCCAGCACCGTGGGCGCCACATCACCCAGCACACCCTCGGTGGTGTCCTTGAGAGCCCAGCCCTCGGGCGCGTTGGCCATGATGAGGGGCACCTTGTTGGTCGTGTGGCTCGTCTTGGGCTTGCCGTCCGCAAACTTCATCTCCTCCGCGTTGCCGTGGTCCGCCGTGATGAACAGGATGTAGCCAGCCTCCTTGCAGCCCTCGTAGATCTTGGCAATCGCCTTGTCGCACGACTCGACCGCCGTCAGCGCCGACTCGTACACGCCCGTGTGGCCGACCATGTCAGGGGCCGCGAGGTTCTACAAAAAAAGGTCAGCATCGTTTCACACCGCCAAGGGAAGCACCACGTCTACGTACACACATGACAAAGGGGAACTTTTGCTCCTTCATCCGCTTGTTGACCTGCTCGGCCACCCCGTCCTGGGACATCTCGGGCGCCTGGTCGTAGGTCGCCACGCTCTTGTTCGACGGCACCAGATCCTGGTCCATGTCGCGCGTCTCGAGCGCAAACACCTTCTCGACACCGCCGTTGAAGAAAAAGGTCACGTGCGCGTACTTCTCCGTCTCGGCAACGTGCACCTGCTCGACGCCCTGCTTGCCGAGCCACTCGGCGAGCACATTGTCCATCACCTGCGGCTTGGACACCACGGGGAAGGGAAAGTCCACCTTGTACTGCGTCATGGTGGTGAGGTTGATGTTGGGGTAGGGGAAGTCGGGCAGCACCGAGCGGTCCACGTCGCCGAGCACCTGGGTGATCTGGCGCACGCGGTCAGATCGGTAGTTGAAGAACAGCACGGTATCGTCGTCTGGCACGGAGTTAGCTAGAGGGCTCAGATCAAACGCGAGCGGTATACCGACCCTTGATGCGCCTCTCATCGCCGCCGACAATGATGGGCTTCAGGAACTCGTCGCCGTCCTTGCCGCCGCCCTTGGCGTAGCTGTCCTTGACCGTCTGGACGGGGTCCTCAGAGGTCGTGCCCTCGCCGAGGACCATGCCCTTGAGAGCGCTGCCATTGTCAGACCAGAGTCTCCCGGTGAATGAAACAAAGAAGGCACCCACATTTCAATGCGCTCCCAGCGCTTATCGCGGTCCATGGCGTAGTAGCGGCCGACCACGGTGGCAATCTCGCCAGTGCCAATCTCCTTGGCGGTGTCGAGCAGCTCCTGCATGTAGCCAGCACCGCTCCGGGGGTCGGTGTCGCGGCCGTCACCAAAGAAGTGGATGAAGACCTTGGGGATCTCCATCTCCTTGGCGAGCTTCAGGAGCGCGTACAGGTGCGTCTGCTTGGAGTGGACGCCTCCGTGGGAAACGAGACCCTATCATCGCGTCAGCCTCGAGGCCAGTGTGGCCGATCTCTGTTACTCACGCAGAGGTGCAGACGGCCGTTGCCATTCTTGGCGCGCTTGAAGCAGTCGACAAGCACCTGGTTCTGTCCAAGCTTGCCCTCCTTGATGGTCTGGTCTGCGCACAATCAGCAGCTGCACTCGAGCCAAGACGAGAGACACCCACCAATCCGGACGACGTCCTGGTACACCACGCGTCCGGCGCCAATGTTCAAGTGGCCGACCTCGGAGTTGCCCATGAGGCCCTCGGGCAGGCCGACCGACGTCGACGACGCCTCGAGCTTGGTGTAGCAGTCCTTCTGCTGGGCGAACCCGTCCATGACGGGGCACTCGGCGTTGGTGATGGCGTCGCCGTCCTTGGGCGACGCCTCGGTGGGCACGCCCCATCCGTCAATGACAATGAGGCACGCCTTTTGCTCGGTCTTGCTCATATTGATCGTGGGGGCTGATGTCGACAGTGAGATGTTTAGGTTCAAGGTGAGAAACTTGAAGTTGAGATGGTGGGGTACAGCTCAGCTTAGAGGGAGGGGCAGCACCTGGAATCGGAGGGGCACCCGTCTTGGTCTAACTGCAGAATACGAGTGATATAGGTGAAAAGAGCGTCACAGTGAATCATTTGTTTATCGAGATGATTCAAATATCTCAAGCCATAGGTCTGGCCAATGATTGCTCAATCTCCTCTCGCATTTCGCGTGGTGCCGCCCGGAGCCTGAGGCATTTCCCTCCAGCCAGCCAAGCAGCTTCAACGCGTCCGATTCAGGGATGACGTCGGTCGCCCTGCATTCACTCATGCGCGCGCGAGCGACTGGACGCAATGACAGACATCAATCATGTCGCCAACAGCTGTTTGCTACCGACATGTTCTGCATTGTTCACTATCATGCCATCAATGTTGATCTACGTTCTTTGGTGTTACGGTCGTCGCGTCCGTCGCGTCCTTCACCTGGCGTGAGGGAGATCAGTGATCGCGTAACATGGATCATTTTCTTTTTCTCCAGATAAGTAGAGACGAACCCTTAACTTAGATGCGCAAAACTTGACTCTCCAACACTCCGACCTACCTTGGTGCTGACATCGCAAACAAGACGCAATGGCAAACTTCACGCGCGAGCGCATCGTGCGCGCCCTCATGGCGTTCATCCTCAGGGTCATCGTCAAGACCCACGACCTTGCCTACCATGTCCTCGTACACAGGGCAGTCCACATTGGCTACTCGTACGTTTACATATTTCTGCTTCCCGTTGACCTACTCATCGCGAATGTCTTGCACCTTGCTTGGGTATGTTTGACTGTGGTCTGGGGCTATCTCCTCGTCAGCATCTCTACCAGTTTTCCCCTTGACTTGGACGAGGAAGCCGCCGAGGTCAACACCGAAATATTGATTGTGATCAACTGCGCAGTCAGGTTTGTCTGTCTCTTGGAGTTTTTCCTCGAGTTCGTCGTTGACGCCTTGCTCGACATTCGGGACAAGCTGCTCGAGCTATACAGCCAAAGTTCCACCGGCCTTCGGATCCTCTTCTGGGTCATTCTCAACTGTATCTCGGTGTACAAACGGTATTTAGACGAGTGTTGAGAGACATCCAGGCTTGGCATAGTGACAAGAGCCTAGTATTTGTGGAAGGTATGTCTCATGTCGCCTTTGTCGATCCAACAAAGCCTTGCACGACGAGCTGGTCGAGCGTTCCCATTCATACAACAAAGGGGCGCACGACAATCAGCGCCTTGTTCTTGCATCTCAATCATGAGAAAAACAGCTTGTGTTCCATGGCGAACATCCGAGTCATTCTTGGTACCAAGCGATTATAAGTGCACATATTTGACAAGCCCTCACTCCACAAGCAGCAACTTGATTTCTTACAGACAACCAAACCAGGCCCTCCCAAACACACACAACATGGAGGAAGATCTTCCGTACGACCCTCCCCAAATTGACGCGGTCCTGACCCTGCACTGGCAGAATTACCAGTACAGTGGTCATATTGCCCGATACTTCTATGCCCTTCTCATCCGAAAGACTCGCGAGCTCTACCGCGCGAGTCACGTCCCCATCAACCAGGCCACCGATGCGCCAAAAGGAAATGTCTTTTTCCGCTTGCCCTTCATTCGTATGGTGCCCTGGATTCTCCTTACTCTGTTCTCCACTACCTTCATCATCATCTCAGAGCACATTGTCATGCCCATTCTGGGTGTCTTCAGCGAGGTGCCCTTGCTCATCTGGCCCTTCCTTTCTGGCCTCTTCGCCTCTCTGTCCACTGTCAGCCATGCACATGCAGTTATCCTGACCATGTTCGTTATTGTGGTGCTAGACACTTGTATGACGAGGACGACCATCGCGGGCCAGTTTCGTGCAGGTGGCCTGACGCTGTTCACCAGCATGTGCATACGGACCTTTATCACCTACAATTGGTCCATTATTCGCAGGAGCATGCCCTTGATCTTTTTGTTCCACAGATTGCGACTCCATTACGCGCTTTGGTACTTTGACCAGATCGCATGTAGGATCTGGGATATAGCGAGCGGTGATGGCGAAGAGCTTTTCGACAACGTATCGCTCTATCTCGATCCTCCGAGCCCCTTTGAGAGCCCTTCACCTTCTTCCGTCTCGTCTTTTTCTCCAGAACGGTACAGTCCTCCACGGAGAGCTCGGCGTTGGTCTGGCGCCTGCCCCCCCTCTCCCTCACTCACCGAAGTTCGTTCACAGTACAGTCCCCCCGTTGTGGACCATAGGTCCCGTCCTCGCATCCACTTTGATGCTACGGCGGATCCTCCGACCGATAGGAAAAGGCCATACCGCCTGACCGTCAGGACCACCCCGCAAGCCCCGAAGCAACGTGCGTCTTGCGGGCCTCCCAGGTCTTGTGCTCAGATGAGTCCGGCCGATCCGTCCGTGGAATTTAGTAGGGTGATTCATTGGTTGCGGGATGAGCTGAGCGAGAAAGGAACGTGAATTTGAGAGCAAGTCGCAAGATCACGGAATCTATCAAAAAGACTTGGACTCCAACCCAGCTCTTGCGATGGTATCCTCAACGCCACGAGATACTATCTTGGTTTGGTTATAGGATACAGGGGGGAATTCCCTTGTAGGTCGTTGTTACAGTCGTCTTTAGATTATATTTGTATTGAGTGGAATTTTTTAGACACATGGTGAGTTTTTACCGAGACCACATTCCCTTTTTTTCAATTAGACGTACATTATGACAGGGTTCCCCCGGCCAGCAAAACAGTACAAAAGAAGCATACAGCGATGTAACAGTCCAGGAGAAGTATTTTAGAATGTAGCCGTTGATAGCAGGTCAAAGACTAGGAGATTGACGACCCTCGGATCACCAGGTACGTCGTCATACAGGGTAAGCCAGCTGTTGCCCTGTCAACGCTCCACACCCCTGGACAACGCACGAAGTTCAATTGGTCAACATCGCTCATCACCGTCAGTAAATCACATCTCACACCTTACATTGCATACGAACAGTACGGATCAGATGTTCAAGCCCTCCTCACGCAATGCCCACCAAAGCGACGACGACGGGGCAGTATGGCACAAGGTCGACGCGGACAAGATCCGCACGCCAGCTGGCAGAATTGCCCCAAAGCCCGCTGCGCCCACAGGCCGCATTGGTGCACGATCCAGTGGATGACCTGGCATCGAAGTTAAAAGACACCAGAATTGTCGATCAGAAGCCTTTGGGAAAATCGCCGCGGAAATCAATCGCAGTTATCGACCTCACGCAGGACGAAGATGCGGAGGAGAAGGTGCACCACAGCCCACCCCGCAAGGCTCACGAGCGCACAAACACAGCCGACCATGGGAATCAAGTGAACGGCCTCGACGAAGACAACTTGAGATCTCTCACATGGGACGAGGTCTGTCCGCCCGGCGACTCTATCCAGAAAATTGCCGAAGCGTCGTACGCAGAAGTCTACCGCGTCACCAACGAGCGCGGGACCAGCATCATCAAAGTCATCCGCCTCGAGTCGCCCATCAAAGCGCAGACAAAGGCACAGGTCAAGTCAAGCTTGGTCGACGAAGAGCCTCGGTCCGCCGTCGACGTGGCGGGTGAGCTGCAGATCTCGGAGTTGTTGGTGGACATACCGGGCTTCGTGGTGTACAAGGAGCGTTACATTGTACGGGGGAAGACAACAAAAGGGTTGCTGGAGACGCATCAAGCTTTCCAGAAGAAGATGAAGAGAGAGGATCCCGGGCGGGCCCAGTTCTATCCTTCCCCGAGTCGCTACCTGGATGGCACCAAGTTTCTGGTGGTGGAGCTGGGCGACGCGGGCAAAGCGCTCGAGGATTTCGAGCTCACGACTGAAAGTCAGCTTTGGGACGTCTTCCTGCTGCAGGCCATTGCGCTGGCACGGGCGGAAGACCACGCCATGTTCGAGGTATGTTCGTAACCATGGCTGAGCCTCGCACAGCACTCACATGTACAGCATCGCGACCTACACGAGGGCAACCTATGTATCCGGCAAGTTTCCTCTCCCCGGGCGAAACCAGCAGACGCGCCACAGCCCTTTGGCTACTCTGGCCTTGACATCACCATCCTCGACTACGGCCTCTCGCGAGCCGAAGACATGTCTGTGGACTTTGCCAAGCCAGTTGCGTCTGACCTGGAACGAGACCTGAGCCTGTTCACTAGCACTCATGCGCCGCAGTGCAAGGTGTATCGCCAGATGCGTTCGTTCCTACTCAAAGCCGATCGCACTTGTCTGCCGCCCGAGGAGCACTGCGTCCCGTATGCAAAGGGGGTGGATGGTCCGCTGTCCTGGGAAGTATATGCGCCGTACACCAATGTGCTGTGGCTTGCCTATCTCTACGAGTACTTGATTAAGAACTTCAAGGGCGAAAGAGCCGAGGTTCTCGCCTTTCGAAGGGCTACTAGGGAATTTTGGATCTATCTGAACCCTAGAGCAAAGCCCGACGTGCCCATGTTCGGCAGCGCCGCTGACATTGTGTGCTATGCTGTCGAAGCCGGCTGGATGAGCGAGGGCCAGATCCTGGAGGGTGCCTCAGTCGTCGAGAGAGAAGACACCAGCATCATTCTATCGAAGGAGGATGCCGCCGCGGATGCCGATCTATCGACGAGACAATCGCCGAGGAGACGCACGAGGACGCGGGAACTGTGAGCTTCCATTTTGCATGATTTTGGCGTTGATACATATGAGATACCCATGAATGAGACTTTGGTAGCGTTGAGTTTACGTAGGCGAATCTGACATTGAGGCTTGACTCGTTATTGATGGCAGCTGGTGCATGATGCAGACGGAAATGAGCAGCGCCTCCCCGCGTGTCGTGACAATGATGGACTTGCTCGAAGTGTGCCTCATCTCCGAATGAAGATCATATCACACGCCGCTCAATTCTGTTAAGAAAGACACGTAATCATGGTGGTGACGCTAACAGACCCCACGTCCGTCCGGCGACCTCGGTGTTCCCCAGAAACGCACTGGCAGGTGAACCGAGGCTAAACGCGGCGCAGCCGAGAACGTCGAATCCACTTCTTCAACGTCCGCCAGCATCGTCAAGCTGCTGCAGCTCCACCGGCTCGACCACGCACGCCTGTCTGTCTTTGCCCATGACCATGGCGCGCTGTTGCTTGTGAATGTGTCTCGCTCGGGTACGACCATTGTCTGGACACTTTTGCGCTTCCATGATATTTCTTAATCACCTACCAATTGGCCTCGCTTCCTTCCACACCGACCGGCACGCACCATGTCTCTCAACGGCCCCTTTGCTACGTTGACCTCGGGCGGCGACCCGTCGAAACCATTCTCCAGCGGCCTCCTCTCATCCTCTGTATCGTCCATCTCCTCAACTTCGGCCCGACACACCTCTCACATCTCCAAAACCTACCGACAAGCCTCCACGCTCTTCCTGACGCGTCGGCTGCCCGAGGCCCTGTCTACTCTCCTCCCGCTCATCACACCGCCTGAACCGGCGGCCGAACATGGCGAGCCGGCACCTGTCGCACAAGCGTCACGCACAACGCGCATCAAGATATGGAGCCTGTATCTGACCATCCTCAATGCGATTGTGGAGCTGGAGCCGGAGGAAGGAAAAGATGCATTCGGCGGGCAGGAGTGGAGGGCTCTGAGCAACAAGGCGCGCGATGGCGAAGTCTGGGAAGAGGTTGTCAGGAACGGATACCATGGGGTTGAAGGGGATGTGGATGCAGACGTGGTCATCAATCTGTGAGCTGGATCAATGCCTCTGTGAAGCTGACAGCGACTAACAGCAATAGGGCGACACTACTCCTAGCCCATGCGCGAGATCAGATCCTGAACCAGAAACGCTTGGAGGCCTACCTCGCGTCGTCTACACAACCAAATCTGGACGTCAACTCGCGGCTCATGTCCCCATCGCCCGCGCGCTCCCATTCGCGCTTCCGATCCCCAGCCAAGCGAGCCAGCGGCGCCAGTACACCCCGCGACCTGAATGCCAGAGTCAAGATCCTCGAACTATACACACTCCACGTCCTGCTACGCAACGATGAATGGGACTACGCGCGCGAGTTCATCACCATGAGCGTCGTGCTCGACGAAGAGCGGAGAGAAGCCTTCCTCCAAGCGCTCCAGAGTCTGCGAGAAGACCAAGAGGCCCAAGAAAAGCAGGAGCGGGAGGAGAGGCAACGGCAAGAAGAGCAGCTGCAGCGAGAGATTGAGGAGGCGAGGCGACAGCGAGAAAGGGTCGAGGCGAGAGAGAAAGGGCGGTTAGAAGAAGAGAGGGCGAAACGAGCAGCCAGCGAGACGGACTATGGTGTCGAGGACACGCCTAGTATAGCGTCGTCGAGCAGAGCGCGCCCAAACCGGTCGACGTCGGAGGCTGCGTCAAAATCGGCGCGGCCTCCTCGGTCCTCCATGGCCAAGTCGAATGGCAAGGCCGTGGCTCCTCTCACTATCACGGCGCGGGCGAGCATGGTCATTGGCCGGTTGCAAAGCATCATCGCACAGCTAGGGGCGTCCCTGAACAGCAACCCGACGCTGGTGATGAGACTTCTCATCTTCATCATGAGCATGCTCATCATGTTCGGCAACAGAGCCGTCCGGCAAAGGGTGCAGAGGGTGCTCGGTGCCTCGTGGGCCAAGGTGCTGGCGACAGCCGGCATGGGGACCAAGGTCAGCTACATATAAGCTGAACCTGTGTATTCACGTCTTTTTTGTTTTCATTTGTCGTTTTTCTGGCATTGGAGTCTTGCGAGTATTGAGTATCACGCTATCACGACTGAAAATACACATTGTAGGTGTAATAATCACTTTGGATATCTCCCAACTGCTGTAGTCTACAAAGAATAGTAGGCCCTCAATATCATCCTGTGTAAACGCCAACGACGCCTTGTGTGTATGTGCCAGAGTATCTTTGGATCAACAACGTGAGGCACATCGCTGTCGCGCCCCACGAAGCTTGATCAACATGAAGTGATAGCCCAACCCAGGCCACCTCGGTGTTAATAATTCGCATTTCGGTTCGTTTTTTTCTGATAGAACAACTGTTGCCATTGTTAGCACCCTGTACAGCGTCGGCACGTGGCGAACGGAAACTCACGTCTGTTCTTGAACTGCCCAGATTTATAATCTTGGGGCACCCATCTCTGTCCTTCTCCAGTCGCGTGCATTCAAAGCAGTAGAACGCGTCCGAGATACCCTCTCCGCCGCAGACGACGCACTTGTTCTGGTAGTTGCCGAAGCTGCACTCGTCGCAGATGCGGGCGAGGGTCGTCGGTCGGACGTAGGAGTCGCAGACGGGGCATTTGCCGTCGCACTTGTCGCAGAGGCGGCCGATGGCGATGCCGGCCTGCTTGCGGCACATGACGAGATCGCTGCAGCGTGTTAGAATCGGGTAGTCTATTGTGGGAGGCTGGGAACGTACGGATGATGGCGAGACATGACGACAAGGGACTGTGAAGTGAGGTTGTCGAGGTTAAGAGTGGTGGCGCGGGCTGTTGACGTTGGTCGACTTTTCCAAGGCACGTACGTCCCAGGTCCCTTGGCTTGTGATTCGATTGATTTCTCAGCCTTGTGCTTGGCGGGCTGGCAGTCCGCGCCAGTGGTGGGGCCGAGGTCCGGGGGCCAATGAGGATGCTGTGAGTGCCAGGGACACTTGCAGCCTGACTGAAGTTGAGGGACCAAAGTTCAATAACTTCAATGTCGAGAACCTAATTAATTACACAAGCACAACCTGTAGGACGTGCTGTTCATGTTGCGTGCATGGTATCATCGAAATTCGCCTTGCCTACCGTGAAAACTGGCTAGTAGAGAATCATAGTCTGCCAAGAAGCACAACTAGACCAGTGACCTCTGGTAACCGTGGTTGCCAGTGGTTGGTCTTCCTTTTCATTACATGAAAGTTCACCCCTCGTATGGAAACGGCCGCATTGAATCCATGGGCCCGCACGAATAGACAAATTCACCGACTTATTGACATGCACTGAGGTGGACGTTGCGCTGGCGGATGCGACCCTGGGCCCATCAGAACATCCAAGTACCTCGGTCTGCGTGGATCCCCACCCTCACATCATCGCGACACGATGGGGGGCTGACGCAAATGCCGGAACGAAAGGAATAGTTTAAATAGTCTCAGGCTTCTTTTAACTTTATCTCAATCCTTGTGGTTCATTTCTACAATTGACTCAAACTCACATTGCTTGGCAAGTCCGCGCCGCCGCGCTTCCCAAGCAAGTGACACTGACCGCGAAGCAGTACTTCGTCACACCACACACGAAGCATGACGGAGAAGCTCGTGCCCAATGACCCGAGGGTCAAGTACGAGTCTACCTCTATCCGGGGCTACAAGTACGCCTACATTCGCGGTGAGCCGACGACAGATGCTGCTCCCAAGGGAACCATCGTCCTTGTCCATGGCTTTCCGGATTTGTCCTTTGGCTGGCGCCACCAGATCCCCTTTCTCATGTCTCGAGGCTATCGGGTGATTGTGCCCGACATGCTTGGCTACGGACGATCTGATGCGCCCGCGGATCTAGAGGAGTACACGTTCAAGAAGCTGTCTGGGGACATCAACGAGCTGGCACGCAAGTTTGTGGGGCCAGATGGCCAGATCATCCTGGGAGGACACGACTGGGGAGGCGCGGTCGTCTGGAGGGCTGCCATGTGGTACCCCGAACTCGTCAAGGCTGTGTTCAGCGTGTGCACACCGTACCACCACCCGACGCAGGGCGAGTTCCATTCCCTCCAGACCATCATTGACGCTGGACGGATGCAAAACTTTGCGTATCAGCTTCAGTTCATGGGCACCGAGGTCGAGGAGCGCTGCCAGGGCAGGGAGAAAGTCAAGCAATTCCTCAACAGCATGCACGGCGGGTTTGGTCCCCAGCGCGAGGTTGGCTTCCGTACCGAACAAGGTATCATCTTTGAGAACATCTCCAAGCTGAATAAGAGCGCTCTGCTATCGGAGGAGGAGCTTGGTCACTACGCAGACCAGTACTGCCTACACCCTGCACCTGAGCTGCATGGGCCCCTCAACTACTACCGGACACGGAAGCCTAACTACGATGACGATCGGGTCTTGGCGGAGAAGGGTGTCAAGATTGAGATGCCTGCGCTGTTCATCACTGCCTTGAGAGATACCGCGCTACCGCCACGCATGTCCGAGGGCATGGAGCAGTACTGCCCGCAGCTCACGAGGGGTGAGGTGGACGCCTCGCACTGGGCGCTCACTCAGACCGGCGACGATGTGAACAGACAGATAGGGGACTGGCTCAGTAAGCTAGAGTCGGTCAAGTCTTCTTTGTAGTGAGAATGCAAATGATTGAAGAGGACGTGGAAACATGAATGCTTGAAGCAGGGGTCTGCGCTAGTGGCTGGTGCTGTGGCGCATGGTTTACTTGCGCATCCGCACATGCTTGCCCTCAAGTCGAATACGAGCTTGGTATTACGAGGGGCCAAGGTGCATTTGTGGTGATGATACGGATATACGGACAATAATACCTTACGTGACATATTCGCATTAACTTGGAGTAGGTAATAGCCGGTAGCAGACTGTGCAGTCAGAAACAAGATCCAACGTGGGTGCTCTGTGCGACTGAAGGCTGCGCTGCAGGTCCCTCCTGTCAAACTTGTGGCTCCAGTCCAGTCCAGTCCAGTCCAGTCCGCCGTGCTGACGACTGACGTTCTGACAGCTACCACCCAGCCCGTCCGTCACCACCTGCAATATCTCCCCATCCATACTTCCATCACCCTCTCGCCGTATTGACACAATTGTCGCGGAACTCGTCGTGAACAGGGAAATACGACAGACATCCCAGGCAGCCCATTAGCCAGCGATTTTAGGCATTCTTCAGCCCTCAACACCTGTGCTGTGCTAGTAGGCCCTGCCTCGCTACGGGCCGAAGCTTCGCGTCGAAAGGAGGCTGAGCATTTGGACGAGAGGTGGCACAACCTGAAACCGCAAATTGCCCATCAAAGTTCTCTCCCGGACGAGCACAAACATCACGACAACTCGATCGACAGTCTCACGACCAAACCAACGCGTCGCCCGCTTTTCAATCCTGCATGGGTCCGTCCCAGGTGTATCGAACCCGCTGCTTCACCTTGCTAGCCCATCGGCATGGCTGGACGTCAGCCCGGTGGCTACAATAGCAGCCCGTATAATAACAATAATCGCGATGACCTGCTGTTGGATATCGACAATGACCAGCCCGTGTACAACGACGGCCAGCGGCCACCCATCAACGACGACGACATGATGCGCAACTACGAGATCGACCAGGATCCCAGTCGCCCGTCAGTGTCCTATGACGACTTTGTCGGCGCAGACTCGAGTCCCTACCGTGGACAACAGCAGCAACAACAGCCTGGTGCTAGCTTGCGACCGTCGCCGAATCTGAACCGCCAATTCAGCCAGTCCTCGGAGCTGGACAACTACCAGCGCTACGCCGATGATTTCGACGACGAGACCTCAGACGCTGACGGCTACTACCACCAAGGAGGCGCGATGGTCGGGGACGGCTCGACCGCCAGGAACAATGCGCGGAATAGGAACAGCGTCTCGACCATGGGCGGAGGCTTGTTCGGGCGCATGAAGAACAGGCTGGGCATGGGACAAGGTTACTCAGAGATGGATCTTCCCCTCACAGAGCCTGGACAAGAGCGGGCAGGCACAGCAGACACACAATCGCAAGCGCAGCAAAAGAAGAAGTTCGACCTGGGCAACTTCAAGTTTGGCTTTGGGCGCGGCAAGCCTGATCCATCTACGCTCGGCCCTCGAACCATCCACCTCAACAACCCTCCCGCGAATGCCGCGAACAAGTTTGTCGACAACCACATCTCGACGGCGAAATACAACACGTTCACCTTCCTGCCAAAGTTCCTCTTTGAGCAATTCTCCAAGTTCGCCAACGTTTTCTTCTTGTTCACCGCGTTACTACAACAGATCCCTGGTCTGTCGCCTACGAACCCCTACACGACAATCGCGCCTTTGGCCGTCGTGTTGGCTATATCGGCAGGCAAAGAAATGGTGGAGGACTACCGAAGGAAACAGGCAGATAATGCCCTCAACACATCAAAAGCTCTAGTCCTTCGAGGATCTAGCTTCGCCGAGGAGAAATGGATCAACGTGGCGGTGGGGGATATCATCAGGGTGGAGTCAGAAAGCCCATTCCCGGCCGACCTGGTCCTTCTCGCGAGCTCTGAGCCGGAAGGTCTCTGTTATATCGAAACAGCAAATCTCGACGGCGAAACGAATTTGAAGATCAAGCAAGCGTTGCCAGAGACCTCGACCATGGTGTCTCCGAGCGAGCTGAGCCGGCTTGGTGGGAGGGTCAAATCTGAGCAGCCCAATAGCAGTCTGTACACGTTCGAGGCGACCTTGACGATGCAGACTGGAGGTGGCGAGAAAGAGCTTCCTCTGAATCCCGAGCAGCTCCTCCTGCGCGGTGCCACGCTGCGAAATACACCATGGGTTCACGGCATGGTGGTGTTTACGGGTCACGAGACCAAGCTGATGCGCAACGCCACGGCGACACCTATCAAGCGTACCAAGGTTGAGCGCAAGCTAAACACGTTGGTCTTGCTTTTGGTGGCCGTGCTTCTTGTCCTCAGCATCATCAGCACCATAGGAGACCTGATCATGCGGAGCGTCAACAGCGGCTCGCTCGAGTACCTGGACCTTGAGGCGATTAACGGCGCCGGGCCGGTCGCTCGACAGTTCGCCAAGGACATGGTCACGTATTGGGTGTTGTACTCGTCTTTGGTCCCCATCTCACTCTTTGTCACTGTGGAGCTGGTCAAGTACTGGCATGGTGTTCTCATCAATGACGACCTTGACATTTACTACGACAAGACCGATACTCCCGCGACGTGCCGCACGTCGAGTCTAGTCGAGGAGCTGGGCATGGTGGAGTACGTCTTTTCCGACAAGACCGGCACCTTGACCTGCAACATGATGGAGTACAAGCAATGCTCGATTGGAGGTATTCAGTATGCAGACGACGTGCCTGAAGACCGCAGGGCCACCGACAATGACCCACCGGAGATGGGCATCTATGTGTTCGACAAGATGCGAAGAAACTACGAAGAGGGACATCCCACCGGGGAACTCATCGACCATTTCCTCTCGCTACTTGCGACCTGCCATACGGTCATTCCCGAGATGAACGAAAAGGGCGCGGTCAAATACCAGGCGGCGTCGCCAGACGAGGGTGCGTTGGTCGAGGGAGCTGCTAAGTTCGGCTACAAATTCGTCGCTCGCAAGCCCAAAGCCGTCATCATTGAAGCTCATGGTCGGGAGCTCGAGTACGAGCTGTTGGCCGTTTGCGAGTTCAACTCGACGCGTAAGCGCATGTCAACAATCTACCGCTGCCCCGATGGCAAGATTCGCTGCTACTGCAAGGGTGCCGATACCGTCATTCTCGAGCGCTTGAATGATCAGAACCCCCACGTGGAAGCAACCCTGCGTCATCTCGAAGAGTACGCTACGGAGGGTCTGCGCACTCTCTGTCTGGCGGTTCGCGAGATCCCCGAGCAGGAATTCGAGGAATGGTACCGCCTGTTCGATGCCGCGGCGACAACAGTGGGCGGGAATCGTGCCGAGGAGCTTGACAAGGCAGCCGAGATCATTGAGCGTGACTTCTTCCTCCTCGGTGCCACCGCGATTGAGGATCGTTTGCAGGATGGCGTCCCCGAGACGATCCACACTCTGCAGCAGGCCAACATCAAGGTCTGGGTCCTCACGGGCGATCGTCAAGAGACGGCCATCAACATTGGCATGAGTTGCAAGCTCCTTAGTGAGGACATGATGCTTCTCATCGTCAACGAAGAATCAGCCGCGGCCACGAGGGATAACATTCACAAGAAGCTCGACGCCATCCGGACACAGGGGGATGGGACCATTGAGAGCGAGACGCTGGCACTGATTATTGATGGCAAATCCCTTACCTACGCCCTGGAGAAGGATCTCGAGAAGCAATTCCTGGATCTCGCCGTCATGTGCAAGGCCGTCATTTGCTGCCGTGTCTCACCGCTGCAAAAGGCCTTGGTCGTCAAGCTGGTCAAGAAATACAAGAAGGAGGCGATATCCCTCGCTATTGGCGATGGCGCGAACGATGTTTCCATGATCCAGGCTGCCCACATTGGTGTTGGTATCAGTGGTGTCGAGGGTCTTCAGGCCGCGCGCAGTGCCGACGTTGCCATCGCGCAGTTCCGCTTCCTTCGCAAGCTCCTACTCGTCCATGGTGCATGGAGCTACCAGCGTGTCAGCAAAACGATCCTGTTCTCCTTCTACAAGAATATTGCCCTGTACATGACGCAATTCTGGGTACGTAGTATCTTTCCCTGGCTTGACATTGTCATTAACACCCTTTAGTATACATTCCAGAATGTGTTCTCCGGTCAGATCATCTTCGAGTCTTGGCTGCTGTCCATCTACAATGTCCTGTTCACGGTCTTGCCACCGCTGGCGCTAGGCATCCTAGACCAGTTCATCTCAGCCCGACTTCTGGATCGCTACCCGCAACTCTACATGTCGGGTCAGAAGAACGAGTTCTTCAGCCTCAAGGTGTCCTGCGAATGGGGTATCAATGCCATCTACCACTCCATTGTGCTGTACATCTTCTGCCAGTTGTTCTGGTACGGCGATCTCATCATGGGCGACGGCAAGATCGCCGGTCATTGGGTCTGGGGCACTGCCATGTACAACGTCTGTCTCTTTACAGTCCTTGGCAAGGCGGCCCTGGTCACCAGTAACTGGACAAAGTACCATGTGATGGCCATCCCCGGCAGTATGCTCATATGGTGGGTATTCGTCGTGGCTTTTGCATACGTTGCGCCCATGGTCAACGTGTCGAACGAGCTGTACGGTATCATCCCCCACCTGTACTCGAGCCCCGTCTTCTGGCTCCAGACCTTTGTGCTCGCGGTGCTGTGTCTTCTGCGAGACTTTACGTGGAAATATGTCAAGAGGATGTACTTCCCAAAGACGTACCACCACATCCAGGAAATCCAAAAGTACAACATTCAGGATTACAGGCCAAGGTAAGGACGTGTCCTGCATTTGAAAAACTCTAGGAAATGACTAACGCGACTCCCAGAATGGAACAATTCCAAAAGGCCATCCGCAAAGTCCGTCAAGTCCAGCGCATGCGCAAGCAGCGCGGCTATGCCTTCTCGCAGGCCGATGAAAGTCAGACGCGCGTGCTTCAGGCATACGACACGACGAAACACCGTGGCCGCTACGGTGAGATGGCGAGTTCACGGCCAGGAGGACGGTAGCAATCGTCCACGTGACGTGTCTCGTGTTTTGCTATTTCTGGAGTACTGCACGGACTAAAGATGAAAATAAAAGGGCAAGGCAAGATTTACGGCGGGGGTTCAGGTCAGTACAGGGCAAGGAGTTGAAACCAATCATCATCTACGACACGACACGTTCTTCGATTCTCTAGAGCCCCGCCGACGGGGCCTATTGTGTGATTACTATAAGGAAGCGCAAGGGACGGGTGGTGTTTATGTTGGTTCGTCTAGCGAAAGGAAACCGAGGCATGTTTCCATCAAGGCTTCATCAATGGAGAGACTCGATTTAGAAGGTCAGATCCTCCGATTCAACGGTCGCCCACAATGGTGCCCGCTGTACATGTACGGTAGTGTAGGACCCATTGCAAATGTCAGCAGAATCAATCGCAATGACCGTCATCAACCAAAGGTCGTCTCGCAAGCTAATGTCATCCCCCGATAAGGAGGCGTCAACAGACTCGGCGTGTGTGGCATTCGCCGACACCTGCGCTCGGGCAAATGTGCTCTTGGCCGAAGTCGGACACCACCAAAGGATCCAACGTTGACCACCAGATCCCCACCGAATAGGCAACCTGATGTCCGACGTTATGTCAATCTTGTGGATCTATGACCAACGCCAATGCCTGTTCTGGATCGTGCCTGGTGTCAAGGGCGTCGATACAGCGGCAGGCTTCATATCTGTTATCACATCTTGCCACTGTTGGTAGCGGCTTAGCGATAGGTGGCCGATTGCCAGCGATAGGCATGGATGATACATACGCGAGGCTCGTATTCGAGCCCAGCTAGGGGGATGGATGGACTTTAGTATATCAAGGAGAGCAACGAGACCACAGATTGACCATCGCTCCTCTTCTGTCATCTCAAAAATAATCATCATGTCTTCTACGACCACGCAGACAGAAACCCAGATCAGAACACTCAATGTGGACCACACCTGGGCCGACCCTGATGCGCTACGAGGCCGCTTCGCCGCGGCCATGTCCGCCATGTATCGCGAAGAGGTTCCTCTGTATGGGGACTTGATGGGTCTCGTAAGAGACGTCAATGATGAAGCTCTCAATCGAGGGACCAGCCAGACCAACACAAGATCGAGTCCAGAGTCACTGGCGGCCGAGCGTCATGGCGCGATCCGGCTGGGTACTCCATTCGAACTGCAGACTGTTCGAAGGATATTCTCCGTGCTGGGCATGTATCCTGTCGGATACTATGATCTTTCCGTCGCGGGCCTGCCCATGCACGCAACATGCTTCCGTCCAACGCAGGTCCAGAGCCTAGATGTCAACCCCTTTCGCGTCTTCACGACACTCCTCCGTCCCGACCTCATACAGCGCGACGAGGCGAGGACTTTGGCGTGGAAAATGCTCCAGAATCGAAAGATCTTCACGGACGCCCTGCTCGCGTTGCTAGACGTTGCCGATGCACAGCAGGGACGACTCGACGAGGACCAGGCAGCCGTCTTTATTCCGCAAGCTTTGCAGACATTCAGCTGGCAGCATCTCGCGGCGTCAACGTACAAAGAGTACCAGATACTGCGGGCGGAACACCCAATCCTCGCGGACATTGCGTGCTTCAGGACCGCTCACATCAACCATCTCACACCCCGAACACTGGACATTTCCGCCATGCAGATCGCCATGAAGGAGGCAGGAATGAACGTCAAGTCACGCATTGAAGGACCACCTGCCCGGAAATGCCCCATCCTCCTGCGCCAGACGAGTTTCCTGGCTCTCGAAGAAAGTGTGCAGTTCCTCAAGGACGGGAACGCCAGAGACTCGCCCTCGCCCGACGAGAGCGAGCTCATCCAGGCCACGCACAAGGCTCGCTTTGGCGAGACTGAGGAACGTGGTGCGGCGGTGACGGCCAAGGGGCGACAGTTGTACGACAAGTTGCTGAGTGAGAGCATGAGCAGGACAGTCGGACTTTCTGTGCAGGCAGCGGACGCGGTGTCACGAGAGATATTCAGGAGATTCCCGGACGACTGGTCAGAGTTGAGGCAGCAGGGGCTCATCTACTGCGAGTTCAGTCTAGCCAGGAAACCTGCAGAGACCCCGGTGTCAAAAAGGGATGAGAAGATGTCGCTGCTGGAGCAGCTCATAGACGACGGGATCGTGACGTTCAGACCCATCACGTACGAGGACTTTCTGCCCTTTTCGGCGGCCGGTATCTTCCAGTCCAATCTGCAGTCGCAAAAGGGGCTGGACCTCAAGCCACCCGTGTCAGACTTTGAGGGTCTGGTGAAGGCATTGGGGGTGAAACCTATGGACATGGAGGACTGGTATGCGCAGGCGCAGAGACAGAGTCTGGAGCTTGTTGGGCGAGAGCTGGGATTTGGCGAGCAGGAGTGGTGGTCGTAACTTTTGGAGCTACAACAGCCTACATGGTGTCGGCAGATATTTAATTACCCTTGAAAACGAAGGGATTGCAAGTAATACGGAGGAGTGGTGATGATATTAGATTGATGATGGGAGGGAATAATCAACGAGGGCGCTTGAACGCCCTGAAAGCCAGCGGCTTTCCCCGAGCCTCAGGCAGTTTGGGGACGAGGACTGGGGCTGGAGCTTGCTTGGCCCAATCAGCGGGCAAATTCGGTATCTCACTATCGCACCCGCTAAACGCTTTGAAGCGGCTGCCGACTTCGGGTATCACAATTTACAGCCTTGCGGATTGTCCCGATTCATGGTATCCATCTTGTAGATCCGTGACAATAATAACCATTAGATCTTTGTGATAACAAAGTCCGTTTCATGAAAAGAGCGCCAGATGGTCGACAATCCCTGCGTTGCTGACCCCATACAGTCATGGACTCGGAGACATGGACCACCTGCCAAAACATGAAGACCTCATGCCGTCCGAGATCGAGGCACGCAGTGAGAAGCGTGGCTCCTCGCCAGGCTCACGGCTGGGGAAGCTGCCAAAAGCCAAGTCAACTGCGTAAGCTGGCCTTCGCGTCCAAATCCTGCAATGATCAACTAACTGGGTCGAATGAACAAACAGATGCCGGCTATGTCATGCACGAAAAGTGAAATGCACTGGAGGCCATCCGTGCGAGACATGCCGTCAAATAGGCAAGGCCGATGAATGCACCTTCCCCCAGCGTTCACGCCTCGTCAAGGTGACTCAAAGGTGAGGACTCTCATCAAGTACCTCGCACTGAAATGGAACACGCATCTCACCACCGCCAACAGTTACATCGACAAGATCCTCGAGGAAAACAAAAGGCTGAAGCACCAGCTCACGCCTCCAGAGACAGGCGGTACCCTCGGCGCCACAGAAGATGACAATGACCAACCGCCCAGCACAATTGCTGGCCAACAGAGCCTGGAGACGGTCGTCGACCCAGCGAGGACAGACACCATGGATGTGCGCCCGTGGTTCATCAACACCAGCGTCACGGACACGCCCATCTTGATGGCCGCGGTGGCCGATGCTGCCTTTGCAACGCGCTTTCGGCAGGTCATCTCCGACGCTCAGATGCCTCAGTACAAGCACCTTCCACGCGTCAACTACGCCCCAGATCGCCAGCTCATAGCGCTGGGTGATGCTGACATCAAGTGGCCTGGTCCTTCACGCAGCCGCTTTCTCGTCGATGTCGCACTTAAACCCCTGAGTCGTTCCTATCACATTGTCCGTCGTAGCATCGTCCTGGACAACGTCGAGAGGAGCATCCAAGACCCGTCCTGGGGCGACTCCTTCCAGAGGGGCAAGCTGTGGGCGCTGTTTGCCGTTGGCGAGCTCTACTCAGCGAGGTCGGCCTCCGACAAGGTCTTTCCAGGTATGGCATACTTTGCAAAAGCCCTCCGGGTCATAGGCCGCTCCCACGAACGGCCCAACGTGGAGGCAATCGAGACTCGCCTCATCTTGGCCTTCTTTTCGCTTGCCCTGAATCGCCGGTACAGCGCCTACTGGATCTCGGGCACCTCTATGCGCATGGCCATCGTCATAGGTCTGCATCTACACATTCCGCCCTCGCAGATAGGAGACGCAGCCGTCTGCGAGCACAGGAAGCGAGTGTTCTGGTCCGCTTATATCATTGACAGGATGTGGGCGTCCATGCTTGGCCACCCTCCTGCAGTGCAGGATGAGGATATCGACGTTGGACTCCCGTCGGATGTCGTCGTTGCCCCGGAACTCGCCGGTGACTTTGCCGACGCTGCGTACTACATCGCCAGTCTGCGGCTTGCAAGCGTTGTCACGAGAACCATCCGGTCGATCTACGGGAGGAGGAATACCGGCAAGACATTCACCGCCAGGGTGCAGCAGGCTCTGACTGATCTGCGTGTCTGGGTAGAGGAGCTACCCAGTCACCTTCATGTTGACGCTCAGGGGTTTGCGGATTCCGTCCCCAAGCCAGTTTCTCTCCATCTATCATTCAACCAGGTGAGCATGACAATCTGTTTGCAACCTGCTCGGCGGACCAGCTGCTAACCTTGTCCCAGTGCGCCATATTGACAACGCGGCCTGTCCTGCTTCACGTACTCCGCACGCACATCGAATCATCGTCTGCTTCCGCCGCAAGCGACGCTCGACTGCCCGCCAGTGCCGTCACCTTGGCTGAGACGTGCATCCGCTGCGCGCGGCATTCCATTCGCCTCCTCACCGAAGCATGGGTTGACGGCACCTTTGCCACCTTTGACTTCTTCTACACGCAGTACCTCTTCTCGGCGCTCCTCGTTCTCGCCGTCTCCAGCCTGCTGGGCACAAAGGAAAGTGCCTGCGATCGGGATGCCTTTGAGGACGCAGCTCGCTTCCTGGAGCAGCTCAAGGAGGCAGGCAACTTTGCAGCGCACGAGTTTTGGCATCACGTGGACGCGACCAAGGCCGTGCTCGATGCCATGCACAACAAGCGCAGCGCAAAGGAGACAGGCCACTCCCTCTCTCAGACGGTAGGGGCAGACATCGGCGAAGGGGCTACTAGTCAGGCCAGCATGGCACCAGCGCCCTACTTTGCTTCCGAGGCCGCGCCCACAACGGCCGGCATGGCATTAACCGAGCCCTCGTTGCAGCAGCTCCTCGCTCAGCCGTCGCTGGATCTGCAGTTCCTGGAGGGGTCTGTGTATGATCAGTACTCGCAGGGGCTGTATTGGCCTGATCTGACGTCCGACTGCTGGGCATCGGACGGGTGGCCTACGTCGTAATCAGCCACAACTGGCAACGCAAGCAAGCAAGCTGCACACGCACCCGTCTGCTTATCTTGCTTCTTCATGCAAGTGACACCTGCCAACGTCGCGTGCGACGCCGGCCGGCGAAACACCCCGCTCTCGCTCGGGTTACCCCAAAGTAGCAGGAACCTGACACTGACCTCATCGCCCCCATGATAAGCCGGGGGACTGGAGCCCACGATGCTGGATTGCAACGACGACGACGCATCTGCCAAGGACCGACAAGTGCTAGATAAGCCACGGCTACGCAGTTCCGCTCACATGACCACCCCTGTAAACGGTCGCTGCCAAGCTTTGTGGAAGAAGGGTGGGAAGCACAAAACGTGGGGAAGATGGGGTGTGATCGGCTCGCGCAGTTGCGCTAGGAGAGAAGAAGCAACAGCCCACGGCGGATCACGGACATGACCAACGAAACTGTTGCACAACATTCAGCTGGCCTCATCATTCCGAACAATCAATTTGGATTGTTTAGGAAGGGATCGACAAGTTGCTGCAGGTAATTATGGTGATAGATTGCCTGATTTCCCCAACATATTGCCATCCACCCATCCATCTATTGCCTGAATCTCGTGTTCTATGTATACTGCTACATGTGTGATGCAAATGCAAGTGCTAATGATAATGATATTTGTGTCTCTCTCCGGCCTGTGGTATCCGCCGCGCTATTCATGAATGCCGTGAATCGTATGTATGAGTTTCTGAATTTTGGAAATGCCAACAAGGTATTATATGGGGGAAGCCTGTGTGGACTGCCCTGGATGAATTTGTGGAAACAGGTTGAGACACGCCGACACGTCCTGTGGTGTCATGAGATGCCTGAATGATGATGCAGAGAAACGCCGCCCCAATGAGATGAAATTCGAGAACTTTTGGAAAACGCCCGGAGTGGAGTCTGTGGTGTGATATGGGTGTCGGTGAGAGTGAGGGTGCCATCATGATCACCTTGAGCCTTGAATGGAGGGCTGGCATGTCGTGAGTGCAACCCCGCAAAAAGCCACCAGCAGGGGAGAGAGCACCCCCACGTGCAGGACAGCCAAGAAAGGCCTCCTGGTAGGTGCTCGCTCACCTATAGTGACAGCCACACCTTTTTCACCGCCCACTCAGAGGGGTGAGAAGGTCGATGCTCTTGGTTCGTGAGTGGGAGGCGGGCATCCGACTCGGAAGGGGGCGATCCATGGCGCCCAAGCCGTAGTAGCCATTGAAGCCGCCATCGTATGTTGACGAGAGGTAGGTCGCCGAGGGCCGCGTATAACTGTTGCTGGGGCTCGTGGCGGCGCTCCGTCCTGAGAAGGGCCAGAATTGCCCAGAGCTGCTTTCTGTAGGACTGGGCGGGCTTGGAGGTCGTGTGTTGAGGTTGAGCGATCGCAGGGCGGAGATGGCAGACGAGTGATAAGCCGATGTGCCAGGTGTCGCAGGGGGTGATGCGGAAAGGTAGAGCGAGGTTGGGCGCGATGGCGAAGCCTGAGGTACAATGTCCCTGGGTTTCAGATCCGGAGACATGTCCAAGTATCGAGGGTAGTTGTTGTCCACGGAGAAGGATCGAGGCATGGCGGACGACGATGAGATACCGGCCGACTGATCCTGAAGGCGGCACGTCTCCGAGCAGTAGACGCCAGTGCCATCATGGGGCGTGAACTGCTTCTCGCAGGTCATGCAGAATTGTGGAAAGCTCTCTCTTTCCCCGTCCCAAGAGTCTTGCACCTCCCGTTCACGTTCCCGTTGACTTCGTCCTAGTTTGTGGGCGCTGACTGGAGTATGTTTGCGCGACATGGCTGGCCGTCGTGGTTTGGACATGTCGGATACAGTGACCTGTTTGCGCACGTCTGTTGCAGAGGCGGTTGTGGACAGATGCCCTGACCTCCGTCGTTGGTGAGGCATGTTGTGATAATGTGTGTGTATATGTGGGATGGTCGCGAGGGCGAGATCAAAGTGGGCTTGCCAGCCTTATCAAGCCATGTGCGTCCAGGCAGCTGATATGGCGATATCAGTCAGGCAGTGAGTCGCACTGATACGGAGACCGAAACCGGCGCCGACAGTGTCAGGTTGCGGGCGCTACTGGTGGAGGGGTGGAATTCCGATCCGGCAATGGGTCCAGTGTGTGGGCGTGGCCTGAATGTGACTTTAAAATCTCCAGGAAGCGTGGTAGGACCAGTGGACGGTTGACCGAGTTGGTGACTGAGAGAAGAATGCAAGTCGAGCCAAAGCGAGGGTGACTGATGAAAGCGGAAGTTGGAGTGGTGACGGTGCCTTTGGTTGAAAGTCGGTGGGAGGGCACTGCCTATTATTGGCAAATGTAGTGCCGCCGGGGACCGAGGATTCCTGTGACTTTGTCCTTGGATCGACAGGGACTGGAAATCGAGAGTTGGCGTACGTAATTAATGCACGATCGAGCCTCCTAGGGGCGTCCCAGACTCCCAGGGAAATAAGACAAAGGCGTGGGTCGGAGCAAGGCAACAGTAAAGGTTAATTGCTGCTGTGACGCTTCCGGATGTCCAGGGCCAGGGCAGCGTTCGAGCCGGGCGGGATGGCGTCAACGTCGATCTCGAGGTGTGCTTTATTTGGCGACAGTGAGTGGTACGTAGTCGCAAAGTATAAGGAGCGGAGCAGGCTTTTCGGTCCGTGAAGATGATGGAATAATGAGGCCGAGACCCTGTTTATGAAGACTGTGAATGCGAAAATTTTCTACCGAGATCGATTCTGTGACTCTGCCTGATTCCTGGACCGTGATCTGTGGTGAGCACGTCCACTGTAAGTTGATCCGTAGGCAGGCAACGTGTGACTCTTTTCGGTGTCGTGATTGACGGAGAGCAAGCGCGAGAGCGGGGACCCGTGGCCGTCGTCGCCAAGCTGGCAGCCCTGCGAGCCAATCGAGGATCCGGCGTCGAGGGCGTGGTTCACGATTGTGGGGTTCAAGAAGAAGGCTTCGAGAGTTTTAACCCTGGAAGACGCGACTGTTAGTTGGTGAGAGAATCATCTTTCATCAAGGCCAAGTGTCACTTGCCTTACAAGGTACTACTTATAGTCCAAGGCCCTGTTCTACGTACGTAACAACGGAAGGCACGATGAATGGTCATTGCGGCCGTGTCGCACGCAATCTGACCGTTCGAATCCCATGGACACCCATCGCTGTCACCATGCTGACTATCCATCGCGACTGCCCACAGACTGGGCTGGACCTGCCTGGATCCAGGGGGCTGTCCATTCCTTGCCCACTATTTCGAACAACCGTCAGGTACGTCCAGGCAGTACGCAGCCGGTGGATGGCCTTGTCCAGGTGTCCTCAAGGTGTACTGTCGGTGCCTGCAGGCAATCCAGTGACATGCAGCAGCGCCGATTGTGACCCTGAGGGTCCATGTCACTTGCAGCGTCCGGTGAGCATGTTTCGGCACGGATACCAGGACCATAATAATTGACAATCACAGTCATTCTCGCTACCATCCTCTTACAAGTTACTGCGCCAGACTGGCGCGAGAAAACGTCGGAAAGGTCCCTTTCTTACGTGCATGTTCAGAAACGCGCACACTGAATGCGCAATCGTTTCGGTGTATGGTACGTGGTGCGCTGTAGCGATGAGGCCCCACCCACTCCAGTGAGTCCGTGACTGCCGCCTGCCATGCTGGGTGTGGATCTTTCACACAGCCTCCAACAACCCTCCACCGCGACACGTCCGCCGCAGCAACGCAGTGTTTCAGGGACGCGTGATATGACCTTCACAATCGACTTGTTGCCGTTCGTACTGAGTACGTATAGGTGGCTTGCGTGTCGCGTGGATGGCCAACTTCGTGCCCTAAGCACTGGACCTTATGCGGGGCAGTTCTTTGCGGGCACGATCTATCACGAGACGTCGAGTCGCCATCGGACACGCCTGGTAGATTGTCGCCGGGCTTATCACGGCGTGGGGGTTGCTCATGATCATATGCCATGCCTCCGGACCGTGCTGTCGCGAGTTTACCCGCTTTAGCCGCCTCAGGTCAGGACGCAGAGCCCTCGGGACGACAGCCGCGATAACGTGATGCTCTAACGCCGAACCAACGGGCCCAAAGGGGGCCCCCTCTTTCGGCTTACCCCTTTCGGTCAGCACTACGGAGGACGCTTTCAAAAGACTTGTCCTCGGCTCAGGAGGCGCTAATCAAGGAAATACCAAAACTATTTCAGAGGTACTTTGTTCAATCACTGAAATCCCAAGAGAAATATGTAGCGTTTGTGTACCATTCGCTAACAAGTGATATTACTAGCGCCTTGGCAGGATATCACTTTTGAAAGCGTCCTCCATACATGCCGCCATGTCCACCGAACGAATGGCCCCCCTCTTGAAGATCTGAGACATGTTAGCTCGCCGAGAGCAACTTGCAAACGAGGGGCTCATGAGACAAACGACATCCAGTCCCGTCCATGGCTTCGTGGCATCATGCAATGGAGCCCAGGCTCCATCTCGCCATGCCCAAGAAATTCATCAGTGTATCTAGGAACCCTGATGAATACACCAGCCCGTCCATATTAGTGAACCAGCGATTCACGCCAGGCAGAGTCTTCAAATAGCCTGCTCGGCACAAGCAAAAGATCTTGCCACACTCGCACCACAGACGTCCCTGTGCCTGATCCATTGGCCTTTCGGTTGTCTTGTACCGGCATGGCACATTGCAGACGAGGCACGCAAGCGGGGAATAGGTGTGCACAGAAGCCATGTGTGTGGTCTTGTTGGACAAGTGCTACGTACAGGAAGAATGTCCGGGGGCCAACGGGCAGCATGCATTGGTCACAGATGCAAGGGAGTGCTTCTTCTTCTTGGGCCGGTATCACGCACAATGTTCCACGCACAGACTGCCGTGGAACGACGAAAGACGTCTCGATGCCTCCATGTGCTGTTCGCCAGCGTCTCCAGGTCAAGTTGCACTCTCGCTTCACCGTCTTTTCCAATATCGAGTCAGGGAGAGAATGCTACTCCACTAAGAACCCCATCTATTTGTCTAATGACCATGGCATGTCACTCGAGATTTCATTCATGTCAAGCCATGGCCTGATCTTGATTATTACCTCCTCGCTTAGCATGCGCGCCATGGCCCATGGGTGCTCTTGTGGATAGCTGCGGGCCGAAGCCGCCCTTGGCCACGGAGAATATTTTCTCTGGGCACGTTCGCTGATTGTGAGATTTGCATGGCGATCAAGTCAGAGGGTTGCAGTACCCTGTGTATCGATTACGGCGCCCGGTCGTCACAGGGTCACTCGTTTCTACAAAGGAGCAAGGCCCTCATGAGGACGACGATTGGTCGGGACATCATTCTTGATTTGCCTACCAGCTATCTCCATGTGATCTATCGATTGACTATCAAGTCCCGAGAAAGGCACCCCTGTTGAGGTTCTGCAGCCATTGAGCCAGCGGAAGTGCCATCAACTCCTCGAATTCGCTCAAGCTCATCTCCTTGATCCAGACGGCTCTGGGCGTGTCGTGCCCGCCTGGTGATACATCCGATCGACCTTCCATCGAGATGAAGTCGGCCCTCGCGCAGGCCTCGAGAGTGCTGTCCTGAAAATCCTCGGCCTCAGACTCGCCTTGTTGCAATGCGTGGGCCAGAGCTATCTGGTATTCGTCAGTGATCGACTCGGCGGGTTGGCCCGTCGCTCGCCACTGCTCGTTGAGACGATCCTGCATTTCCTGAGCTACCCTCCAAGAATACCACAGTGTCCTCACAGCACCCAGATGTCCCAGAAGCTCCACAAAGTTCATGTAGGCGTCGAGCCGGCCTTCAACTTCTACCCTGTTGCTCTTGCGCAGCATCAGATCATGGTACGCCTCGTAAATGGTCTTGCCATCCGCATTATAGCCCGTCGCGATTGTGAGCAGTGCTCTTCTGCTCGCCGGGGTCCGGACAATGTTGTTCTTGACAATGTGCGCATTCCACAGGCCGATGGCGGCGCCGACATCCTCTACCGCATCCCCGTGTGCCCAGACGACAGGGGGGATGCCTTTCGGGTACCTTTGGAGTTGCTGGCGAGCAAGGTCGAGCAGTCCCACGCCAGCCAACGCTCGTAGCCGGAGGCCATACTTGCACATGGCCATGGCAGGTTTGTCCGGGAAGCGGACGTGAAGGTTGTTGACAAAGGTCAAAACCTCATAGTGAAGTGCCAGATCGCCACAAGCGTCAAGAACACTGGCCACAGCATTGCGTAGCATGAGTGGGACATTGTGCATGTCATCTCGTTCCCCAGACGTAGGCAACATTGCATGGTCTCCTTCCGTTGCGACGTTGCCCTTCAGATTTGTAGTAAAAACGCCTGGGTCTGTGATCTGAAAAATCATACGCCGGATGTTGACGAGATTTCTCCTCTTCAAGCCCGTATGGTCGAGCATCTGGCTCTTCAAAGCCTTGCAGACTTCAAGCTTCTGCACTGCTTTCTTGTCCTTTCGCGCAAAGGCAATGTTGCTCTGATGCAACGACAGCCAGCGAAGGAAACGTTCATCGTCTCTGGTCGTATGCTCTGGCAGGCCGAGTCTATATCGTAGATCAACCATGTAGTCAGATGCTTTCCTAGGATCGCCCATGTTGATCAGCTGGCGAATTTCCTTGCTTCGAGCGTCTGCTTGAGTGACTTCAAGTCTGCTGCGTACAGCGGCCGCCGGTAGACCGTGATGCTGCAGGCACCGTTGTTGCGTCAAGCCTCGGACAATGAATCGACCATTTTCATCCTTCACCTTGGCGTCCTCATACACTCGCATGCCGAGTTCTCCGCCCGGCCCCCTGAGGGCGACCGACAACAGGTCATGGTTCATAACGCGCATCGGGTGTGTTGCTTGGTTGAGCAACTTCAGTGAGGCAGTTCTCGATAGCTCGACATGATGCTGCATAGATCGTATGGTCCGTCTGACGTCTCTGTGTCTCTGAGTGTCGGACCACGTCTGTGCCAGAGCTTGTTCATCTTCCTCACTATAATCTCTCACCCCACGCTGATCTAGAGCGTCAAGGTTCAGCAAGAGGCCAGAAATGTTGAACAAGTCAGCATCATCATGCTTCGGCGTAATGTTCTTCTCTCGTCCATTGTTGAGGACATAGTACACCCCGCCATTTGGGTTCCTCCGACGAAGGAACATTTTGTTTTTTCCACTCTGGATCTCTCTCAGCTTGGCTTTCCAAAGTGCACGTTGTTCTGGAGATGAAAATTCATCTTCAGACTGGCCAAGTTGCTGGTTCCCGATTACGGCTTGCCTCGCAGACCGCGAATACTCGGGCGCGTTCTCTTCCAGGTCCTGAGGCGCTCTTGCATCGTCATGTTTGCTACTGAGAAGGGCGACGCGCAGCTTTCGTCGGTGAGCGCGGGACGCCTTTTGCGAATCGCGCCACTCCGCTTGGTTGGTTGAAGATGCGTCAGCTTGTTGCCCGGCATACGGGTCTTGATCAAGTGCTGCGGGGTGCTGCTGAAAGAATGACCCTTCCCAGCTCATTTGCTCCTCGATTGACTGAGATCTGTGCGCGGTCCTTTCTTGTTGCTTCGAGTCCTCCTCCTCGAAGCGATTCTGAACACGACGCGTGCATGAGATGAATCTCGCGAGAGGGGGACTCGATGGAGTGGCACGGAGCCTTCTGACGAGCATGACACCTGATAGTGCTGTGTTGACCTTGAATTAGTTCATGAGTCAAGGGCTGCTTCGAGTTATTGGCGCCCCTGACGGCGGAATAGGTTGGGTGAAAGGGTGTGTTGAGGATCGCGCCAGAAGACTGGACTCTCCATGCACGCGACAGTGAACGGACGGCTGTGCCATTTTAATAATGTGAGTGGCAGGACTGCCTGGCCATTGCAACCTTGGAAACCAGTGCAACCAACCCAGGCATGTTTCTTCAGGGGAGGGGCTGATCTTTCAGAAGGGCCCGCTTCCCCCAGATGCCCTGAACATTAGCGCCTCGGGGCCCGAGGCCGCTGAAGCGAGCGTCTGGGGAAGTGGGCTACCAAGACATGGTTGGCAGGGAACGTGGGCCGTGGCCGGAGCCAAGTGTGGCTGGTGGTTTCGCTGCACCAGCCACTCGTGCTGCTGACTTATCGCAGTCAGTCGCCCCACGTCATTCCAACTTTCTCGCATTCAAGAGATATTACTCTGCGACAATCACACGACTTGAGCCACCATTCGAAGCATTACCTCTTTTGAGCCGGTCTACACAAAGATTCAACAACATGTCATCGTCACCGAGCAAAAGGCGCAGAATGGAGCCTGATGACGGGCAACCAGCGGCACAGGAAGAAAACTCCAGGCCATCTGAAGAGCCACCATCACAACCCGAGACCGACGGACAGACACCAAAGGCCTCCGCGGCAGCTGAGCGACTCGCACGCTTCAAGGCTCTCCAAGCTCGCGCAAAAGACAGCGCAAAGACCAATCTCAAAGAGGCGTCCCGCGAAAACCAGCGACTGGCGTCCGACCCCAACGAGCTGAAGGCCCTCAACCGCAAGCGAGATGTGGCCGCCCACAAGCTCCTAAAGGCAGACATTGAAGACGCGGGCGGCGACTTTGAACGAAAACGTGCGTGGGACTGGACCGTGGACGAGAGCGAACAATGGGACAAGCGGGTGAAGAAGAAGGCCGCTGCGCGCGACAACAATGCCTTCCAGGACTACGCAGCTGAGAGCCACAAGGTGTACAAGCGGCAACTGAGGAATATCGCCCCCGATATGGGTCAATACGAAAAGGACAAGATAGCCTTGATCGAAAAGGCGGCCGCGTCGGGAGGTCTGGACATTGTGGAGACGGAGACTGGCGAGCTGATCGCCATCGACAAGGACGGAAGCTTTTATTCAACGGCCGACTCGACGTCCTTTGCATCAAACAAACCCAACAAGGCAGCCATCGATCGGCTGGTGGGTGACCTGCAACGCGCCGACGACCAGCGCATGAAGAAGAGGAGGGAGAGGATGGCACAGGGCGACCAGGACGCGGACGTCACATACATCAACGAGAAGAACAAGCAGTTCAACCAGAAACTGTCGAGGTTCTACAACAAGTACACGGAAGACATCCGGGATAGCTTTGAGCGCGGGACGAGGATATGAAAGATGCCTTGGTATACGAAACAAAAGATCCTAGCTTAATGTACAGTCCAGCGTTGCTTTTTGTTTTTCAATGTTTCAGACGCTCACAGCATGGTCTTCCTCCACGCCTTCGAGGCCAGCTCCTCCAGCTGTGGTATCTCGACCGGACCCACAACGCTCTCGTCGCTCAACGCCTCAATGACCGCCTCGGCAACGGTGTCGACTTTGAGGGGCTTCGCGCCCGCTGCGCCCATGAAACTGTTGAGATAGCCACCAGTCAATGTGTTGAAGATGGAACCTCCACCCACCATCGCGGCCATGGCTACAGTGATTGGTCGCGAAGAATCGTACATGACGGGTGGCCGAGGGAAAACGCCCCTCATGTTAGGGAATGCTGTGGTGATTGTGTTCTCTGCCTCCCTCTTCGTCTTGATGTATCGCGCCGGGAGGACGGGTGCGCCGCCAGCGGCCGAGATGTAACAGAACGCGCTGGCCTTCTCCTCGGCCGCGTGCTTTGCGAGAGTGATTGCGCTGTCACGGTTCATCACCTCGTAGGAGAACTCATCGTTCGTGTTCTCGGGCACGATATCCTGCCCTTGCTTCCTCTCCAAGGGGTTGATGCCCCTGTCTCGTTGCGGGGCGAAGACCTTTTGAATACCGGCGACGGGCGACTCCTTGCCAGATACCAATCCTTTGTAGTCGGCCTCCATCAAGATACCCATGCTGTGCACCACGTAGTCGGCGCCCTTCAGGAGGGCAGCATAGGTTGCCGGGCGGAGGATGTCACCGCGCTCCCACGCAACAGACTGGGACCAGGCGGGAGGGGTCTTGGAGGCGGTGACAGCGTCCCAGTGAGGCTCGCCAGATCGCGAGATGGAGGTGACGGTCCATCCGCGAGAGACGGCGTGTTTACAGATGCGGGAGCCGAGAAAGCCGTTGCCGCCGCATACGACGAGCTTTTTCGCAATGGTGGACATGATGAAGCTGCTTGAGAAACAATTTCGTTTGCCGGAATAAGTAGAGATCAATGAACGGATGAGCTGCGCAGAAGAACCCAGACGGGAATGGACTTCAGCTATACGTCGCTCCGGGATAACGCGTAAGGAGAGCTCGCACGCGTGGAAAATGTTAGTGAGATGAGCTGGGAGCTGGAGCTGTCTCGATGAGATCATGCATTTTTCTGTGCCATGCAGGGTCTTAGCTCCAGGAACCAATTCGGCGAGCGTCGAGGTGGGTCCGAGCCTGAGGTGGACGCCTTTCATTGTCGTGTTTTCTTAACCCAACGTTCTCTTTGTCGTCCATGGCGATGAAAACACATTACATTAACTCGTCAGACTGACTGTTTCGGTTGCAAAGTGCCTGAAAGCGCGGAACATCTTGTTATGCTTGGACAATCTTTGCTATCATGTTCTCTAGGTTAGTACAGAATAACGGTTCAGCATGTGACAAACACTGCACGCATGTTGTCCTTCATGCATCTCGGCGGCCATTCAGGTGTGATATTGGAAAAGACAGATGATGCACCATCTTCTCACCTCGGAAAAGAGATCCCATGGTCATTGGCATTTCCGCTCGGTAACTTAATGAGACAGATACTCTCAGTGCTGCGTTCGTGCTGGAACCAATACTGCGCTGGTTCGTTTGTGCGCCTTGGAAAAGCGCTTCTCCGAGGGGAACGGTCCCCCACGAGGAGCCCATGAGGCTGTTCAGAAGCAGCCAATCTGAGAACCAGTAAACAAATCATTAGCAAATGCTGACGGCGACGATGCGCCAATTGTGCGCGGTCGGACTGACATCGGAGACTGGAGGCTGCATGCAGGGCCCATGGGAGGAAAATTAGTACCCCGCCGACGTCGGCTTATCAACCTTTATCAGCAAGGGTTTGTAATACGTACATGGCTGGCTTTATTTCCCCCGCAACACTTTTGTCCAGATCATTGAACTTGAACGTTATAACCTCTCCTCCATCACACGCTGTACCCTTCTCGTATTTGATCGTCACCCTGTCTCCTTCAGTCAAGATGGCACCTGCCCCCATCATCATGGACACGTCCGACGATTTCGTCCCAGCGCCTGCTGTCAAGACGGCCCTCAACCCATCCGCCCAGCGAACCCTTCTGCTTGCGCCTCCATCGCTCGCCGCCCACGAGGAGAAGCTACGCAATGTTTTCACCACATACGACCGCTCGACGTCGGATCTTCAGATGCTCGACCGCCTCAGCGCCGGGCTGATCAAATTGCCACCCGCGACATACGATCTCGTCCTTGTTCTGACAGACACGACCGGCGAACGAAGAGCAGAGGCGCTCAAGCTGTTGAGCCGGAAAGTGTTCACAGCCCTGGTCGATTCAATGAGAGAAGGTGGCAAGTTTTCGCTGCAGGACGGCCCGTTGGCATCCGAGGATGCCCGCGAGGCAATCCTGGCTGGTCTGGTCGAGAAGGACGGCGCATTCGAAAAGGTTGTCGAGGAGGAAGTTGTCGTGCCACTTCGCTTGGGCAAGAAGAAGACCAACGGTGCGCCCAAGGTTGCGCCCGCGCCTGTTCAGCCAGTGCAGATCAACTTGGATGACGATCTTGACGACGACGATGAGATTATGGACGAGAATGATTTGATGACTGCGGAAGACTTCACCCGACCCATTGTTCAGCGTAAGTGCCTCCGGCGTGGAACTAGACGAGATCATCTCACTGACACTCTCTAGCTGCCGAGTGCGCCCCCAAGCCGGGCAAGCGACGTCGCGCATGCAAAGACTGCACCTGCGGGCTCGCCGAGCGCCTCAACGCCGAGGACCAGGCGCGTCGCGACGCCGCCGATGCGAACCTCCAGTCGATGAAGCTCAAGCCCGACGAGCTGTACGACGAACTCGACTTCACCGTCCAGGGGAAGACGGGATCGTGCGGCAACTGCTCGCTTGGCGATGCCTTCCGCTGTGACGGCTGTCCATACATTGGCCTGCCGCCATTCCAGCCGGGCGAGGAGGTGACCATCTTGAACAATGCTGTTCAGCTTTGAGAGTGCATCGCAAGGGCAATTGTCAGCAGCGTTTCTTTTCGCATGGGATGGCGTTGGGGCGTGGATCAAACATCAGGACGGTTGGGTAGGGCTTAGAGAGGACTCGAGCATATATACCACATAGACGACGGGTAGCCAGCCGTCCGGTCATCACAATAAAGTACTTGGAACTTCATTACTTGGGTCACTAATATTCACTGCTAAATTTGGTCGTTGCTGATCGCTGGGCAACTTGAAGGAGAGAGACTGGACCCTTGCCGACATCACATGCGCCGCTACCAATTGTGGGCGGCATCGGATTTCGCAACTGTCGCATCCCACCTTCAGTTTTCCTACCCTTCCATCAACACATTGACATTTCCATTCAACTGTCCACTCGCAGCGACCATACCCGCGACATATTTACGAATCATCGCGCATTGCAGAAACCATCCACTGACTGCGCCACACCATTGAAGCGCCGCCATGGCGCCACCCAACCAACTGGGCAAACGCGTCAAGCTCACACAGGTCCGCCGCCCCTTCATCATCGGCAGCACGGCCGTCCCCTTCTCCGACGCGAACCCCAAGCCCCCGGGCGTCGCCGAAAACCACACGCACTCCTGGAAGGTCTTTGTCAAGGGTGTCGAGGACACAGACATCACCTACTGGCTGCGCCGGGTGCAGTTCAAACTCCACGAGTCCGTGCCAAACCACGTCCGCATGGTCGACGGGGAGCCGGGAAAACCATTCCTCGTGACGGACACGGGATGGGGTGAATTCGACGTCAACGTCAAACTATACTATGTCAACGAGAGCGGCGAGAAACCACAGACGACGTACCACTACCTGCGCCTCCATCCGTACGGTAGGACCGAGGAGGAGAAGCAGGCCATGATCACAGAGCACGGCGAGGTGCGCTCGTGGGCCTACGAGGAGCAGCTGTTCAATGAGCCCTTTGACGCCTTCTATCGCATCCTCACGGCCGGCGCTGTTCCCAAAGGCTGGAAACCGGCGGGCGGCAAGGGCAAGGGCAAAGGACGGGCAGCCGCGCAACCGCCGCCGCTGCCCGACCCTGAGAGCGGCGAGGTCTGGGATCGGACAGCCATGATCCCCGCCAGCAACAGGCCCGGGCAGCCGTTCAGCCGCGAGACAGAGGCCGCCGAGATCAAAAAGCTGAAGGAGGCTCAGGCGGTGGCGGAGGAGTGGACGCAGAAAACGCTGGCCGAGCTCAAGGCCAAGGAGGAGGAGTTGGCACGTCTCAAGAGCGAGAATGGCTCGGCGACGACCGCGACGGGGAAAGCTGCCTCTTAGAGAGGGGGGCGATCCCTAGTCAGAGGGCGAGGCGGGTTCAGGAGGAGAGGCTCTCCATGGGCAGATTAGGACAGCCTTGACCACAGTCACTGTAAACCAGACGTACACAAACACACATAGCACCAAAGTTGCCCGACCTTTTTCCAACGTTATAGATTGGAGTGTGTTCCTAGGACTCTCGTCCCCTTCCCTTACCATGTCGTACACTGATCTACACAAACGTACTCGCAGTCAAAATCCCAAACGCCAGTCCCGATTCCCGACTCCCTCTTCCTTGTGCCTAAAGTATCCTCCCGGGACTGGCAATTTCAAACCAGAAAACACCCCAAATTCCAATTTTTCCTCTCGCAAAAGACGTGAATCATCTCCCGCAAGTCGAGAACCATCCATCTTGATGGTCGACTCTTGTGATCCCAGCGACGGCTCGTCTAATGCTCGTCAAAACTCTCAAATACTTTCGAACGCTCAGTGTGTAAACATTATCAAAAATTGAGGCGCAGCCTCGATGCTTCGGTGCCAAACCAACAAACGCCTATACGTGGCTCTGAAGCAGATACAAATAAAAAGTTGAAGGAGTGTGTCAGCGTGTACAGGGCGTCTCAGTCTGATGCTAAGACTTGTTGGATACTTAGTGGGCGGCGGCTTCGTACGCAGGGGGGGCGTCTTCATGCTCAGTCCACGTCTGGTTGGGGAAAGCCGGACCGTCGCCTCGCTTCTTCTCGTCATAGATGCGGGTGGCAATCTCGCCAGCCATCTTTTTGATCCAAGCTTGTTCCAGAATGACAGACGATGTGTCGGAGCTCGCGCTGGCACGTTCATGGCCCAAGTTGGCTCGTTTGAACATGCGAGGCTTGGCATCGTCCGGCGTGCCACGCAGAGCGGGCTCCGTCTCGGAGACCGGCTCTGGCGCTGCTTCCGCAGGTTCTTCAGGTTCGAACTTGACTTCGGTAGTCAATTGGCTCGGTTGGTGACCGACTGTCCTCTTCTCGTCGCGGACAAATCGCGCCTTGGTGTCGAACCCCACATCCGACATAGTCTCAGCCTCGGGATGCTCAGGGATAGAATTCGCCGGGAGGGGCTCAGAGATAGGCACATCGATAGAAAGCGTGTCGGAGGCGCTGGTCTCGGTCATTGCATCCGAATTGTCCGCCGACTCGGTTCTCTTCCGTCTCAGATTCACTACGCGCGTCTTCTTCTTGCGGCCGCTCCGCGCACGCCCACCGACGCCGAGTGCCATACCTGCGGAGGCGGACTGTAGACTGACTAGAGAAGGCCTGCTGGGCAGGTGGCCGTGTGCATGACTTCCTGTATCGGAGAATGTGTAGGTCGTGCTGTTGCCAACAATGGCCGAGTGCGTTCTCGACAAGCTGGGTGTACCGATAGCAGGCGTGAGGTGATCAGAGCCCTCCCCACGGCCGGACCACGCGCGGAACACAACGTCACTGATACCCGGTGTGAAGAGTGACAGTGTGCGGTGTGAATCGGTCAAGGCCCCCAGTCGCAGGAGGTTCTTCTGAGAGAAAAGCCCTTGCATTTCGCCAGCCCCGTTGGCAGAGAGCTCGGACAGGGTGTTGAGATCCACTGGGTTCCCGTTCGAGTCCACGGGGTCTTCTGGAGGACTTGAGAAAGGGTCTATGCCTGCCTCGTCGGCCTCTTCCGGTTTCGGTGCGTCAGCAGCCTTGTTAACCTGATCAGGGCACCAAAGTTGCAATGAGAGCTTATGAATGATCGCCGGTAGCTCGTCCATCATGAGATTTCTCAGTTGTTGCTCAATTGTGCGTTGCAAGTAGTCACGGACGAACTGTATCGAGTCAAAGGTCGATGAGACCTTGAGAGACTCGAGGGGGTCATTTCGGAAGACAATGGTAAGACCTTTTTGCTTGGAGAACACAAGGATGATGAAGGCTGAGAGCTTGATCTCCGACAATGTGATTGACAGTGGAATCGTGAGACCCGAAGCGGCAGCAAGAGGCTTGGGCGATGTGAAGCTTGGCTTCGAGTCCAGGTAGGTGTTGAGTGGGTTTGCCTATTGTTTGTATATCAGCGCCTGTTATAGCTGCAATTTGGTTTTGACAGGGGGGGCTGTTTCAAGCGATCCCAAGACCGTCAACGCGTCGCGTCACAAGATTTGGCTGCAAGTGTATGGGCAAACAGTCTTGCAATCACGTCGCGTTGAGACCAGTCACATTGGCATCTCCAAGGTTGGTTCCTGATGCCGACCATTTGGACCGCGATCGTAGCTTGAGTTGTGACGCAATTCTGCCAGATGCCGTAAACACTCGTTCGCAGCTTTTGGAATGATGATTGAAGAAAATATTGAGCAACGGGAAACAGGTATCGTGTGAGATGCAGAAAGGATCTTGTTGTTTGTGGTGCATGAGAACGCGAGATCGGGCGTTGTCGGGAGGCCCGTCGCGAAACACCGAGGTCTGGCGATGCGACGAAGGGAGGGCACAAATCGGAGGCATCGAGCGTCGACGTACCTGCACTCGGGTCTTGAGTGTCAAGAAGGCATCGCCTGTGTAGCACATCTTGAAGATTCCACGGAACCTATCCTCTGCCAGGTCGCCGATCTCCAGGATCTCGAGATCCGGGGGCACAGTGCCCAGGTTGAGTTCGGAGACGAGGATGTCATCGACAATGATGGGCGGTTTGGGCGATTTATTGAGAGCATTGGTCAAAAGATCGCGAGCTCGGGCGTAAAAGTCCGCATCGGCCGTGAGAGGCGACCAGTTAAAGTTGAAGGCCATGTTTGTATGGCGTCGCCTGTCGCGCGACCATCAGGGTCCGATGTTTGTGATGCTGTCGATGCAGTGCGATATGAGGCTCGGGAGAATCAAGGATCGAGTTTCGAGAGTTGGTGGACTGGCCAGGAAGATTATTGACAGGTCGCCGTGCGGTGCTTCTGATGCGAGAAAGACTGAGGTGATACACGCTGGCAATGGTCGAGTCGATACTGATAATACCGAAGAGAAGGAGGGCAGAAGTGTGATGAAGAGAGGGCGATTGCAAGAAGCTATGGAATGGGTTCAGGGTGCCGCGCCTCACACAGAATTTGCAGGGTCGCAGCGTGGGGATGACGCTGGAGGTAGGCCCTGTCGCGTGCACTGTCAGCCCGCACTCAATGCAAACCCGTGTTTACCACGGAAATTTACACGGGGTGAGCCGCATTTCGGGCCCCGAGCTGGTACCATTTTCGAAAATGAGCATATTTCGCACCCGTGCTACCCCGTAGAGGCCGAGTTTCATGTACTCCGTACCATGAGATCAACAACAACCCGGTCCTTCGCGAAGGTTGAGATTGCACCTCGCAATGCAATGCGACGTGACTGCTTTGCACAATATTTTGGTCTCCCTGTCCGCGTCTAATTAGCATTTTCAAGATAGTCATGTGCATGAAAGCGATGCATTGTCAGACATCTACTACCTACTAGTATACAGGTATTATCACGGTACGAGATGCATATTACGTCGTTGTCTGGTGACGCCCCTTTGTGGCAGCTGAGCCGTACAACCACTGATGTTCACGGGTATCACTTCGTCCAATCGGCCAGGGGCGTGTGCTGATGCCATCTGCTTCAACTGCCCGCCTTAATTCGGATCTAAACAAAAATAGGGCAGCAGCACTTTCTATCAGTTGATCAAACGCGTGAAGCCTGATCATCCTCACTAATAGGTATCATGCAGCAAGGTGGGCGCATGACGACTGCTAGTGAGCAAATCTCTTGGTTCAGCGCGACTGGCGAATCATTGTGCTAACAGAACGAAGACGTGCATCTGCATCTGTGGCTGCATTTGCACCTCCACTCGCCGAATAATTACCTTGCTACGGACAGTACGGAGTACAATTCGTAGCACCGGCCCTATGCTGACCATCTTTGCATTAAAATATCATATAATGCCGAATCGGAGTCGGCATTGGCATGGCGAAGCTTTACCAAAGTCCAACAACGATGAGATGCACCAGTGATACAACGACGTGGTACTACACGCCGGTCCGGCTGTCGAGGCAGTTGGCGATTAATATAGCAAGTGGCTATCATCCAGTCCGGCATACGTACATAAGACTGTCGATGCGCCACCCTGCTGCGTATGATACTCAGGTTCTGTCCCTTGAGTAATGCCAACAACAGCTTCTCTACAGCCACCCGTAATGGACCGCGTGGAAACAATCGTCTGCAGGTGGTCATAATCCGGAGCTGGGCGATGTCTGCGGATGGCCGACGTCTGCCAATATGGTGGTGAGCCGCGTCCAGGAGGCGCATGTCGCACTGCCCAGCTGGTGTGCGTGAGACAGGACGTCCAAGTCGAGGTAAAATCCGACGATGAGCATCAACAGCTGCTACTTCTAGATTAGACAAGGAGACGACAGGATGTCCATGAGAGCGCAATGCGAGTGTGCTGGGACTCGTGTGTGGTCGAAATCCAAATCTTAGTGGAATTCGCATGCCATAATTGATGGCACGCAGTCGCGCCTCGCTAATAATAACGTACGTGCGTGGTTATTACCTCCAGTCAGCTCCAGGCGTCACCACAATCTGGGTACTCGTAATAATTATTTTTTTATTGGCATTCGAGTTGGTTGCGCTGCCTGTTCAGCGCCTTGGTCGCACCTGCGATGACTCCATCTCCTCTTCCAGTAATTGCGTACCAATGTTAATAAAAGGCAAGGACGTCCCTCAATCGGGCTTGCCGCTGGTCGCGACTTGACTCGAGCAAAGGCCTTCTTCTGTCTTTCGGCTCTTCCCCTCATCACCATCGCGTCAACGCCGCCAATTTGTAACCTGACAACATCTGTAACCCTTTTCCAACGAGCCGCAGCACTCACCTTACCGCCAGGTTTCTCGCCAATTCACATGGCCCCGGACTAAAGTAGCGCTGCGATTAGCTGCCACAGCAGCGTTGCTCCTGCTACCTATTCTACACCGGTCAACCAAAACCTTGCAGGCTTCCCCCCGCTGTGCCTTGCAGCTGGATGCAAGGCACTCGCCGCGCTCCAATCATGACGCTGGGTCAATCACCTCCGAAACTGAGTTCGCCTTCTGCCTTTGCCGGTGTCACCCTCGACATTCGCTCACCGAGCCTCGGGTTCCCGGCGAGTACCCGCGACTGTAACAGACCACGGCAGCCAGGCCCAGTTCCCCCGCCCTCGACATCTGCGGCCTTCAGCGCCTCGAGCAATGCATCATGGGCGACCCGCCAGGGCGGAGTTGCGTTCAAATCTCTGCCCAAGGGTTGCACTCTGGGGAAAATGGTGGGTGAAGGTGCAGCAAATGCTGTTTTCGAGTTTTGCCTGCCCGACGGAAGCTTCCTCACCCACGAGGGTATACGTATGTCGTCACCCAGCTTCATCCCACTATCTGTGCCGCTACAGGCGCACCAGATTGCTCGATGATCAACGCCAATTGCATTACTGACCTACGCCAGGCCTTCTAATTCGGGTTGCGAAGGAATTCGTTGAAGATGATCGACCAAAGTTTGATTACATCGAGCAGGCGCAGTATTATCGTGACCGTATTCAGCCTATCTTAGGGAACTACGTACTACACCAAGAGCTGGTGGATCTGCAAAACTCAGACATCATTGATATTATCAATGCTCACCTGCGGCGCATCGATCATACGCGCAAAGGCAAGTTCAGAGGTACATTCGTCGGCCAAAGCGACTGGGGCTTCCTCGTGGAGGACATGCGGCCAGACAGTGAGTTTAACCCCTTCTTCAACACGTGTTACCGCGGTCAGCTAACAATCACAGGTACGGATCATCTTATCGTCGAGTTCAAGCCCAAATGGCTGTCTCAGTCGCCCAGCGCGCCAAAGGACGCCACACGCTGCCGACAATGTGCCAAGGAACTCTGGGGCTATGTCATGGAAGCGGATGTGGACAGACCCATCCCAACCATGTCCAAGCCATGTCCGCTGGCTCTAGGGAGAGCAGAAGGCAACCATGTTCGTGCAGAGAGCGCCCATCGGCTACTGCGACTGCTAGGGGAGCTCGGTAACAGTGAGCATCTCCACGCTGAGCTCAATGTACTCCGTGACCAGCAGGCCTTCACACAGCTCAGGGACGCGCAAGAGAAACTGGACAGGGTCGGTCCCTTGGGCGCTGCCAGTAGCGACCAAGGTTTTGCGCTTGCCATGACCCTCAGGGACTGCACCTGCTTCGCCCAGGTGACTCGAAGAGCGACCAACGGTCGGGGCACTGCTGGTCCTCTCAAGATCAAGTTCGGGGACTTTGACATGAAGAGTTCTGAGCATAGGCTGAGCTATTGGCGAAGCACAGAGCAGAATCTCATCAACGGTGGATTCTACACTGCCGACTGGCTGTTATGCGAGGGCTCATTCTATCGTCCGCCAACGAGCTGCGTACTCGAATTGTCGCAGCCCAAGCGACAAGTGCCAGAGGTCATCCACGTTCGGACCGCCGCGAGGAACGTGGCGCCGTACGTCGACAAGGATGCACATTGCTCGCCGGACGAAACCAAGATATATACAGTCTACACCCGTGCAAAACAGGTGCACATTGGGCTCGAAGCCCATCGGAAGGAGGCTCCCAGACCGACTGAAGAGCAGTCAAAGCGATTGAGTTTCCCTTTGAACACGAAATGAACCACAGGAAACAGGACATCCTTGGTGAGCGTGTTTCTGGAGTTATCGCCGGCATTTGCTGCAGGCTGGGTTTGGTATATCAGGGCATTTGGATTGCATGAGTGGGAGCATTGGATGGGCAAGGGAGATTTCAGAGGCGAGAATATCTCCAAACACATAGGCGCAGGGTTTCCAGCTCACAAATTGAGCGCCCAGTACAAATCGTATACTTTGTTAATTCATGACTCGTGGCAATAAAACACTCGTGGACAGTGTCTGTATTGCTTGCTTACACGCCAGCCACCGTGAAGCTGAGGAAACTTCCCGTTGCTAGTCCAATAACTAGACACAACCCCATGAAGCCGCCAGCGGCCTCTCGCTCTTCGGTTTCCACGTAGGCGCCCGCTGCCATGATGCAACTCGCGCCGAGCCAACCATTTGTCAGGCCAAAGACGAGCTGCACAATGACGAGGTAGAATGTGTCGGACGGCACAATGGCGCCACGCCCGCCAATGTTGCAGAGGAGGTACAGCAGTATATACGCCGCCCGTGCTACCGAGAGCAGGAAGAGTAGGAATGGTCGGTCTCCCAAGGAGAATGGCAGGGACGTGGCCAGTCGACCGCTGAGGTCGCCAACGTTCCAGAACAAGAAGGCAAAAGCGATGAAGGCTGCCGGGTGGAATAGGGTGCCTGCATTGGGCCCATCGTTGACAGACAAGATCTTGGATGTGAATACCGGGAAGAACATGGTCTCTGTGAATGTCAGAATCAATCCGAGGGCTAGCCAGCGTAACTTGGAGAAGAGGCGCAGCAACGAGACGGGCTTGCGCGCGGCCTGTTCAGCTTCCTCGACAGAGGCTACGGACCCAGCCATCTCGACCGTTAGGCGCCTCTCGACGATCTGTGCATGACGTTTCGAGAGAGGGATGAAGGCAATGAGAGTGCCGAGCGAGATGCTCACGGCGGTGATAAAGTAGAGAAATGCCGAGGCCTGGTCATCCCCGTCATCGGATTCCTTGGTAGAAGGAGGGTACGCGAGGACCGAGAAGATCTGCGTCAAGGGCGGGAGCACGCCCGCGATGCCCTGCCCTGCCATGAGTGCCTGCATGTACTCGCTCCGTCCAAAACTCCCCGCAAAGGCAAACGCGCCGTTCTGGATCAGGCCTGTCGCCCACGAACTCAGACAGACCATGACGAGCACGAAGCCCAGGTACACCTTTGGTGTGGCGTGAGCCAGAAGCACGGTCGATCCGGTGAGGAACACAAACACGAGCATGTTGATGGACAGGGCCATGTTGATGCGGAGTGGGTAGGAGGCCTTGGTCTGCATGTTGGACAGGACCAGCATGACCACCAGGTTCGTCACGGTCGACACGGCGAGGATGGACGGCTGAAAGGTCGCCTGTATAGAGGGCGAGGCGGCCAGGCGCGCGGCGAAGTACGGCGCGGCGGCGAGAAACATGTTCCACGCCCAGAGCATGGCGACGCCGAGGAGGAGGAAGATGGCGTACTCGAGCCGGGAGAAGGGCACTTCTTCCGCGCGGCTGTGCATGGTTGAGCCCTCGAGGCTCGAGCGTCGTGGTTGATGCTCTACATCGTCGGAGTCGGCAATGGTCACGTCGTCGCTCGCGTTCAGCGGCTCGTACTCGGCGGGATTGCTGGACGAGGCCTGCGTGCCGTATGGTTTGCTGGATCGACCCAGCATCGCGTCTTGCACGTCTTGATTCCGTCACAGGTTGTCGCTTTACTGAGGGTCGAGCCAACTCGGGGATGGTATGGGGAACGGGTCGGCTACATCGACTGACCTGTCGAGGAATAGTGGTCGCTCGTGCCGGGTCGAGTGACGCCGTCTGTCGGAAGCTTGGGTCCTGATGATCTGCCCGCGATCGGAGAGTTGCGCGGGATGGCGGCTCGATGCAGCGATCACCTGCGACAGCGTGCCGTTAACTGGGGCGTGATGTGTGATCAATGACGGGCACATGTCATTGAACGATTGGGATGCTAACGTAGTGCGTGGGTACTATCAGATGCACTAACAATCAAGGGCCATGTGCGGGTGAAGATCTGTTAAGAGCAAACAGCGCAAGGTACACTGCTCGTATACCACGACCAAATGTTCTCAAGAATTTCTAAGATACCTTACTATTGGTCTCGTTAGTAGGTTTAGTTTTGATCTCATTCACCATCACTCGACTCGTCAGACGAGGAATTCGGCGACAATGTGAAGAATAGATACAGGTACCATCTCTGACAGCCTGCCAACAGTGGCACTCGCTTTGGTATACGAGGCTGTGAATTGTCCTGTCCGACTCTTTTATAGATCACACGTTATATATGTCTTACTTCGACTCCTCAAGAAGGTCCTGAACCCTCTTCACCTTGTCCTCTGCCGTCTGCTTCTTGTCGGTCCGCGTGCCGACCCTCATGCTCGTCTGGACACGCACAGCGCCCGTTTGGTGGACGATGGTGTGAGCTTTGCCAATGACTGTCATGACCTCATCCCACGGGCCCTCTTCAGTGCTAGTTAGCGGCTAATTCTTATATTCCACGGTCACTTCCATCCAGGGGAGGATCATGCTTACCGACGGTAGTGCCGGCTGAGTGCATCGTGTACTTGAGGCCACTGGCCTTTACAACTTTCTGCACTTCAGCGACTTCCGCTGCGACCGACGTAGTCCCCGTGCCGACCTGCCCTTTATCAGCATTGAAGCTCGTCGAGTGACACCCGGGTGAAACCCACCGGCACCAGACAAAAGTCAGCATAACAGGCTGGCGGGGTGTTGATGGAGCTGTAGTCCATTTTGAAAGACGGAAACTTGTGGGATATTGATGGCAGACTGTGAGCTGGTCGCAAGACAATGCAACGATTCAAGACACTGCAGATTGGCGTACGAATGCTGGCCGTAGGTGCTATCGTTGAAATAGTGAGTGCACATGCCGGTAGGAGGAGTCGATGTATAGCGCGCAACTCGAAGCATACCGGGTAGGCAAGACGTCGGTATTAGTGTAGGGCCAGTCAACAAATTCCATGTCGAGTCGTTCGTTCTTAGTTCTTTATCATAGGTACACATACATCCTCAGAACCTACGGCATCAAGCACCCACACTATGTCATAACCGCCGATGGAATTGTCCAAGTTTGCTGCTGCAAGTGCCATGGCACGTAGATGTCCGCTCAGAAGCTCACAGAGCTGATGCACGAGGCTGTGTACGGACGCGACGCTTCGACTGAAGTCGACAGGCACTTGATTAGCCGTGAGGTGTGAGTATCTGAGCTGGATCCATCACGACAAATACGTGCGCGCCCGGTTTGCGTAACCTCGAAGACGAAGTAGCAGGAGATGATGGACATCAATTGCTATCTACTCTAAAAATGAACGCCACGCTATGCTCCTAAACCAAACAAATCAAAATGACCCGCAGGCTCATGCAGAGTGCTTAAAGCAAGAAGACCGCCGCCCCAAAGGCCACCAAGGCACCGAAAGACGTGCTATCCAGCCTGCCCGCGGCATTCGGTCCGCTACCACTGCCGCCGTCCTCTGGCTGTGTCCTGCCCACGGCATCAGAGATGTTGTTGATCGAGTCGAGCGCCTCAATCGTTTCGCCTGCGTTGAAGAAGTCGACCAGGACAAAGTTGGGAACCCCACCCCACTCTTGGCGACAGGTGTCGAGGTGCGTGCCCAACGCGCCCACCTCGGAGGTAGAGTTGCTGTTCACGGTCTCGATGTTGTCCTCGTCTGGCACGGTGATGCCCAGCGTGCCAAGGGAACTGTACTTGAAGTGGTTCGCGAGGGACAGGTAGTTCTGGCTCAACGCATTTGTGGCCGAGTCCAGACCCGAGGGCCGATCAAGCGTGCAGTTGAACCCGTCCAGCTCCTGGACGTCAAAGGGCGTCTCAAAGACGTAGTCGAACTCTGGCAGCACGGCGGGCGCGGCGGTGGCGTCGTAGTCGAGGTTGGTGACAAAGGAGACGAAGCGGGTGTTGCTGTCGATCATGGTCTGCAGCGTCGGCCACTCGGCCGTTGCGCCTGCTGTGGTCGGCACATACGACTTCTCACTCACGCCGGACTGGACCAGAGCCGATTGAAAGTCAGCCGGGGTGGCGTTGTCGCCGTTGACGACAATGAGCGTCACGACCTCGTTTGGGTTCTCGTCCATCCACGCGTTGATCAGCTTCAGCCAATCCGCCAGCGGTCCTGCGTCCAACAAACTACACGACGAATGGCACAGCTGAAGCGTGGTGTCGCCTTGATGCGTCTGAGCCTGCAGCAACCGCAGGCCAGCGTCTAACGCCCGGGTGGCATTGAAGTACTGGTTCCCGGATATCGAGTTGTCCGTTGAGGCGTCTCGGAGGGCATACGAATTGTGGGCACCGAGATGTGTGATCTCGTTGTAGCGGCGGGAGCAGAGAGAAGGTGAGTTGTTGCAGGCGACGGAGGTGTTGGCGCTGTCTGATGTCGAATCACCACTTGTGACCTGTGGAAGAGCGTTGGCGGCATGGAGGAGGGCTGTGGCGACAAGACAAGACCGTGCTGAGAACCACATACTGTCTTTGCGTTTGGAAATATGTGCTAGTAATAGCTTCTCGAAATGATATGCACGGCGGAGCGAATGGAAGTCAGGAAATGGGATAAACGAGAGTCGGCAAGGAAATGTATTGAGGAAGTGAAGTTGGCAAGATGAAATGGAATAAGGAGAGTACCGTAATCAGAAGATGTCCCTTACTCTTGTACATTCTCTGCGCATAAAACACACAAACATCCGACCTGGGCGAAGCAACATTGGCGTTGTTCATTGTGGTGAATGAATGAAGATCAAACGGTGAAATGCTGCGCCTCCTCAAACGTCAGCCAGTGGAGTCGCCCACCACCTCCTGTGTGCCAGGTCTGGGCAGCGGAGGACCCTGAAACCGCGCGGCTGGCTGCCTCGAAGCATCGAACCGGATCATTGAAGCGTTGGGCGCATCATGATACCGTTCATGCTGGGGCACTGCTGGCCGTGGACCAGTGCCGGGTGGAAGCTGTCGGTGCTCACAATAAGGTCTGTGATACGGATAGTAGACTGCACGCAGGAGTTGAGGCGATGGCGATCGGCAGTTGGTGGACGAGGGCTCAGATAGCGACGCATGATGCGTTTCGACGACCGCTTGACAAGTCACAGTCAGAGTGAGAATCATAAATATTTCTTATGCGTCGTGGCGAGGAGGTTGGATCTGGTCCCAATGTCGAGGCCAAGCTTCGTGTTCTGAACTTCTGGAGTGCCCCTGGGGCGCTAATCCTGCTGGGGACTAGACTTGATCTTTAATGCTGGCAGTGAAGATCGGTGGCTTGCATAACCTATTTTTATCCATTTTATCCTCTGCGTCTCACGGTGAAGCTCTCGACCTCGTATCGACACTTTGCTAACTTTCCTGTACTGATAGATTGATCCTCATTGACTGACGACAACTCTGTAGTATACAGGATTCTGAGCTTATGCTGTTGTGACTGCCTCATTCGGGATCGTCGTACTTCTCCTCAGCGGCGGCGGCCTTTTCCAGCTCCTTGAGCTGCTTCTGACCCTCCTCCGTCGTCGCGTCGATAATCTTCTCCTCGAGACTGAGAATGTTGGCCTATTCATCCACGTTAGCAATGCTGTCTCCATGCTCGCGACACAGTGTGTGCTTACCTCGCCAAACGCCTCGACCATGGCCTCCGCCTCGGGAACCTTCATCTCGCCCAGAACCTTGTTCACCTCGTCCAGGCTCTCCGACTCGAGCGCTTTGCGCATCTCCGCTGAGAAACCTTCAAAGATCTTCCTCGCCCGTTGCTCCTCATCGTCCTGGCTGTCCTTCTCGGGGATGCGGATGTTGATCACGGTGCCCTCGTCCATGGCGTGGAGCTGAATCTGCTCGACACCACCTTGCTGCTCCTCCAGCGTCCGTTCCCGCACAATCTCTCTGGCACGGTTGCGGATGCGCATATATGTGTCCTGCACGTCCTTGTAGAACATCTGCTGCGCCTGATGGTCCTTTGTGGTGATGCGCTTGAAGAAGAGCGACACGCCGTCACGGCCCAGTTGTCGGCAGTACTGAAGGAGCAGGGCCTGGTGCACGCACTGCCGCGCGTACTCGTCCTTCATCTCGAGAGCGGCGTCGAACGCCAGCACCATGAGACCGTCCGTCTCGCTCTCCTTCAGTATGTGAGGATGCTCACTGATGAACTGCGCGCTGCCCCTAAAGTCGTTCGTCTTGAACTGAGCAAACTTCTTGGCATCCGGTGACGCTTCCATTTCCTCCTCCTCTCCATCATCCGGTGTCGATTTGTTTTGCGTGTCGGCAGGCTTGAAGTTTGGGTTCAACAGCTCCAGTTGCTTGTTTTGCTGTCCCTTCTGCGCGGCTTCCTCCTTCGCCTTGTCCTCCGGCGTCGACTTGGACACGTGCGAGCTGTCAAAGCCCGTGTGGTACGCGTCGCTTGTGATCTTCCTCTTCTCCTCCTTCTCCAGCTCCGCGAGCTTTTCCTCCAGCTGCCTCTGCAGATCCAGCACCTTGTTCTCGTGCATCTGCACCTCCTCGGTCATGGCCGTGTATCGATCTTCGGGCTTCTTCTCGTCCAGGGCCTTGTTCACCTGGTCCAACAACGCCACCATCATCTTGGAGTACGTCGGGTTCTCCTCGCCCTCGGCAGCCTGGAGACCCTCGGGCCTCTTGGGCGGCTGGTCCTCCTCCGGTTTCCCCGCACTTTCCATCACGGCCTGGAAGGCCACCTCGCCGGGGTTTCGGCTCGTCGCTTCGTGCGCGTGGGCTTTGAGCGCCGCGACGAGGGACGATATGCGCTTGAGGAGGCCATCGTTGATGATTCGTTCGTACTTGAGACGTTCAATGTCGAAGCGTCGCTGCTGGCGCTCTTGGTGAATCTGGTTCTGCTTGGCGCGGATGAAGGAGCGCTTGTCAACATTGGGGTGGACCTCAATGTCCGAATCGTCACTGAGCTCGAGGTTGTCCTGGGAAAATGTTAGAGGGGATCACGGCTGGAGACGGGAGCTACGAGGTGGCGCCTACCCATTTGCTGTAGTCGACAGGCATCTTGGCGTGTGGAAGTGTTGCTGTCACTAGGGCTGTGAGTCCGGGTGGGTGATCAACGTCAGTCCAAGGCGATGGAGGGTCGAGGGTCCTGAATTATATCCCAGATCATGGAAGATTCTGGATGATTGTTGGAGACCTCCCAAGGCCGAGCTGCGATTGTGACGCTGGCGGGGTAATAAATTGCTGCGCTGTAATTAATACCCCACCATCACCAAACAATCAGTGCCTTCACAAAGCAGAGCGTCAGTCTAGGAATTGTTGAGAATGCAATGGCATTTGAAGCGTCTGCCTGTGTTTAATTAAAAATGCATGTTGATGGTCTCCTTTGACTCAAAGCTCGTGGTAAAACCTGAGCTCACCCCAACCCATATCCCTCCGGAACGCCGCAAGCACTCCGTCGCTCTTGTATCCCACCAATGCCAATACTGTACATATTTATATAAGTATACCTTATAGAAGCCCCCCGGGGCGTTCTAAATCTTCTTCATGAATTCGTCGAGGTCGAAACTTTCCTCGTACTGCTCCTTGTCCCATAAATCGCCAAGGTCCTCCAGCCAAGCCTTCTTTCCAGGCTGCTTGTTGACCTCGCCGGTTTCCAAATCCACCATGTCTTCTTCGCGGCCCTCAAAGCTGTCATCTTTCTTCTTGTCGTTGATGAGATTAGGTCCGCTGTCACCAAGATTGAAAAGGTCCAGAATCTGGTCCGTGTCCATGGTCTGGAGCCCTGCGTTCTGTTGATTGACGACAGTCGAGGCCACATCAATCTTGAAGCGCTGCAGGTTCAAGATCTTCTCCTCCAAAGTACCTCGCGTGATCAGGCGATACACGTTGACGACTTTCTTCTGACCGATGCGATGCGCGCGATCCATGGCCTGCAAGTCTTTCTGAGGGTTCCAGTCATGCTCCACAAAGATGACAGTGTCTGCGCCCGTTAGGTTAAGACCAAGACCTCCAACGCTAGTGGTGAGAAGCAGCGCATCGTATGAAGGATCGCTGTTGAACTTGTTGACGATATCCTGCCGCTTGCTGGGGTCGACGGAGCCATCCAGACGGAGATGTGACACTGAAGGGAGCAGCTGCTTGAACACAGTGTTTTGCACCATGTCCAGCATTTCCTTCATCTGGCAGAAGATGAGCGCTCGATGAGGCTTGATGGGCTGGTACAGAGGATCGTTGGACTCGTTACCCTCCACGCCGATGCCACAGTCCACCAACAGGTCCCGAAGAGCGCTAAGCTTGGGTGCGTGAACCACGTCCTCGATCGACGTACCGGACTTCTGCAAGATGCGCTGCGTCTCATTGTACATGGTGTTGTCGGGCTTCATCACCAGTGCAGGAGAGTTGCACAGCTTACGCATGTACTGCAGGGCTTGGAAGATGTGCTGTTTGGCTTCCTTGTCCTCGCGACCCGCATCAGCGGCGATTGCCTTGCCTTGTTTCTTGTTAAAGTCTTCAAACAGCTTCCGCTGCAGATCACTGAGATCGCAATAGTAGTTTTGGAGAATCTTGGGCGGCAAGTCATTGAGCACCTCTTCCTTGAGACGCCGAAGCAGGAAGGGAAGCACCTGCTTGTGCAGCGCTTCAATGGCGATTGCGCCGGCCTCTTGCTCCTTGGTAGACGCCTTGCTAAACCGACTGGCGGCAATGGGTTTGGCGAAACGATCGAGGAACACCTTCTCGGTGCCCAGGAAGCCAGGCATGAGGAAGTCAAACAGCGACCAAAGTTCCACGACGTTGTTCTGGATAGGGGTTCCGGTCAAGATGAGGCGGTGGTTGGATGCGAATCTCTTGACGGCCTGAGAGATTTTGGCCTTGGCATTCTTGATCAAGTGGCCCTCGTCCAGGATGATGTAGTTCCAGTTGTGCTCTGCGAGAACATCAACTTCGTTGCGGCAGACATCATACGACGTGATCACGATATCGGTCTGGCCAAGCTGATCCCGCATGGACTTGCGCTCCGTCGGTGACCCAACATAAGCCGTCACGCTGAGGAATGGCGCGTAGGTCTTAATCTCTTGCTGCCAGTGACCGGAGAGTGTAGGGGGGCACACAATCAAGGACGCCAATCGCCGTGAGTCTGGCGCCTGTGTCTTGGCGAACCTCTCGGCGCGCTCATGATGATCGCTGGCCACAATACACAGAGTCTGCAAGGTCTTGCCGAGACCCATGTCGTCGCAGAGAATGCCATGCAGGTGGTACTTGTTCAGGAAGTGGAGCCAGTTGACACCCTCTTGCTGGTACGAGCGAAGCTCTGCCTTGATGGCAACTGGGATGGTGAAGGGCTCAATCTTCTTTGGGTCCAGCAACTGGCCGATAAAAGTTCGTTCGCGATCTCGTCCCTTGAGAAGCTCCTCCGAGAGACCAGGAGGGTCCGGGATACCGGCTTCCAATGGTACCAGTTTGACCAAGGTAGCGAAAGACGTTGTAGCGAGGAGTCGAATATCGTTGTCAGAGTCGCTCATTCGGCCAAGGACCGGCACGATGAGGAAAATGACATATGGCAGGATAGCATCACCCATGACCGAGATCAGGTGGTAGATTGCTTCTGTCACTCCCTGTCGGAAGTGCAGGTCAGTTGGGTTGCTGATCGACGGCAGAACCTTCTCAACCAAGGCTGTCATGCCTTCGACCGTGATGACACTGCATATCGTAGCAAGACATTTGGCGGCCATGTACCGGAACACGGAGAGCTCAGAGTGCAGCGCCTTGATGACCAGCGGCATCATACGCATCACGAATGGGTGCAGCGCAACGTCAAATGTCGGCGTCATCATACGGATGACAGACATTGCATCGACAATTTCCTGGCCAAACGACTTTTCAGGGTCCTTGGCCTCAGCAGGCAGTTCGCCACTAAAGGCCCTCTCCAAGGGCTCTTCCATGAACGACTCCAACTTGGGTACGGTCTCGAGCAGCTTTGCTCCGTACGTGCGAGAGAGTATTTCGAGCGCCTCTTTCGAACCACGACGCATGATCCTGGCGGCTTTGGACTCCCGAGCAAATTTCGCCGCATCTGCATGGTCAACCCTGTCTTCCTCCTTAAGCATAGAGAGGACGACATCTGTTCTGGACGCGTGGTTCGGGAATTCGGGCGTTTCCGCGACTTCGACACAAGAGAATTTGACCAGATTCGCGACAACCTTGTCAGCTGGACCACGGCGGCCGCTTTCTGCAAACAATTGCACCAGCTTCGCAATGGTATCCGATGAGCGACTTTGCAATTCGTGATTCTCCTCCGTCTTGATCGAGTCCATGATGCTCTTAATAAGAGGGCTTGGTTTCTTCGGTAGCTGTTGGATGGCCACAATGGCGCAGGCCGCGCCAGCCTTGACGCGGACATCGCGCGCTTCCTTGATCAACCTAGCCTCCTCGATCACAGACCGAGCCAGCGCACGCTGCTCGGCCAACTGCTGGCTTGCAATCAAACGCTGTCCTGGGGGCATAGCTTTCTTGAGCTTATCGAAATCCTCATTGACGCACTTCTCGGCGGTGGTCAGAGAAAAGGCACTCGGGCCGGCCTCAGCATCGCCCTGGACGACCACGGGGAGAAGGGGTAGCTTTTGCTGAGGTACCTTGCCATGGTCACGGAAGAAGTGCATGAGCTGTACGCATTGGGTGCGTACTCGCTGCATGTAACTGAGAAGATCACGATACGCCGGGGGGCGATCGCCTGTGATCATTGTCTCGAATTGCTCGAGGTAGCGCGACGCGTTCCCTGGCACCTGGCTCTTCTTGGCGTATTCGTCGACAACGGCACAGGCTGTTAGCTGTGTTGAGGAGTAGCCAGAGGTGAAATGAGGGATGATGTGGGCGTCAAAGTCTTTGACCATGTCTGCAGGCACGCGTGCCATGATCAAGCCCATAGCCTTGGCTGCAGCCACGCGAGACCGGATCAGTACGTCCATGCCAACCAAGTCCACGTCGCCTTGCATCATATGCCCGTCGACATCATGCGTCAGGCTAGCCGTTGGTGTCTCATCCATCTTATTCGATTTGCGACGCCTTTTGGGGGCCCGCTGATCGGAGACATCCGGTGACGATGCCTTTCTGGGTGTGGGTTGGGGTGCCCCTGGTACTGAGTAAGTCCCGCCGGAGGGCTTCTGGAACAGAGAGGCATTCATTGGCACCGGGTTGCGTGAGATGCCAATCGGATGCAGTGTAAGCTGCATCAGAGGCTCCAAGTGAGCGCTGAACTCCTCAGCGAGCACAGCTGGTTTGTCGGCGAAGCTGTTCACAAGATCACTCCAAAGCTCGAGCGACATGTTCAGCGTCTCGCGATCCCGCTCCACGAGAATGTTTTGGAATATGAGTCGAAGAGTACGGCCGTTAAGCCAGCCCTGGGAGGTGCTGCCTTCTAGTTTCGCAAAAGTTGACAATGCCTTTAGCACGGCTAAGCGTACCGATGTGATCGTGTGTCGGAGGAACGGGTACAGTCGTGGTACGAGGAGAGTGAAAGACTTTTCCTCGTCCGCGGCTGCGCTGGCCTTCATGGTTTCCAAGACTTCGGGGAAGCTGCAAAGGGTGGCCAGGAGGTCCATGATGCGTCCAGTGCTGGCGCTGAGGTCGTCGCCAAGATTGGATAGACTTGCCCAGACAATGTCGATGAGTTCAGACAAGGCATCTGGTCGCATAGTAACGTACTCCTTGGCCATGGGGATCAATGTAGCTGCACTCACGGCGCGGACATCGTCGTCCATATCGCCAAGCCCCTTCATGACTGCACGGGCAACGCCATCAATCATGTCGCTGTCCTCGAGCAAAAGGTCTTTCCGCACGGCAACCACGTATCTCATGCCCACCATTCCACCGTGTCCGACTGCCCAGATGGGTCGTTCTAGCGTAAGGTCGTCCTGCATGACCATGCGATATAGAATGCGATAAACCTTGTGGACGGACTCGGGCGAAAGGTGCTTGAGGACTGAACCCAAGGTTTGACCGACGGTTTCTCTGATGGGGGCCACGGACGTATCGGAGCTGTAGTCTGTGAAGCGATCAAGCATGAGCACACAGCACAACCGACTAGCCAGGTCATCAAGCCAAGCACAGTTGGCTGCGTCGTTTTCCGATTGCGATTTCCCCCACGCTCTGCCAGCGCCTCCGCCGTGGACTCGAATGAGCTCACGCAGACCCATCGCAGCACCATGACGAGTCTCCCAAGCATGATCGAATAGGTCTACCTTCAAGAAGTCGCACAGTCTCTCGTATGGCCATTCAGCGCCCTCCAGGACATTGTCGGTTTCTAGCTCGGATTTGATGGGGATGACTGGGCCTTTGTACTCGCTGACGACTTTCGACTCCTCATCGACATCCCCAGGCCGGTCAAGGTTGAAGTATTCTTCCACCTTGCCATTCTTCTTCGCGTCAGAGTCTGGCATGGGCGTATCCTCGGCACCGAGCCCTTCGGAGCCTGTCGTGGTTGAACGGCGGAGAGATAGATCACCAAAGCCACTCTTTCCCTGTGACGCCTTCATGGCCTCTCGCTTCCTTTTGCGCTTGAGCACGTTGAGTTGTCGGGAACTCAGACCTGCTTCGCCCACTTGCTGCCCAGGTGTTGCGCTATCTTCCTTCATTTTGCCGTTACTTGCTTGTTCCGCAGCCGGCGTTGGTGTCACGAGACGTTCAAGGTCAACGGGCATTTCTTCGTCCTCAAAGCTCCGCCCAAGTAGACCTAGTCGCCCATAAAGCGTTTTCTTTTGATGCGCGAGTCGCTCCGACGGGTCCAAAGAGGCTAGCCCACAGACGGGATTACCTCCACGCAGAAGTGCCCTCCCAAATTGAAGAATGTTGTTGACGTCCAAAGTCTCCAATTTGAACGTGTTCTCTTCCGGTAGGTCATCTTTGGCGCTGACGTCCTCCTCCTTCTTGACGGTGCTGTGGTCCACATCTGGCTCTCTTTTGGTGTCCTCTTCAGACTTGGTTTCCTCCTTCTTGGGAGGTGTGCCATCTTCTGCATTGGGCTCGTACAAAGGCGCATGCTCGACGATTTTACCAATAGCTTTGGCTGCAGTGCTTCGCGTTTCCCAGTCTCTATGCCGCAGATAGGGAACGACACGAGAGAGTAGGTTGAAGAGTTCATCTGGATGCTGCTTTTGCCAGTCTGCCAGCTGATTCACGGCAGTCTCGCGAATCAGACGAGTACTGCCCGTCTCGAGAATCCTAACACGGAAATTTCAGCACTTGATGTATCTCACAAGGTTGTTTCGCTGGCCCTTGAGCCGGATTGACTTACGTGACGAGTCTATCAAGTCTTGAAGCCATGATCTTTGTATTGGAGTCGAGGCTCTAGAGAGGGACTTCATAGCCCAAGCTGCTGCTATCCAAAGTTAGACTAACATTCCTGACGGGTTTCAAAGGATCAAGTGACGGAGGGTTGTGTAGGGTGCACTGGTGTGGCATGCGAAAGCGTTTGCCTAAATTATGTAGGTGGCCTCTACGCTTGATGGTGCCTGGAAGGATACGTTGTGGACGAGGATAAGACCCTGGGGATGATATCAAATGACTAATAACGGCTTACTGTGAAGGTAAAGTGTGCGGATGGAATGGCTTGAATGCAGCAGCTGTGTAATCACAATGCACGCACTCCTATAGCAGTGCTCCACAACAACGCATGCAAGAGGAAGTAGAAAGGTATAAAAGACCTTCTCAACCCTGCATGACCACGCCAACCGATGGAGTGACCGAAAGGCAAAGCTCTCTGGCACCAATGAAAGGCGGTGCAGTGGGCAAGGAGTGGTGTTGTTCCGCAAAGTCAGGTTGCTTGTCGCAAATTGGCGATGGCTTCAAATGCGAAGGTCCTCCGAGCCGCGATGGCTCAATGTGAGCCTCGGTGCGTCGACCTGATTCGGGTGTGGCTGGTGCACACAGCTGAAGCAAGCGCGGTGGTGCGGCAGGTGGCAGGTGCAACGGGTCGGAGGCTCAACTGGAGCAGGACTGGAGGAAATCGGGTGGAGGGCAGGCCGGGCCTTGTATACGATGAAGGCATGTATTTTTATACACGCGGCGCGCGCTGTGACAGAGTGCGACCGCCGTCCTCTCATTCGCCTAATTTCCCTCTTTGCCTTTGTTTAGTGTCATTTTTTCATGGCTGGGGCCGCTGTGCCCCTGCTGGTCCCGCTGGGCCGCTCACTGGCAGGTGCGCGCAGCAGTGGCTTGCACTTGCACTAGGTGTGAAGACTTGTGCCCCATCGGGCTAGTGTGCCTGGTTTGGACGGGATTCGGCCCTTGCACCGGTTTTCATTGGTGGCCGGTGCTGCTAGCGTCCCCACCATCTGCCCTTCACATTGAAATTCCATCATCGCGACTTCTGTCACAAGTCTTCTCTCGCAGTCGTACACAGCCCGAGGATCCGGAAATGTCAACTAGTCACAGTGACACGACAATAGCACGGGGAGCCCGGACGGGGCTATACGCGGCGCTGAAAAAGTCTCTAGTATGAGCGCTTGGTATTTTAAAGAAGCCGGCTGTTACTAAACCCGATGTAATGGTGTCGAAGTAAATATTCACGCTGATGCAAGGAGGCTTGAGGAACGGAATGACGTGCAACACCACCCATTCCTATTGCAACTTCGAAGCCTTCAGATAGGGGACATTCGAAAACGGGCATCAGACGAATGATCAGTCCTTTTTTGCATATTGCCCAAAGTTACAAAGCGCACCGCCGCTTCTAATTATTGGATGGGTTATCTGTATAATAAACTATGATCGACCGCCAACCCGCAGCTCATTTCGAAGATTCAGGTGATCGTCGCGGCCTCTCGTCCACACTTCAAGCTCTGGAGCAGCGCAAAGGTAGTGGTTGCTTCACAACTCTAAATGCGCAACAAAGGTGGCAATATACCCGTTCTCTTTCTTTCTTGTTTTGGCCTACGCCAGGATTGCCTCTGCGCAGGAAAGGCGCACAAGGTGGTGGATGTGAGCAGACGTATTGCCAAGCCTGCAATGAGCTAGGGCTTTTAGCGCCATGCAGAAGGACAGCGTACCTTACGTTGGATCTCTGATCTGTTTCCCATCGTTCAACCAACGCAATAAGTATTAACTACTGACTATCGTATGTCTGCGCTGTGCGATCACTTCTTTTTGCCCCGTATATCCTTAGCTTTGTTGATGTCTTTCATAGTCGAGCCCGAAATGCCCCTTATTTTGATCAATGTTAAAGTGTTCGGTGGTCGGTATCATCATATGGGCAAATTGATGGTGCCGCGTTCTGTATGTTGACTGAGAGATGATAATTGATGAGCAAACCCATCGATGTCACTAGATTATTCAACATGCAATTCCCACGTATAAAATGCGTGAGCTTGAGAACACTAAAACGCTATTCAAGAGGCTCAGCGAGCCACACTCACACAGTTGCCGTGGTCATGGATTGTTTATCGGTCTCCATACTCAGGGTGCAGGGTAACTGAAAGCACACTGTCCGCTGCACGTGCCCAAAGCCGTAAACGCGCTTGCAGCCCACCTTGACACTCTAATCGCGGGCAGACGCGTCTTGACCAATTTAACGACCTGATACCTCGTAGCTCTGCCGAGCGCAAACCACACGTCCACGCATGTTGCGCGTCAGCGCCTACTAAGCCCACCATGTTCATCAAGCAGATCATCATTCAGGGCTTCAAAAGGTATGCCGATTTCGTCCGCGACGGCGACCACAGGCGCACCACTGACATCCGCCCGCAGCTATAAGGAGCAGACCGTCATTGAGCCTTTCTCGTCCAAAACGAATGTTATTGTCGGGCGCAATGGATCGGGAAAAAGCAACTTCTTCGCCGCGATTCGGTTCGTGTTGAGCGATGCCTACACGAACATGAGTCGCGAGGAGCGCCAAGGTCTGCTGCACGAAGGCTCTGGCTCCGCAGTCATGTCCGCGTACGTCGAGATCATATTTGACAATAGCGATGGTCGATTTGTCCACGAGCCGGAAGAGGTGGTCTTGCGACGTACCATTGGTCTCAAGAAGGACGAGTACTCGGTCAACCGAAAAGTCGTACCGAAGCAAGAGGTCATGAACATGCTCGAGTCTGCTGGTTTCTCGCGGTCCAACCCATACTATATCGTTCCGCAAGGCCGTGTCACGGCACTCACCAACATGAAGGAGTCAGAACGTCTCAACTTGCTGAAAGAAGTTGCGGGTACTCGAGTCTACGAAAACCGCCGAGCCGAGTCTCTAAAGATCATGAACGAGACGAACAACAAACGCGAGAAAATCGACGAGCTCCTCAAATACATCGAAGAGCGTCTCTCTGAGTTGGAAGAAGAAAAGGAAGAGCTACGAGGCTTCCAAGACAAGGATCGCGAGAGGCGCTGCCTCGAGTACGCCTATCACTTCCGCGAGCAGGCGCTGCAGCAAGAACGACTCGAAGAAATCGAGTCTAGAGAGAAGAACAACATCGACGCCGACGAGGGTCGCGCCGAGCTCAACGACAACAAGGCGGCTCTAGCAGAGTTGGATCAAGATATGCAGAAGCTCCAACGCGAGATGGAGTTGTTGCGGATCGAGAGGGCACAGCTGGAAGAAGACCGACGCGACAATGCCAAGGCCCTCGCCAACGCTGAGATGACAGCCAAGGATATCAAGGATAGCCAGTCGTCACGAGCGCAGACACGCGCTCAGCACGCCGCAGAATTGCAGTCCGTCAAGGCCGAGATTGCGGCCAAGGAGCAGGAGCTGGCCAAGCTAGTACCAAAGTTCAACAAGACCAAGGCAAAGGAAGACGTGGTACGCAAGAACCTGGACGCCAGCGAGGCCCAGAGGGCCCGGCTGTTCAACAAACAACACCGCGGTGCGCAGTACAAGAACAAGCGACAGCGCGATGAATACCTCCAAGAAACTATCGAGGATCTGAACAACAAGGTCGCAGAGCAGAAAGCAAACAAGATGGATGTTGACGAGGAGTTGGTTCGACTTCGACAGGCAATCAAGCAAGGCGAGCAAGAGGCGGCGAACCTCAGAGAACGTCTGAGCAACTGGGACGGAGACACCACCCACCTCGCCGAAGAAGCTAGCCAGGCCAGAGATCGCGTTGACAAGCTGAATGAGGAACGAAAGATGCTCCGGCGTGAAAACGAGCGACTGCAGTCGCACATCGCCAATGCCGACCACGTCAAAAGGCAGGCCGAAGAAGAGCTGCGGCACACAATGGACCGTGATGTGTCACGCGGTCTGAACACCCTTCGTCAGTTGCGACAGGAGCGCGATCTACCAGGGGTATACGGCACCGTCGCAGAGCTATTCGAAGTACCCGAAACTTACAGAACTGCCGTGGAGCAGATCGCCGGCGGCCGCTTATTTAACTATGTGGTGGACAACGACGTGACGGCTTCAGGACTACTGAACCACCTCAATAAGACACGTGGTGGGCGGATTACCTGCGTGCCCCTTGACCGCGTCCGCCCGCGCAATGTCAATATGCCGAGGTCGCGAGACGCGATACCCGTTCTCAGCAAGCTCACTTACGATCCCAAGTTCGAGCCAGCGTTCCAGCGACTCTTCGGCAACACAATTATTTGCCCCAACCTGGCCATTGGTGCGCAGTACTCCCGAAGCCATGGCGTGGACAGCATCACCCTCCAAGGAGACACAACCAACAAGCGTGGTGCACTCAGTGGCGGTTACGTTGACCCCAGCAAGTCGCGTATCAAAGCCTCCCGCGCAGCTAATGAAGCACGCGATGAGTTCAATCGTCTCATGGAGCAGAGCAGAGATCTGGTAGCCCAGATTGAAGCCAAAGACCAGGATATCACGGCGGCTATGTCTGAAGCGACAAAGGCACAGCATAGGTTAGACCAGGCGGCCAGCGGCCACGAGCCTGCGCAACGCCAGCTACGGAGTCTGTTGGACAACTTGGAGAATCAAAGGACAGCCCTCGACGAGGCTACGCTTCGTGGAGAGACCATTGAGCGCAATATGAATGCGTTCATGGACGAGCGGGAGTCGTGCGAAGCTGAGCTCCAAAGCGAGTTCAAGAAGAACTTGACGGCCGCCGAGGAGCAACAATTGGAGTCATTGAGCGCAACGGTGCAAGAGCTCCAAAAGCAATGGACCGAGCTTGCCAAAGTGCGGAGTGAACTTGGTGGTCGCAAGCAGATCCTCGAAACTGACTTGCGGCAAAACCTGCAGCTGAGACTCGATCGGCTCAACAGCCAAGCTTTCGAGGACTCAGCCTCGGGAGGCTCAGCCCATGGTCTCAAAGAGGCCGAGAAGGAACTGAAGAGGGCGCAAAAGGCGGTGCAGACTGTGGAAGCCGACCTCCGCGCAACTGAGTCCAAGTATGATCAATTGGCAACCCACCTAGAGGAGATGACTGCACAAAAAGATGAGCTCGAGCAGGCGCAAGCTGCGATCATCGGGCGTATCAAACACACGCAGAAGGCCGCCGAGAAAGCCCTCGCGGGCAAGGGTATTGTGCTCGCCAAGCTGGCAGAATCCGCCAAAAACATTCGTGATCTTGGGGCTCTCCCGGAGGAGGCATTTGGGAAGTATGAGCAGATGGGACTCAAGCAGGTAAGCCACAGTTTGCTCCCGACGCTCTGAAGAACGCACTAACACCTACCCAGGTCGCCTCCAGATTGGGCAAAGTGAAGAACGCGCTCGACCAGTACAAGCATGTGAACAAGAAGGCTTTCGAGCAGTACAACAGCTTCACCACCCAGCAGACGCAGCTCATGAACCGCCGGCAGGAGCTGAGCGACTCGCAAAACTCGATTGAGGAGCTCATGGAGCATCTGGACCGCAAAAAGGATGAAGCAATTGAACGCACGTTCAAGCAAGTGTCCTCTGACTTTGCCGAGATCTTTGAGAAGCTTGTGCCAGCGGGGCAAGGTAGACTGGTCATCCAACGGCGTACGGACAAACGCGCGGAGCCAGCAGACGAGTCCGAGGACGAGAATAGAGACGGACGCAGCGTGGAGAACTACATTGGCGTGGGGATCCGAGTGTCGTTCAACTCCAAGAGCCACGACGAACAGCAGAGGATACAGCAACTGAGTGGTGGACAGAAGAGTCTGTGTGCTCTTTGCCTGATCTTTGCTCTGCAGAAGGCCGAGAGCAGCCCCATGGTCATCTTCGACGAGGTGGACGCCAACCTCGATGCGCAGTACCGAACGGCCGTGGCCAGTCTCCTGGTGGAGATCTCGAATGGCGAGGCACAGACTCAGTTCATCTGCACCACTTTCCGACCGGAGATTGTGCACGTAGCTGAGAAGTGCTACGGCGTGACGTTCCGCAACAAGACGAGTTCCATTGGCTGCGTGCCCACTGACGAGGCTCTCGAGTTTGTGGAGGGCCAGGCGAAACCTATTTGAAGGGGCTTGTGGAATGAGAGCGTCGGAATGGATGGACTGCGTGGTGTATGGCGTTGAGGGCCGTCTCGTTGCTTGTTATGACCAACTTGGGAGGAGATATCATGTGGATTAACCTACTTATTATTCTACATTTGATACGTGTCTGATCAGAGGTTGATCAGGGCGTCGACGATTTCGCTGATCGATAGTAGATATTTGGTACTCACACGATTGTATCTGTTTATTGCGATGACAGTGGAACGTATTTCTCCAACAAAGACCTCGATCCTATTGCCGTGTCGTTGCTTTTTCGTGGTGTCTGTGACAGCTGTCTGGTCTTGACATCATCGATTTCAGCTCCAGCCTCCCATGAAACTAACAAAGTCCTACTACTTGCGCTAGACTAATACTATAGCTAGACAAGGGCGCGTCTTTCGGCCATGTTGTCGCGAAACACCATACCTCGCAATTGACAATATGACAAAACCCAGAGTCATCTACTGGTTCCGAACCGACCTACGCCTGCACGACTCTCCAGCGTTGCAGGCCGCCCTTGATCTCGACCCGGCCGTGCTGTGGCCTGTTTTCACGTGGGACCCTCACTATGTCTATCGAGTACGGGGTGGACTGAACCGCTGGCAATTTCTGTATGTTTCTCTCATCTACGGTCAGTTGAGTCTCATAGCTAACTCCATCCGAGCCTGGACTGCCAGAATGACCTGTCAAAGTCCATCACTAAACTCAACCCCAAATCCAAGTTGTTTGTTTTGCGCGAGGGGCCGCAGACTCTGTTCAAAAAGCTCTTCAAGGCGTGGAAGGTGACCCATCTCGTGTTCGAGAAGGACACAGACGTCTATGGCCGCGAGCGTGACGCGGTGGTCGTCAAGGCTGCCGAGGAGGCCGGTGTGAAGGTGGTTGTCCGCTCCGGGCGCACGCTATGGGACAGCGATGAGGTCGTCAAGAAGAATAATGGCAAGCCTACTATGTCCATCGCGCAGCTGCAGCACGCGGGAGAACGTGTCGGTGACATACCGCGCCCTATCGCCGCGCCCAAGAGCCTACCGGACCCGGGGGAGATGCCAGTGGATTTCGAGCAAGACGAGCCAGACAGACAGCCCGACTTTAATGAGCCGAGGCGAGAGGGCAAGGATACGGCATACAAGGACATTGCGGGCCCAAAGGGCGATTTCGCCATTGAGACCATGGAGGAGCTAGGCTTCCCGTCCGCAACGACGTCGATCAGGGGAGGCGAGAGTCTCGCACTCAAGGCGCTGGGGAAGATCATCGAGGACAAGAAGTATACGGCGACCTTTGAGAAGCCCAAGACGAGCCCTGCGCAGTTTGAGCCGCAGGCCACGACGCTTCTCTCCCCGTTTCTGCACTTTGGCGCTCTCTCCGTGCGCGAATTCTTCTGGCGCGTGCAAGACGTCGTGACCGAGTACGGAAAAGGGGCATCGTCACCGCCCATGAGCTTGACAGGGCAGCTGTACTTCAGGGACATGTACTTTGCGGCGCAGGCCGCCCTGGGCGCGCCCTTCCACCAGACTGCGACGAACCCGTACGTCCGCTTCGTACCTTGGCATCTGCCGTCCAAGCGGGATGCCACGTCTGGCATGGTCACGGGAGAGTATCACGTGGACTCCGAAGAAGCGGAGGTCTGGTTCAAGCGCTGGCGAAACGGCGTGACGGGCTTCCCCTGGATCGACGCGCTCATGCGCCAGCTCAAGGAGGAGGGCTGGATCCACCATCTCGGACGACACAGCGTCGCTTGCTTCCTCACGAGAGGAGGTTGCTACGTGGACTGGGAGCGCGGCGCCGAGGTATTCGAGGAGTGGCTCCTGGATCACGAGCCAGCCTGCAACGCCGGCAACTGGCAGTGGCTCAGCTGCACAGCGTTCTTTGCACAATACTATCGCTGCTACAGCCCCATCAGCTTTGGCCAGAAATGGGACAAGGAGGGTGCGCTGATCCGAAAGTACGTCCCTGAGCTGAAAGACCTGGACAAGAAGTACATCTACGAGCCGTGGAAGGCTCCCATCGCCGACCAGAAGAAGGCCGGCGTCCGCGTGCAAGGCGACGGTCTCGGTGATCGCGAGAAAGGAACATACCCGAAGCCCATGTTTGACTTTTCGGAGAGGAGGAACGTCTGCATCAGCGGGTTGAAGAAGGCGTACGCAGTTGGCTTGCACGGGAACGATGCACAGGTGCTTAACGGCACGTGGAGGGATCTGTTCCCCTCGCCTGATGAGGCAGAAGTCATGAATGAGTATGACAGTGACGATGGAGAGCATGCCGACAACGCTGAGCAGCGGACCCACGATAAAGGGGCTCAGCAAGCAGGAAGGAAACGTGCCGGGAACGAGAGCGTGCCGGAAGCGCCGCCGAAGAAGCAGTCCAAGAGGCAACAGACGCTTAATTTTAGGAATAAGTAGTACAGTAATTTCCACACAAGAGTATGTACATCCCGGCCAGCTGTGACAGAAATCTACATATGGCCTTACATCGTTCTCGCAGGGCGTTAACGCTCCGCCTCCTTGGACTCCTCCTTCATGGTCTCGTACAAGAGTTTCCACTCTTTCTGGATAATGTCCACGGCGTTGTGAGCATCACCCACAGCTGGCTCGCTGGCAACGTCGTCTTCAGCGAGGAACCGCAGAGACACGAGGTTCGGTTCGATCATAAAGTGCCTCTCTGCTGCGCGGCGTCTCTCCGCCGCAACCGGGCTATGCTTCATGAGAGTTTCCATGGCCGCCTGGGACCTCTCCTGACTAGGATCGCGAGCCGCCTCCAACGCTGCGCTCACGTCTTCGTGCTCCAGCTGTGACTTTGATTGGCATGACTCCAACAGATCCCTCCAAGGGAAAGACTCCACATCCGTGACTTGGGACACACGATTGACGAATCTGAGTGCAGCCTGCGGCTTGCCTGTGTTGACGAGCCGAAGGGCCTCCACAGTGAGGGCGTACGGATTGTTGCCCTTGCTCAGAATCTCGCGGAACCGGACTGCGACGGGTCTGAACAGGTTCGAAAGGGCCATGTCCGTCTGCGGGAACTTTGAATTCCACCAGCGCGTCAGGCTGACGGTTGACGCGTCGCATCCGAGCGCCGAGGCGCCTGCGAGCATCGCGAGGTGAGCTTCTCCGGGTGACGCTGCAGGGTGGTTGGACTCGGCCAAATCGGCGAGCAGGACCCCCAGATCGTGTAGGATCTCCTTGGAAGGGCGCAATTCTGGCCTGCGTTAGAGAAGAGCGTGCGGCAAGTTATGTGTGGTGTCGAGGGGATCATGTCCACGTACCAGGGGCCAGCTGCAAAGGCCAAGATGGACCAGCGTCCTTGCGAATCCGCGTCCAGAGGTTCAGTACATGGACGTATTCCTCTGGCTCAAAGCGCAGTCGCGGCGGCTGACCAGCTGCGATCTGCGGCTTCTCCCCCTTTTTGAGCTTCACGAGGAAGCTCCTGGTGATGCGTGTCAAGTCCTGCTCTTGAGACCAGGTTCTGCGCCCAATCCTCATTTCCAGTTTGCCACCCCTGGCTGGTCTTGAGTCTGTTCTTTGTCTGCTGGGCGAACTGTATTTGCTCGAAGCGACTGCATAGCATCTACGACACTCGCCATGACTGAGTACATGAGGCCTTGCTCTGGGGACTGTGGTGAGAGCGCGAGTGCCAGCGAGTCGAGCGCTGCTGCTTGATGACCTGAGCACGTCCACCAGCGGGTGCCACTGCTGCCATCGAGAGGCCATGATGTATGTGTGGCTTACTGGTGATGAAAGCAATAATGTGAGTGATGTGAATGAGCTTGCTAGCGACTGGAGGCGCGCCATTGGCAAATCAGGTGCCTGGCGTGAGGTCAAATACCTGGTAAGGTACGCGCGACGTGCTCACCGAACACACCGAATCCCGAACTCCACCAGAATTTTTCTGACCATCACCCAAGTGCAATTCGCCATTGAAGCCTCGCAACCGACGACTGCTATTAATTAAGCGCCAGAGATCATATCGACAACTTCACCAAGCGATACAATGGGCGCCAAAGGTGTGAAACGCAAGGCCACGGCCACCAACAAGGCAGCCAAACTCCCTGTGCGCGCAAGGAGCAACGAGCCCGCACAGCCAGAAGCGGCCAAAGGCACAATGATGGTTTTCGACGACGACGATGACGAAGGAGACCAGATAGTGTCGACGAAACTGTCATCCATCGAGAAGCCTGTGTCGCGGGCCACAATTCCCGACAGCGAGGAGGACGAGGACAGTGACGACGACGACGAGGCCCCCGAGGCGACATCGACACAAAACATTGCATCCAATGCAGAGCAACTAGCCGCCGCAGCCAGCAAAGCGGCTGAGGAGTGAGTGCTCTTGTCGGACGTTTTGTTTCTACTACATGTACTGACATTTCAGGCTGGCCGCTACACAGAAGCGCAAGCGACGGGAACGGGATGCGCTCTTCAAGCAACAGGCAACCAGCCGCAAGTCAAAACCAACGCTCGCAGAAGATGGGGACTCCGACTCGGAAGAATCATCAAAGCCCACAAAGACAAATATACCCGCTCTGCTGCCGGAAGAGTTCCTCACAGACGAGTCGGAGCCCGATTCTGATGCAGAGTCCTCTGGCGATATGGACGACCGGCCCAAGAGGAGACGGGTCGCCCACGTCGAGCGTACCCTGACGAGGCTGGATCGAGGGCCAGCGGATGAGAGAGTGGGATCAACAATGTTCAGCGTGGCCAAGACGAAGACGGATCCGCGGTTACCGCCCAAGATGAACAAGAACGCGAAGCACCGGAAAGATGCATTGTTACAGAGGAAGCGGGCGCCGGTCCAGCCCAAAGGCAAGTTCTTCAAGAAATGAGCTGCGATTTGGAGGATGGTCTCGCAAAAAGGCTGGACAGTATGGGTCACTCCAAGTGTCGATAGGGCATTATGAGACACAAGCCATGGGGTTGAGGCTGCCAGCATAGCCAGAGCTTGGCGGACGTTGTTCTCGCTGCACAATCCGAACAAGCACCAGGCACTGCGTCGTCCCAGCAAGATGGACTCCGTCCCTGACCTGGCTGGGAAGGGCGAACTTGGACTCGCAAGCCGTCCGGCAACTGGGTATGCGCAAAGGAAAGCTTCGTCTCGCGACACAACTGAAGCACGCGAGCCCCTGCTACTGTACATACACGGTGCTCTGTGTGTTCTTGATGGAGGATTGCGACGAACAAGCAACCGAGCTTGAGTTATGATCTTGCTACTGCTAAAGCATGTTTGGGCACTTCATATTGTTAGACACGAGAGACGAGAATATCATTCAGGCCTCAAGAAGCCCCACGTGCTGTCCTGAGAAGTGCCTCCTGACGGTGATCATCACCAGCATGCTCAAACAAAGTTCCGACAAGCAGCATGCTGCATTGCTACATGACATGCCGTTGAAAGTTCCGTCAAAACCCCTGCTCTTCCTGTCATCGACGGTCGACCGGACCTCTCGCATGAAACAATCACCATGTCCACAGTCTGCAGCGGCAACAGCTACCGTGCGTAGTTATTAGAGCCCAGGGCCCGGGTCGAGATGGTGCGACCTTGACGACGCACTGGTGCTCCCGGGGTTTCCCTCGGCCGACCGCACGGTGACACCTGCAAACCTGTTCGTCCTGAAGGGTCGAAAACCTGGCAAGCCAAGTCGCCTGGGCCAGAACGAGCCCCGGCAAGGGTCTAGTCCGGGGAAGAGGCTGGTGAAACGCCACGCACAGGAGGGCGTTTGATGGGACTGGTTACCAGCCCTTGGGTATAGGAGACTGATACTGGTTCATATCGTAAGATGTCCGCCCGTGCTGTTTGATTGGGAATCCACCGGGCAGCAATTTCGAAATCTCCCTTGCCGACGGACGTCGACTGTGCGCCGACACTTGTGCACCTGTTGTTCACTGCCAAATTCCAATCAGTAACCCCAAGCGCCGTGTGACTCCGCGAGTCAGAACTCGGGGCTTGCCAAGCTCTGTAGCGAGATGATCAGATTGGATCTACGTACAGGACCGTGATCAGCTTCCGCAACAGTTGATACCCGCAGACCCGGGCGACTTGACTCGAGCCCAGCACACCATTCACAAGGGTGTCTGTCTTTGGACGGTGACTATCGCCTGGCGACGGTGAGACATGGGGCGGGCCTACAGTGGCCCAAACCGTTATCCTTGTCCGCCAAGAGCCGGGATGCTCCCGCGTGCCTTTTGACGCCATCCACAATTTGGCTAAAAGGCGGTTCAGCTACAGGGTAATCGTCGTGCTGAGCCACGAGCCCTTTTCCTGCTCTGGTTCGTGCGTCTGTAACGAATATACCCTATTGTATTACTTTGCGTGTGAGCAAAGTCCATCACGAGTGCCCTTGTCTTTCTGCAGTCTGCATCGGCGCGGGTGCTGCTATCCGCCGTCGTGCGAGGCTAGCCACGTGGTGAACTCGTGATGCTGTCAAAGACTCAAGAGAGACAGACTGAATCGCTAGCGGTGGGTAACTGTGGCTTTTTGGCTGGACGTTCGCGTCGGGCTGCATATGGTTTCTGCTGGCCAACCGCACCATGCTCTCGAGCTACCGGCACTATGGACTAGTTGGGAGGACTGCCTGTGAGTTTGGACTCAGCTCAGCGCCTTGTTGATAACTTGATGGTTCGTGGTGCAGTAGTGTCGCGACGGGCTTTCCACACACGGCAAATTCGACGAGCTTTTAGCGCCCAAAGTGTGGGAGTTGAGCGGCTTGAGCCCAGTCCAGCCCAGCCGTTCCTCCAGAACATGCAGCGTTGCACCATCATGAGACGACCGCTCCCAGCGGGCGTGGCGTGCTATCGCATGCTGAGGTTACCTTGAGGCTTGAGAGTCGCTGCCTGATGTGCTCGAAGGGGGGCGGAAGCTTGCGGAATATGGCAAGACGGCGCGGATAGTCGTTAAAAGCGTGTGCCAACTTCCACGGATACTTGGCATGTAGATCACCAGCGTCCCAGGGTCTTCCAAAATCCAACAACAGAGTTTGCGAGTTGCCCCTGAATGCCTTCACAAAGCGTGTACTTCACACGTCCAGTACCAAGTTAGCGAGTGCCTTGCCATCTGCTCTGAGTCTGACTTCCATCCGCATTTGCGCACTTCTTTCCATTTGAGGAAGGGAACGTCACATTGCTCGCTCTAAAGGAGCGCATGCATATGCGCAGGTGATGCAGAGGCTTCCTGTCGCTAAGTTGGACTGTGCAATCGTGATTGAGCTGGGACCATATCCAGCTGGGGTACCTTACTCGTGAGCGTCTTTGCCCGTTGATCCGAGCTATTAGTATCAATTGTCTGCGTATTGTGGTTGAACGCTGAAGAACGATGGACGCGGAACAATTACTTGCTTCGTCGAACTTGATATTGTCTGCCCGGAGATTAAAATCCTTGGTACGTACTTACGTCGTGCATGCCATGGCCTTCTGGAAGTCTATTGGAACGGCGTGTGCTATTATTATTCCCTGCCGATACAGATTGCGACGCGGCAGGTCAAGAGGGGTCGAGTTACGAGATAAAACCGTGATCTGGTCGGAAGGTCGAAAAAGCTGCGTGATCAATCAATACTACTGAATAATACAGTATTTAAAAACATTACTCGTGGCGGACGCTTGAAGCTCGATGCGCTGCGAGATGTTGATGGATATGCGGCTCTCGCTAAATTACTAGACTACGTACGTAGTGTCAAGAGCAGAACACATAACTTATTACAGTACGTATGACAACGACACATGTCCAAGGTTCAACAGAGGAGCAGAACTGTGGCGGTATAATACCTCGGCAATCAGTTGACCCCATCCGTTTGACAGCCTGAGCTGTTGGTAATTACTGACTTGGGGTACCATTCGCCAACCTGTCCCGTGCTGCAGAAATCAACACATTTGACCCTCACGGGTTCGGCACTTACCGCCAGAATCTGCCGACATGCAGTCACTGTCCAAAAGCAAGGAACCATGGCGGAAAGGGAAGCGAATATGGTGAGCGCTGGGTCAATCTTATCACTGGCACTGGCAGCTTTGAGGGTGGAGGTAGTAGTGTCTGTTGGATTGCAGTGAATGATTAGGAAGGTGCGAAAAGAATCCTCAGATCACGACGCACGCACAATGGCTCTACTGCCGCTGTAATTACCTCTGGTTGGCCAAATGATACCTAGCTATCGGTGACAAATTGCCATGTCGTGCATTTCACACATGCCTGTGAATCATTTTTACTGTAGATTCCTTCGAGCATTGACCACTTTGCGCATCGTAGGGGACCAATCTACACTAACGTTAATCGTTTACAAAGAGTATTTTAGTCGGCCCAACCAATGGTGCGCGGCTATTCTTCTCCATCCCTGTCAACGGAGAAAAAAAAAATCTAGACGTGATTCTCCTGATGATCGCCAACTAGTAACAGATTTGATACGATTGAAACCATGGACTGTCTGCGTAGTGCTAGTCTAGCGAGCTTTTTAGTGTGAAGCGCTTCAGGGCAAGCTAGTAGTGTCACCTCATCGTTGCGCCCTGCTCGTAAGCTTGACGTGGGGCAGCGGCAGACTGGACGCTCCATATTGCTGCAACCGTGAACCCCCCTAACGCCAGCTGAGGAAGGTGCCGAATAATATTACGAGGCAAAGTGTAATAGAACGTCGAGATGCGTCGAACATCAGCCGAGAAATGAAAATTCCCTTTGAAGTCTAGCCTCTCATAATTAACGTGCTGTCTCGTGTCAGAGCTGCGGCCGGGGCAAGCCTGGCAACATCCGCATGAAGCACGCTTTCTAGCGTCTGGGTTCAACTCCACCAAGATGTCCAGGTCCTGGAACCAAGTCACACTGTGCCTAACGGCGGATTTGTCGCCCACAATGCGCGCTGCGAGCACGTTCATACTGTGCTAGCATTGTACATCCGCGGCATTGACGGCCTCGACGACTGATCAATAACAGCAGCCGCACTACAGACAGGGTTTGTCCTTGTTAATATTGATGAGATGTTGGTGTCGGAGCCATCTGTGGGACCTGAACGCCCTGGGTTCTCAAACACCTGGATCACCGGCATTCAACACTGACCCAGAAGATCGGGCACAGCTCTTGTAAGTTGTGGCCAGCTGTGTTCCCGTCTCTCAAGTCTCGACGACAGCATCCGTCCTTAGGATGGACAGATTCACGCAGCGCAACGTATCACAATCGAACATGTCAATGTAACTGTGCCCTGAATCATGATAAAACCCACGTACGTTACCGCTACGTAAGACATTGTCCAATGATGTTTTATACGGCTCTCAGCGCGCTTCAGAGCCATCATTTTTTGGTTTGCTTCTCGGTGGAAAAGCAACCAATTCCTATCCTGTTTGCAATGACGACGGATCTTCCTACATTGAAACCTATTGAGACAGCTCAGTAAGCATCCCGCGCCAATTCCAGTCCTCTAATTACGTACCTACCATTGTTTTGTCTGCTGCATGCACCTGGACGTGCTTGGGTTTCTCCTGGATGCCGATACAGCCCACCACGTCGGCACTCATCGACGCTATAGACAAGTAATAGCATCTTGGCACCAGTGGTTCATTGAAGTACCTGACAACCTCTGGCGAGAGACCGATGAAATTTCAAGGAGCGGCACTCAGGCTCTGCAGTGTCAAGAGCGCACTTTTCAATCATCGTCGGCTCAAAGCGGGGCTGGTGAAACATCTACGACTCACGCCCACCAAGCGGTGTCTCTGTAAGGGTACGCTTGGCAGGTTCTCTCCAAGCTGTCATTCGCTGCTCGTGGACAGGATACACGTGGAGGTCTCTGTCAGTCCGAGACAGACCTCAGCCAGAGCTGGATATTAGTACGTACGTTCGGCTCGATTTGAAAAACCAGCGCATGTGAGCCGGGCGCTAATTGATGTCTACGTAGTACAGGCCTAATTCTACGACGACTCGACGATTCATCTGTACGTGCACAATCCCCGACGCCAGATCCACATTATGCGGCCCAGCCAAGACTCCAGCCACAGCCCAGGGTGCATGCATATTGCAGCACTACTGCGTCAAGGATCATGGGTCCAGTCGGTCGGCCAGTGCAAGGCGCTCCATGCCCTTCTGAAGAAGACTGGACTGGAACTGGACGGCCGCCAGGCCTCGACTGGCGCTGGGAGGGCCCGTTAGGTGCTGGGCGTTGGGCAATTGACCACTGTAATGGGAGAATCGACAGCGTCCAGTCCAGTCCAGTCCGCAAGCAGCTGAGCGCAGATGGCCGGCATGCCCCTCCAGCCCTCCAGTCCATGTCCCCTTTTCACTATCGCGCTCCAGTTCAGTCACTTGTTCCTGCGTCCGCGCTCCTCCTCCAGGCCTGGCCGGTCTTGGTACTTTGTCTGGCCGATCAACCAGCCAGCTCCATGTCCCATGTCTTTTTCTTCCTTTAATCCCCCCTCGTCCCTGATCCGCCTAGCCTTCCTCTGCTCGCCTGCAGCAGCCCTTGTCTTGCCTTACCACTCTTGGTGAGCGACTGGAGCGCATCCGATCCTCTGCTCTTTCCTGGTGCGGCCTCTTCCTTCGAGCTGCAGCCAATCCAAGTCTTCTACTTTCCTTCTCGCATCCGTCTCCTTCTCGTTCCTTTGCCAGACCCTCTCGCTACCCACATTGAACGTGGACGTCGTGCCTAATCCTGCTCTTTCGCGCCTCAAACCAGCCTCGCACAACGAACAACAACCAGCCGACTCTCAGAACAAAGAAAGAAGCGTGGCACCAGCAGGCAGCATCTCACCAGCGCCGATCGACCTATAGCGACTAGACCCAGCCCAGAGAAAAACCTCGGCAAGTGAGAGTCTCAATCGCTGTATGCCACAACGCGTCCAAGTCCCGACGAAACAGCGCGCTTCATTCTTAGAACTGCCGTCTCTCGATTATGCAACGGCTGTCTTGTGACAACTTCCACTGCAAAACCGCTCTGTACTATTAAGCCGCCAATGTTCAATCGATTTCACAAAAAGCCTAGCTACGGACAAGCTCCGAGCTACGATTACGGCCTAGGAGATCAGCATCATCCCATCTACGAAGCGCCGACGCATTTGTCTGAGCCTGGTCCAGGTGCTTTCCCGTCGCGATCAGAGTCTCGAAGACCAGGGCCTGGGGCTGGTTCATCAAGCTTTGGGACGACAGCACCGGGTGTCGACAAGGGTATGTGCGCCTTCGACCTGTATTTCGGTCTTCACATGACATGACACTCCCAACCGGCGGAGCTGTGAAGGGCCCTGATGCGAGCAATAGCATCCACAGATTCATCTTGCTGACGCCGCTTCCCCTTAGGTTACTCTGTCAACACGACACCACCCGCGCCGTACCACAACGGAAGTCACAACTTCCCTCGCTCGCAGTCATCAGCAAGTTCTGTGAGGTCCGGTCTCAGCAACGTCTCGCGCAGGGTTGGAGGGATCGATAATAACGTCATGGCTACGCCGGCGGACCGCAGCCGCACGCGGCGCGAGCGAACCTTTGTCGGCAGCGAGTGTGCAGTTTGCGAAGAGCCTTTGGAACATACACTGAGGGGCGAGCGCGTGCTTCAGTTCTCTTGCAGCCACGTGTCTCACGAAGCGTGTTTCTACGAATTCATCCGCGAGATCGACTCGCAGTACTGTCCGACATGCGATGCTCCGCTGCATCTTGATACCAGCCGCGGCGGGAATGTCATTGATATTGGTCAGTCGCTGGGTGGTTTGACAGGAAGATGCCTGGCAACTAATGCAGATGCAGAGAAAATCAGCAACATGGTGCGCTCCGTTGGGGATCCGAGATCCATGCAGACCCCAACGCCTACGTGGGACGCCCAGACCGTTCGCCCCCCCAGCGTGGAGAGTGGCCAGCGTCGTCACCAGCAGCAACAGCAGCAGCAACAACAGTCCCACGTCGGTGGCAGGGACAGTGCGCCTCGTGGGAGCGTACGAGACAGTCGCGAAACACAATCGACGGGAGATCGATATGGTTCTCGCCATGGTCGGAGTGACAGCGAAGTCACCGGTGTGACGGGCATGGGTTCCTCCGTGAGCTATCCTGAGACAACGCAGAGCGGTCCCCCTCGCCGGCACGACTATGACTTGCAGGCCATGGAGACGTCACCTGGCAGTCCTCGCACTATCACGCGCAATCCGATCCCGGCCCCCAGCGTCACAGTACGGTCCGAGTTTCCAAGCCTCAACCGGTCTCGGCAGCAGCAGACTTTGACCTGTCTCGTTACTATTGAGGTCCCCGACAGCAAATGGAGGCCTGACCCTGAGGACCTCGGCGCAGTTGCGCCACAGGCGCCTCCTCAGGCCGGTCTGGGTCGCATGGACGAAGTGGCTACACAGCGCCCACCATCCCCTGCCCGAAGTGCACCCAAGTTCTACCCGTACGAGTCTGCCGAGGTTTTGGAGGAAATGACGGAGAGCCTACGCAACAGAGTCGACAACTGGCATGGCCTCGACTTTAGTCGCTTCGGCAAGTTGCGCTTATATGGCACGCTGCGCGTCGGCAAGGACAAGGTCAACTGGCAGGAGCTCGAGTGCTTCCTCTTTGCTGAAATGCTCATTTGTGTGAAGGAGAAGAAGATACCACAGCAGTGGGATGAGCATGGCGCCCCTCGCAAAGCTCGCTGCACACTCAAAGGATCTATCCTGATCAAAAAGCACCTCAACGAGGTCACGGAGACGGGGAGTGTCGACGAGAACGTCTTGACTCTGGGATTGTCGGTTGCCGAGCTGCCCCAATTTCACCTCCGCTTCGAGAACCGCAACCAGCTCAAGCTTTGGCAACAGGCTCTCTTGGACCTCAACTCGGTTGAACAGTCACCGGTTCGCAGCCCCGACTACGAGCGCGACATGTCTGAGAATGACGAGGACGCCGAATGGCAACGCAGTCGTCCGCAACGCGTCTCATCTGTCGCTTCTTCTTGGGGTGCTGGCAAGTCCGTCACCACTGCCCCCACCGAGTACACAAGCACCTTTTCTAGGAACCCTCCGATTCCTAGCTCGGTCCATGTTCCGATCGACGTCGTGGTCGTTGTGCCCATTTCATCGTCTATGCAGGGCGTCAAGATCAACTTGGTTCGCGATGCTCTCAAATTCATGGTCAACGCACTTGGCGAGCGAGATCGCATGGGCCTCGTCACCTTCGGCTCGGGTGGCGGCGGTGTTCCCATAGTTGGTATGACCACCAAGGCATGGCCAGGTTGGAGCAACATCTTGGGGTCGATCAAGCCGGTTGGACAGAAGAGCCATCGTGCCGATGTTGTCGAGGGTGCCAACGTTGCCATGGACCTGCTGATGCAGCGCAAGCACAACAACCCTATCGCCTCTATTATGCTCATCAGCGATGCGTCGACCTCCGATGCTGACAGCGTTGACTTTGTTGTTTCTCGCGCCGAAGCTGCTAAAATCACAATCCATTCGTTCGGCTTGGGCATGACCCACAAGCCCGACACGATGATTGAGCTATCAACCCGTACCAAGGCCTCGTATACCTACGTCAAGGACTGGATGATGCTACGGGAGTGCTGCGCAGGCTGCTTGGGTTCCATGCAGACGCTCTCACACCAGAACGTGAAGCTCAAGCTCAAGCTTCCCGAGGGCTCCCCTGCCAAGTTTCACAAGATTAGCGGCGCCCTCCAAATCACAAAGCGTGCCACTGGCCGTGATGCAGAGGCCGCGCTGGGCGATCTTCGCTTTGGCGACAAGCGGGACATTCTCGTTCAGCTGGTCGTGCTGCCAGACAACATTTCACACGATCAGCTGCCCCAGGACCCCTGGGATAATATCGTCTCTGGCCTGGAGGCACTGGGTGGTCCCATGGACAATGACAACGAGCGGACGCTTTCCGTGGAGGAAGTCCCTCTGATCCAGGCTGACCTGTCCTGGGGAGACATTCTCCGCGACGGCGCTGCGATGCAGATGCCACGATCATCACTACTAGCTATCACTATGCTGCCTGCCACATCTGGGCAAAAGAAATCCTGGCAAGGGTCGCCTCCCATCCCGCCCTATCCGCACGTCGTTCAGCGGCGCATGGAGCTCCTCACGTCCGACATGCTCACCAGAGCGCTGACCCTCGTAAGTCGGGGTCAGCACGAGCGCGCGCACACACTGCTGAACGAGACCCGCTCTATTCTCAAAGGACTCGGCAAGGGAGGTCTGCCACCTGTACCACAGCCCGCCAACAAGTCTGGGCCTTCGACACCTCATCCCACAAGCACGGAGGCATCGTCCCCCGACCTGTCAGGCACGCCTGACCGCAAGCGCAGCCCATCGCCTCCGTCTTCTACACCTGCGGGCAGCAACGGTAACGGACCACATGTCCCCTTGCCCAGCAGCCGCTCCAACGACGGACTTGGCCTGAGCTCGGGCATAGATGCCAAGACTGTCGCCGCCCTGGATCAAGAGCTCGAAGCCAGTCTTGAATGGATCAACCACCCGGCCGTATTTGGTCGCGACAGTCGTAAGGCTGTGCTGCAAGCTATTGGCGTCATTGCTTCCCAGCGGGCTTTCACATTCCGCACCCCTGTCGAGAGCCTCTGGGCAGGTCGCGTCGGGGGCGTCAAGCGCCTTACAGAGAAAAGCCGAGAATGGCGCGAGGGCGGCGGCGAGGGTGGCGGCATCGTCGAGGAGACATGAACATACGCATATCGCAGCATGCCAACGTCTCGGCCACCTTCTTGATGTTGAACATGGCGACGGTGCCATCCACTTTCCGGAGTTCGCTTACAATGGAACTGCTTTTGGGTTGTATGGCGAAACGCGCAAGATGCACTATCTGTGGTTTGCAAGGATCTTCGGCCTCTGATTTCGCTGTTTCTGTTCTTCTTTTCGGGCCACCTCTAGCTCAGTGGAACTGTTGCCAACCAGTTCATCCTTTTCAGATCTTGCGTTTCTCTTCTCTCATACCCGTCACAACGGCCTCATATCAAGGCTTGTGCGCCTTTTTGCTCAAAGTTGACACGCTTTGTGTTAGCTCTTTCTCTGCCTTTGGACGTTACATATTTTGGTTATCGGTATCTTATCGCGGGTGCAAGATGAGGAACATGGTCGACGTTATCATGTTGGGTTCTGGGACTTTTGGAAAGTGATACATGGGTCATGGGACCTACAACGAGCGGGAAGATATATGCAATGCTATTTCAGGAAATCGTGTGCACTGCGCGACCTTTGCGGAAAGGCCCAGTAGGGATCTCATATTGCGGAGGAAACGGAGAAAGCGACATGACTGTTGCTTCTTATCAGACATAAACATACGCACGAATGATCAAAGAGACTCAATAAGCTCGCACTTGACGGCCTCCACAAGTTAAATATCGGTTATCACATTCTTTCTGCGTGTACGGACTCAATAGTGCTGAATGGCAAAGACTGTTCGATCTATCAGATGGCATACAAGCACATGAAGGGCGTGCTGCGTTTCGCGTCGCTTGTGTAACATATCAGCCTGGACATTCATGACAACATTCCTTTTTCTCGAAAAGGGGCAGCAGAAGATGACTGGCTTTGACTCTTGCTTTTCATTTTTGGTCATTGTCAGTGTTGGGCGTGGCTGACTGACGTCCTTTTGACTCCAGTATTATCTGTGTTACAGTCACATTGTGTAGATAATCCTCCCTCGCGCCTCGCACACCCCCTTGGCCCAATCTTGGTCAGATCGTCGTCGCTTAGTCCTCATCCCAGTTCTATTACAGAAAGTCTGTGGTTAGCCTTTCCATCTTTCTGGTGGTGACAGGGGGTTCGGAGGTGCAGTGCTCACAGGGTTGGGGCCAGGAGGCTTAGGCCCTCCAGCTTGTTTCGCGACAATGATCTGGTCAACAGAGAGGACTGTGCGTGCAGCTTCCGTGGCCAACTTGATGGCCCAGTACTTGGACACCATGAGGTCCAGAATGCCCTCTTCTCTCGCATCGAGGATACCGGTGTCGTCGTCGTTCTGTGTCCCGATTAGCATCGCACTTCGTCAACATTGTGGGGGGTTATTCATGTAGCGTACGTCAACGTCAACACCTGTATCCCAGTCTTCGCTCTTGTGGTGCGCAGCATACAGCCTGCTCAGCACCTCCGTGGCATCGAGGCCGCAGCTCTCGGCAAGGGTGCGGGGCACAACCTCGAAAGCCTCTGCATACTTCTTGATGGCGTATTGGCTGAGACCGGGCGTCTTCTCGCCAAACGCCGTTATCCTCTCGACTAACTGTGTCTCTGTGGCACCAGCGCCAGGCACAAGACGAGGATCACGAGTAATGGCCTTGACGACGTTGACACCGTCGTCCACGGCACGCTCAATGTCGTCGAGGTGGTTCTGGGTGGCGCCGCGGAGCACCAAGGTAGCTGTGCGGGTGACCTCGTCCTCCTGGCGGAAGACTGTGACGCGGTCACCACCAATCTCAAGGGTCTCGACAACGTCGATGCTGCCCATTTCGTCGGGCATGGGGGCACCTAACCGCGCCAGAGGCGTGGCGCCGACGACGCGGCATACTCTGCGCAGCTCGAACTTGCTGAGGATCTTGATGCACAGGATGCCGAAGCGGTTGAGGTAGTGCATGGCCAGGTCACCCACGCGGTCGCCGACAATGACCGCCCGCACGCCCGAGTCGTGAATCTCCTTGATGGAGGACTCGAGTTGCGACTCCTCGCCCTGTGTGAAATCCATCATCTCCTTTGCGTTGTGCAGCAGGACCGTTCCCTTGGTCTCGGTCTGGCTGCTGTCGATGGGGCACGTGTAGACGGCGACCTTGGCCTTGTTGACCTTCTTGATGGAACCATCAGGCTCCTTGGGGAAGACCATGCCCTTGACCACCTTGCTCTGCTCCAGGCTGCCGCCCATGATCTTGACGACGCGGACATTGTCCACGTTGAAGTTGAGGGGGTTCTTGGGCAGGACAGACAGCACAGCCTCGGCGACCAGATCGGCGAGGAAGTCCTCGTTGCCGTTCTGCTTGCTCGCGACGACCGTCCTGATGGCCTTGCTCAGCTCCTCCTGGTCCCGGAGATCCTCCACCTTGTCGACTGAGAGCTCCTCCAAGGTCTCGAGGGCAAACTTCTGTGCCTTCTCGTAGCCAATGACAATGTCGGACGCCTTCAGTCCCATGCGTAGCAGATCCTCCGCCTTGCGCAGCAGCTCGCCGGCCAGGATGATCACCAGGTTCGTCGCGTCGCCCATCTCGGACTCTTGCTGTTGGGAGGCCATGACGAGCAGCTTGGCAGCGGGGTGGACGACCTCGAGCTCGCGAAGGATGGTGGCGGCATCGGATGTGAGGATCATCTTCTGCAGGTGGTTGATGATGATCTTGTTGCGACCGTACGGACCGAGAGACGTCAGGACTGTGGACGAGATGGCACGGCAGGCCTCGACATTGCGCATGACAGCGCCATCTTCGGCATCGTAGCTAGGGTCGTGGTGGTTAGCATCGTCGTGACCCCTATCCTGGGAGCTGCCACCAGTTCCATGGTGGGGTGGACTCCTGGGGAAAAGAGTAGAACTAGAGCTTACTTGTTGTAGCCGCCCTTGAAGAGGCCGGCGTTGGGCGCGTTCGGAATGTTGAGAGACATGTTTGCCGTATGCGATGACAGTTATACAGCAAAATGAATGAGGATGGGTGTCTCCAGCTTCTTGGAAATCAACCTGGACTGGAGCTGCCTGTTGGATCACCGCTCTTAGAAAATCTTAGGCTGTGTGGTTGGAGGTGCCCCACTACTGCTACACCGTGACTGCTACGGGGAACAGCGCCCCTCCGGGCTGAGTTGATCCGCTCCGGCTGGGGTGGCTCTAATATGCGAAAGGAAGTGGACTTTTGAGGAGGCGGTTCTCGTTTACATGGGCATGATAACAAGGTGAAGAGGGTGTTCCAGGTTGTGAGAGATGAGTGAATAAGATACGCTCACTGCGAAATCGACAAGCGATAGTCAGGAAATCGACGTGCTGCTGGAGTGATGGTTGCTGATACTGAGCGACTTCCGATACATCGGTATACTGGTGACACTGGAGGTACCTGGCTAACACCGCCAACTGTAAGCTCTATTCGCTGGGGAACGTCAGCCTCAGTCGCGTCCAGGCCTTCCTCTTCTGTACATTTTCCAGCGTCATTCCATCATTAGAGCAGTATTTGATAAGTCGCTCGCTTTCACCATTGAACCAGTCGAGCATTGTCGATTGAGTGTCCATTGACCCACCGACGAAGATATATTATCCGATCAACAGCAAACATCCATTCCCATTGCGGGCCTGAGCGCACCGAGTGCTGCTACCCGTGGCCTCCCTTGGATTCAGTTCAGAGTTCAGAGACAATCTTGAATCAGCTTAGTGCCCGCCATGGCGCCCCAATCTGGTGAGTCCAGTCGCGTTGCTTCACATTGACTTTTCTTGCTGCACCGCACGACTTCAAAGCTTCATCCCCCTAGCTCTACCCCCAAGCTGCCATCCATCGATCGGCCTCGGCAACCGTCGCATCATGCCATCCAAGCGAAAATACTCAGAACTTGGCACCGCTGACAAGACTGGTGCATCTACAGCCCACGCGGTGCCCCCGACACTCCCGCCCTCTGTGGAAGAAGCCTATCGTCGGAAATGCGTCCAGCTCAAAAGTCGCACCAAGGAAGTCGAAGAGGCCAACGACGCCGCGCGCCTCCGCCTCGCCCGCTCGAAGCGCCAGATCGAACGTCTCCGCATCGAACGCGCCTTTCTGCTTGAGCAGCTTGCCAAGCGCACGAGCACCAATGTCGAAGACTCGGAGGGAAGCCCCAGTCCACCACCCACGGTATGCCACGAGACCCTCCTCTCCTTGTAGTACCCAGTCCCCCCGTCGTGTTTCGTACGGTACCCTCCAGTCCGTCTCGCTGCTGCAATGGTTGCTTGTTTTTCCTGCGCGAGAAGCTTTTACAGTATTGATCAAAGCGCCTTTTCCGCGTCTACTAGGAACAGCAAATGTCATTCGCGGACGACAAAAACCTCAACAGTACACTCAATGACGCGGATGCTAACCCCCGAAAGCCAAAAGAGAAGCCACTCCGTATGAAGCGCGGCAATCGCAAAGCAGGCGAGGACGACGAAGCAATCGCCTACCGCTGGGATGCGACCACGGCAGCGCCCGAAGAGATCCAGGCTTTCGAGAAATACGTCGACGCGAACCGTGCCTCGGAAGGCGCTGAGCCAGAAACAGAGGAGAAGCTGATCAAGACATGGGAGGAGGACTCGGCAATGAGAAATAAGCTCGTGGAGGAGGTTTTGGCCAAGCGCAAGGCGACAGATGTCGAAGAAGGCCAGTCCCAGGCTGAGGAGCAGTCCAAAGAGCCCGATGTGAAGTCGGAGTCGCAGATCGCCGCGGACAGGGCTGAGAAAGAAGCGTCTGAAGCTGCGGCAGAAGTCGGCAAGACCGAGGCTGAGGCTAAAGACGAGGACATTGAGATGGCGGATGACGATGCGAGCGCGAGGAGATCACAAGACGCAGGGGCCGAATAATGTGACAAAAGCCTGGAGCAGGCAGGGAGTGTGGAGGGAGATGGAATTGGTCTTGACCACGGGTGATTGGGATCAAAATGTTCATTATTTGCGAGGCGTTTATGGTGGTTACAGACATTTGACACAATAGATCGAATGCAATCGCACAAAGAGCCCAACCCAGTGTACCTTTGCGCCGTAGAGCCTCGTTTTCTACAGCCCTTTCTGGTATCGAACATACAAATAGAAGGCATCGGGATACCTCTGGGCCTGCCGGCCGTTGTCTCCTGTGTCCCATTCCACCAGGGGCGGTCACGAGCTGGGGACCATTACTCCCCTGCGTATAGATCTACCACGATGTTGACGGCTGCGACAACAATCTCGGCAGCAATCAACACGATCACTAAGTCTGTTAGTCACGGAGGCCATTTTGCACAGGCAAGCTTCACTCACCAATCCACTCCAGCTTCTCGCCATGGCCATGACTCAGCTGGTCCTTCAAGACAGCCAACAAATCGGCAATGACGTCCAAGCGCTCGGTGAGGAGGCCAACACGCTGATCCATCTCCAAGTAACTCCTCACAGCTTGGTAGACGGGCTCGAGTTGGGGCTCCACCCAGAAAAGCTCAGGCGTGTCGAGCACCGAACCGTTGAGGTGAATGTTGATACGTAGGATGAAGAGCTCGCCAATCTGCATGTTGATTTGGGAGCGAGTCAGGGCGATTTTACCGGTCAAGGCAATCTGGGTTGGGATGTCCTTGCAGGTATCAACCGTTGATGCAATCAACTCTTCGAATAGGGAGGTCTGTCGGTCACACTTGTCAGTTGGCTGCTCTCCAAAGGATGCTGGAGCATGCGCTCACCTTGACGCTCTGAGCTAAGGCGTGCGATATCGCCAGCTTCGTCATGTAGTTGTTCTTGTCTCGGAGAGTGATAAAGTCGTTGTAGATGCGCGCCTGGTACTCATGCGTGTAGTAGAAGTTGAAGTGCTCCGTCTCCACGTCGTCAGGCGCCAGTTTCTCGAGCTCAAACTTGGCAATGTCTTTGAGGAACCTCTTTTCCTGGATCTCTGTCATGCCCCATATGACTACCACGCCGTAGTCGAAGAGAAAGACCTCGGGAGTGTGGACCGTGACGTCCAGGTCTGGTATGGTTTCTGTGACGGGGCGCTCTTCATCGACTATGCTGGGTCCCAGCAGTGTTTCGCCATGGAGTGGCCCAACGTCGACATCGATGGCGCTCTGATCCGCATAATCATTCTCATCAGGCGCATCCGGGTGGCCATCCATGAAGGTTTCGCGACGCTGTTGCTCATCCTCTATTGAGTCGCCGCCCGTTGAATGCCTCCTCTCGTATACTTGCACTGGGTCCGGGCGAGGTTCTGACGATAGTGGTACAGGCGGCGGCGGGGGCAGCGGACGAGTTTGGGGTGTCTTGCCGTAGCTATAAGGCGTATAGATGCACTCGTCGATGAGCTTGGGGTTCGCGCCCCTGTTCTTGCCGCGACCCTTTAGAAACCGCTGCAGCCCTTCCATCTCATACCGGTTTGCGGTGCAGTATGCGGTGACACGCGGTAGTCTATCGCGGTCTGCTTTACCCAGCCTGGCAGCGTCCCTCCTGGCAGTGGGATCTTTGATGCGCGTGTATTGAGAGTAGACATCGCGACCGCTCTCCTCGTCGGTGTTATCTTCGTCGAGCTCGGGATTGGGGAGGAGTTTTAGTTTCTCGGTCTTCTTTGTACTTCGCTGCGCACCCTGCTTTGGCCCAATGTGTAGCGTCGCTGAAGCTGGTACAGCACTGTGGCTATTTCTCCTTCGTAGTTTACTGTTGAAAGCTGCCAGTACTGGCGGACCTCCGGAGCCAACAGCCACGTTGGATGTCGCAGGTACCTGCTGCCCTGGTTTGGGTTGCGCTCGACTCGACTCGGGCTCGATGGTTCGGGTGACGGGATTGGCGCTAAATGTGACGGTCCGCAGGCCCTTGGGACGAGGGCTCCCCGAGTTCCCCAGCAGCGGCGTATTTTCGCTTGCATCAGAAGATGTGGCCACGCCTGCGTTTGGGCTGGAGTGATGTCGCTCCATGATGGTCAAATTCGAAGCTGAGACCTTTGGGGAAGGATTCAATTGGCACCACGCATGCTGATTATCGACCCGCGCGTTAGGAACAGTGAAGTGCTTGCTAAGGATGCCACCGAAGCGTTCCAGAAAAAAAAAGCGACTGAAAGCAGAGTGTTTCCGCAAGGTGAGAGAGGGTAGCAAGGATGGGTTGAACTTTGGAGTTTGGGGGATGACGTTCGCTCCACTTCGGCTGCAGCTGCGCGGACTAGCCTAGCACGTTGCTGGGCTGGCACTGGGCTAGGCGATAATAAGCCTGAGTTCAAACTGCACATGTGCTCATCGCCAGTCCACAAAATGTCAAATCCGGACACCACGATGATCCAACCATCATCGTCACATTGTCGGACTATGCTTCGACGCAAAATGAGGCTTAGGGTACGCTAGACGTACAAAAGTTCTACCGCTGAACGATCAGGTTTGATATGGCAGGTGTAAGTCACTTTAAGCACGCGAAAGATTTCAAAGGTCATTTTTGGCGCGTCAGCTACAGGTCAAGTACTTTGCTCGCCAGTGACCAAGTTGTAGCGGCACAGCAGCCTATCCTACATCGGCCGCCACAGGCGCTGTCAACTGTTCTCACACATGCGAGAAGCAGCCGTGTGGGCAGCACGAATTCTCAGCGAACTGAGGACACTCAGACGAACTGAACCCGAATGCGTATTCATGTTGCCAAAGCTGCATGCGACCAATATCTTTCGCAGCTGAAGCTGGAAGGAGAGTGTGTAATTATCTGCCTCTACGCCTTCGCTTCTCGTTGGCTTCCACTGACTGTTGGCTTTGGATACAAACTTGCGACGATAGTGCTCAGGCAAGCATGCGCGTTTCCGTCTTAAATCCTGCCTTGTTAACGCGATCGACCAGAGGCTGCTTAAGACACGCTGGCGTGTAGAACCCTCCTTCAAGCTGGACATCCTCTTCCAGGAGCGTCAAAGCGCCCTGAGCAAGTAGCAGTCCAGTCACTGGTCGTCAGCACATCACTCTTACTGTGTGGACGGGCGAACTTACAATAGTACATACTGCCGCCCTCGAATCTCGCCTTGACGTACGCCTTCTGGCTTGACTTGGAATCTTCTTTTGGCACATCCGGATGCGCAAAGCCACGGTACTCGATGGACTCCTTGTGGTGTCCTGACTTCTCAGGCCCTTGCCCCGGCTGATAGACGAACATCTTGACCAGCGACCTGACTGGAGGCACAATGGCCAGCATCAGACCTCCAAAGAGGAGCGCCCAGTGGATTCCGACACCAGCGAGCCAGCTCTTGGCGGTATAGTACTCAGCAAACCTAAAGTTTGGTCCATACTGCTGACTCTGAAGGCTAGGGGTCGTTGCGAAAAGGCCCCATGATCGCTCAACCTGGGTGGCATCTGTGGAACCAGCAGGGGAAGTTGTCAGAGATCCCAGCTCTGGAACGTAGTGCGACCCGAAGATTGCTTGGAGGATACCACCGGGCTTCCTCGATGGTTCTGCGTGTTTGATGGGAGATAGAGCGTACGGCCCTGTTGCAGCTCGAACCTCTCCAAGCGAGAACTTGTCAAAGATGCTCAGCACTGTAGCGAGCGTGCCACCGGACGGGGCAGAGCTGTGGTCTTGATTAGTCTCTCTATCCAAATCAGGTAGTTTCCAGGCTTCTTACTTCAACTCGGCAATGGTCAGGGTGACATCCTTGCAGGTAGAACCCGTCTCCTTGCGCACCGATTGAGCCAAAAGGTACGCGCACAAATCGGCCGGCGCCGACTCAATACCGAATTGAGGAAACAGAAGAGCACCGCTCGCTTGTGCCGATTTCTCGTACTTCTCAATCATACGGCGAACCCACGGGAACTCGCCTGTGCAATCGAGGTAGTGAGTCCCTGTCTCCGCACAAACCTTGACGACCTTCTCTCCATAGATGCAATAAGGCCCGACAGTGGTGATGAGAATATGCGTCTTCTTCGCTAGCTCCACGAGCTGTTCTTCATTGTTGGTATCAGCCAGCTCGATGCCTATTTAGCAACGGTCAGCACGAAGAGGCCCCGGTCCGCACCGTATGATACGGCACCATGATCTAACATGCGTACCTGGAGCTTGCCTGTCTGCATTAAGCTGCTTGCATTGCTCGACCACAGCCTGGAGCTTATTAGACGAGCGGCCAGCGAGAGCCCATTTGAGATTGGTCGGTAGATGAGTAACGATATGTTCGGCTGTCAATTGGCCAGTGTAGCCTATTCAATGGGGTGAGCCACTTGCTGCCGTGATGAAGCTGGAGTCGAGTTCCTTACCACTAGCGCCGAGGACCACAAGGTCATACTGACGGCCGTGCTCTTTGAAAGGCATCTTGTATTATAAGGTGAAAGCGCGATAACGAAATTAATTTGGATCAACTGAAACAGCCTCGAGGCGGTGGGATTTGAGCAAGTTGAGAATGCGAAGATCTTCCTCAAGGGAATTGTATGAAGTACTTGAGATTCGAGAGGCGAATCCGCAACTCCGTCATCGCTGGTCAATGAGCCGAGGCGTTTCGCCGATCATGATCGAAAGGGCTCTGCAAGCTCCAAAGACATCTGATAAGGCGCGCGCATCTGAAGTGAATCATAGGCTTTGTCTATCGAACCACTAGCGATGGATGCTCGAGCACATGCACCAAAGCTCATCGTGTTTCAACATCTGTTTTCAGTTCATTGGAGGTTCATGTCCGGTAACCAAACAAAGCGGTCGCAGCTCTAATTTTTGAATTGCTATACAAGGCGTATCGTGGTTCCACGACGCGCGCTTCCCTTTCTCAAGTCCTCTAGAAGCAGCAATTGCTGATACTCGAAGACAGATGTGCGTGAACGTGATAATAAAGTTATGGGTCGCTGCTGACGAAGGCCAGTGAACTGTGGTCGGGACTTGTCTGATGGCATCACGTGACCGACGGCAGCACCAGAGTGCAAGTGCAGCCGTACCTTAGTCATCAACAATCACCAGCATTTTGACGGTTTCCCCCCACTCACGTGCTTGCCCTAAGCAAAATTCACAACTCCCACCCGAAGGACATTTTCGGGCGGCATCCAGCAACTACCGCTCTCCCACGATCACTTCAATCCCCGTCGCCAACACATCACAAATCAGTCAAGATGACCAAGCGCACAAAGAAGGTCGGTGTCACGTACGTATCACTGTTCCTGAAATGAAGAATTATATACTGACAATGCTGCAGCGGTAAATATGGTACCCGGTAAGTCTTACCACGACCACCCACAATCCCTCAAGCCGTCTGCGACCCTCGAAACGAATTGCGACTGCACAGCACAAACCGAACGAACCGAGTAAAATTACGCGATGCACACCCCTGGAATGCCACCGCCAGAATATCGGTCCTGCACAGCGCTCTAGCACATTCGGCACGACCAATTTGTTTCGACGACACCAGACGAGTGACGATGGGAGCTTTGGAAGGCCGAACGAACTAACACACCTTTCAGTTACGGTGCCTCCCTGCGTAAGCAGGTGAAGAAGATGGAAATCACTCAGCACGCCAAGTACACCTGCACCTTCTGCGGCAAGGTCACCGTCCGCCGCCAGGCTGTCGGTATCTGGGACTGCAAGGGCTGCAAGCGCACTGTCGCCGGTGGTGCCTACACCGTCTCGTACGTTGCCTGTTGTCCGGACTTGTCGTCTGCACATCCGCTGACACCCACTGTAGTACTCCTGCCGCCGCTGCCACCCGCTCGACGCTCCGTCGTCTCCGGGAGATCGCTGAGGTCTAAAGCCTCTTGTCGTTTTCAGCATGGAAGGGAACTAGGGCGCGAAAGAGCATTTCGAATTTCGGCTTCACTTTTCGGAACGGTGTCCTGGGGGTAGTAAACGGAATGGAATGGTTTTTCATTCAAGGATTGACTCGTGCCTTCGCATACTACGAGTGCTTATGACGATTGGACGTTGGGACCCTATCCGCCCAACGAGACGAACTAGACGCTGGTCGATAGGCAAATGCGAAAAGAAATTCATGACACCCAAAGGATCCACGGGATTTTGCGCTCAGATGATGTTACCAGTCGCTAAACAAGTCCCAGGCAACCCGGGTCGTGCCTGAAGAGAGGGCTTCTTCATGGCAAACTTGTATCCGCGATGGCCGAGCCCTACCTCCTGAACTCTCTCGAGAGATGTCGAACACTGCATCCCTTCGATCATGCGTCCCACAGTATTTCGAGTTCACTCGCGGGAGGTTTCTGGGTGCGGGTGGAGCAGCCGTTCAGTCACCGAAGTTCCCAGAACGCTAATTATGAGAAAGGAAAGCTTGGGTCAATCCCTCATGTGTCGCAGTTTGCTGAGGAAACGCATTTCCAAGTCATAGGTCCAAACTCGATGGCGCTGCCTCTGGCTCAGCTCACTTACATCGATGCCTTGGCAAAGAGTTGACACCGACTAAGCTGCCTTCACGCGTGATAGCACACAGCAGGCTTTGAGGGTGGTGCATGATACATGCGCCCAGCAAGGATGGGGACAAGTTGGCGGTGTGATGGTTGCCGAGCTGATTAATGACAGTACGATTGTCGCTGTGTTGTCAGGGTCGGAGTATATTCACTCATTAACCAAAGTTTCGATTTAAGATTGAAGCATCGCATTGCAGGATCAGAGGTCAACTATTTATCAACTTTTGCACACGTGACTTGGCGAGCCCAAGGGTTCTGGCTCAAGCTCATTACGAGGCTGGTCACGATGGTCAAACGAATGTCTCGTGCCTTGGCTGACCCCGATTTGGCGCGGGCGCTATGGTGACTGGATATGGTCACACGTGCATCTTAGCAATAGTAGTAAAGTCAGCAGTGAAGTGTTCGTAACTAAACTGAAGGTACCTTACTTGACGACCTTCATCAATGTCTTACAGTCGTCACTCTGTCGCCTCATCAGGATTGAGAGTACACTTTGCAGATCTGTGTTGACTCACCTGATTGCTTTACACAGACCAGTATACCGCCTAATCTCGTCAGTCTCGGCAACATTTGTCTGCTGCGTACAGTACACTCAAATAGTGCTCACTATTCGTACTCGGCTTGCCTTCAGCTGCCCTGGGTGTCAATCGAAGGGTGGAAGCACGGTGCGCCTAAAAAGACACCCCAAAACGATCAAAAGCAGCTGTACTGTTGGTGAGAAGAGTTTCACAACACGGTACGAGCCCCCACACCCCATTCTACACGTACGTTCAAACAAGTTGACAAAGTGAAGGGAGCTGCTCAGACATAGGTAGAGATCGGAAGACCGCCTTATCGTCTCCTGCAGGCGTGTCACTGTCAGGCACTACAAGTACAAGTACGAACTCAATACCAGGTACATGTAGGCTCAAGGGCCAGGCATCGCACCTGGAATCCTAATACTACGGTACGTACTGCTAATAAGGAGTACCCAGCGCGATTGGCGGTAACGTGCCAGGGACTGAGCTGGACTGGGCTCGATTGGAGTCATTGGACCCCGCTACCTTTCGTTGTTCCCTTCGGTGTCTTGCCGGCCACCAGGCCACCAGACCTCCAGTCCCCGTCAATTATCAGCAGCGCGAGTGCCAGGCGTCACCCATTACTGGGCCGTTGCTTCGAGTCAGCAGCACCTCTAGCTGGTGTCTGAGGCGCCTCCCAGTCTATCCAGGACTCATCCTCTTTTCTTCCTCTTTTCAACTCTCGAAACCGGTGTTACTGCGCTTGTCAACCAGGCCCGGAAAAAAAGGTTCCACCACCTGACGCCAGCGCAACAGCCCCCCAAGCAAGCGCTGCACCTTCCGCCTGAGGACCACTTCGACCGACATCATCAACTGACGCCAGACACGATCATTTCCGCCCATTGTTGCCTATCACTTTCAAACTGCATCAGCGTGCGGATCTCTGGCCTGGCAACTTCACAAAGTCACCAGTACCATAACGTATCGGAACTTCAAGCCACCAGTTTACATGTTTCCTTCAAGATACCGGCTCTACCATTTTAATCGGCATCATGTCTGAGCCAGAACAGTGCATTATATGCCTGGACTCGCTCCCACTCCCGCGATCCTCGGGTCCGGCCTTGGTGGCCGACAGCGTGCTCCAAGTACCACCCACCACTGTCGACGCGGAAAACAACAACAAACAAGAAAATGACGAAGCTGCAAATCTTCTCAATGTTGTCGCGGCCCTTGACGGATGCGAGCACATTATTCATGATGCGTGCATTCGGTCCTGGGCGCAAAAGACGAACACCTGCCCCATCTGCAGGAACATCTTCCACACAGTCCGTGTCTTCAATGGCGTTGACGGTAGGTTCAGCACAGCCCATCCATACTCTGTACCATTGACTAACTCTAAATTTCCACCAGGGACGGCCATCTCCCAATACGAAGTCGAAGACAAGAAGCAAATCGCCGAGTTCGACATCCAGCAGTGGCTAGGCGAGAATGCAGAAGAAGAGCCAGAGCAGAGCAACCCGTGCCCTATCTGTAATTCCGCGGAGCAGGAAAACGTACTCCTCCTATGCGACAGCTGCGATGCTGCCTACCACACACACTGCGTCGGGTTGGACGATATTCCAGACGGAGACTGGTACTGTATGGAATGTCGACATGCATTTCAGCTCAGTGACGAGCCTGGGGACTTTGCCAGCGAGACGCAGCCCAGCCGTCGTCGTCGAACCACACGACCACAGCCTCGGAACGGGCGAGGCTACCACGTTCGAACTCGAGCACGCCTCAGAAGAGCCCGTCAGCAAGCGCGAAATGTTGAGTGGCAAGGACCGTGGGGTCAGTTCGCTGGCCGTTTGTACGACCTTGCCGAGGTGGACCTAGACAATTTCGACGACGAGGACGAGGAGATGGGCCAGTATCGTCAGTTCCAACAGTTGGATCGGCGAGAAGTAGAGCGTTGGCGACAGCGATTCGACATAGCGCAGCGTTGGGGTGCGCAAGACGCGTTCGCACACAACATCCCTCCGGCCATAAGCGAACAACTACAGCCAGCACCTCCACCGCCACCTCAAGAGACCAGAGATGAACGGCGCGCTTGGGGCGCATTCGAGCTTGCGCGTGCAGCAGAAGAAGGCAGCACAGCTTCAAGATCACGGAAGCGCAAGACCCGTTCCATCACCGCTTCCCCCGCCGAGCCTACACAAGAGCCAGAGCGCAAGCTGAAGCGTCCACGAACCAGACGGTTGGCCACAACCCATGCCGAGGGGTCAGGCTCAGGCTCAGCGCCGTCGCCAGTCCCAGGTCCATCGACCGCGCCAGCCGCTGACGCGACTACCAACGGCCATGGCGCCACCGTGAACGGATCGTCGGTACGGCCTGAAAGGACAGGACCGGCTTTGGTGTCATCGTTATTGAAGGAGCTCGAGCCCAGCTCTACGTCGGATGACGAAACATCCCAGATCGTTCCCGGTCGATTTGTCCGCACGGGCGCTTCATCGCCAGTCCTTTCCCCCGCGCCGTCCAATCCAGGCACTCCTCGCGGGTTGTCAATGAGCCCGCCACCCTTCCAAGGCCGACCATCCTCTCCGACCTTATCGCTGAGCACGCACATCGAGCCGAGATTCGGGCCTGCTCCCTACTCTCCTGCGGCTGCTCGAAAACAGGCCAATGGACATGGCAGTGGTAGCGGCAGCGGAAGTGGCAGCGAGGGAAGTGATTCGGACAGCCGGTCGAATCGGCAACGTCGCGGACGTAGACCTGAAATCCAGCAACCCCGCCCGCGACACGCAAGGCAAACGCAGCAGGCCGCCGTTGCAGAACATTCACCCAACAGAGGGAGCGTGATCACGCAAGAAGAAAAGAAGAGTATCAACGACATTGTCAAGAGCGCGCTCCGGCCCCATTGGCACGCACAAAGACTCAACACCGACCAATATGCGTCCATCAATCGAGATGTTTCCCGAAAATTATACGAAGAGGTTCGTGATGCGAATTCGCTAGACGAAGATACTCGACGGATGTGGGAATCGAAGGCTTCTTCTGAGGTCGAGCGAGCTCTCGTGAAGCTGAACAGCGAGACGACGACCTGACGTATACGGCATTGGGATCTTGGACTTTTATGTAACCGAACGATTGGGCGTTTCAGGGCATCGAGTGACGGCGCTCGAGATGGTTTGATACCCAGCATTTGCTAGCGAATCCGTCTTGTTGTTATTTTTGTTTTTGCATTGGCACACAGCGCGAGGGACCATCATGGGACAGGAGGAGTCGTGTATATCATCACAAGCCGTAGGTACGGCTATGGCAGTTGTTCGGATTTTACGTATATATCTGGACATGTCGAAATGTCTGCATGGCGTGGTAGACAATCAACTGAACATCGAATCCCTATTGGATCTTCTGTGACTAAAAATTGGTTTAGCCTTCTGTTCTATACCAAGATGAGGGATGCATGGCTCTCAAGAGGTCCGCGTGTTGAGACCATGTCATCTTTGTGTTCTTGACAAGAAGTTGCTCTTCTGCGACGCCATGAGCGTGGAGGCATCAGAGTGACAGCGCGGTAGATTCGTGTCACCGTTGGGTCGCATTGACGGAGCTTTGGAAACCGAACCACAGGAACGAAGTCAGGTCGAGCGAGAATGTCAGCAGTAACTATCTAACAGAGCCGAGTAGGAGAACTAAAGGCGCCGCTAGCGAAAAAAGACTGCTCTGGGCTTTAATCTCGGCACTCGTAAATGATCAGGACGTTCTGGAGGTGGAACAGGTCTTGACGATAAGGAAAATGGTGCCTTGGAAGGAAGAGAAAGGGAAAGGGAGAGGGGGATCGCAGCGGCCGCAGACTTTGTGCACAATTCTATGTGGGCCTCAGGCAGGGCCAGTCAGCAGCGTCGAGGTGATTAGTCAGCTTTTTTGCGGACGTCGAGGAGCCACCCCTGGCTCGGGCCGTGATACTGCGACTGGAGAAAAAGTTCAGACGCGACGGCGGTGCTCGAGTAATCGCACAAGACAGCAGCAGCCAGGTCTCATGTCAACCATGGCAGCTTCGAGTAGGGGCAGTCAGGCCCTGAGACGTACAGTCTTCTGTGAGGACATATTCTCCCCAGGCATTGAAGCTGTTGCTAACTCACCTTGCCAACAGCCTCCCCGAACGTGTGCACTCGTTGCGCAACGACACGATTCTACTCAGCGCCAGCCGCCGCGACATCGCCCGCGGAACCGACCATCCCTCAGTCAACTCAGGTGCCTCCGCCGCCGTCACCCGCTGTTACGCCTCCCGGTGCGTACGATGTGCGCTCTGGGCTGATCCTCACCCGCGCGCCTCTCCTTACTCGCAAACTGCATCCTTTCGAAAATGCCTTCTTCTTCTACCAGAAGCGTCTGGAGGAGCGATTGAATAGCGCTTTCATTCCCAGCATCTACTTCCGTCCCGACACACCGAGACGCATGGAATGGGACTTGAAGATCAAGGAGCGTGAGGGGACAGTCGCCAAGGAGCTGGGTGCCTACAAGGGCAAGGGCGCAGATGCGTGGCAAGACGAGCTGCGCGTCGGGGACGAGTTGAGCTCAGAGAGTCACATGATCAAAAGCCTGCTCAAGGACGCGGAAACGAGGATCAGCGAGGACGCGGAGATTATCCCCGAGGCCGACGTGACCCCAGTGACGCTGCCCAACGGGAGAGTGACCGAGGCCGACAAGAAGGGCGACGTGAAGAGGCTGGATCGTGCGCTTGACCGAACGCTATACCTCGTTGTCAAGGGCAAGGACGGCTGGGGTTTCCCTGCCGACGTCGTGCCGGAGGGCGAGAACTTGCACACGGTAAGGCGTCCTGTTCCATCGGGCCAAAGCCTTTGATGGTATGCCTAATTGTCAGACAAAGCTAATATCTACTTAGAATGCCCAGAGGGTTCTCGACCAGGCTGCAGGCGTCAACATGAACACCTGGATCGTCGGTCGTGTGCCAGTCGCTCACGTCGTCAGACAACCCGTCATCAAGGCTGACGGATCCGTAGAGGCCAAGGGGCAGAAGACGTTCCTGCTCAAGGGGCGTATCATGTCCGGGCAGGCTGATCTGAAGGGCAATCCTCTTGGCTACACGGACTTCAAGTGGCTGACCAGGGAAGAGGTTGAGAAGGAATTGCCAGCGGGGTACCTGAAGGGTATCAGGAACATGATGGGCGAGCGCTGAGCGGCTGGCTCAGGGCTAGCATGTCGGGGACTGCTGTATTACAATGTAGAATTACGACATGTGTATACTGTCTTTGTATGAACACTATGCATGGGAGGGGTTAGAATTGAAGACCTGTTTTCTGCGCTTCAAAGCATTGGCGGCAGTGCCGTTGGTTCAACTGACGAGTGCTCGTAGGCATGCACTCACGTTGAGAGTGGAACGCCAAAGGACTCGGATCGACCATCGGACACAACAGGACTCTATGGGGGCGTGAGCTGGCGGCGTAAGAGCGAGCACGCAATTGCTGACTGCACAGTCCGTCGGCGAGTCTACCGCCATTAATGGTCAGTGCACCTGACATGTTTGTCACAACCTAACCTATCACCTATGAGTCAAGATCTAATATTTAGCATACCATATAATGTTTAATATCGGCCTTAAGCTCTAATCTGAGCCCTAGATTACCCTTAGCGTAGCCTTGATTTAGCCTTTTAACTTTATTCTATTTAATTTTATTTTTTATTTTTTTTAATATTCATATAATTTAAGTTATATAAATTAAAAGATTATATAATAACTTCGAACTAATTCAAACTATATCGAAACTATTTCTAGATAGCTCTAAGCGATAGCTGACTCATCTTATCGATAAGAAATATGTCCTACTCATCTGTTGATAGGTGACAGGTGCACTGTTGGCTTCGCTAGCCGATGATGATTGCCGCCTGCAGCGGTCTCCAACATACGGTGACATACTGCAATTGGAGACGCAGGGGAATCGTTATGGCGAGGTGTCCTCAACTTGCTGACGTACCTTAGGTACTTATTGCCTACCAGATTGTTACGTCTTGGTATTACCTGTGCGGATGTTGAACCGGTAACTCCACGCTTACTTGTAGTACTGAATTAGCATCAAAGTCAAGTGGATGGACCACGATTAGGGGACCAAGGGGTATCGACTAGAAGAGGCACGTGGCGCAAAACACCTCGTCCAATTGCTCTCATGGCTCGCGCCCAGTTGATTGAGGCCCTCGATTCGTTCGTGCCTGCAAGTGACTCAGGTCTCGTCTGACTCTGCCGTGATTAGTTCAATGTCACTTTTTGCGTGCGTGGTTTTCGCAAAAAAGCTGCAATGCCCCGCCTCCAGTCGACCTGAATCCCGTCCTCAACCGTAACCCCACCTTGGAAAGGCCCCGCGCTAGCTCAGGTACTTAATTATCGCCCTCGGTTTTCTTTTCTTGCGCGATCCGTCTTTTTACTTCTCTTTCAGACCCAGTCCAACCAAACAAACACCTTTCGATTCCCCTATCCACGTACACGAAGACGCGGATTCAGACAATTACGACAATTACTCGACTAAATTCCACGAGTACATACACAAATACAGTCACAATGACTGCCCAAAGCCTTGCCGGTGTGCAAAAGTTTGAGAACAGCTTCCTGTTCACCGTACGTTGAGCCAAAACTTTTTTTTTTCCGCCGACAATGAGCGCTGACCACTTTTCACAGTCCGAGTCTGTCGGCGAGGGCCACCCCGACAAGATCGCTGACCAGGTCTCTGACGCCATTCTCGATGCCTGCCTGCGCGAGGATCCCCTCTCCAAGGTGGCTTGCGAGACTGCCACCAAGACTGGCATGATCATGGTCTTTGGCGAGATCACCACCACCGCCCGCCTCGATTACCAGAAGGTCGTCCGTGATGCTATCAAGGACATTGGTTACGATGACTCTGAGAAGGGCTTCGATTACAAGACCTGCAACCTGCTCGTTGCCATTGAGCAGCAGTCCCCCGATATCGCTCAGGGTCTTCACTACGAGAAGGCTCTCGAGCAGCTCGGTGCCGGTGACCAGGGAATAATGTTCGGCTATGCCACCGACGAGACTCCTGAGCTCTTCCCTCTGACCCTCCTCTTCGCTCACAAGCTCAACGCTGCCATGTCAGCTGCCCGCCGCGACGGCACCTTGCCCTGGTTGCGCCCTGACACCAAGACCCAGGTCACTGTTGAGTACCAGAAGGATGGCGGCGCCGTCGTCCCCAAGCGCGTCCACACCGTTGTCGTCTCTGCCCAGCACAGCGCCGACATCACCACCGAGGAGCTCCGCAAGGAGATCACAGAGAAGATCGTCAAGAAGACGATCCCCGCCAAGTACCTCGACGAAGATACTGTCTACCACGTAAGTTCACACCGCTTACATCATCGGCGAAACGAGACTAATTCCCTATGCAGATCCAGCCCTCTGGTCTCTTCATCATCGGTGGTCCCCAGGGTGACGCCGGTCTGACTGGCCGTAAGATCATTGTGGACACCTACGGTGGCTGGGGTGCCCACGGTGGTGGTGCCTTCTCCGGCAAGGACTTCTCCAAGGTCGACCGCTCTGCTGCCTACCTCGCCCGCTGGGTCGCCAAGTCTCTGGTCAACGCCAAGCTCGCTCGTCGTGCTCTCGTCCAGTTCTCCTACGCCATTGGTGTTGCCGAGCCCCTCTCCATCTACGTCGACACCTACGGCACCTCTGACAAGAGCTCGGCCGAGCTCGTCGAGATCATCAACAAGAACTTTGACCTCCGCCCCGGTGTCATTGTCCGTGAGCTGAACCTCGACCGCCCCATCTACCTCCAGACCGCTAAGAACGGTCACTTTGGCACCAACCAGAGCTTCTCTTGGGAGCAGCCCAAGGAGCTCAAGTTCTGAATGAGCTAAGGGTGGTGAGTGGAAGACGCATTCAACAAGTCTTGCCACACCCAACACGAGAAAAATGTCGCAGGAGCGCTGATGATGTGACCGGGAACAGTTTGCATCGGAAAGCCTTCCTCCGTCTTGACCTCGCTAACAATCGCACCTGAGTGATGACGGGCCACGGCCCGCGGTTCTCAACGAAACCTTGGTAAACGAGCTTGCAGTGGGCGCTCGGAAGATGGCTGCCCGGCAGTTTTCCAGACAAAACGGCACGCGCTCCATTACCTACCCCTCACGATACCCCTTGTCTTGTGCGACATTGGCGAACGTCGATTCGCGCGAAGTCGGGGGGTTGCTGAAAGGGGTCGGACCTGGGACGAGGTTGCAAGGGACATCTAGAAACAGGCCAAAAGGGGGATGTCATACTAGGAGGGTCAGCAAGCAAGAATCTCGACAAAGAGATGTGCTCGCTGAGCAGTCCCTCCAGTTTCCTTGATCTTGAGAAATTAGAGGAGCAGGTGGCTGATGGTTTTCTATACTTCTTGTGCTCGTTACAGCTGCGCATATAGAAAGATAGACATATTAACAGCGAAAACAAAGACAACTTGCTATACTCAGTCATGTTTCTACCGCATACGTATTGATCGGGTTCCGATGACTTATTCATCGCTGGTCGCGTTAACTGGACAGCTTTCCTCCACCCGTCCCCTTTTTGACTTGGACGACCGATAATCGATGCGATGATGGCTACCCTGTAGGGTCGTCGAGTACAGTCTAGGCAGCGTATGGCAATGGGAAATGACTTTATATACTTGATGAATGGTATCTCGTTTATCAGTTTTGTCAATCGTCACCCTTGACTCTTGTACAGAACACTTGAGTAAGTTGAGTTTCGATCGCATTGACATGTCTGATGTGGAGGGAACGTGATCGTGAAACGGCGGTGTTATTATCATGCCCTTCCATTTGTGATAATACACCCACTCTATTAACTAGAACCTGCCCCTTGGCTGGACAGCCCCTTTCGGCAAACTTGTGTTTACTGCAACAATAGATCATAAATCGAAGTACCAAGAGCTATGCTTGCTGTCCAGATACGTGTCCGTGCAGGCAGGCCGCTTGGCGCATCCGGACGCTGAACAATCAGGGCGTCCGTCGACGTGGTGTGTTACCACCAGTTTCGTCAGGGACCTGCGACGTTTTCGGCACTCTGACGCAGAGCCAGGCAGACACGTTGCTTTTTTTTTTTGGTCGTGCAATGAGTCGTTACCCTGAAAACCATCATCGTCTTCTCCGGACAAAGTGTTTCACAGCATGGGCTACCGCTAAGGTGAAGGACTCTAACATTCTTAGTCGCTGCCCGACCCTCAATTCTGAGGCGCCCGGACCGTGCCGCGCGAACTATCAAACGACTTCTTGAGTCAAGTCACACTTTGACTCTGGGACGAAGACACTGAAGAGAAGAAGCTTTTTGCATCTTAGGAATCTATGATGGCATGGGGTCAAGTGCTTGCAGAAGTGCCACCCGTGGGATTAACCCTATAGAATTCTACGTCGCCTGATTTCCGATCGCCGAGTTGTTCTCGTCTCGAATTCAGGTGAGAGATGCGTTGGATCTGTAGAGACCGCCCCAGCAGTTGAGACCGCGAGGAACGTGTGCTTTGGTAAATGAGTTGACAGTGGGCTCGAGGTCCCGAGGATGCTGTGATCTCGGAGAAATAAACATCACGAATGCATTTACATTTACATGTGTCGCCATGGCGTGCATAGACTGAATACCTGCGTCACTGGGTTGTCGCGATCTTTATTACATGATCTGCCGAAGCAGATCGAGTACCGAGTAATCATAATAACATTGCCTCAGACGAGGCGTCGGGCTGTCGCTGAACTGCCTTGTACGGTTGTACTAGCAGCGTTCATCTCCGAACCTGGGGGAGACAGCTCAGCATCCAGCCAGCCTCAAGGTGAGGCAAGCAGGGATCAGCCTCGCTCGAGTCAAGCTACGTCGAGCCTGACGCAGCTGAAGCCTGAACGGGAGCAGCAGACTGACTGGGAGGCAGTGCTTTCACTGCTTTGACATTGGCGTGCGTTTGCACCCTTCTCACATCCGTTCCGTACTGAAGTGGCTGATCAGGTATTCGCGCACCGAGGTCGGGAGAAGCAATTAGTCAGTCAGTCAGTCAGTCGCTCAGCTCACATCAGACTCAGAGGCACATGCTGGTGGAGGAGGAAGTCGAAGACGGGAAGATGCCGTCCTGGACGTGGCCAATCAGAGGGGGCCACGGTCCTCGTTGAGACACTAGCGTGCCTGAAAATCAATGCAGGGCGGGGACAAGGCATATTTCCCGCTTTGCAGCCACCGTGACGGCAGCTGCCAGGGCCAGGAACACGCACAAACCAGCGCAGCCTCCATGAGCACATCAGCGTCCAGTCCAGTTGTGCCCAGCCTGAGCCCATCTCGATGGAGACCTATCCCACTATTCATTAGACATTGGCACGAGCATACATGATGACGACTTTGTTGACAATCACATCTCAGATCTGGTAACTTTTGCGTCTCGATCGATTCGGGAGTCCGGGACCCAACCCAACATAACCCAGCCTGACGGTTGACCACGAGGTCCACGACATCCTCGGACCAGACTTTAAGAGCCAGGGATGGTACATACAGAGCAAGCCAACTAACAATAATAACGCTCAACAACAAGAGTCAAGATTTTCTTTTTCTCCCTCTCACCCCCGCGCGCCTGCTTTTGACAGGTTGATCAGCAAGTGAACAACATGGCATAAGTGGGCGCGGACCACCTTTCCGCTGGAGCGAGCCCACATCACCATCCCATCCGAGGGACTGAGTCACCGAGCAAAGGAACTGATGATGCTCCTGCACTCGAGGATCATAAATTGCACCTATTGCTTCTATCGCTCATGAGCCGTATTGGGTCGATGCGCCGGGCAAATCAAGACGAGCAGACGCTCGTCCGCAGCAGGGAAGCAACCCTCACTCGCTCACTCCATGAAAGCCACAGGACGGCTGTCATCCGCCCTGCCTTGGTTCAATTTCAATACGGAGCCACCCTCTCCCACTGAGAGCAGAGGCTGCAGAGCCAAAGTTTCGAATGCCTTCCCCACTAGCCCGGCTCTCTTCCCCTGCGGTCTGCGGATCGCATCACCTGCAGGCATAAGGTACCCCTGGTCGTGTCATGCCCTGGCCTCTGGCAGTTTCGTGCCTGGCAGCTGGGGCGTGCTAACAACAAGTCCACATGTCGCGCATGAAGAAGACTGCGTTGTATTAATACCGGTATTATTGTTTTTTTTTTCTCTTTCCTGTTCGTCGTTTCCGTGGTGGATATTATTACCTCCTCTATCCTCTTACGAGTCCGTCCCTCTCCTCCTGCTCGTCTGTGACTTGAAGCGTTGACCGGCTCCTATTCCACTCGTTTGATATCTTGCAATACTACGTACCACGGTCATTGATCACCAGCTTCTGACTCAGATAATCAGATTTGGTCTCTGATCGGGTCTTATATATGACCTCTTGTGTCTTATTGCACCCCACATTGTCTCTCGGCAGCCCGTGAGTCTGAACACTACACAGCAAGCCACTTCCGCTGGTCAGCCGCGACATCTCTCACGATCCCCATCGTTGCTCAAGACAGTCCGCTTCGATTGTTCATCGGTGGAGGGATTCTACTTCAACTCTACCTTGACCAACACACATACCGGCTCCCTCGACAACCCACTCTCGTTGGTTGCACCAACAAGGCGCCCAGCATCTTGCCGCCTTTGGTGTTGCTTCGTATCTCTCTACACATCGACAAAACTAGAAAGATCCTCTGTCTGTCGTCACCCATCAGTGCAGACATCCAGCAGATCTCGCCGCACAAGGTGTGAGCGCAGAGACAGCAAATCGATCACTCGACAACAGCTAGTGGAGACATGAAGCGAGCTCTTCCTTTGGGACTGGGCATCTTGGCCCTGGTCACCACCGTTGCGCTCATATGCGATGGCATCGTTCTGGCCGTTCAGACGACGAAAGGATCCTCGGTATGGGCTACGTCAATCATTGCCACCATACTCGAGGCGATAGTCCTGAGCATGCTGGCGTGGTTCGTCTTAACGACCTCCTCTCAAGCGCTGGCATCCCTCCTCCGACGCTCATCGCCAAGACGACTCGCCGCCTCATTCACCCTCGCGGGTATTGCTTGTCTCTTTGCGTCCGCCATGGTCATCGCTGCCATTGTTTGTCTGACCAACAACCCCGGAGCCGTCGGCCCTCACAGGTCTAGCCAGGCTCATCTCGGTGCCTCTGCCACCATTCTCGCCATTGCGGTAGCCTGTCAACTGGGCTTCCTTGCTGCGCACTACTTCCTTTGCCGACGGACCGACAGTCAAGACAACACAACCACGCACACCGACGCCGAGCTTCGTTTGTCGCCAACCTCACGGCTCAAGTCGGTTCCGTACAGCCGCACCCGACCCTCCCTCGCCGGAAATCGTGAGACGGATTCCAAGAGCTCGATGGAGAGCGGGTTCACCGAGGAGCTCAAGGCAGGCTATCAAGCCATCTCGTCTCCCCGGCCTTCCTTGTCACCTTCCCTGCATCACGCCTCTTCAAAGACAAGACTAGCACCGTTGCCGGAGAAGCAGCGCCCTCAGTCGCTGGAAACGGTACGCCAGAGGCCGAGTGCCGACGGGTCGGACAAATCATCCTTGTACAGTCGGTATACCCAAGATCTGCCGTCGCCTGGCCTTGTCAAGCCGCGTCTTCTCGAGACGATACCGGCCAGCCCGATTGTGGCCAATGACCCTGCCATGAACCTCGCCGCAGACCTCGAACCCCCTCCTCCCATCAGGCAGCGCAGCCGCAGCTTCAGCCCCGTGGGCGACGAGCGCAGATCACGACAAAGGACCCAGTCACCAGCACCCTCCGCCGAAGAAGCCAACATCCACCCCTTGTTCCGATCCGATTCGCCAACGCCGCCACCGTTAGCGTCCGCCGGGACCAGCGTCGTTGCGTCTCCTGACGCCGGCAAGGTCATCCCTCACCGCCCAAGCATGCAATCTATGCGGCGCCTACGCAGCAGCAGCTCAGCATCCACACTCAGTCCCCTGAGTCGCCGAAATTCCTTTGAGGCGCCAAGTATCAAGAAGCCCCGGGACGAGCAGGGCAGTATCCTTGAGGTTGATGAGGAGAGCGGGGCGGACACGGATGTCGAGATGCTCCCTCCGATCCCAGACTTTGTGATGGGCGCGGGCAACCGACACAGCTTGACGCGCTACAACAGCAAAAAGTCGGAGCACGAGCAGAGCTGAGCTCTGAGTCTTTTAATTTTTCTTTCTGTTGGGCGGCAGTCGTGGTTTGGAAAACCGACCTGCTGCTTTCTTGTTTTCCTCCATTTCGAGCAAGGCGTCATGAGGTGTGCAACGGCCAAAATATAGACTACTAAAATTAGACGATACGCATGAACGATTCATAGATACAAGAAGCATATACTACCTTCATATACGTCTTTTCCACACACAATCCTGGGCCAGGTAGGTCTGCACGCTCGCAGAGACGCTGCTCATCCCCAAATCCATGGTTGCCACTCTCAATCATAGAAACGACTCAAAGCTCTTGTTTGGCCGGCCTGACGGGGCAGTATATAATGTCCCAAAAAGCTCAGCACAGCATCTTTCAGGTTTCACCTGAGACCATTGACCAGGATCTTCACATCGTCGTCCAGACGAAGGGTGGTATAATCCCTCCAGCGGAGCGTGTCTTGCTCTGCGTCCTCCAGGCGCATATCGAAGCGTCGAAAGAGGTTCCCGAGGAAGACATAGGCCTCCATGTAGGAGAGATTCATGCCCGGGCATATCCGTGGACCCTTGCTGAACGGGACCAGGTTCTTCTTGTATGCTGCCGCGTCGTCGCCTAGCCATCGTTCGGGGTTGAAGACGTCGGGCTCGGGGAAGAGGTCAGGGTTGTGGTGTATCATGCGCTGTGCCGTTGAGACGGAGGTCTGAGAAGAAAGGCATCAAGTATTAGCGCATCACTATCTCTGTGCCAGGTAGATTTGAAGAGCAGCTTAGTACGTACCCCTTCCGGGAGGAAGTGTTTGCCGTATGTAGTTCCTCCGGCCGGCACAACGCGCGTTAGAATGCCGGACGCCGCAGACGATATGCGTAGGGTCTCGGTGATTACAGCAGTCTGGTATTCATAATCTTGTCAGAGACGTGCCGCCACAGGCTAGTCGGTACTTCAAATAAGGTGTTTGACTGACCAGATAGGGCAAGGTGGTCAGGTTTTGATATTCCATCAACCCATCCTCGTTTGTTTCCACCTCGCTGAGTTCGTCTAACAGCCTTTTCTGGATATCGGGATTCTTCAGGATGCACCAAACGCCAAAGGTAATCGTCGTCACCGTGGTCTCGGTACCTGCAATAACGAGGGAAAACGTCTCGTCCACCAGGCTCTTGGTGGTGCGGTGCGGCTCGGCTTCGAGGATGGCGTCGAAGACGGTCTGGCGACCAGTCTCATCGCAGAAGATGCCCTTCTCTTGCTGTCTCTGACGGACCTCGGTGACCCACTCGGCACATTTCTATGGAAAAGGGGGGACTGTTAGTCGTGACAAGGCATAAGATGTGGTGGTCTCGGGACATGCTCACGCTGCGAAATTCCACAAAGCCCGGGACCAAGCGCGCCATGACCGGGTTCGGAAACGACTGCAATGTAGTGCCCAGAATAGGGAAGTGCTTCACGAGAGCAAAGTTGCCGGTCAGAGAGACCAGCGAGTCGACCAGGGCGGAGGTCTCTTCTGATCCTTGGACGCAGTTCATGTCCTTGCCGAAACACAACTTCATCATAATATCCATCTGCACACAAAGTCCATGCGTCAGTATATACACTCATGGGATAGAGTAAGAACGGATCTTTTCAATGGCCGTACCGAAAAGTTCGACTCCAACCTGTTCAGGCGCAGGGGAAGACCCGATTCATATGCTTCCTCCACTTTTCCCAAAGCAGCCTTGATGATTTGGAGAAGGCTGGGCGAGAACTGTCTCATTGAGGCGGGAGAGAACATGGGACTTATGATGGCGCGGCGAGCCTTATGCGCCGAGGGATCCAGAACGAACGGTAGTGCGTCGAGGTCGCCTGCAACCTTGGATAAAGCTGGCTCTTTGGAAAACTTGGTTCCGGTAGAAAAGACCCTTGTTTAGATGTATGAGTGGCCATGACATGTGCCCGTTGGGGCTTTCCTTGTGCCCGACTTACAAGTGGTAAAACTCCACGTCGTTGACGTGAACTCTGTTCGGACTCATGCGGACAATAGGACCTGGCCGTATGATTTCCCGTCAGACAGCATGTTCGTGTGAGTCTGGAGACAAACAAAAGAAAGCATAGTGCCGTACCGTATTGGGCGTGGAGTCGAGGATACTCCTTGAGGTAGTGCCCGTCAAGGATGACATCCTCGTAGAACTCATACCAACTTGTTGCCGCCGCCAACTTGGGACCCGGCACGTTTCTGAGTGGATGTAAATAGAGACGGTAGAACACGAGGCAGAGACTGTAGACTGTGAAACCTGCCAAAGCCAGGACCGAAAGATGGGCGGCCTTAGTCCAGGAGGACATGGCCAGCCAGCTCTGTACCGAGAGAAGGCCAAGGCTGAACATGATTGTGCGTGAAACTGTAACTTGGTAGAAAGATTCGTCACAATGAACCGCGTTTTGGTCGGCGGATGACATGGGAGTGTGGCCAAGTTGCTCCTTCGAGGACCGCCGTTTTAAGAGGACAGCGACCGCACCCCATGCCAGTGAGAGCTGCCTCTACAAATGGCAATGTTCCGGTCCCTCCAAGTCGTCGATATTGTGGTCATGCAGACTGGACCATGCAGGTCTCATCGCAAGTCCCAAAGAGGCAGCTTTCCGGTCTGCGCACAGAGTGGGTGGTACGGTGGAAAAGACTGTTGCTTTTTTCTTTCCTCTGCCCTGACTGGACTTTGATTCCACAAAGATTGGCCATGTTCAGCATCATCGCGTATAAGGCTGCCCCCTTGTGATAGCCCCTTTCGAGCCAAACAGATCACATTTCCCGTTCTGGAGAGATTGGAGTTTGCGAGTGCTGACAACATAGATGCCATACGCCCGCCGTCGTGACGGCACAGTTCCCTACAAGAGTGACGTCGAAATCGGCATTGCACAATACACTATCATCATATGCACTGGCACCCTATGTTGGTAGACATGTATGTGTGGGGGTGAGCTTGAGTTGCTTGGTTGGGCAAAGTATTGACGCACATGCTTCCTTCTGGGGGAGTTGATCCAGAGCTCAGCTGCAGACGGATGCGAAGCCAGACTTCGGCTCCGTGTAAAAGATTCGAGCACGATTGGTAGACCTAGCGCTGAAAATAGGCAAGCGTGCATGAGCGAACAAATTCAAGCTGTATTCGCTTGCATGAATGTTCATTGCTTCATTGACGCAAGTGCGCATGCAGCTGTCCGGGCCCCCCCTATTCGGAGGTATTCACTATTTACCTGCAGCCTGCCGTTGTCCGGCCTACTAGACCTACGTCAGGCGCGGGGTGGACTGGACACTTCCATGTCTCATTAGAGGTCCTGAGCACTGCTACTTTGCCAGTGCCAGCCGAACATGACGCCTCTAAATCCCACCTGCACGCTGTGCAGCAAGCACCTGTGCGCCGTCCACTGCTCCCCCTCCAACAAACCACCAACTTCAGCTATCAAGCGGCCCAGCCTGCGCATTCGTGCCGTCCACAGTTTGCGTGGCATGTGATCTCCGTCCTCTTCAGAGTCCATGTCCGTGTCGTTGCCAGCGATCCGCTCCCTGGGCAGAGGACAGGCGGAAACCTCCCCATCTTGCGTCTTCAGGCTTTCAAGGAGCTTTGCGCACATGTCTATGAGTAGCATAACGTCTTGCGACCGCCAGGAGCATCCATGGCAGCGCACTAGTGCCTCGCAGCTTGCCATGGCTGTCTTTTGGCATTGCACGAAATCATCTGCCATGGCCTCCTTGGACGAGATGTCGATGACGAGACCCTCCCATGCCTCCAGAGGCGTGGTCAGACACAGACAGCAGGGAGGACTGCTGTTGTCGACGACAGGCGTGATGCCTTGAGCTGTATCGGTTCCAACAAATGCCGTCTCTAAGCATGTGATGGACTTCAAGGCAGGCGAGGCACCAGGGAAAGGAGAGCGATTCAGTTGACAATGATGGCCCCCAGAGATGGCCCTGGACTGCTCGAAGGCCGGTTGCACCATGTGATCCTCCATCCTCCATATTTGCTCAGGTGTGCCGATGAGGTCAGGCATGGCGACAGTGGAATTTAGAGACGTGTCGGGCTGGGGACTGATGCCAGTGGTGTTGGGAGGAGCCGACTGAGGCCCGGTCAGGCTACCAGCTGCTGATTCCCACATAGACCAAGTTGTCCCTTTAGGGCAGGCCTTAGTCTGGGGACTGTCCAGCTCGTCCGGAGAAGCGTCATCGGGAATGTCCTTGCGCGTGTGAGAAGACAGCATGGGCGCACTTGATCGAGACGTGCAACTCAGTCGTCGCCGCCGCCCTTTCACAGACCCAATGACAAGGTCAGCACCGTCCTCGCACCCATAATCACAGGTCAAGTTTCGTTTTCGACAGTTGCGGCAGCCGGCGAGCTCGCTGCTACACCGGATCTAGGCGCAGCCAATGTCAGCACGAGTCCCGGAAAGCCGAGGACGTACGGTGAATAGGGGTGCCCTGCAGATTCAATGGGCGCGTTCTCACCTTTCTAGTGCGACAAGGGTTGCAGGATGATCGCCGAGGCCTTCCATTTGGTGGACGTTCAAACGGCGGTCCTGTGGGCAGCACGACATAGGAGTTGCTGTCTTGCTTCCAGGTGTTGAACATGACGCGACCAAACGAGAGACTTCAGGCGGAACCCGGGAGTAGAGACAAGGAGCTACGTAGCTGGCTTTAAGCTCTGGAGAAGGGCACGAGGGGATCCATGCCCTTCTGGGGCTTTTCCCGAACCTCGTCCTCTTAGACACGGGATGTTGCATATACCGAATACAGTAGGGGGAGCGTTGGTGACGAGGTACATGCCTACTTGCATATGGGCAACCACCATGGAATGCATTCTCGATCAGGTGCTGCGACAGCAGAACGACGAGCCGCTGACACAGCGCTACTCGGTTTACTCGGACAGATAAGCAGAACCGCGAGGTGACCCGGAGCGGTTGGTTTCAGCTTGCATCCCACCATCTCATTCATCACCATTGTCTCATGCAAGACGGGCCGCCGACCGCCCGGGCATGCATGGGGGACCAGCAATCACGAAGCAGGCGGCGCGTCGCCTCTACCCAGGAGGGTCGCACCCGATGCGCCAGACCCAAGCTGAGGGACGGCAACCTTGAGAGGGAACCAGGTTCATAGGCTGTTGGGGGCAGCGACATCCGACATGCTGTGGGTGATGCCTGAATGGATGCGCCGAGGTTGTCTCCTCAGCAGGCTGCGTGAACACGATGAATCTGGCTTTTCCGCACAGCAACAAGGAGCGCTTTGTTTGTATGCGTTCTGATGAGTCAGCACGCACGCGCTTGCCGACCTACCTCAGGTACCTGGTAACGTTAAGGCGCCGGAGCTTCGTGCGCGGTCTTGTATGTTGGGATGCACGTATGGATAAGGAAGGTATTTTGGGCCTAATACAAGCAGTAACTCTCCTCAGAAACTCCTCGAATTCGCTATAGTTGTTTCAAGAATGGGTTCTACACGTTCCTAGCTGACTACTACTAGTACTAAGGTGATTGAAGATTCTCTTAGGGTTCCACAAGGGCAGCTGCAGTGCATGAACCAAACAGCAGGCGGGGTCCAATGACTCCAAAGTCCAAACCAGTGAGTTGCTCCAAAGTTGCGCCAACCTGCCTAAAACCACACGGCACTTGCTTTCTAGTCTAGGCTGAACCTTGACCTCGTCATCTTCAGCTTTTGTTCAACGCACCTCGTCCCTCTTGTGACATCCTTTAGCAAAGGACTCAATATTATTCAACTATACCGCGACATTATCCGTAGCTGCAATCCGTCGCCATCATGAAGATCACTTTCAAGGTACGTCATCAGATTCACATCGCCACCACGGCGCTGCTTGCGCTCGACTATGCAAGCCCTTATCATGGGAGCTATCCGAGCTGACGCCTTGCGAAGGATCTGAAGCAGCAAAAGTTCACGCTCGAGGCTGAACCGAGCGAAACGGTACGACTGACAACCACCGCTTGTGGTATTGACCCCGCCACTGACTGCGGCCCCAACAGATTGGTGCCTTGAAGCAGAAGGTCGAGGCAGAGAAAGGCTGGGATCCCAAGTCGCAGAAGCTCATCTATTCCGGTCCGGAGACCACCTTAATCTACCGTTGGTTCGAACGGTATACTGACGGAGCGCAGGCAAGATCTTGAAGGATGACGAGACCATCGGATCCTACAACATTGAGGAGAAGGGCTATGTGGTCTGCATGGTGAACAAGGTACGCTCGTGCCCACGTCTCTCATCGCACGTTCAAAGCTGACTCTTGCAACAAGCCTAAGCAAGAAAAGCCTGCCGCAGCTCCTCCTGCCACACCGGCTCAGCCCTCGACTTCGACACCAGCCGCGCCTGCTGCCCCGGCGCAGGCACCTTCCAGCGGCGCCGCCGCCGTCTCTGCAACTCCCACACCCAACCGATCGGCCGAGGCCCCCGCCAGCTCCGATACTTCTGGTCTGGCCATGGGGAGCGCGAGAACCGAGGCCATCGCGAACATGGAGGCCATGGGTTTCGAGCGTGCTCAGATTGAGGCGGCAATGCGTGCCGCTTTTAACAACCCCGACCGTGCCGTCGAATATCTTCTAACCGTAGGTTTCTGGTGTCTCACAGGAATAGTGCAATCATGCTGATACCGCGCAGGGCATCCCCGACAACATCCAGCAAGAACAACAGCAGCGTCAGCAACAACAGCAACAGCAGCAGCAAGCGGCTGATCCAGCCCCCGTTGCTGCTGAACAACAGGGCAGCACCGGCGATGACGGCTCGGTCAATCTATTCGACTTGGCAGCTCAGCAAGGTGGTGGTGCTCGATCGGGCGGTGGCAACCAGGCTGCTGCCGCCGCCGCCGCCGCCGCGGCTGCTGCTGGTGGTCAAGGAGGGGACCTCGGGAACCTGGACTTCTTGCGCAACAATGCTCAGTTCCAGCAGCTTCGCCAAGTCGTTCAACAGCAGCCCCAGATGCTGGAGCCTATTTTGCAACAGCTCAGTGCTGGCAACCCTCAACTTGCCCAGCTGATAGCATCTCACCCGGACCAGTTCCTCCAGCTTCTGAGTGAAGACGCGGGCGCCGATGACGTGCCCCTGCCCCCCGGCGCGCAGACCATTCCCGTATCCGAAGAAGAGCGCGACGCAATTGAGAGAGTAGGTGCATGCACCCGCCGATAGCGTGCCTAGCTAACAGTTTCAGCTGTGCCGTCTTGGATTCGATCAAGAATCGGCTATTCAAGCCTACTTTGCTTGTGACAAGAATGAAGAGCTAGCGGCCAATTTCCTCTTTGATCAGCCCGAAGACGACGACGACCAACCTCCTACCCAGCGATAAGCGCGGAGAAGCGCGTAGTGGCCGCAGTGATACCAAGTTAACGAGACTATGATGGAGGCTTAAGGCAGGCTTTGGGCGTTGAGGTAAAATGTGGTCTATCCTCGGTCGGAAATGGACACAGCAACTAGCGGAAACGAATACGTATAGCGCTGAAAGGCATCCCGTGAAATGATTACAAGTGTGGATGTCATTCTGGAAACTGAGATGGTGAATTTCAAGAATCATTGTCCAATCATGCAAGCCTATCCTCTACCTGACCAGTAAGGCCTTTTGCCGGGTATCTAGTAAATCATCTGGAAAACGCCATAACCCCCTGTCCAACCGTAGAACAAGACCTCACTCAACGACCTCTTCCTCGCCATAAAGACCAGACTCCTCAGCCTGCTGCTTCTTGCTCTTTTTCTTCTTCTTTTTCTTGCTGTGGAGCTCGGCATTCTCGCCCTCGCCCACTGGATTCCCGTCATCGTCGGCAAAGAGCTGCTCACGCTTCTTCCGCATGACCTCGGCCTGCTCGTCCAGGACACGCTGTCGCTCGGCCTCAAACTCCTCCTCGGCCTTCTTGTGCTCAGCCTCGATGCTCTCAATGGACTCAAACTCGGTGCTGGTTATGGTTTTGTACTCGTCAATGTCCATCTTGACAGACTTCTCCCCAATGAGCGCCGAGTCGATCAAACTGGGGTTGTGCCGCTCCTCGCGATTGAACTTGAGCTTGACGTGTCGGCGCTGCTTGCCAGGGAACATTTTCGAAATCATTTCAAAGTCGGTCCCGAACATGCCCAGTGCCCGGTAGAACAACTCTGTCTCCTCGGCGGTCCAGATGTTGGGGCCCTTGAGTTTGGAGGTATTCATGAACGAGTTTGACGTGATGAGGCGCGTAAAGTCGTTCTCCTCAATGGCTTCCATGTCCTCTGCGTTGGCGGCTGCCCGAGCGTGACGGTCCATGACGAGGGATGACTGGTCCACGACAATTTGGCCATCTACGATACGGAACTGGGGCCCGGCCGCAGGCGCCTGCGAGGGCTCTCCATTAGCAGTAGCAGCAGCAGGTGCCCCCGCCGCCGCCGCCGCAGGCGAGGCGTCTTCGTTGGACGGACCAGGCGAGTTCTTGGCCGCCGACTCATCGTCCGCCACGCTCTCTCCCCGTTTCCGCCTGAGCTTGGCCTGTCTCTCCCGCTCGCGCAGTTCGTCATGCCGACTGAACTTTTTGCCGATACGGAGATCCTGCGTCAAGTCTGCCATCTTGAGGTTCTGCAAGTCCACAGTTTGCTCTTCCGCGCCTTCGGGCGTGGCGGAACGCTGTCTCGGTTTTCGTGGATTCTTGGATGCTGCCCGTTTCCGTGGTCGCTTGGGCGCGGACTCGGACTCATCTTGCACGGCCGACTCACTCTCCTCCGCGCCTGTCGCCCCGTCCTGGTCGGCAGCTGCAGCTGCAGTAGAAGCCCGTCGTGGGGTCGCCCGTTGGCGCTTTGCTGGACGGGTGACCGGGGCGTCATCCCCTGTTGAGGCCGTTGTGGGGTCCTCTAATGTCGCTGTAGCCTTGCTGCCTTTGGGGCGCGCGGGTGCCCTGGGTCTAGGTTTCGATTTTGGTGTTTGTTTTGGCGTTGCGAGATCTGCGACTGCAGGGAGCTCATCTTGCTCTTGCTCCTGCTCTAGCGCACTGTGCCCCCCGTCAACCTCTTGAGCATGGGTTTCCGATGTCTGACCGGCCGCGGGTTTACTGATCGAGTGTGATAGTCGTGATGAGACTCTTGCTGGGGCTTCCACCGGTGTGCTATCTGGAGCTGGTGTTGGCGGGGCATTGTGCGAAGCAGTCACGTCCTCCGTGCCCGCTCGGTCTATGCTTGCTGCAGTTTCTAGAGTCGCTTTCTGCGTGCTGCTCGATGCTGTGTCCTGGGGTCTCGACGGATCGGGTGTATGCTGCTGCGCAACCCTTGGTCGGTCGGCGGTGGTCGATTTCGTCGCTTGGTCTCTGCTTTCTGGAGCGCTACTCGTTTCTCTCGGCGTCGATTGGCCTGGGGTTGTTGCCTGGGAAGTTTCCACAGAATCTCTGATCTCGTCCTCCGCGTCGATCTTCTCTGCGGCCACTTGGGCAGCAGCTGGCTTGGCTGGTGCAGGCGCTGCAGGACGTGCGCGCGCTGAAGGCACCTTGGGCTTGAAGGCGGGCCCACCGCGTTTCTTGAACATGGAACTCATGATTGAGGTTATATGGGAGTATCGATGCTCGATAGATCACATGTCGACACGTGGAAGTATTGCGCGCGGTTAGGGAAGAGTGATTGATGAACTGGGAATTAATTGACTGGCGTTTGACTGTAGGTGGGACAGAGTGGGATTTCGATGTTACCCCCACCCGGAGAATACCCGGAGGCTCTGCGCTAACGTGCGTCGAGCGTGGTCAACCTCGAAATTTCAACTCCTTGGGGGGCACGGGGGACAACGTGCTCCATTCAACACCACATTCCACCCATCGCGACATCCCCCAACCCATGACCCGCCGCGCATCGCACATTGGGACGGGACCAGGCTCGGAGGTCTCGCTGTCGCTAAGGCCTGACGCGGACTGCATTTCGAGCCGCTCCTTGCGCTGCTCACCACGCGCCATCTGATGCCTGTTGTCACAACGCCCTCTGCTACCACCCGTGCACCCTCGAAAGCCCCCAAGATGGAGGACAGAAAGAGACCCGCGAATAGCGCGGCTGATGAGTTGGCGCCTCCCAGCAAGAGGGTCGCAGTCAATGGCTCCAAAGGGAAGGACGATGCCTTTGAGATGAAAGAAGAAGGCTGGGTTGAGGTACGTGTTGCATGATCCCTTCGCGTGCCCACTTGGTCGGTCAGCGCGCGCGTCTTTCTTCAACTGGCACCTCAAGTCACAAACCCTTATCATCAAACACTCGTCGTTATCTCGCTGCCACCAACAGTGGCGGGCAAACCCGCGCGTTGCGCGTCGGCATACCCGCTCAGTTACGAATGAACACACAACAGCACGGCTAGACCGGCATCAATCACGCGTTCAACCTCGTCCCTTTCTCTCTGCGATACTGCTCGTTCGCTCTGGTCAGTTTGAGGCCCGTGCTGACTATCAGTGTAGGCTTACGCCAAAGGAGCCATCTACCGTCAGATGCAAGAATACAGCCGCAGGGCTACGACAGCGGAATCGCGCCTTGAGGAACTCCACAAACGCTCTGTTCACCATGACGATCATATTCGCATTGTCGACGCGTGGTGGCTTCAGGTGAGTCACCTCTACCCGATTACGGGCGGAGTGGAATTGACAAGGGACAGGTCCTAGAAGAACTCGAAGTCATTGCGAACTCGCAGATTCCAGATGCAACGAGCGAAGATGGTATGCGATAGATTTTACGCTTTCCGGTTTAATAAACAAGTACTGATCTATTTAGGTCCCCCATACTTGTCAAGTGTGACGTTCAAAGATCTGCAGGAATTCCAGACTCATCTTCAGGACAAAGGCAAGACCATCAAAACGAAAGCCGAAAGCCTTCTCAACAAATTGGCCACGAGTCGCACAGAAATATCTCCAGAGGCCGCGCAGCTGGAGTCCAAGATCAACGCGCTACTAGCCTCGCAGAAGGAATTCTTATTGAAGCTCGATCGCTTGAACAGTGAGAAAGATAAGCTCTCCGAACAGCTCAACGTCGCGACTTTGAGGTACTTCAAAGCAGAGAAAAAGCTGGATCGTGCGCGCAGCGTACAAGTGCAGAAATTGGAACAGCAGGCGTTTGCAAACGCGACGACGCCCGCTCCAGGGGCAGGGGAGGCTGCGGATTCCAAAGAGGCCAACAACGGGAACACCAGCGAGCTCTTGCTCAAATACGAAGAATCGACTGCAGCGGCGACGAAGCACAAGGAGCAAATCGAGAGTCTCCTGACGGAAGTCAAGGCCGCACAAGAGGAGAACTCGGCGTTGAAAGCAAAGCGTGACACCTGGACAGACGAGGATTTCATTCGATCGGATGTCTTCAAGCAGTTCAAGGCACAGAGCGAAGAGCTGATCAACCGAGTAAACAACCTCGAAGCCACGAACCGACAACTGCGCGAGGAGGCCGAGAAGCTACAAGCTGAGCGATCAGCCTTCCGCACGCAGCTTGAGGCCGACGCCAACCAAATAACGCAAGATCTGGAAACAGATATTGTGGCACGCGACCAAGATCTGGCCCGTGTACGATCGTCACGAGACGAATACATGGCAGAATGCACGCAGCGCAAAGCGAACATGGAGCAAGAACGGGCCGCTCTTGATCAGCTCAAAGAGCTCGCCGCCGCAAAAGACGATCGCATATCCGCTCTGGAGTCAGAGAATGCGCGCCTCAAGGAGAATGTGGATGCCGACATGTCAGGAGCTGATAATATCGATGACGTGTCCGAGGAGGAGCTGAGGACGCGTTTCAAGAAATTGCAATTGGACTTCCAGTCGATCAACCAGGAGCTCCCTTCCATCGAGAAGGCATACAAGAAGATGAAGGATTTGGCACAGAAGAAGGTGATGGACTTTGCCGCACTGGAGGAGCGCGTGGCGCTGCTCATTGCCGAGAAAAGCAAAGCCGACCAGAAGTACTTTGCAGCGCGCAAGGATGCTGATACCAGGAACAACGAGATACGCTCTCTGAGACTACAAAGCAGCAAGAGCGCGGAAATCATTGCGCAACTGAAGGATGTCGAGTCACAGAACCGAACACTGCTCAACAACCTCGAGAAGCAATTGTTCGACTTGAAGCAAACGAACGCAGCCCTGACCACGGAGAACAAGCGGCTCGAAACGGCGGGCATGGAGAGCACACGCAGAAGCGAGTCGCTCGCGAAGCAAGTGGCAGAGTTGACGAGCATGGTTAAATCCAAAGACGCCTCCACAGCCACCTTCCGGGAGCGGAGCGTGGCTCAAGAAGCCGAGGTGGAGAAATTCAAGGTGCGACTCGACAACATGCAGAAGGACCGCGACAGCTGGAAGAGCAAGGCACTGAGCAACTCTTCGGAAGAGGAGGACATGCTAAGGGTGAGTCGATCCCGCGATAGGAATGGCCCAACATGATGCTAACAGGTGATATAGACGTTTGCGCTTTGCTCCATTTGCCGTCAAAATTTCAAGAACACGGCCTTGAAGACTTGCGGACATCTCTTCTGCAGCGGGTGCATTGAGAGCCGAATCAGCAACCGCATGCGCAAATGCCCAACTTGCTCACGGGCCTTTGACAAGATGGACGTGATGGCAGTTCACATCTGATGACCCGGTTCACGACGTGGATTCCGCTCACGATCAGCCTCGACGCGGCTTTTACCGACAGGCAGCCCTGAGGGTACAGTGCCGGGACGTTGCTGATGCCGGGGTGAACAAGCCAACAATGGTTTCTTAGAAGAGGAAGAGCTCTTTGCTTTTCATGTACCACCATGCGTGGACGACGGCCGTGTTGAGGCCCGAGTCGCCTTGTATATAAGCGCTTTGCTACCGGCGTAACACAATATGGGAGAGGGTTGGCGGGTCCGGAGTTGGCGGTGTTGGATATTCTTGGCATGGACTTGACCGCGTGACAGCTGCTGCAGTCATCGGTTCACATATAGCGGGATATGCGTGCACTAAGTACTTGCTCAATGCTACAAACAAGTCCTAAGATCTTGCAAGTACTCACATGGCGCGTGTTACATGCCTACCGACGGCTGGTGCTTCCAAACCCAGTGCTTTCGTGCGTCGACCCAGAGGGACCACTCCTGGAACCAGAGGCGTAGGAGGACGATGAGCCGCCGCCTCCAAAGAAGCCACCACCTTGCCGCCTGTTGTTGTTGTTGTTGTTCCTAGACGAGGATCCCCTCGCGGCATAAGCTGCGGCACCGCCCGCGGCCAGACCTGTCCAGAACCCAGGCCGCCAGCCTTCCCCCTGCTGCTGTCGACCACTCGGCGCCGACTTTCTGCTGCTCGATCCTGGGTACGGAGGAGGCGCGTCGCTGTCCGTGTCTGCGCCGAACCCACCACCACCGCCGCCTGGTCCATAATCGTCATCACCACCCCAGCCTCCACCTCCTCCTCCAAAACGTCTTCCGGCCCTGCGCTGTCTTCGCCGGGTGGTGTTGCCCATACGGGCATTGGTGTTGGTCCATGCCTTGTAAAACATCCAGCATACGATACCTACAAAGAGGAGGCAGAACAGATAGCCAAACATATTGCTAGGCCCCGTGATTCCCCGCTGCATCTTGTTCACCAAGTCTGGATAGCGCGCCTCGCCAGCCTCTGTCAAGGCCACGCGGTACTCCACGCCACACGAGCCCTTGAGCACGTACTCGTCGTCTGAGCTCGCGTAGCCCTCGCAGATGACGTCTGTACTCCCCAGCCGGACCTCATCCGGTAGGGTGGCGGTGCAAGACCACTCGACGTTGGCCTCATCGTAGGACGAGCCCATGTTCTGGCAGCGCATGACATCGAGATGTGGCTCGACGAGGGCGCAGAGAGACGGGTGGGAAAGGCATTTCAACTGGGGTGCAGAGGGCACGCGCCGGTGCGTGGTTTGGGCGCCATGACCTCGGAGGGTGAGAGATTGGACCTGGGATAGGAGGATGGCGGCCTTGGGTTTGCTGGCGGCGTCGGCTGGCGCGAGGCAGAATAGCGCAGCGACAAGACTCGCGAGCTGCATAGTGTGCTACTGTAGACGATTATCTAGGCTGTGGAAAGTCGTGATGCATAGAGAGGGCGCTGAGCGGAGTGGAGCGGGATTCGACAAACGTGGTCATCATGTTGCACATCGGAATCTGGACGCACGCCAGTGAGGGCACGTGCCGGTAGCGATAGTGATAGGTAGTGAAAGAGAGAGGCCACCTGGCCGGAACCACAGTGTCTTCATTCTTCATTAGCGCGCGGATGCACCCGAGCCATTGCTTTAAGTTGATGTCGTAGCTTGGCTAATAATCTGACGGACTTTTTTTCTTCTTCACCTCTATGCTTCCAAGATTGCTGAGCGCATGTTGAACAGCGGTGGAAGCAAGCAGACATTTATTTTAGGCCGGCTGCACCCTCCGGTCCCCAACGGACGTCGAGCAACCAGGGGTCTCCAGCCCGATGACGCTGTCTTATTCAGCCTCTGTATCTTGGCCAAAGGCGTCTAACTGGCTTCTCATCTTGTCATCCTGTTGAATCCTTCCCGCGTATGATGCTGCGAGATTCTCTCAGCTTAGCCACATGGCATGGCACGCACGGATGGTACTCAAAGCTCTGTCGAGGGTCAGGTGTCGGAAATTATCCGATACCCTTAATGCACGCAGGGACGAGAGCCGGTAGAGAAGAGGCTTTTCGAGCCTTCGAGGTCAGGAAAGGAAAGTTTTACGAGCTGTGCCCGCCAGCGTGCGTCATCCTCAGTGGACAGACAGGATCCCACTTGAAGGCACGCGAAGTCCCTGGCTACCCTGTAGACTGATCCAGCTAGCATTGTCACGGTTGACTTGGTGCAAAAATCTTATTAGTTGAGTTATCAGGTGAGGTACTTGAAGTATAATCTGCTCGGGTGAATTTGAGATGCTTCTTAGGCCCGAAATACCGTGTTGCTGGGGAGACAAGTTTTTGAATCTGCGTGTTTGCTGTGTGAGCTGAGCGTACGCTCAACAAAAGATGATCAGTTGAGAACATGGGAATTTACTTTGATAATCGGGAATTAGAATGCTGCTTCAAACCGACCTCGTGTTCAAATACTGACACGGATCTCTGATCAGTATCGGGTACGCCGTCTCTACGCTGCAAGACGAACATCTTCCTCACAGCGTCGACTTGTTTTAGGCCTGAAGTGATCAACACTCGCCCGGTCCTTGACAACAGCTGCGATCAGCAAGAATGCATATTGTCACGCATATCCTTGCTGTAAACAACTCTCCTCAGGGATCTCGACTTGCGTCTAGAGTAAGACCACAGCCTGTTCTGCAGCAGAAGCAAGCCGCGTCGATCTCGTTGCCGCCGACGCGTGGTCAGTGTTTCAAGCAGAAGCTTGTGCATCTGCAAGACGACATTTTCAGTGCTGACCATGCCGGGGGCTGTCTCACGCTCACTACAAACTACATAGATAGCGTAGTTACTGCACATATAGTCTTTTCAAGACCTCAGACCTAACTTGAAGGTGCCCCCGGTTCTTGCTGGAAGCCCTCCACGATGCTGCGTCGGAGCAATCATCGTCACCTTATTACCACCAGGATTCCAAATGCGGCGGCTCGTAGGCATATCAAGTGATATTACAGTATCCGTACGTACGGGGTACTCGAAAAGTCACAAAGGCGTTATGTAGTCGTAGGCGCAGGGTCCGGACCCCAGATGCCCGACGATCACTGCCAACACGGCACTCGCTGTTGAAGGATTCGAGGCTGAAGGCTATGATGCCATAATTAGCAGGTTGCGGACTCACTTAACGATGAGCTGCTTTTGGGCGTCTTCAGTTACTAGCTGCTCGCGATGCGTCGCGAGAGAAAATCGTCTATCAATCAAATCTCTCTCAATGGTTGAGAATATTCGCAAACAAATGATGGATACTACCAGGTATCTAAGGTATAAATACATGTCGGTGAAGCCTCGACTTCGTCTTACTCAGCTATCCCCAGGCTAGTCCGGTTCGGGCGATGATGCAACTTGTGGTGGTGTTGGTCCCGTCCCCGAAGTGATAGATCTCCCACTGCGCATGGACCCTGAGTCCACTCACCCGCATCTCTCCAGCCCTAAACGTGCCCCGATCGTCATGGCTTGGCTGAGGCCCCGAACGACAGCGGAGGTTCGCTCGGGCGGGTTGCTCGATGCCGCTGACTGGCCCGACTGACGACGCTGGCCGTTGTGTTCTCTGCCTGCTTGACGCGTGCTGCGACGGCACTCAGCAGCTGTCTTCCAGGCTTTCAGACGTGACCGGTGGCCATCTCTCAAGCACCCAGCATGGCAGAGCGTGAGTGCTCTAGTCACGCACTGATCACCAAACCCAACTCTATGAGATGCTGAGGAGCTGATCCTGTCGAGACAGCTGCGGCACGGCTCCTCTGCAGGAAGGGTCGCTCTGAAGGATCACGAACAACGAGGCGCCAGCCCATGGCCTACCTGCATGTCTGTTGCAGCGGGTCCTGCGTCTCGAGGATGGGATGAGGTGCCTTCACAAGCAAAACCTAAGCCTAAGCAGCACGAACGCAGGTACAGGTACTGCGGCTGATGTCGATCATGACTCTGCGAGACCCTTTCAGGAGGCAGGGTCTCAACAGCGAGGAGTGGAGGCAACATGAGGTAATGTTGGTCCACCGATACTCATCCTTCGGCACCGACAATCATGCCCTCCTTTGTGACGATGCCTCATACTGTCTTTGCAGAAGGCGATGACACGGCTGACCACCCCTTGCACACACGGGGAGAATTGCCTGTCGCCTCTCAAAGTCCTTTACTACCCTTTCCTCCCCCCACTGATCCGCGATTGCTTCTATACTCTTCATCTCTTCCATCTCTGTTTCCCTGGTTACTGTACAAATTCTTCCATCTTTATAGCATTTCAAGTTCTGTCGACAACCTAGAGGGTTGATCATTCCTTTTACTTCACACCCCACTCACTGCTACTATTAGGCATTGCAATCTTTGCTCGTGAAGGAGTCTCTTTCGTCTCTGCGAGAGGAAGAGCACAAGCGTTTCAAACAAAACTCTGAAAAACAACTGTATAAGAAGGAACAAAGTCAAGGGAAAGACCCGGCAAGACCAAACTTTTCGACACCCGCCCTCAAGGCGAACTGCTCGCCATGGCTTACGATCCCGAGAAGGGTGGGCGCCGCTCGCTACACTCGCGTGCCTCCAGCGCCAGCACCCTTGACGCCAATGGCGCATCGCCAGAGTTTGAGAAGAAGACAGAGGCCCCCAGCCCTGCCGCCGGCGGCAAGGCGGAGGCCACCGACCCCATGAGTCTTCTGCCAGAGCACGAGGCTGAGATTCTCCGACGACAACTCGATACCCCCGATCTCAAGCATGGCCTGGGTAAGCTGTACAGCTATGCCACTCGCAACGATCTCCTGATCATGGCCGCTGCGGCCATCTGCTCTGCAGCGTCCGGTGCCGCGCTGCCCTGTATGACCATTATCTTCGCCGGTCTACAAGGCATCTTCCAGGACTACCTCTTCCTCAAGGTCCTGACCCAGGACGAATTCAACCATGAGATGGTTACCTACGTCCTCTACTTCGTCTACCTCGCGATTGGAACCTTTGTCGCGACCTATATCTCAACGGTTGGTTTCATCTACGTTGGAGAGCACATTAGCTCCAAGATCCGCCAACGGTACCTTGAATCCTGCATGCGCCAGAACATTGGTTTCTTCGACAAGCTTGGCGCTGGCGAGGTGACGACGCGTATCACTGCCGACGCCACCACGATCCAGGATGGTATCTCCGAGAAGGTCGGCCTCTTCATTTCCGCCATCGCTACCTTCCTGACCGGTTTCCTCATCGGCTTCATCAAGTCGTGGAAGCTGACACTGATCCTCTCGGCTACCGTCGTTGCCCTCACCATCAACACCAGCATTGCCACACGATTCATGGGCAAGTACGCCACTCCCACCATGGTTGCTTTCGCGCAGGGCGGTAGCTTGGCTGACGAGGTTCTCTCATCCATCCGCATCGCCATGGCGTTTGGTACCCAAGATCGTCTCGCCCAGCAGTATGACAGCCACCTGGCTACATCGCAGAAGTGGGGTATCAAGCTCAAGCTGGCTGTTGCCTTTATGCTTGCTGGCATGATGTCCATCCTTTACCTGAACTATGGTCTTGCTTTCTGGCAAGGCTCCACGTTCTTGGCCCGACAGGAGCTTCCCCTTCCCGATACCATCAACACCCTGATGGCGGTCATGGTCGCTTCCTCTAACATGGGCACCATCGGACCTTATGTGCAGGCCTTCACCACGGCTATTGCTGCTGCCTCCAAGATGATCAACACAATTGAGCGTGTTTCGCCCTTGGACAGCGCGACCGAGGAGGGCGACAAGATTCCCAACCTCAAGGGCCACCTCCGTCTCGAGAACATCAAGCACATCTACCCCTCACGTCCCGAGGTGACTGTTATGGACGACGTTACGCTTGACATTCCTGCTGGTAAGGTCACTGCCTTGGTCGGTGCCTCTGGCTCCGGAAAGAGTACCATTGTTGGCCTTGTCGAGCGTTTCTATGACCCAGTTGCTGGACGTGTCCTTCTCGACGGCTATGATGTCAACTCCCTCAACCTCCGCTGGCTTCGTCAGCAGGTTGCCCTTGTCGGACAAGAGCCTTCCTTGTTCGCAGTATCCATCTACGAGAACATCCGCTATGGTCTCATTGGTACTGAGTATGAGAATGCGGTTGAGTCCCGCCAGCGCGAGCTCATCACAGACGCTGCCAAGCAGGCCAATGCCCACGAGTTCATCACCCAGCTTCCCGAGAGCTACGAGACCAACGTTGGATCGCGCGGGTTCCTCCTCTCCGGCGGTCAAAAGCAGCGTATTGCCATTGCCCGTGCTATCGTGTCCAACCCTAAGATTCTGCTTCTCGATGAGGCCACTTCTGCCCTGGATACCAAGTCAGAGGGCGTGGTACAGGCTGCTCTGGAGAACGCGTCGGAAGGCCGTACAACCATCACCATTGCCCACCGCTTGTCGACCATTCGCGACGCCGCGAACATTGTCGTCATGAACCAGGGCAAGATTGTTGAACAGGGCACCCACATGGAACTTCTCAAGAAGCATGGCGCCTACCACAAGCTTGTTACCGCCCAGCAGATTGAGGACATTGCGCAGCAGCAGAGTGAAGCTCTCGACGAGCCCCTTGACGAGGAAGAGGAGATGCTCATCCGCCGCATGTCTCGCTTCAAGAACGTCGGTGGTTTCTACACCAACCCCTCTGCTGCCGCCGACAACCTCTCTGCCCGCCTCCGCCGTTCTTCCATCCGCAAGAGTGTGTTTGGTGATCGCAAGTCTGTTGCCAGCATGGCCTTGGCTGAACGTGGCCCCATCACCGAGGAGGAGCCCAACTACTCACTGTGGACTCTCCTCAAGTTCACCGCTTCGTTCAACAAGACCGAACTGCACTGGATGCTGATTGGTATCTTCTTCTCGATCATCGCTGGTGGCGCCAACCCCACGCAGTCCGTCTTCTTCGCTAAGCAGATCACCGTCCTCTCCCCCATGCCTGCCGTCACCGATGAGCAGCGATGGATGCTCAAGGATCGGTCTGACTTCTGGTCGCTCATGTTCTTGATGCTTGGTCTCGTCCAGTTCCTTGCCTACGCTGTGCAGGGTTACGCATTCGCCATCTGCTCTGAGCTTTTGGTTCGTCGTGTCCGTCACCAGTGCTTCACCTCCATCATGCGTCAGGATGTTGGCTGGTTCGACAAGGACGCCAACAACTCGGGTGCCTTGACAGCTTTCCTGTCGGTTGAGACGACCCAGATTGCTGGCATTTCGGGCGTCACTCTCGGTACTCTTCTGATCTCGGTCACGAACATTGTCGCTGGTCTGGCTGTCTCCCTGGCGATTGGTTGGAAGCTTGCCCTCGTTTGCTTGTGCGCGGTTCCTGTTGTGCTGGCTTGCGGTTTCTTCCGCTCTTGGATGCTGTCCAACTACCAGAAGCGTGCTGAGGGAGCTTACGCCGAGTCGGCCTCGTTCGCCGCCGAGAACATCTCGTCGATGAAGACCGTTGCTTCCCTGACTCGCGAGGCCCAGGTCGTGGAGGCGTACACCAAGTCACTCGAAGAGCAGCAACGCAAGTCGCTCCACTCTGTTCTCAAGTCGTCGACATTGTTCGCTGCCTCCCAATCGGTCATTTTCTTGTGTTTCGGCCTCGGCTTCTGGTATGGTGGTCGTCTCCTCGCCTCATACGAGTATGACATGTTCCAGTTCTTCGTCTGTTTCATGGGTATCATCTTTGGTGCCCAGTCTGCTGGTACCTTCTTCTCGTTCGCCCCCGACATGACCAAGGCCAAGAGTTCCGCCGCCCAGCTCAAGCGACTTTTTGAGCGCAAGCCCGCCATTGATACCTGGGAGCCAACCGGCAAGCCCCTGTCGCGTGTACAGGGACACATTGAGTTCCGCAACGTCCACTTCCGCTACCCTACCCGTCCTGAGCAGCCTGTGCTCCGTGGTCTCAACCTCAAGGTCGAGCCCGGTCAGTACGTCGCTCTTGTTGGAGCCTCGGGCTGTGGCAAGTCCACGACAATTGGTCTCCTCGAGCGCTTCTACGACCCCCTGGTTGGCCAGCTCTTGGTCGACGGCCATGATGTCAGCCAGGTCAACGTCAATGACTACCGCTCGCACATTTCTCTCGTGTCGCAGGAACCTACCTTGTACCAGGGTTCAATCCGCGACAACATTGTGATGGGAAGCCCTCTTGACGAGGTGTCGGACGAGGCCGTCGAGGTTGCGTGCCGCGAGGCCAACATCTACGACTTCATCTGCTCCTTGCCCGATGGCTTCAACACGGTTGTCGGTAACAAGGGTGGTCTCCTGTCTGGTGGTCAGAAGCAGCGCATCGCCATTGCGCGTGCCCTCGTCCGCCAGCCCAAGATCCTCCTGCTCGACGAGGCGACCTCTGCACTCGACTCTGAATCCGAGCACGTTGTGCAGGCTGCCCTGGACAAGGCTGCCAAGGGTCGCACCACCGTGACAATTGCGCATCGTCTGTCGACGATTCAGAACGCCGATGCCATCCATGTGTTTGACGCTGGCCGCATCGTCGAGTCGGGGACACACAGCGAGCTCATGGCCATGAACGGTCGCTACGCAGAGCTTGTTCGCTTGCAGAGCATGGACAAGAAATAAGCGGTTCTCCGTTCGTCATTAATCTTTACACACCTCGCGTTTCCTATGCTGTCATTACTGTTGGCCATTTACGATTTACATTGATTATTTTGGATATCCAGCCGAGCACTGTGCCGGCCATGTTTGCATGAGAGACGGATTATTAGAGATATTAGGAGTCTAGCAGGTCAATCAATCATGAAGAGTACTTATGGAAGACATGACCGCTTTGCAAACGATACAGTGATCCTGCATCTTCCCCGTTGAGGCTTGACGATGACCGTGATTAGCCTCGATCCATACGGCGGTAGTCCAGTTGAGGCGCAGGACGGTGGTGGCTCGATTTGGCAACAAGATTCGCTTTTGGCGACCATTGCATGTGAATTGGGGGCCCGTCTTGGCATCTTGGAGGTTCGAGAACTGGCTAATGCAGGGGAGAACTCCAGTGAGGATTGAGTGTGGTTGGCTGGCCCCGCAGCGTCCATCGTGGGGCTTAATTAAAGAAAACCTCCGTTGGTGGTGATGGATCGTAATAAGCTCACAGTTCACGAACAGAATAATACCTCGATCATGAGAAATGCTGCAGCCACTGTATGTAGAAGACTGGACCCTGTCGGCCTGATCACCCAACGCCATGGCCTGGATACGTATGAATAGCAGAACTTGCGCAGCGAGGAGGAAACTCCCGCACTGCAAGGGTCGTATTCGATTATCGATGTATCATCAGCCCTGACCCACAGCATGACCTGCATTCTCTACAGACAAGGTTGAGAACAGAGGCGGCCTCCATAACTGCCGTGCAACATGGTTCATGTCTTCAAAGTTCAAGGCAAGGTGATTGCTGCCAATCTGAGGACTTGGGCATAGTATAGTCATGACCAGCAGCAGTGAATGTACACTTGTCGCACCACAGTATGAGGAGAGCGCCACGAGAGTCTGGTGAAGTCTCTCCAAAGGCCTTGGCTCTCGCGTGCTCATCAACAATCAAGTGACAGGGGTCAATCTCACCACCACCGCCGCCAGCCCACGCTGGAGTGCTGGTTCAGGCTGGTTCAGGTCCAGTCCAGTCAGCTCAGGTTCAGTCCATCCAGTCGCTGACAGCGCACCCACCCACCACAGTGCCAGTGACCACCCATCACACCCGCCAGGCACACCCAAAGCGGCCCATCCCCGAGTGACCAGCTAAGGCTATTGCAGGTAATGCTGGTAAGCTACCGTAGCGGCACAGTCTCGACCAGACCGCTCCGGCCAATTCCTCAGGTACCCGCGTCGACAGTCTGTTATCCCCTGGCCTTGTCTTGTCTTGCTGAGTCCGTGTCTAGTCGTCTTGATTCCTCCTCTTTCGGCGCAGCAAATCCATTCTTTACCAGCCCAACTCTGTCGGTCGTTTTCACCAAGGCTGAAGACTCTGCGTCTTCGCCGCTGTCACTCGTTTGAAACACGCGTTTTCTGCGCGGCCAGGAGGAATCGCGCCCTCCTTACTGTGTACTGCAGCATCAGTAGCAACAACACCACCACCACCGCCGACGGCAACGAAACCCAGCTCGACGACGCCACTGAACCCCCCTCGGTCGAACAGCAGATTCTGGCGCCATCGAGACACTGTGTCTTTCCTCCCCGCCATCGCGGTCGACACCGGCCCATCTTGTCTCACCCAGCCTACGTTCCGATAGTCCGTGCTGCCTGCGACAATCATGGCGGGCCACCTGAGACAGCGCTGCCGGCCAAACGTGGCTCATCTGGTCTTGGGTGCCTTTGCCGTGGTCGCCGCTCTGGCTTCGCCGGTGAGGGCCACGGATGGACTTTTATTGCCCGCCCATATTACAGCGCCTCCTGCGCAGCTATCAGATGTACATGCAGCAATCGTCACCGAGGCTGCGACCATGGACGCACAAGAGCTGCGTGTGCGACACGAGTACAAACACATGCACAGGAGGGCGGACAAGGAGGACGCGAAGGAGGACGAGGATACGGATGAGGACAAAGAGACCAATTCGGGCAAGGAGAAAAAGACGAGTGATGACACGAAGAGCGACGAGGAAACCAAAACTGCCGATGACGACGAGGACGAGAGTGACAAAGAGACCAAATCAGTGGCACCTACGAAGATCGTGTCGGCGGACCCTGATGACATCGCTACACGCCCCTTGTCCGTTGCGTCCTCGGCGTCACCAACATCCATTGACCCCGATTCGCCTTTGCCCACGCCTTTTGACGGAACGGCCGCGTCGGAATTCAGAACTGCCGACGGCGACGACAGCTGCCCGGACTATATCAGCCGACTACTCAGCAGCCCGACATTCAACGATTGCTTTCCCTTGTCGATGCTGGTGACGGTAAGCTCTTGCCACAGTCATATTGGGGTGTGTAATCGGCACTGACAGCAACGTTAGAAATCGGACAGCTTCTTTGAGGCTCGACGTCAACTGACCAGCATGGTCCGCGTCCTGGATGCTTCCTGTGGCGCAGACGTGGACTCGTGCGGCGCCTTTATGAACACCGCCGCCCGCAACCTGACCGCCAAGGAGAACTGCCAGGAGGAGTATAAGCAGGGAGTCACGGTCGTCATCGACGCCTACTACGGCCTCATCAACTACGAGGTCATGTACGCTGCTACCTGCCTCCAAGACCCGGACACCGACCAGTACTGCTATGCGGGCGCCCTCACAAACCACACAAACACCTCTGACCGTTATCTTTACTCTCTTCCATACAATCTATCCTTGCCAGCTTCCTCGAACCCTACCTGCAGCTGGTGCAACCAGGAGACACTCGACATCTTCCACGCGGCAGCAGCAGATCGCAGTCTACCCATCTCAAAAACATACGAAGAGGCCGCGCGGATCGTCAACAATCTATGTGACCCTGATTGGGTCAACGGCACGTTGCCCGAAGCCGTCTCGCATGCTGCCCCTGCGGCTCTGGCTCCCCTCGCCATGCTCGGCCTGGGTATGCTCTTGCTGTTTTGAGCGGGAGGACGGGAGCCTGATGCAGCATCGTCTTTGCCATGATACCCTGTCTTTCCCGATTTTGTTGACGATACTCGCATTCTGGCGACACGACCTTTTTTCTTTGGGGTACTAATGATGCGCACGCAGTCGAGGAAGGGGGGGAAAGGCACCCTCAGGATCAGACCAAAAGCGTGGCGTAATAATGGACAAAATTTGATTGAGCGAGCTTTTTTATGACAGATTTTTATACTTGAAGAGCGCTGGATTAATATACACTTATAATATGATGATTTCAGTCATGAGCTTCCCTTGTTTCTTATTAGTGCAAGTGATCGTGTGAGGGAAACCACTTGGCTCACAGCGAGGCTCAATGCTCTGGCCTGTGAGCAACAAGACGCAATTGGACTGGGCCTTGTGGTGTCACAATATGTGCGCGTGTAGCACTGAGGGTACGAAGCGAAGCCAAGCACGCTACAAACCAGCGCCTTGTTTGCGTTGTCGCCTGGAACTTGTCAAACAGGACTCCCTGGTGCTAGTACTACCTTCATATGCTCTAGACTAGGACATCTTTCACTCATACTAAGGTATGTTAAGCGGCTAGACCCCTGCGACAGGCGCCAACGTTGCTGCTAGCTTGTTAATTGAGTTCCGTGCCAGCGACTTATATACGTACCTACTTAGTAGTATCTACTTATGGATAATGGGTGTGGCTTGCTAACTTAATTCCTGCTTCCCAAAGTTACGCTGCAGAAGTGTGGCTAGTGCTCGTGGCTGGCAGCTCCAGCGCCTTGCAGTGGCCCCCGCATTGTGAACCCCGAATCCGAGCGTCAAGCTCCAGCGTGTCCTTCCGGCTTGCGATAAATCCTCCCTCTCACCCGCCCGCCACCATCTCTTCTCCTTCCCCCCCTCAAGACCCAGCCCTCTGCATACATCCAAACGGTCAATTGATTGACATCTTCCTGATCGAGCCACCATGAAGTTCAACCCCATGGCTGCGGCCGCTACGGCGGCCATGCTTTCTGGCGTTGCCCTTGCTGACGAGGCTGACGCCTCTGTCGACATTGAGCTGCCCAAGTTCACCGTAAGGCACACGTTGACAGTCTATCGGTCACATTCACTGACAAGTCGTAGCCCACATCCGTCAAGGCCGACTTCCTCGAGCAGTTCACCGATGACTGGGAATCGCGCTGGAAGGTGTCCAGCGCCAAGAAGGACACCGCTGGCGACGAGGAAGAATGGGCGTACGTAGGCGAATGGGCGGTCGAGGAACCCGTCAAGTACAAGGGCATCGACGGCGATAAGGGTCTTGTCGTCAAGAACCCCGCTGCTCACCACGCCATCTCGGCCAAATTCCCCAAGGCCATCGACAACAAGGACAAGACCCTGGTTGTCCAGTACGAGGTCAAGCTTCAGAGTAAGATTTGCTTGTTTGCCGGAGCTGCGCCATGTCCACCTCGCTAACGACTTCCAGATGGCCTCGAATGTGGCGGTGCTTACATGAAGCTACTGCGCGACAACAAGGCGCTCCACCAGGAGGAGTTTGCCAACACGACGCCCTACGTGATCATGTTCGGTCCCGACAAGTGTGGTCACACCAACAAGGTGCACTTCATCTTCAACCACAAGAACCCCAAGACGGGCGAGTACGAGGAGAAGCACCTCAAGTCGCCGCCCACGGCCAAGATTGTCAAGAGCACCGAGCTCTACACCCTGATTGTCAACCCCGACAACACCTACGCTATCCGCCAGAATGGCAAGGAGGTCAAGACAGGTTCTCTCCTGGAGGACTTCCAGCCCGCCGTCAACCCGCCCGAGGAGATTGACGACCCCAACGACACCAAGCCCGAGGACTGGGTCGACCAGGCCCGCATCCCCGACCCCGAGGCCACCAAGCCTGAGGACTGGGACGAGGAGGCGCCCTTTGAGATCCCCGATGAGGCGGCCGAGCAGCCCGCCGACTGGCTGGTCGACGAGCCTCGCGTCGTCCCTGACCCGGATGCCGTGAAGCCCGCGGACTGGGACGACGATGAGGACGGCGACTGGATTCCCCCCACCGTGCCCAACCCCAAGTGCGCCGAGGCCTCTGGCTGCGGTCCCTGGGAGAGGCCGATGATGAAGAACCCCGCGTACAAGGGCAAGTGGACGGCGCCCTACGTCGACAACCCCGCCTACAAGGGTGTCTGGGCGCCTCGCAAGATCAAGAACCCCGACTACTTCAACGACAAGACACCTGCCAACTTTGAGCCCATGGGTGCCATTGGCTTCGAGATCTGGACCATGCAGAGCGATATCCTCTTTGACAATATCTACATTGGTCACTCGATTGAGGAGGCCGAGAAGTTCGCCGACGAGACCTTCCACGTCAAGCATCCCGTGGAGAAGAGCCTCCTTGACGCCGAGAAGCCCAAGAAGGAGGACAAGCCCAAGTCGCCTCTCGACCTCAACTTCCTCGACGATCCTGTCCTCTACGTCCAGGAGAAGTTTGACCTCTTCATGACCATTGCCCAGAAGGACCCCATTGAGGCCGTCAAGTTTGTGCCCGAAGTCGCCGCTGGTCTTGGCGCGGTCGTTGTAACCCTCCTCGGCCTCGTCGCCGTCATTGTGAGCGCCCTGACTGCCTCTCCTGCCGCCCAACAGACGGCCGCCAAGGCCAAGGAGCAGGTGAAGGATGTCAAGAACAAGACGGCCGAGGCTACCGCCACCGGCGCCGAGAAGGTCAAGGGCGAGGTCAACAAGCGCACCACCCGCAGCCAGTCATAGGAAGACGAGCGTACCGTGGAGGATTCGGAGGAGGATGAGGAAGCCTACTAGGCAAAGACCTGAGACTGGATGGGTGGACATGAGCGCCAGTCAGTCCAGACAGGCCAGTCCGTCAATAAGTATGAACGACAACGCAAGGCAAGTCATGTCAAGTCAAGATGGCTTGAAAGCAAGGAGGACTGCCTGGGGGTGTGTGCATTGGTGTAAGTTCGGCGTTAGCAACAGCAAGTTATAGTCTGTGTCAATTTCCAGTATTATTTCCAAAGGGACGATGATCATTGTTTAATTTTGTCGAGGCTTTCTCGCTGTTCTGTCTCCGTTGAACAAACACCGTTGCGACGTCGCTGACTCGCCTCTGCTGAAATACATGCCCGCCTAACCTTTCCCTCGGTAAATCGCATTGAAATTCATCAGGTGCTGTCGCGGCAAGCAGCGGCATCGGCATAGTTTTGATTAGGTAAGGAGGGTCCCGATCGCGGGGAAGGCCTTCTCCAACCGAGAGTCGGCAGAAGGGAAGTCACGAACGAACAGCCTTAGCAAGCCGGTCCAGCCAGCCTCCACCTCCACACACCCACGGTATAAGTCGGCCTCATATCCGAGGGAGCACTTCCCTACTTCACCCTACCCTACCTTGCCCTACGACGGACGTTTCCTTCTCTTCTCCTCGCAAGTATTCTGCCTTTTCCTCTGTCGCTCAATCATGCGTAGGCTCATCTCGCGTAGCGTCGTCACAGCTACCGCTGGTCGAGCGTCGGCTGCTGCCCCTCGCCCGTCGATTCCCACCATGGCTTCCAAGGGCCATGCGGCCGTCGCCGCCAGGAGGATACACGCCACGGCGCAGCAATTGAAGCCCGCGACCGCGGACGCTGTCGCTGCCGCCCCTGCCTATCCCACGACTCACGAGAAGATTGAGAAGGTCGGCAACACCCCCTACTTCCTCGACAACCAGTTCGTCCAGTCCACGACGGACAAGTTCATCGACCTCCCCGACCCGGCGACCAACAACCTCGTCACCCGCGTGCCCCAAATGACGGACGAGGAGATGAAGGCGGCCGTGGCCAGCGCGGAGAAGGCGTTCAAGGGGTGGCGGGACACCACCGTCCTGGCCCGCCAGCAGATCATGTTCCGCTTCGTGCAGCTCATCAAGGACAACATGGACCGCCTGGCCGCCAGCATCACCCTGGAGCAGGGCAAGACCTTTGCGGATGCCAAGGGTGACGTCCTCCGCGGTCTGCAAGTCGCTGAGGCCGCGTGCGGGGCGCCCGAGCTGCTCAAGGGTGAGGTGCTCGAGGTGGCCAAGGATATGGAGACACGCACGTACCGTGAGCCATTGGGTGTCACGGCTGCCATCTGTCCCTTTAGTGAGTCGCATCGCCACCTCAGACGGAGACGCTGTTGCTAATCTTGATCAGACTTCCCTGCTATGATTCCCCTGTGGTGCATCCCCATCGCCACAGTCACCGGCAACACACTCATCCTCAAGCCCTCTGAGCGCGACCCTGGCTGTGCCATGATTCTCGCCGAGCTTGTGCAGAAGGCTGGCTTCCCCGCCGGCGTGGTGAACATTATCCACGGTGCCCACCGCACCGTCGACTTCATCCTCGACGAGCCCGCGATCAAGGCCATCAGTTTTGTTGGTGGCAACAAGGCCGGCGAGTACATCTTCTCGCGCGGCTCAGCCAACGGCAAGCGCGTCCAGGCCAACCTAGGCGCCAAGAACCACGCCGCCGTGCTGCCTGACGCCAACAAGAACCACTTCCTCAACAGTGTGGTGGGCGCCGCTTTCGGTGCTGCCGGTCAACGCTGCATGGCCCTCAGCACTCTGGTCATGGTTGGCGAGACCAAGGAATGGCTGTCCGAGGTCGCCGACCGCGCCAGGGAGCTGCAGGTCAACGGTGGCTTCGAGGAGGGCGCTGACCTCGGTCCCGTCATCTCCCCCCAGAGCAAGCAGCGCATCGAGCACCTCATCTCGACCGCCGAGCAGGAGGGTGCCACTATCCTCCTGGACGGCCGTGGCAAGGGTCCTTCCAAGTACCCCAACGGCAACTGGGTCAGCCCTACCATCATCTCCAACGTCACCCCGGACATGACCTGCTACAAGGAGGAGATCTTTGGGCCGGTCCTGGTCTGCCTGAATGTGGACACGATTGACGATGCGATTGAACTGATCAACAAGAACGAGTACGGAAACGGCACGGCCATCTTCACGCGCTCCGGCGCCACGGCCGAGACCTTCCGTCGCAACATTGAGGCTGGGCAAATTGGCATCAACGTGCCCATCCCCGTGCCGTTGCCCATGTTCAGCTTCACCGGCAACAAGGCCAGCGTCGCCGGTGGCGGCGCCAGCACTTTCTACGGCAAGCCTGGCATCAACTTTTACACACAGCTCAAGACGGTAACGGCTATGTGGTCGGGCGCGGATGCGGTGGCGAAGAAGGCGAGCGTGCACATGCCCACGTTGTAGTAGGGAGGCTGATGGGATGCGTGGCGGTCAACGAGATTTATTTACAATGTCAGCATTAAGTGTACCCATGCAGCAGGAAGCCTTTGAGCCAAGTGCCCGTAATTCATCATGCAGCGTCCTGGTCCGTATGTTAAGGTGGCCTTACCTCCAGACCCCTAGAAGCAACCGTGTCAAGTCCATCTCCTCAGCGCGTAGAAGACATCATGCATCATTCAATAAGAAAAAAAAATCATCATGTTCGTATCGTTAAAGTGACAGAGGACCGAAGAGACAAAAGGCAAAAATTAGATATACATGGTAGACATGTTATATGTGGATAGACACCTTGATGTATTTTCCGACATGGAGCGGATTTGAACCGCTGCGGCCGAAGCCATATGATTACTGATGACTGCATATGATAGAAGTCTTCGAGTCATACCCATTAACCACTCTGGCACCATGCCTGTAAGATGACATAACGTGTTGTAATGTGAAAATACCTAGTCTATTTTACTATACATACCCCTTGCCTAAACCTAACCTTCACCTTTATCTTCACCCTTTCTACCAATCTTCATTAGTGGATTGCCTTGAATTGACGATACGATGAGATTTTTAATCACTCAAGCTTGGATGAAGATCATCACGTCTGTTCACTTGGATGTTGCGTCCTCGTGAAGGGGATTCGAGTTATGTATTTGCGGTGCAACCCATCTTCACCAGCGCGACAGGCATCACAGCACGCTAAGGCCGAATTCACACGCCGTCGTAATTACATCTCTATTTCACTACAGCTCAGCTCAGGATATTCCACATGCGAATCCGGCCACCGTCGTTGCCCACCGCCAACAGGTCGCTGCCCCTTCCAAACGCGACGCTCGAGATCCGGCCCAGCGGCGTCTGCTCCGTCGGCCAGTTCCTGTACACGGTGCACGTGGGCAGATGCGCCAGCTTGAGCGCGTCCTTTTTGTGCACCGACGCAAACGCCAGCAGCTGGCCGTCCGGGCTGAATGTGAGTGTGGTGATGGGCGTGATGAGCTGCTCGAACACACGGGTGGGCGTGGGGTCCTCGTGCAGGGCGACGTCGTCGTCGTCGATGTTCTTCTTCTTGTCGATGAGCGTAGAGCGTTCGTAGATGTTGGTGATGCCCGTGTTGGAGCCCACGGCGACCCAGCGATCCTCACCTAGTGCATGCGGTCCGCCGCGACCACCCAGCGCGATGACGGTGCCCCCGACGGAGCCGTCGTCGTGCCATATCCCGAGGAACTTCTTGCTCTCCACGCTGTACTCGCCCACCTGTCCGTCCCGGCCCAGAACGCTCAGCCCCTCACCGCTCCGCCACCAGGCGTAGTCCGCGATACCATCCTGGCTCGTCATCCTCGCCGACGCGATCCACTGCATCGAGCCCGTGCTGATGATGCTCACAATGCCGCCGCTCTTCTTCGTCGACGCCTTGAGCGCCATGTACCGTCCGCAAGGGCTCATCTTGAAGTGCTCCATGGTCTTGTGCTCCAGCCCGTGGCCCTGGATCTGCGACGTCTTCTGCACCACGCCCGAGGGCAGATCCCAGTGGTGAAAGTACCGCCGCCGCCCGGCAAAGAAGATCTTGTCGCCCTTGGGGTACATGAATTCGGCCCGTCGCACGTCCACCTGCTTGACTTGCACAGACGTCAACTGCGGGTTCGGTGTCGGGTGGGCCTCGGGCGCAATATGGTGCAGGTACAGCACGCCCGCCTTGCTGGAGGAGAGGAGGACGGGGAACTCGGGGTGGAAGGAAAGGCAGTCGGCCGGCGCTCTGTGGCGGTCGGGAATCTCCCTCGTGCGCTGAATGTCCAGCGTCTCGGGCTTCAGTCTCCTCTTGCCTTGCCCTGAGGCCATACCGGATTCTGACAGTTTGTTGACATCCCGCAAGAACTTCTCCAGCGGCTGAGCCTCGACGTCTGAGTCGTCGGCGTCGCTGGCCGAAGAATCAGATGTAGCGGCCGATTTTCTCCTGCCCTTGGACGGCCGTCCTTGAGATGCTGTCGCCCAGGCCGGCTGCGGGTTCAATCGGAGATATTGCTGGCGTAGTCGTCGAGAGTATTCTGTGCCGCTGACCACGTCCTCTGCCTCGGATATCCTCAGTTTCCGGAGACGGTTCGTGTTCGCGAGGGATATGGCAAGCCTGTCGTCGTCGCTATCCTCCCACACGGCCGGATCGGGGCCAGTCGTGCGTTCCTTTGTCACAGCGGGGGCAGGTTTCGCGCCGGATGGGCCTGTGTCGAACGCAAAGAGATCTGCATCGGCAACGTCCTCCAGTTCGTTCACCTCGTCCGCGAGGTCAATGTCGCCGTCTTCATCTTGATGGTCCGCCTCAGCGCCATTGTACTGGAAGAGCGAGTCCTTGAATCCGGCCTTGTTGCCTAGAACAAGGCGCTCGAGCTCTTCCTCGTCCGAGTCCTTCTCAAAGATACCGCCGCGGGGCACCTTGGAGGTGGCTTCATCCGACTCGAAACCGGAGAATTCGCTGCCAGAGACCGATGTCTCGCTTGACATGTCGTCATCGTCGGCTTTGCGCGGTGCCATGGTGGGAGGTGATTGAAGGTTGATGCGTGGTGGATAATTAGGCGGAGGCTCACAGAGTCAGAGCACGACGCCTGGGAATTTATTTTTTTTCTTCTCTCTTGCAGCGACTTCAGCCTTGCAGCGGCGCCCCGCCATGGTGGGGACACATTGGATACAATTAGCCAATCAGATACAGCTATCATGGCGAGGCTGTAAGTACATCCAACTCTCTATATTGTATATACATTATTTTCCATGGCAAATCAATGCAGTCTCTCGCTTCTAATAGACTCATGAGGATGCCCTGACTACTTGCGAGATCCTGTCTTGTATTTGGTGCAAGTCGGGACTGACCGCCTCCGCCGAGCGCAACGACATGACAGCGCCTTGCTGCGCGACATCAATCATCTTGTCGACTCTCGCCCCCTGCGCAAGTCCTGACACCAGAACGCCCAGGAACGTGTCGCCTGCGCCATTGACAGACACCACGTCTTCGACATTCTCGACGGCCGGGTATAGGCGCATGTAGATGCCACCAATGGTGGGATGGTCCACTGCGCGCGCGAGGATGTGCTGCCGCTCCTCCGTTGCCCACAGACGAGGATCCTCTGGTCTAAGGAGGGTGGCCAGCAACACGCCTTTGGGTCCCAGCTTGGTGGCAATCGTGGGTATGTACGGTAGAAGCTGCACCATCTGGACCGGGATGCCAGCATCAGTCAGCTCGCGCGAGGTCATGTACACAAACTTCTCCCTCGCACCACGCATGCCGAACGCGTCGATGACGCCGAACCATTCATTGGTGTCAAAGTACCCTCGCTGCTTGGCCTGCTCATACATGGCCGCCAGCTCATACGTGTTGGGCGAGGCGAGGTCCATACTCGACTGGGGGAAGACGGTGAGCGCGGGAGCTCCATTCGTGAGACCGAAGAGTCGTCGCGATTTCTCCACCGACACCGGCTCAAACACGATATTGCACTCGCCTTTCGCTCCTGCTTTGACGAGTGTCTTGATGTTGGTCTCGCTCCAGTTGCCGTCGACAACAAGCCAATTTGGTCGGCTTTGCTCTAGGACACGCTTGAGCAAATCAGGGTCGGCGTCGTAGTTGAAAATGTCCATGTCGGCCATGGCCATGACGAGATCTTTCTTGCCATCGTTAATGGCGACATATTGGGCTGTGCGGTACGTCTGTGTGTCTTGAAGCTTGGACACCAAGACCGGATCGAGGCCCTCGGACTCGAGGGATGACAGGATTGTAGAGCCCCAGCTAGAGAGTCTGTCAGTACACCATCCTCTACTCCGTAGACGGGACTATGTGACTTACGTATCGTTGGCAATGAGACTGGCCAGCTTGACACGAGACTTGTCTCCGCTGGCACGATGGGCAGCGAGCGCGACATTGTGTCCGACGCCACCTACAGATTGCCGGATAGCTGCCGGGTTGGAGGTATGCAGTTGTGGTGCAATTTCGCTCTTGGAAGATGGTGTGTAATCGCAGCTCAGGTCGACGGCCACCGAGCCAGCAACGAGAATGTCAGAGGAAGGGTCACTTGGGATCGGGGCATGGGCAGGGACTGGTGCAGATGGTGTCGATTGTCTATCTACAAATTAGATCTACCCAACTCTGCAACCACCCGCGCACTTACTGGCTCGCAGTGGGCTGGAACGACGGGTCTTCCAAGCGCGCCAGCTCAACGGCGACATTGGCCGCCCTGATGAGATTCGACTTGACAAGCGCTATGTTGGCCACGACCGCCTTGTTGCCCGTCAGCTCCTTCAGCCTCCCGAGAACGTACGGTGTGTTTTTGCTGCCAGTGAAGCCCTTCTCATCCGCCTCGGTGACTGCTTGCTCAATGGCGGCGCGGATCTCAGGCAGCGGGATACCGTATTCTTCGGGGACTGGGTTGGCAAAGAGAAGACCAGACTCAATGTTCAGTCTCTCTTGGCTCAGAATCATAGCCGCCGCCTCGCGCTCCGTGTTGACGACTGAGGGACTCGGTGTGCCGCTGTTGCGTGCCCAGAACCCGGGGAAGTCAATGTCCTTGCTCCGTCCGTCGGCAAAGGTCGAAACGAGACAGCCCTGCGTCTCGAGGAACTCGAGCGTCCGCGGGATGTCGAGGAACCCTTTGCATCCGCTTGCTACAACGGCGACCCTGGTGCGTCCCAGCTCTGTGAGATCAGCCGAGACATCCATTGTGTTCTCGCCGCCGCGGTGGACGCCACCCAAGCCGCCAGTTCCGAAGACGCGGATGCCGGCCAGACGAGCGAGAAGCATGGTGCCTGAGATTGTGGTGCCACCATGGATCTTACGCCCAGCTAGGCCCTGGAGACTGATCAGCGTTGAAGAGGCAACTCGGGTACAGGCAAGCCTACCATCCCCACGAGATACGACACATCCCTCCTTGACACTTTGACGGCATTGCCCGCCTCAATCATCTGTACGATCTCGCTCGGCGACACACCAACGGTAGGTACGCCGTCAACGATGGCAATGATAGCGGGGATGCCACCATAGCTCCGGATCAGCTCTTCGTGTTCATAGGCGAGATCCTTTCCCATAGCTCCGTGCGTGTAGATTGTCGACTCCAGCGCCACCACAGGCTGCCTGTCGGCGATTGCCTGCCTGATCTCCTTGGAGACATGCAGACCGTCCGGAAACCCCTGAGACTGCGATTGACCACCCAGACTGAAGCATCTAGACTGCTGGCAAGCTGATCGAAGAGATCGGGGCACTTGCCTCCTCAGAGGCGTGAACACTCGCTGGCAGCTCATGATCGCAGTGCTTGTCGGGGGGCCGGATGCGAGACACTCAGTGCAGGTTCTCAGCCTGCTTCAAGCACCAGGATGCTGCGCAGAGCAATTCGGATAGGCTATCAACGATGAGATCACTGTGGCTGGAGTGTGCGTTCGGGAGATGTGTGGAGAGAAGTGAGGAGGTTCAGGCTGCGACTAACGTGAGCTGAAGTTCCCGAGACTCAAAAGTGGAAAGCGCGTTCCACGGTCGCGTGTCGGCGCCTGCCGGTTCTCGGACACCCTCCACTTCCACTTCACTCACTCCTTGCCATTGAGGTGCAAGTTCAATCATCTTTCGCTTCTCAGCATATGTCAACGTGCAAGAATCGTCGCTTCCGCATGTACTGATGCAGCAGCTGAGGCATCGTACCGCCGACCTTACATTCTCGACACCAAGGTGATCAAGATGTCGGACCACGGACCGACGCCGACAGATAGATGCAGCTCTCTCTACGTGCGTCGCCAAGGCTGCAAGGAGCAGTGAAGCTTGAACATCGCTCGCAGCGTCTTCACAGCCAAGTCTAAAGTCCGCTCTGGATGATTTGACGTAATGCAGCAAAAGATGCGTAGTCATGGAACTTCTTTCAACCCGTGACCCTGATCGTCCTCCTTGGCAGTCACATATCCCAAATTGAGAGTGGCCCTTACAGAGTACATTCATGCCCCCAAGCGACATGTTAATCTATATCCCTGCCGCTCGCTTCGCAAACCAGGTTACCGCTCCTGGCTGCCCATGAATCGAATGCGGTCTTTCTCGAGTGAAGATGACACGCAGCAGCCCTTTGTCGCTCTCCAATCCCACGAGCCAGCAGCATGCGTTCCCTCATCCAGCTACTAGGCGCGACGGCGCTATTCATTGCAAAGACTCGGGCAGACGAGAGTATAGTGCATGACGGGCAGCTGGCGACACCAGGCCTGGTCATTGTCAACGCACCACAGCCCAAGACGCCTTTAGGGGGTGGTAATTAATGGTTTCCGCGCACCATGAATGAGTGCCTCACTAAAACGTTGCAGACACGCTGCACATCTCCCTCGACGTCACCGCCAACGGTCATCTCCCCCTCAATCTCGAAGACGACAGTCCTACGCGCATTCACAACATTTCTATCTTCTTGTCCAGCTATTCTCTCGGCAACAACTTCACCGTGACCAATGGCACAGCGGGCCGAGACGAGGCCAGCCTCGGAAACATTCTAGAGCAGGAGCCTGGAAGCACAGTGAAGCACGTCAACTGGGTTTGGCCAGACTGCCTTGTCGGCGATGGTGGTAGCGACGGTGATCGTGGGAACTACAACGTGCGTGAACCGCTGATAAAATGCGCAACTCTCGAGCCTGGCTGACCACATGGACTAGATCTCCATCCGCCAGTACTTTCGCCTCAACGACGAGGACCACTATACAATCTACGACCTGCCGATCGCCGTGACCAACGGTATCCCCGAAGATGATGATCGTCCATCGTGCGAGTCGCTGATGAACGAGCTGTTGTCGCCAGAGGAGATTGATGCGGAGGATGCGAACAAGGTCGGTTTCTTCCTGGATCCTGACAGCGACATTGAGCTCGATTATGACGAGCTCGAAGACGAAAGTTCGATGCTGGCGCTCAGTTGGGTCATGCTCGGTGCGGTCTTCGTTCTCGCTATTGCATAGTCGGACCACTGTCGTGCTTGTCGTACGGAGGGAACATTGTTGGGTCTTGGCTGTTCCAGAGTCCGCCTTCACGTGTATTGTATCGGAACCAAGACAAGGCCGACAACGCGCGACTGACAGCTTGATGCAAGTTCATGCGGGAAGCGGTGAGATTTGTTGCTAGGTTGGTTCGGAACTTCGGTTCAACGCCTTTCAGGCCAAAAAGTGGCAGAAAGCTTCTCGGGGCAGTCGCCCAAATAGGTATTCAAATCGGCTCCACCACAGCTCGATCTGCGTCAATGCAACACGGGTAGGCACCCGTTCAAGGTTCACGTGTCTTTCTCCCCAGTTCATTCGCATGTCAGTTTCTTGACTATCAAGGGCGAACACAGCAGAGGGCAGTTGTTGACCACAAATGATCAGTGAGCCAGCGGCTCCGTGGCTCTTCATCGTGACCAGTCGACAGCGACGCGACCTGGCCAACCCCCGGTTCCACCCAAAGGAGGCACTCGGTGATCACTCGCATTTCTCATGCTGTGCGGCAGAGGGACAAGTAATTACTGCGGCAGACACACCACGGCGGGGCACGAGCAGCATGCCAATCTGGCAGCAAGTCTGGCCCTTTATTATGGTTTATCTTAGGCTGTCGTCAATTCCCCGCAAAGTGGCTTTTGACAGCTACGGGCCTCGGCCCCCTTCCATCGGCCCTTATTGTCCTTTGCAGACAAGAACTCGGCGGGTTGGCTTAATTAAGACCATGATCCAAGGAGCACGCATATCGATATTCTGCACATGACTCCACCTTTGGGTGACAATCTGGGGTTCATATATCATACCAAGGACGTCCAGTCTTGACGTTGGTCCAGTCCCTGGCTCACATTCATCCTCGCCCTCTTCACATCCAGCCGCCTAGTTACGTTGCACCTCGACGTCGACTTCAACATGCCATTTCATCGGGGTCTTCTCCCTCGCGAGGGATTATGCATGGACGTGGTCCTGCGTCTCATCCGCCTGACTGCGCTGAATCCCTCGCTGCTGCTGCCCCTCGTCCTGCTCGCGCGGTACACCAAGCAGGGCCAGGATCTCTCCATCCTCCACCCGGACGCCAACAAGCGACTGCACACGCTCACCTACCTGGCGCTGGCGCGCTTTGTCAGCAACTGGTTTTCGGACAAGGTGCGCAACAACTGGGTGGATGACAAGTATGACTGGTCCAAGGAGATTGTCGTCGTGACGGGTGGCGCAGGCGGCATCGGTGGTGAGATTGTCAAGTTGTTCGAGGAAAAGGGCGTGACGGTTGTTGTTCTTGATGTGCAGCCCATGAGCTTCTCGCATGGTGAGTCCGGAGCCCCCAGCCATGGGTACTCAACTATCACGGTGCCAGGGCGGAAAGACTGACAGAAAACAGGCTCCCGCGTTCATCACTTCAACTGTGATCTTCGCTCCCCTCAGGCCGTCAATGCTACCGCCGACCAGATCCGCGCCCAGATCGGCCATCCTACCATTGTCATCAACAATGCCGGCGTCGCGCGCGGCAAGACCGTCCTCGAGGCCGACCCGGCGGATATCCGTTTCACGTTCGACGTGAACACATTCGCCCCCTTCTGGACGGCCCAGGCGTTCCTCCCCCACATGGTCGAGAAGAACCACGGCATGATCGTGACGGTCTCCTCGTACGCAGCCTGGCTGACGATTTCCAACATGGTCGACTACGGCGCCAGCAAAGCAGCCTCTCTCGCCTTCCACGAGGGTATCACGGCTGAGATCGCCACCAAGTACAAGGCCAACAAGGTGCGGACGGTCGTGGTGCACCCCGGCCACACGCGGACGCCGCTGTTCCAGGGCTATGACCAGAAGACGGGCTTCCTCATGCCCGAGCAGTTCCCCGAATCCATCGCGCAAGCGGTCGTCGAGAAGGTCCTCTCTGGGACGAGCGGCAGCGTCATCCTGCCCGAGGCGGGTGGCTTGCTGCCTGGTCTGAGGGCATTCCCGGACTGGTACCAGCTGCGTGTGCGCGCCAAGGCGCAGTACATGGACAAGTGGAAGGGCAGGCAGGTCATCTCCGACGTGAACGCAACGTATGACAAGGAGGATGCCAGCGAGAGTACGGTCCTGGTGTCCGAGGAGAAGCAGTGAGCGCTGTCAATGTGTGGAGTACCCCAGCGTATACGTGTATGTTTGATGAGCCTCCTTTTTAATGCAACCCAGATCGAATCAAAAGATGATGGCCGTGATGTTGCCCTGTGCGTTCTCCCCTACCACACATCGCTCGTCCCCGGCGATGTACCCTTTACCGAGCAGTCGGTCCCACCACTCGTCTGGAAACTGCACCTCGTCCTGCGTGATGCCCTCCCCATCGGGGTCACAACCGCTTCCCTCGCTCGTGACTCCGTTTAGCCGCAACTTTGGGCGGACATGCACCGAGAGCGTCTCGAGCATGAAACAATGACGTGCCGTGATTCTGACACCAGCCTTTCTGTCAAAGACCTCTGCCACCGTGAGGTAGGGGAAGTCGTCATGACGCCAGCAGGCGCTGTACCCCGGCCATTCGTCATGCATCATGTCCCTGCTAGTATCTTGTTGCGTCGAGAGGCCCCTTCGACAGAATGTGAGCCCCTCCCCGTTCTCCACGCCACACTCTGCCAGCCATTTGGGCCCAATGCCCGCCAGCGGGATGCCCGTGACACGGACAGAATGCAACCTTGGCGGTATGGGGCTGGCGTGAGGCCCCGTACACCAGCGATGATCCTCCTCATGGAAGAAGACAGAGCCGGTCGTGGCACCGGTGTACGGATCGCGGGTGACGTTGTCGATTTCGAGGCTCCGGAGTCGTGGCGTCTGAGACTGTCGGACGCCCCAGACCGACAGGTCGCTATTGACTAGCCTATGGACAACAGTCGGTCCTCCGGTCTCGGGTTTCTCCCTGTTCCCAGGGTCGAGAGAGGGGCGGTAAGGCGACGGTGAAGAGATATCCCACATAACTAGTCGCTCGAGGGGGTCGTCCTCCGCGTACGGCGACCGGTTGGGTTGCCAGATGTACACGACGTAGTGCGTGCTGTTGTGCGCTGAGAAGAACCGGTCGTGATCCGTCAGCGGTAAACCAAGGTAGTGAATCTTCCATTCTGATCGGAAAGTGACTCTCCAGAGAGACAACGATGGAGGTGCGTCTTTGACGGGCAGGATACCGTCCCACTGAGCCGTTCTCGCGACGTCGAATGCAGTCGCAAAGTGGCGGTGCGCACTCGTCCTCTCGTTAAGTGCGTGAAAGGCATCCTCCTCGCACCACTCGACAATCACAACCCCATCTTTGAGTCTCAGTCGTCGCAAGACTCTGCCGGTCCGCGAAAAGGGCACCTCGACTTGCTCATTAGTGTGCAGATCTCTCAGCTGTAGCCCCAGTCCATCCGGCGCCGGATACACAAGCAGGCCACTCTCTGCGTCAAACGTCCAGAAAGGATCAGGATGCTGTAGGGCAGACGTTCGCTCATCAAGCATAAGATGGCGGTTCCAAGGATGGACAGCCACGCAGCCGGAGGTATCCGTCTCAATATCCATTGCCCGCCATGGCGCGGCGGTTCCCAAATGCCAGTATCGCCGTGCGAGAGTCGCAAAGACCTTTGCCCAATCGACGTTGACTGACGATGACGACGGCGTGTTGATGCGGCGCGCTTCCAAGGAGAGGGGAAAATGCTGCTTTATGAGGCTGACGCAGAGGTCGGAGCGGGTGAGGACCGCGTGGCTCTGACGATTCAGACGGCGGAGGGCCAGTGTCGAGGCGGGCGACAGGTAGCCGAGGACCTCGATGAAAAGCTCATAGGGGAGGTCGAGGAGGGATGCTGCCGCTGTTGAAGGCGCGTCTTGTGGGATGGAGTCGATGGGCTTTGTCGCGCGCACTGGCGAAGCAGCGTCCCCCATCGCGATAGGTACCCTCGATGCGTTTTAAAGGTAATGCGAACGGCACAAGATGACGGCTGAGATGCAGTCCACTTGTGTGCGCTCCCCACGGGTAGGTCTCAACTACTGCAGTCATGTGTGAGGCTTGTCCACGATCGGAGCTTTTGGGGCGAGTCGATCAAGTTACGCGAACGAGGGTCCCCCCACAAGAGAATCAACACGAGCTGGGAGCCGGACACGGGAGCAAGAGCTCATTGAGAGAGAGATGCTGTCGCTGTGATTCAATGGCAAGGACGAGGTTGGAGTTGGAACGACATCTGTCGAAAGTTAGAAGAAGTGTTCTCACTGATATAGTGTGCAAGGTATATAAGTGCAATTTTGAAGCCTAAACGTCATCGAAAAGCGCCAGTAGTTGAATGGTTACAATATTTGCCTTCCACTTCCGAGTGATCAGCAAAGGGTCCGTGTTCGATTCACGGCTGGCGCAAATCTTTTTGTTTTTGCTTCTCGCTGCATTGTAGCATTGGCATGAACTATTTTGTCTATTTCTTCAATTGCGTTGTTTTGGTGTTCTTTTTCTTCATATTGAGTGTTCTGTAGAAATGTCATTCTTGTCTTGGGTATCGGGGTCCCCCCTGAATTGTAGTCGCCCACGACGCGACTCCATGTCGCTGTGCTTCCGAGGGCACAATAGCTGCTGGGTGACAAGCATGCCAGGAACCTGGAAAGCTGATGCCAATTGAGGCAACTGCAAAATCGTATGCCCCCAAGACTGGATAATATGGACGTTCTAGTCAAGAAGCCAAGCAGCCACCAAAGAACTATCAGGTAAGCTGGCGTCATTCACCGTCTCAGCACCGTTGTCACGACGCCCATTGTTCTCGAGGAACCATCAAATTCGTACACACATGCCCGAGCCATGTCAAATATGAAATGCTTCGACCCATTAACATGAAATCCACTCGCAGCTTGTTCCAGCTATTTATTTTTGCTTTCAGGCCAAGACTCAAGAGTAGTCCGGCATCTCTGCACATCATCCAGGGTAACCCCAAGCATCCGGACAGGAGTAAAGGGGCGTAGACGTGAGAAATTGTCAAGATGCAGTCGGTCGAGTCCAAAATTGTCTCTTGAATCCAATAGGTGTGGTCTTGATACCCAAAGAATGTCGAGGTAGCCCGGGGTCGAAGAGGCTGCTGATTGTAAACCTGTGGTAGGAGAGTGTCATGGCCAGAAACCCAAGCCATCTGAGTCCTGCCCGTAACGCTACATTACGATGAGATTATTTGCCCACCCTGCAAGAGAATCGCCTCGCTCTTCGGATCGATCGCGTTCGTTGGAAAACTATGGCGGATGGTCTGCGTCGACGTGGAGATATCTTCATAACCGGTTCTTTGCCTGGTCAACGCGATAGTTAGATCGACAAAACCGAGTCTTTTCGAAACTACACGAGATCACGCACCTCAAATTCATGGTGTGTCCGTTGTGATTATCATTGTCCGTGACCTTGAAGTGTGTTCGGGAACACATGTGGAAACTGTCGGCCAGAGCGTCTTTGTGCAGATGATCATAAGAACATGAAAACAGTATGCGCACCCGCGTTCAATCACGGAAATGAGGAGACGTTCGCATGCTCAACACACATGAACTCTGCAAGCGTATGGCACAAAATTTCATTTCGCGTACCTAGTGTTGTTTATCGTCGAGTGACAGCCACCTTCGGCGGAGGCGCTCACGAAACGCGCAGCTGAATGATCCGCAAACTCGACAGAACCTGACGGGAAAGAGCCAGAAAGAGAGTCGCAACACCGGGAGACTGATACTATTACCGTGTGAGAATAATTTTTTCGATGCTGCAGTCTGTTGCTGGTGCTCTTGAAGCCCAAGGTGATCCAGTGTTGCTCCTGTCTGCAACGCAGCAGATTCCCAAGTACCAGCGAATAGCATAGCACGTGAAGGACGTATAATATCCTGCATAGAATGCATCAATAATCTAGATTCACATCATTGAATGTACACAGAGAGCCTCATTCAAGATGATAGGCTGTCTGTTCTCAACTGTTGCCCACGGCAACCAGTGGCGAGTTGACAACCAACCCCCTTCAACCCAGCCACACAAAACACTACGGAACATCACGGTACACTCTTTAGACGGTTTGGTAGTCGGTACCCCTGAGCCCGTGACCAACAGTTGATCTGCCGGGCATTCACTGAGGCACTGGGCCTTCCGTCACCCTGGCGACCTCCATATGCTTCTCTTATTATTCAGCTATCGAGGTTATCGAGACGCGGTCGTCGTGTCAGGGGCAAAAAACGCTAAGACATCAGACTATAAGAGCAAACAATTCCTTCGCCCATCCCCCCCTCCTTCTTCCCTGCTGCTGTTGTTGTTCTTCTTCATACCACACAACCACTCCCACGAACAACTTCATCTCTCCACAACCCTATTCATTGTGCCTTCTGGCAACTTCTTTGCGAACATTGCAATTCTATCACAAACGTGTTCTCGTTCATCATCGAGCCCAAACCACACGCAATCCTCCGCCAGAGCGGTGCCGATCATCGACCTCGAGTCAACACACCGCGTCACGCTCAACATACATCGTGCCCTCTATCAGCAAATCAGCATCACGATACATTATCAATGCAACTGTAAATTCATCTTCTCGTTTCCTTCGTTTCCAAACGCGTCAAGTGGAAGTTGCGTGCACAGCAGAGCCCTGCCTCCCAGCCAACTTGAACTTCTGGCGCGCCGCCCCTCAGATCCCATCTCAGCCTCATCGCCATTCAACAAGAAGGAATACACCTGCAAATAAGAGGAATGTTTCTTCAAGCTGTTTCGAGTCTTCTTCGCCAAGGATGAGTGTGTGGCTGGCTTCTGCTTCTGGCGAACCACGCCCTTCCCGGCACCTTCGGCTTCCATGAACCACCCATCACAACTGGACGTCACCAGGCACCCCAACCCATCTCTTTGAACTTGCTCCCCAAGCTTTCTGTACAACCAGCCAAGCCGGCTCCTGTAATTCAGCAATGTTTATCAAATTTGCTAACTGCTCAGTGATTGCATAGACCACGGACTAGGTTCCAGACTACCGAATACCTGCCATCCACCACAATCGTCATCGAGTTTCAAGACACAACAAGTACGTTTCACCAGCCCACGATCTCCGTCCAGTCTTTACGGTCCATATTCTAACCGATACTAGTCTCTGTGGCGTTGCTGTATGCAACCCCTCTCCTAGGCTCATAGCCATGCCCAACATGTCTCGAAACAACCTCGATCATTTCGTCGCGCGCACCAAGGCCAAGCTTGCCAGTGCCAAGGGCAAGATCACCGCCAGCCGCGATCAGCACCTCAAGAAGACGTCGGAGTTGCTCTCGCAATTTGGCTTCCCACCCGTCAAGGCAAAACTGACAAAAATACACCCTTCTCTCATCATGTATCAAAACGCCGGCTTTCAAGACCACCAAGGGGTTGGGGTCCGCCAGATGCCGCTTCCTCTTGAGACCACAATCCATATCCAGGTCGGTGAGAGTTTCTCAGTGGTCAAGGAGATGCGCTTCCGTTCATCCTCTCATCTCGTGGCGAGTCTGGGACATGCCAAGGCCGCCAACAGCCACATCAAGCACTTCGCCGAAGAGGTTCTCACCCGCGACGACCCTCGAGCTCTTGAGCGTCGAGATGAAAACGGAGTTGTCAAAACCAATCAACTCCTCCTTGTAGCAAGGACCAAGTGCTACGGAAACTATGAGCAGCGTTGTTGCCAATACGCCTTCCACCGCACGCAGCTCACCGACGCCGCAATGAGAGCCTTGATTGTCCACATTGACCGCTCCATGGCCGAATTCTACACTGGCATCGACAAGTACTTCAAGTGGGAGCCCACAGCATGTACGCAGTCGGACAACTACAAGCCGACCATGTATGATCCTGCAACAACCGAGGTTGCGCCAGTGATCTGTGTCCCCAACAACGACGAGGAATGCGGTTACGATATCGCCGTCGACGTCAAAGACTGGCGCGAGAACCATTTCCGCATCATCGAAAGCGAGCTCACTACTCCTCTCACAGCCGACGCTGCACCATACCTGGAACATGTCGTCAGAGACGCTATCCAGGATGCTGTCGAGGACCAGGACTTTCGCTAGAACCAAGAGTCCTACCACAACCGCGCCCAGCACATTTCTCATGCTGATAATGCAAAAGTATCCTACCAAATCCGCAACAAATCGGGCCCTGTTCTTGCCACACACTGGGGAGTATTCCCTGTCAAAGTGAACAGCTCCGCGATGGTGACCTTCGTGGAGTCACTGGCCGGCCTCATGAAGCCTCTGCGAGACAGCCAAGACGAAACTATCCGAAAGACTGACGACTTTGTCATCACAATCGCTCAGTTTCGAAGTGAGAATTGGATCATCGACAACCCGCTTCGAATCGCTATCGACAACCACACAACACTCAAGCGTCAGAAGGTCGACGCAATCCTCAAGCGTCTCCCAAACGCCATTGAGGATGAGTTGACGGGTCACGGTACACAATGCCATGTCACTGTTTCCAAGCGTGGGCACCTGCTGATGGACCGCGAAATCGCGGCCGGTGAACTTGAAACCTCGCTTGGCAGGAACTTCTCTGATAGTTTGCAACTCAAGTACCGTGTTTTGCGAGCGCGTTTGGAAAAGAGAATTCGCCAAGAGCTCAACATGGTACTCCTTGACACAATCGGTATTGGAGAGCCAAAGCCTTTCGACTCGTTCATTGTCCAAGCCAATCCTCAGCCGGTGATGCTTGCACTCACCCCCAATGCACGCAGCATCCTTGAGACCATGGATGCCCAGATGGAAACCGGGATGCAGTATATGAACAATGGCCGGTCTGAAGACGCAGATGTTGATGTGTACGATCATCTGGAGGAAGAGTTCTCATACCTGAGCTCGGTCATTGACGAGGGAACCTCCTCGACCCATGTGGCCAACACTCATGAGGTCGACAACACCCACGAGGTCGACAACACTCATGAGGTCGACAACAACCACGAGGTCGACAACAACCACGAGGTCGACGACAACCACGAGGTCGACGACAACCACGAGGTCGACGACAACCACGAGGTCGACGGTGACAGCACGGCAGCTTCCTTCTTCACCACCAATACTACTGGCACTGCTGTACACCTCCATACTAGGGATGCAAGTACTGCGCCAGCTGTCGACCTTGCCTGGAACGGTGGGGATCACCAAAATACTGCGCCTTCTTGTGAGATGGAGAAACCACTCATTACTCGCTACTGCACGGTCTTGGAGATAGCTCAGCCCACTCCAATCCGATCAGCACACGTTGTTCTGAAGTTCAGAGACTCAGAACATGCCAACTCTCCCCTTCACGAAGCCACACAAGCGGCTTCTCCAGCCGACTCTTGGAACGACGAGGGTTTCTTCCCTGCCCCTGAGACAGAACGCCAGACAAGCTCGGCTGCCACATCGTCTTTCAACCGACCCGCTTGGCTTGCCGTCGCCAACTTTGTTTTGGGCAGGGACTCTGCTGAGCAAGAGCCTGAGCCTCGTCCCCTGCCTGAGCCACCTATGCCAGCGCCTGTGGTCCCTGCTCGCAACATCTTGGCCATGATGCCGGCACGTCAGCCGCAGCCAGCGGTTGCTCAAGAGCCTGGACCTCGTCTGTCCTGGGCTCAGCGCATCGGACTCCGCCCAGCACCCGCGCCTCGAGGCCTTCTACCTGCACCGCAGATCACACGAGGAGGCTAGGGAGTCTTCGGTGGTCGCCTATCAGGGGCGAACAGAGACGAGTAAGCAACAAGATTGTAACCACACAGGCTTCGGGAGATGACAGATTGACATTTCCTCCCAATCCTGATGTACGCAATGCAAATACATTGACGAAAAAAATACCGGTGTATGACAGAGGAATAATGAGATGACGGAGATATTTTGACATATTGCGAGCGGATCAGCTCAGGGACTACGGAATTGGATGGACGTTTTGGATGTGGCGGAGGCGCGACTGTTATATTGATACCCCCTTTCCCTATTTTATGCGCGGCGCACTTTGCAGACACACTTACCCACTTGGCCGCGGCGCACGACAAGCTGAGCCTGGTGGAGCTGTCTGATGGATTACGAGATGGGTGATTCCTCGCAGGGTGATCAGGCACCAGATGGTTGGATCAGAGACATGGTCATGGTATATGACTTTTGGGCGTCCAAGAGAAAGGGACGCCTTGCCAGATGATATATCAATACACACAACTATCGTGGCACCTTCATTTCGTTCCCGCACCGTGACACTGTGACTGTATGCCACACTACACCACAGTATGCGCCTACACTGACAACCGTCGCATGCAGCCGAAGAATTACACCCATCACTTCCCAAACTTGGTACAATGTTTGCATTTGCTCATAATTCATGGGTATCATCTATCCATCCATCCATCTTCCCCAAAATGCGTGAGCGCGCTACACCAACTCCGCCTCACCCTGGGTAACCATGTCTCTCGCGCTCTCCCACCTCATGATCAAGACGTCCCCCTCGGCCGCGTTCAACGAGTTGTCCCGATCGCTCCCCCGGCCAGAGACCTCCTTGTCCGTGAGCATCCTCACAAAGACAGCCGTGTCGAGATCCGGCGCGTCAATCATGCTAACGCCGCCCGCCGTGTCGTTGAGGTTCTGCAGCTGTGGCGGGAACGCGTTGAGGAACGAGGAGAGGTAGTGATTGTGCAGCAGAGCCTGATGACGGGTCGCGTACGCGAGCTCCGTCGGCGCCAGGCGGGAGCGCAGCTCGCTGCTCGAGAGGTAGTGTAGGGTGTGCCTGTCAATCTTGGCGATGCGGGCGCGCAGGTAGCTGCGGACGAGGAACTTGAAGCGCTCGAGCTCGGTCTGGATGACGATGAGGGCGAAGTTGGTGGTGGGATCCATGTCCCCCGTCATGTCTTCTACTTTTTCAATCTGGGCCTTGATGCGATTGTTGACGCGCTCAAAGACGCCATCTGATGGCCAACTGCGAGTGGTCTGTTAGCACATATTTCTTTTCTTGTGCATATCGCTGTGCGCGGGGAGATATACGTACGCCAGCAGCTCAGGAGCTGATCGCTCGGCAACCCAGAGACGCGTCAGGATTTGAAGGTCGGTTGTCTCGCGGGGAATGCCGCCTGTCGAGGGGTCGACGGAGCGCAGAATATCATCAATATCCATGGTGTCGCATTGAAGTTGGGCTTTGTGTGAGTCTGCTTCCTGATGGGCGAGTTCCGGGCTGGTTGTGTGAGTCTGCGATTTCGAGGATGAGAGGTGAGGTGTGAGGTCGCGTCTCATCAGTGAGACGCTGGTTTGGTGGATGCTCCACCACGATGAGATGGGCTACATCAGCCTGTGTCCGGATAGCCACAATTAATGAGAACGATTTCACGCGACAAAGGGATATTTTGGATGCAATGTATTCTTATTTTTCTAAGTTTACTTCTATGATTTCTCTCTATTCTGGCTCAATGTCCGCAGTTTCATACCCCTGTTGTTCCTCAGCTCGAGACTCGCCGCCCCTTTCGCTGAAGGCTTCTAAAAATTCACTGCACCTTTTTCAGCGGCTTGTGTGCTTCCACGCGAGCTCCTTCGTATCCATTGACCTTGCCATACACCCACTTGAGCATCATGCTGGAGACTGTCGACAAGAAGGCCGCGAACGTGAAGAGAAGCGCCCTCTGCATGGTGTTGAGCAACCCGAAAATGGGATACGGGTACCTGTGGTGGTGAGAACAAGGTACAGTTGGGAGCCAGAGAAAACACATACCATCCATTGTGACTGAAGCATAGCTCGATCCAGTACCAGTAACTAAGAGCCAAGCCAGTGCTCATCGCCATGATGCCATAGGCAGGGATCGTCCAGGGCGGACTCAACAGCACCAGGTCCAACGTCAAGAACACCGAAGGGGCAAGGTGAAATCCCATGTCTGTGAGCACTGGCAGGCGCATATTGTCCACGAAGAGAAGCTCTGGGTTGATGAGGTGGAGTCCCCAGTAGAGTATCGAGATGACCACTTCAAGTGGGGTAGCGACAATGGAGATGATGTTCTTCGCTTTGAAGAACACGGGCGCCAGGGTCAGGTCGGCTAGGATGCCAAAGCTGAAAGACAGCAGGGCAGCCGAGAGACCCAGGATGGTGAGGAATTGAAAGTGCCATCCGTACGCCAGGTCGAACGGTGTCTCCCAGACCGTCAGGAAGTGGAAGTTGTAACTGAAAGACGCAACACCCAAGGCATGGAGCAATAAGGAGAAGGTCCGTGAGGGCGACCTCAGTTTCTGGAGAGGATGCTGTTGGACCATGGCGTGCACTGAGCGGAAGTTCACAGATAGACGCGTACACAGACCGCAATGAAGGGAAAAGTAGAGAGAAGAAGCTTGCTGTCCTCAATCTATGATCACATTGCAAGGCTGGATACTCCGTACATATTCTGGGTCCCATTTCGAGCGAACATGAGGCTATCATTGGCCAATTGCGCCATGGAGTCGAGGCGGATGCAACGTCATGGTCTTGAAGCCGGAGCCGGAGTGCTGAAATGGCCCGTCAACCACCACCAGAATTCAGGAACTCAGGGCCCGCCACAGTTGAGGGTGAGCTTGCGCCACACAACAGCGGAGAGATGTGGCTGGTGTGGGCCATGTACTCCGTAGGTACTCCGTACGTAGACGATATCGAATTGTAATTTATAGTAGCGCGCGATGAGATCGTGAACCATACAACACCTCACAATGGCGGACACAACTCCTGAAGAGGACAGACCCTCAACGAAGCGCAATCATGACGAATTCACCGAACAAGATGGTAATTATAGCCCAATGCAAGGGCTCGGTGACCAGGACTGACTATGTAGATTCCTCCTCGGATGATGATATGGGCCCGCAACTACCCTCAGCGGCAGCTCCCAAGAAGAAACGTCGCGTACTCCGACACGAGAAACTATACGTCGCCGCGCTGCCCAAGTCCCAGCGCTACTCTCGCTCCCTCATGCACAAGGACCAGATCCTCTTCGCAAATTGGACCCCCTCGACCGAATTCCTCATCACCTCCTCGATAGACGGCGTCGTTAAGTTCTGGAAGAAGATTGCGCAAGGGATTGAGTTTGTCAAAGAGTTCAAGGCACACAATGGCGAGATTAAGGGTGTCAGCGTCAGCCAGGACGGACGAAACTTTGCAACAGCTGGCGCCGACGAGACGGTCAAGATCTTTGATGTTGTCACCTTTGACCTTCTATCCATGATTGAATTGGGCTATGTGCCTGGTTGTGTGGCCTGGGTGCACCAGAAGGGAGCTTCTCTCCCGCTCTTGGCCGTATCGGAGGCGACCAAACCGCTCATACACGTATACGATGGCCGAGGCGAGAGGGAGGAACCTATACACACCATCAAAGGCCTGCACCGGAAGCCGGTGCATCTCATGACCTACAACAACAGCTTCGATTGCGTGGTGTCGGCGGATGAGGGCGGCATGATTGAGTACTGGCGACCGAGCGGTTCCTACGAGAAACCAGACAACGTCTTCGAGTACAAAAGCTCCACCAACCTCTTCGATTTCAAGAAAGCCAAGGCAGTGCCTTCTTGCCTATCGGTGTCGCCTGACGGACGGCTTCTCGCGATCTTCTCATTGCCTGACCGAAGACTGCGTATCTTTGACTTCGCCTCTGCGAAACTACATCGAACCTACGACGAATCGCTCCAAGCCGCCGAGGAGCTGCAACAAGTCGGGTCCGCTACGCAGAAGCTTGATCATATTGAGTTTGGGCGCCGTATGGCACAGGAGAAGGAGGTCGAGTCGCAAACGCTGCGCAACAAGTCGAATGTGATATTCGACGAGTCCGGCAACTTCATACTCTACGCATCCATGGTTGGCATCAAGGTCCTCAACGTATACACCAACCACGTCGTCAAGGTCTACGGCAAAGATGAGAACTTTCGCGCTGTCAACCTCGCTGTATACCAGGGGCAACCGCAGAAGAAAGGGTTCACTACAGTCGAGATGGGCGCATCTGCGAATCCCCTCTTGCAAGAGTCAGAGTCGCGCGATCCCATCCTGATCGCGACAGGCGCTGGCAAGGTGCGCTTCTACATGTTCACAAACGAGGAGGACTTTTCCAAGTCGACACGCGACATCCAAAACGAGCGGCCGACCATGCTGGGCGGGAAGAAGGAGCAGCAGGCGCGCAAATCCGAGACGGGCAGTGCAGCGATCATCCACACCACGTATGGTGATATTCATCTGCGATTGTTCCCTGACGCAGCACCCAAGACGGTCGAAAACTTTGTGACGCACTCTAAGAAGGGCTACTACAACAATACGATCTTCCATCGAGTGATCCGGAAGTTTATGATCCAGTGCGGCGATCCTCTAGGTGATGGCACGGGTGGTGAGAGCATCTGGGGCTCGCACTTTGAGGACGAGTTTAGCAGCTTGAAGCACGACAAGCCGTACACGGTGAGCATGGCGAACGCTGGACCGAACACCAACGGGAGTCAATTTTTCATCACGACAGAGAAGACTGTGAGTACATGAGAAACAAGCGCCCTCGGCAAAAGCGAAACTAACGTGCGACAGCCCTGGCTAGACGGCAAACACACAATTTTCGGACGCGCTACGCAGGGTCTTGATGTCATTCACAAGATCGAAAACGCGCGGACGTACAAGGACAAGCCAGAGGAGGACATTAAGATTCTCAACATTGACATTTCATAGCACACCGAGCATGTGGGTGCTGGGGGTTGCCAACGCCATGTGGCTGACCGTGCAGCGAGATCCCGCGGAAATACTCCATCAGCACGAACATTGGTAATGATCAACTGGCGCGGATGTACCACCAGATTATGCCAGGCAACAAACAGGTCTCGGGGATGTCTATCCTCAGTAGAGTGGTGTTTCAACACTCGATGCGACCCGCTCGCCGGCGCAGGGCGGTGGAGGATTCAAGGGGCGCTTCTTCGGGTGAACTGCCGCTCGATGCCAAATTGATGGATAGTAGTAATTATATCGCGCGAACGTGGAGAACCACTTTACGTCACGTCGCATTGGCTCAGATCAGCGCGACTACGCTACTGTACGTATGTGCTAGCTCGACGCCCTGGACGAAGCTGTCACGCTTGGCGTCGCCGGCTTCACAGCATGTGAAAATGTCGGATCAAGCCGTCAGGCCAAGAGCTGGGAGGCCATGTGAACAAGTATCAGCAGATACTGCGAGCAAGTCATAGTGGGAAGTACTGGTCATCATAGCTGTGTCTTGCGCCTCGTCGTGGTTGCGCAGCGGCCCGGTGTTTGCATCGTGACCGACTATTGTACGCACGAATTGGGTGACGCGACGAGGCCATGTGGCAGTAATCCGAGGGTGCAACAATACCAGATGGAAGTCAAGTGTGAGCTTTTACTTCAATTATGGAAATTCAAACAAGAACGAATTCTCACACGGCCTGAGGGACCTCTTAATACTATGCATTTTGCGTCTCCAACGGACCGGAGCAAAGGGTCCCAACGCTGGGCAACTGCCTTGCATCTGATCTGCGAAGTAATAAGACCGTATAATAAGCCTCCCGTCTTGGGCCGCTGTTGTGGCAGGCTGCCGGTGATATGTTCGAGGAAAGCCATGACATCGTGATGGATGATGGACATCGTATTTTGAGGTCATAAGCAAACGGTATTAGTGTGAATGCATGAAGATGGCCATGCGCCAGCCAATGGCGATATCGCAATAATAATGAGCAAGTCCTTAGACTCGGGCCTTTCCACTGATGTGCTTGGGTATGAGTGCTTGTCAGGTAGGACCAGACATCTACGAGTACCAAAGAGGTGGGCTGGCCCAGAGGAGGAGCAGCAGGATGCGAAGTAGGAAGCAGTAGTATGACTGACTGACTGGTATGACATGATTTTGAATTTCTCCCGGTGGTCTCCCTGTGCGAGTGAGTGCATGTGGTGGCTGTGGGCGACGGCTTAAGGAGCGCGCGACATATTTAACCTCGTTCCGCCTTGTCGGACCCCGTTCCCTGACCATCCCACCGGTCCGCGATCTGATTCACCACCATTTGCTGGCATTTTTCTTGTTTCTTTTATTCTAGAGATACCCATTTCTTGACTCTACTGTACTCTTGTCCCAGCATCTCGAGCATTACACACACACGCACAACGCCCACCATGTCGGTACGTTTCTGTCCCTATTGCTGCCCCTCCCCCCACCAAAATTCTCAATGACTCTGCGCTCGAAATGAGCCGCCGATCATCGGACCTTTCTGAACTGACGATGCGAGCAGGGCCAATTCTTCATCGAGAACAAGCTCGTCGGCCAGAAGAACGAAGCCGAAGACTGGCGCATTAAGGGCTACAACCCTCTCACGCCGCCCGACCTCCTCCAGCACGAGATCTCCCAGACGCCCGAGTCGCGCGCCACCGTCCTCCAGGGCCGTGATGAGGCCGTCGCCGTCGTCAACGACAAGGACCCCAAGCACCGTCTCCTCGTCGTCGTAGGGCCATGCTCGATCCACGATCCCGAAGCCGCCCTCGCCTACTGCGACCTGCTGCTCAAGGCCAAGGAGAAGCACAAGGATGAGCTCGTCATTGTCATGCGCAGCTACCTCGAGAAGCCGCGCACAACTGTCGGCTGGAAGGGCCTGATTAACGACCCCGACATTGACGGTAGCTTCCAGATCAACAAGGGGCTGCGTCTGTCGCGGCAGTTGTTTGTCAACCTGACGCACAAGGGCATGCCCATTGCTAGCGAGATGCTCGACACCATCTCACCGCAGTTCCTGGCCGATCTGCTCTCTGTGGGTGCCATTGGCGCCCGTACCACCGAGTCACAGCTACACCGTGAGCTAGCCTCGGGTCTCTCCTACCCGGTCGGCTTCAAGAACGGCACCGACGGGTCGCTGGGCGTGGCCATTGACGCCATTGGCGCCGTGCAGCACCCTCACCACTTCCTGTCCGTCACGAAGCCCGGTGTCGTGGCGATTGTGGGCACGGTGGGCAACGAGGACTGCTTCGTCATCCTGCGCGGAGGGACCAAGGGCACCAACTACGATGCGGACAGCATCGCCGAGGCCAAGGCGGCCCTGGAGAAGAAGGGCGTGCGCCAGAGGCTCATGGTCGATTGCTCGCACGGCAACTCGCTCAAGAACCACAAGAACCAGCCCAAGGTCGCGGCCTGCCTGGCCGAGCAGATTGCCAAGGGCGAGAACGCCATCATGGGTGTGATGATTGAGAGCAACATCAACGAGGGTACGTCGCATATTTCTTGATCACATGTCATGGACCCAGGTTTGCTAACTACTGTATAGGTAGCCAAAAGGTGCCCGAGGAGGGCAAGGCTGGCCTCAAGTACGGCGTCAGCATCACCGACGCGTGCATCCACTGGGAGGAGACCGAGAGCGTGCTCCAGAACTTGGCGGATGCTGTCAAGTCGAGGCGGGACATTCTGGACGGCGCAAATGGACATGCTTGAAACAAAAAGGACAAGATGGTGATTTCCGGGGTTTGATAGAAAACGGCATGATTGAATGATATCTCTCTTCTTGTTCAGCAGACCCTTCTACGAGCGTCTCAGTCAAGAGTCTCGTCACTGTGAATCTTCAATTTCCAACATGTGTGTGCCTCGTAGGACTGGATCTTGTCGACTACTTGGTAGCGAGGCGATGTAATACCAAATTCTCGTTTTCGTGACGCCCGCCGAAATGACGCGTCCAGCGATTTTTAGATCAGGCGGTCCCGGCCATGCGAGATTCGGTCTCAATTATTAGTTCACAGATCCAAAGCTGAACTGCAGCGCCCAGAGCTGAGGCTGCTGAGGCTTGAGCTCGTGGTGCGAGAGACCGCACTAAGCCCGTTCGAGTGGCGTCGCAATTGGCGAACCTCCTTGCGCCGACTGCGACTAAATTGCCAGCACCTCTCCGCCCATCCCAAACGCGCACTCTCTATCACAGTATAGCCTGGCAATCTCTGTGGTCCAGGAAGCTTTTCGCACTAGACAAAGCATCCATCGACATTCCTCAATATATCATCCGCCTCCTAGAGTAGGAATCGTTCCCTGCTCCAGCGACAGCTCGCTACCATGACGCGCGAATCTTCACCACTTGACTCCCCATTGTCCTCAGAGCAGTGGTCGGATCACGAGGATGAGTCCGTCCAGGATGTTCACGAAGAAGACGAGACCCCTGCCCGCCCGTCCAAACGCCAAAAGACCGAAGTCGCGTCAACAACCTCATCCGCCGCGCCTATCGCCCACGAAGCAGAGCCCGAGGTAGACCACATTCAAGCGCCTCCCGATGTGGCCCTCGGGGATGTGTCAGACATCTCCTCCGACACGTCGGCCGACATACCCAGCTCACCCCCCTATGCCCGGCCTGACGATGAGGATATGCAGGAGCAGGTCACGGTCTGCGACTGGGACGGCTGCGTAGCCGGCGACATGGGCGACATGGACAGGCTGGTCGACCACATCCACAACTCCCACATTGAGAGCCGACAAAAGAAGTACACCTGCGAATGGAACACGTGCTCACGCAAGGGGCTTCCACACGCCAGCGGTTACGCGCTCAAGGCACACATGCGAAGCCACACTAGGGAGAAACCTTTCTACTGCTACCTACCCGGTGAGCCTCGCCCTCCTCGGTGCTGCGGCCTCTGTGTGCGAGAAACAGAAGAACTGACGAGAACAGAATGCGATCGCTCCTTTACCCGGTCGGACGCTCTAGCTAAGCACATGCGCACTGTCCACGAGACCGAGACCCTCCGGCCATCCGACCCCGTCCCCAAATCCCAGGGCCACGGCAGCAAAGCGAACAAGCTCAAAATCATCATCAAGACACCCCAATCCCATGGCAACAACGGCGACGATGTGTCTGACGAGCCCCTCGCCGACGGCAAGGATGATCCCCACGAAGGCTGCTGGACCATCATGTCGTCCGACCTCTTCAGCGAGGAGGAGCTCAAGGCGGACCGCGAGGCACTCTACAAGAAGCTGTACTTTGAGGACAAGTGGGCCAAGGAGGAGAACGACACGCTGATGAAGGAATGCAAGGCACTCGAGGAGCAGTACTACAAGGAGTGGCAGGAGAAGGAGGTGCTGCTGTCCCAGGTCATTCAGAGCGAGGTTGCGTGGCATGAGCGGCGCAATGCGATCTTGAGTGGTGCTGCCGATGTCCAAATCAGCGGCCCGATGGACAGTCAGGAAACGGAGCCCGCGAACGGCCTGTCGGATCCCAAGCCTGTCAATACGATTGAGAATGGTTTGCGGCCGCGGCCAGTGTCGCCTCCATGAGTCGGGGCAATCCTTACGTCCATGCTCTTTGAGGCTATGGGCAGGTTTCATGGCCAATGTTTTCAATGATACGACAAAAAGTAACAAGGAGTTCACGGGGGTTTTTCAAGCGCTTCGGTCTCACAATTCTATAGACTAATACATTCAATGTATACTGTACATCTACAGCGCCTTCTTCTTGGAGCGGTAGGACTCCTTGTTCTTGAACGGGAACCCGCTGGTTCCTTGGTCAAACTTGTGATACCGACTGATCATGGCCTTATCGCCCGCAAACATAATGCAATACAGCCCCAATGCCGCGAAGAAGCTGCTTCCAATCGTGCCGAGGATGAAACCCGTCTGTCCGGTCCACGCGTAGCGTGAGTAAGTGTAGCAGGCAGCGGCAGTGTGATGGAGAACCGCAATTGTGAGAGCAGCGCTTGCATAGGGAGACAGGCCATTTTGGGGGGCTGTCTGAGTCAGTTTGGAGGAACCATCTCGGTGGGATATGATCTTACCGTCAACTTCGGAGCCTAATGGAACGGCGCCAGAGAGAAGGACCACGATAAGGCCCAAGGCCAGGAGGGCAAACCCGAGTGACCGAGCAAAGTAGGCTTCTAGAGCTAAACCAGGTCAGTAAGTTAGGCTCCGTGCGCAGTCAATTCTAGAGCGTACAGCTTGAGGTGGCATCTTCAACACGTAGGAGAGCTCCTATGGACGATGGCCAGATGATCAGAGGTACTGCCTGCGTGGAAAGCCAGGCGAGGTTGCCGAAGCTGTAGGTCGAAACGGTCTGCGTTGTTAGCGGCGGATCACGTATAAAGTGTCTACACGTACATCCATGTTGAGCTTTGAATGGTGGTTGAGGTTATGAAAAGTAGCAGATGTCGCCTGCTGACGAGACCTTGATTGCTAGTACTTGTAGAAGTCGTCGCGTCCTACTTTTACATCCGACGACGTCACATCCCCGTCGTCGGTTCGCGGCGGACCCTTGGATTCCACATTGAGCCTAGCGCTATAGGTGGCCGATTTCGCATCCAACTTGCATCGTGGGGGGTCGGCATCTCGAACATTTCTAATCCTCAGCTGCTCATTGCGCAGAACTGCTTTGTCTGTATTCTACATCCACTTTCACCCATCTCTATTAGGAGAATATCTAGTGGCGATTATCCAAGTCCTTGCCGCATAATCACCACTCTTCACGCAGCTACAACGCAGCTTTCATCCACATCTGCGACTTCTTCGCCACCCCACCTTCGACTGCGCGCACACATACACGACCACTGAATCCCTCGCGCAGCACTTGCGGCCGTTGAGTACCAACGTTCCGATCCGGCGCAATGAGTGCCATCTTATCCGCAGACGACCTCAACGACTTCATATCGCCCGGTGTCGCCTGCATCAAACCCGTCGAAACCCTGCCAACAGCCCCTCCCACTCAACCATCGAACGAAACAGAAGTCATCCTCGACGGCCAACATCCCGCCGCGCCGCAGTCGAATGCGCCTGCCGAAATCTCCTTGACAGATTGTCTTGCTTGTTCGGGGTGTGTCACATCAGCAGAGGCCGTCCTGGTGAGCTTGCAAAGCCATGCGGAGGTGTTGTCGTTGTTGGACTCGGCGCCAGCGCTGAAAGTGGCGGGGCCCGATGCGAGCGGTAATTATGCTGTGGAAGGGTTGGAGGATCCAGATGCCAAGCTGTTCGTCGCGAGCGTGAGTCCGCAGTCGAGGGCGAGTTTGGCGGCCGCGTGCGGTGGCAAGTCTGAGAAGCAAGCGGGACACATGCTCGAGCAACTGCTCAGTGGACCAGCAGGCCTGCCCAGTGGCGGCAAGTTCAACAACGGCTTCACCTGGGTGTTTGATACCAACGTTGCGCGAGAAGCTAGTCTGGTGCTGGGTGCGGACGAGGTCCTCGAGACTTCGAGGCCTGGTGTCTCGGCTCCCTCCAAGCCCATACTGGCCGCGTCCTGTCCGGGATGGGTCTGCTATGCCGAGAAAACACACCCCCACGTGCTGCCAAATCTGTCAAGGGTCAAGTCCCCTCAAGCGCTGATGGGTACACTGCTCAAGACGGTTCTGAGTCGCAAGCTTGGCATCCCGCCAAGCCGAATCTGGCATCTGGCTGTCATGCCATGCTTCGATAAAAAGCTGGAGGCCAGCCGAGAAGAGTTGACAGACGAAATCTGGGAGGGTTCGGGCCAGCCTGGTCGAGGTGTGCGGGATGTCGATTGCGTGATTACCAGCAAGGAGATCTTGATGCTCGCCCAGTCCAGGGATACCGACTTCTTCGCGATGCCTCCGACACCTGTACAGGCGGCAACACGCGAAGGGTTTCCCGACGGAAAGCTCAGGGACTTCTTGTTCCCTCGACGAACAGCGGGCAATGCCCCTGAATCGGCTGGCTCTTCGGGGGGGCTCCTGTACCACATTCTTCAAACAAGAGCGGCGCAGATACCAGGGTCCTCCATCCAGATGAACCGCGGCCGAAACACCGACGTTGTTGAATACACCATCACAGCCAACGGCGAGACCGTATTCAAGGCAGCCCGATATTACGGGTTCCGAAACATCCAGAATCTGGTGCGAAGACTGAAGCCTGCCAAGCCCTCCCGTATGCCTGGAGGGAAGCCATTTGGCAGCGCACGACGACCAACTGGCAAGTCTTCTTCCCTCGAATACGGATACGTCGAGGTCATGGCCTGCCCGGGGGGCTGTACCAACGGTGGCGGCCAGATCAAGGTTGAAGATCCCATCGTTGTCGAGAGGAAGAACTTGTCGGGAAAGCCAGGTCCTCAAGCGCAGAAAGAGTGGTTGGCAGAGGTGGACGAGGCCTATTTCTCCAGCGACGAGACTGACGCTGCAGGCGGCCATGATGCCGGAGATGTCATCGGGGGAATATCTCGCGCCTATATCCATGATACCCTGGCGCACTGGGCTGACGCCACCGGCATAGGCCTCGACAAACTCGCCTACACGAGTTATCGCGAAGTCATCAGCGATGTTGGTAAGGATACCACCGACACAGAAAAGGTGGTCCAACTCGCGGGCAAGATCGGCGGTGGCTGGTAGCATATAGACCATAGAGGTGTGAATACTCAATTACCCTTTGCACCGCGCTGAGCGAAACCAAAACCCCCTCGTCCGCTTCCATCAGGCCCTCTGGGCGATCGGATAGCGGGCTGCTGCTGCTGCTCGAGCCTCGGCGTAGATAATCTTTGCGGGCTATCAGCGCCTCTCTGTTCCAGTTTGGGTGCATAGCCAGGATCGAAGAGTTCCCTCGTCGGCGCCACGTTGTTTGTCTGGTTATTTGTGTTGTTGTTCTGGCGTCGATTGTCCCCGCGTTGGCCGCCTCTCCCACGACCTCGTGCCCGCGCGTTGCCGTGCCCATCTGCTCGTGGCGGGGTGACTGTGCCCCCGCCGGATGGCGACGAGGCACCCGATGAGGACGCAGGCCCCTGTCCAAAGATCTTAGCCCTGGCCTCCTCGTATCGTCGCTGCTTCTCTTCGAGCTCCTTCTTCTGCCGGGCGCGAACTTCTTCTGGCGAAGGCTGCCCCTCCTGGCTCTTGGTGTCCTCTTCTTCGTCCTGCAGTGAGAGATTCGACATGCCCGTGGCAGGAACTCTTTTCGCAATGACTGGCTTCCGGCTGAGGACTTTTACTTGCGGCTTGAAGCCTGTCTGCAGCGGAACGTTGTTGTTCGCCTCGACAAAGTGGAATGTGTCGGGCGTGTCCCTAGCAAGTCAGCAATGGTGTCGGGAAGAGTTCATGGAGCTGCATACGCCGACTCCCAGAGTTTCCTGTTTGTCTCGACATGACGCGCGATCCGCTCAGCTTTGTTCGAAGGCTCGGCTTCAGGCTCTGGCGTGGGCTGTCGGAGGTCTATCCTGTCGGCTTGGGCTTCCCAGTCGTCGTCCCAAGCATCCGGTATGGGGGCTTTCTTAGGCATGTTGACAATGGCAAATCTTTTTCAGATTGTGGTCGCATACGTGGCTAGACTATGAATTCCAGCCGAGTAGACAGAGATCAAAGCTTGGTAGCGAAGAGTGGCTGCTGCATCTTCGCGACGTCGAAAGTGGGGCTGAAGAATGGCCAATCCAATCGAGTCTTGCGCGCGCCGACGTTCACGTAGCACCATCCACGAAAGAACACGATCTTCCAATACACGCTGTGGAACTGTTCCCCCAGCTTTTGACTTGACGAAGCTCTTTGATAGAACACAAGGCTCTTCGCTATGCCTGGTCCAATTCACCAGTGGGAACATGCGGCTGGTGAAAGCGTCACGATGGGTGATGGGCCAAGACGCGACGAGGATGCTCTTGTCACGAAACTAGCCCACCAGTGGTTCGACGCTCGTAAGTTCTCACAGAGTTCATTCAGAAGATCGGCTTGCTCAGCCTCTTAGGTACATACAGAGATCCTCTCAAACCTGCCAAGACCATCACATTGTCGTCGAAGCAAGCAATGCCCGAGCAGGAGAAGCAATGGCTGGAAGAACTACGCGCAGCTCGGAAGTAATATCACGCCGTTACGGCAATGCGGGATGTTCAACATAACTTGCCCTTTCTTGCGGATCACAGGAGAAGGTTTCTTGTGAAGGAAATGCAAAGCAACTAGGTACAGTTGCCTTAGATTGCTTTCTACAAATACCCAAGCAGATGTCTACTTACAGCAACCACATCAACACAGAACATTGTGAAACCACGTATTCGGCTGCTCGCATCTTCATGTGCTAGGTGGAGTGCCACACAAAGAAATTACTCGCTGTTAAGGAAACATGCGAGACCAACTACAATATAGCCGACAAATGCTCCTTTTGGCGTGGGCAGGGGTGAGCTGCGTACAAGACGCTGGCTGACGTATGAACAAACGACTGCAAGTGCACATGCAATCTACCTTACCCAGGTGCGATTAAAAGTCAGGGCTTATAGATACTACGCTGCAGCGTGACGAGGGACTGATGCTTGTTTTCGCTGGATCCAGTCACTCCGCTCAACTATATCGAGAGATCGGCACCGAACCCCTACGTGATGTTGTCAGTGCGGGGCAGGAGAAGGTCCATCGACATGCAATCATGACATACCTAGGAACACTGACTCAAGTGCCATTTGACCCTTGAGAATTGGAAACTTGTTGCCTTACACAACGACAGGGAGATCGAATAATTTATCCCAGGTTCCATGAATACTTGTAGAATCTAACAAGTCTAGGCCACATGTACGAGGCACACTTGCGCCTCAGTTGATTTGGACTCTTGGAGCTATCAACAGCCCCTCCCTCGCTCTAGACGTGGAGCAACGACACGGCAACGTCGTCCGTGCTATTTCACCAGCGCAACAAGGCCATGACAGAAGATTGGCAGACCGATGAGATCTCAAGCCCTCCGAAATTGCCCGGCTGGGTGTCAAGCTAACGGCAATGGTGGCAGTGGTCTTGAGGAGGAAGCATTCCCTTCAACTCGACCCCGCAAAGTAAAAACCCCACCTCGACTCAGCTTTGCGCGGAGGGTCCTCCAACTTTTCCAGTCTTGGCGAGTAATAGATCATGACCAGGCAGGGCAGGTTATATTGAAACCCCGCGATGCTGAGCGAGACTCTTTCAGAGCTTGCTTCGTACGGGTACTACATGGTGTCGCATTCGTAAGGTGAAGATGATCTCAAGGTTCTGAAGGTTAAAAGTTACGCACCCACGCCCACCGGTCTGGAGCATAGAGCGGGACCCGTTTACGAGGAAGAGGCAACCAGGTTAAAGTTGAACGGCTCGTGAACGAGCATGCGCTTGGGCTCTTGGCGGGATTATCGACATGCGGATTCGACCAGCGCTTTGATTGTCAAATACTTACCAGGTAACCAATGGGAAGATATCGGAGAACTTGGGCAATTGACCCTTGCCTGCCTTCAGGGTAGAGCGAGAAGCATCCCCGCATGAACACAATTTATTAGTATCGACTCCCACTCCATTGCTTTGGAACCATCAGGTATCATAAAGAAGCTAATTAGGGCACTTGGACAGAACGAAAGGAGAGGCTTGACGTACCTCTGAGCTATTGATGAAAGCTGTATCCATAATTAATAACTGTAGGCCAGTTCAGCTTTACTTTGTAATCAGTCGTTATGGGTGCTGTCATTGCTGTGTCTCGCGGTGTCTGCCCCACTGTGCGTGCCCTGGCGGCCACTCAACAGACATGGAGTCCAGCCCGCACCTGTAGCGCAAAGCAGCCGTGGGCCACTGCCACTGATCAACCTGGATCTGGGCCATTCCGATCGTCCCCTCATCAGTCATCAGAATCCCGACAGACATCCGCCCGTCATCATTTTTCATCTCGGCATTGTCAAAGTTACTTCTCATCCCACGTTTTATTCCAGCCTTGGACATCGACAGTAGCATAGCCTCAGCAAGCTTGCAGTCCTGGATTGTGAACCCGAGCCGCGAGCCAGCAGGGTCCGGCTCTCCGCACCTTCACTCGCAAGTCTCCAAAATCCACCTCACGCTTCTTGCCCAGGCGCCCCATCCTCGTACTTCCAAGACAACAACTTCGAGCTATCCATCATCATCACCCAGGGGGCGATTGCATAACCAACGTTGCAAAACGCCTAACAAACAGACTGACAATGTCGGGATCTGAAAACGCTCATGGGCACGCAGGAGGTTACGATCTCCTGCGTAGGGCCACCCAAGCGATGATGTCAAAGTAAGTGACCATTATTCTCCTGTTATTCATCATGCCATCTTCCCTCTATGGCCGGCACAAGGGACTCTCATATTCTATCACCCTGAACGCACGGAGATATTTGTGTTCTTTTCTACTTTCCCTTGTCCATTCCCTGCCTTTAGCTCTCGGCGAGCCACCCTAGCCATCATCTACTTTCACGGCCGTCCTGGTTTCCGGGTGAAGGGACGCCCAGCGCGATCAACAGCTTTGTCTCGGCCATGGCTCCAAGCAATTATGGTACGGCGCGCTTTGGCAAATGGCCTTGCAATTTGAGGCAATGCGGACACGTCCACTCGATTCTGGCCGCCACCGCCAGCTTGCACGGTTATACAGGCCAGTCTCCAAGTCGTCTTACCACACAAAGAATGATATGGAAGCCGTTGCGCAGACTTCCAAGGCTTTATATTGGACCAGACATGCCAGTTTCTGCGACTTGGTTAGCCTGTCCGTACACGTATCGCAAAAGCGCCATAATTGCGTGTCGACACCAAGGCGCCAGGCGGGAGGCGTTTGACCTACCACGGCGCATCGCGAGCACGCTAGCTCCGAGCTTGACTCGCCAAAATCATCCTCGAGTTCCCCAAACATCATCATCATACCCCATTTGATGGCCGTCTCGACACATGCCGCAGACAGTTTCAGTCGATCAGAACACAATGGGATTGTCGCGCACCTGTTGTGCTTTGCTTGCATCCAGCATCATCTGGAGAATCGACAAGCATAACTGCAGGACTGCCGCATGAAAACTTGCGTTTACAACACCGGGACCCACTCTTCCACATGGCGATGTGGATGGATGGGTGCTGAGTCCTGACAAGCCGGTTTTCTTGGCTCGAGTCCGGACCGCAATCAATCTACAGCGACTGGGAATGGCGATACTGTACATCGGGGCCCCCAGCGCGCTCCCGCAGCATGCTGGCGCCCATTTTATAATATGAATCGCGACCTCGGCATGGTCTGCGACAGCCATGCACGCAAGAGTCATACTCAGCACAAATGTGCTGTCGTATACGTCAACGCCGTTGTCGGAAGCGGATTTCCCCCCCAAGGAAGCACGCGGAAACAAACTCAGCGGCTCGTTCGCTGCAACTCTACAAGGGTTTGAATTGCAGAGATGAGCCGCCGGCCGATTGGAGCCGGCCAAGTCCCGTGAATTTATCGCTGGCTCCGGACACATCGCGAATTCAACAAGCAATTGAAACAGCGCTGTTTTGTCTGCCAGTTTTACCCCCCCTCACTCCTCTCTCCTCAGGCCTAACATGCCCGACGCTTCTTGGCAGCCGTCATGAAGTAGCGTACCCACTTGTTGCACTCTTCCTTTCGGACCTTTCCCACTCCCAAGCCCTTGACAAGCCCTCAGGATAGGATCCTTTTGACTCATTCGCTCGTCGCACCGATTTCTCTGGACCGACGACCATGTCCCGTTACGTTACTGACCACATTTCTAGAACGGCCACGCCTGATGAGGATTGTGGGGACCAGATTGGTTACGAGACCCCACGATCTGGTATAGCGACCCCCCAACCCGACCTTCACGACAAGCGCCTGCCTGGAATTATGAGCTATTTCGGCCAGGTTCGTCAAACTCAGTCTCGTTCTACCTCTAATACCAACAACATGCTTTCCTCCTCCCCCTTTACTGCGATCCGCCCGCCCCTCGAGGGTGCTCTGCCTTCCGTTGAAAACTCAGCGCCCACCGCCGATCAGCGGTCACGATCTCCGTCGCATTCGCAGTCGCGATTGTCTCCAGCGCTGGGTTCGGGAGCATTGTCTCCCAGCGACAGCAGAAACGGAAAGTTCTCGGATGCTGAACTTCTCGAACCCTTGGGCGCCCGATCGCAGACTGCACGCGGGGGACACAGCACGCAAGGTGCCCAACATGAGAACAATCCATACCCAACGCCCCCCACTTCCACACCATCCTCCGGCCACAAGTCGCTCGAGCAGGAGCGCAAGATCCCGTCTGCCTCAAGCACACCAGCCCCTCCATCCCCACAATCAACTTCCATGATTCCTGACCGGGAAGTATCTGGGAAGCCGGCGCCCAGCCTAAAACCCGCTGGCGCTCAACCCCCGTCCCAAAACACTGGTAGCTGGTTCTCTCTTGATGGTATCAAAGAGCTAACACGTGGTGCCCTGTTCAAGAGCGGTCCACCGACTCCGACCCGAGCCTTGTCCGCCGCACACCCGTCGCAAGCAGATAAAGGTTCTGTAAGCAGCTTGAGCATCGATGGAGCTGAGAAGAGTGGCACCCAGACTCCTCGTGCCTCCCCTTCGACGGGAGGGCAGGCTCCTGCTGCGAAAGGCAAGATGACAATCAAAATTCCTGAAGCGCGAGGGCTGAGGAGCTGTCGGGATCCTTACGTTGTGGTCGTGTTCCAACGGAGCGAACTCATATCTGGAGGGCCCAGGGTATCCCAAGAGGAGGATACTCTAAGCGTGACACCGTCAAGATTTGGTGGTGTCCCCATCCAGCGCCAGGGTAGTGATTCGGGACGAACTCCCATGTCTATACCCATGAGGAGCAGGCAAAGCAGCAATACGAGTAATGGGGACTCGAAACCGGCGCGCCCCCGCAATGCGCGAACCTCGTTCACAAACCCTCAGTGGGATGCAGAGGCCATCTTGTAAGTTCCTACGCAAAGGCGATCGCGCGTCTTGTTAAACCTCGCAGCGATGTTGTCGAGTCCAACATGTCCGTCGACATTTCGGTGTACAGCCACACGGCAAGCGGCGACGACTTCCTCGGACACGTCCAATTTCAGGCCTCGAAAGATGAGGAGGGTACAAAGGGCTGGTACGCTCTGCAGGGACATGCAGACACAATGGCCGAGGATGCTCCAACTGGCGAAATCTACGTGGAGTCGAAATTCCAAAAATCCGAGAAGAAGCACTACGGGCCCACCGATTTCGAGATCCTCAAACTGATCGGAAAGGGTACATTCGGGCAGGTGTACCAGGTACGGAAGAAGGATACCCGGCGCATCTACGCCATGAAGGTATTGCAGAAGAAGGTCATTGTCCAGAAGAAAGAGGTGGCACACACGGTTGGCGAACGGAATATCCTCGTGCGGACGGCCATGGCCGACTCCCCGTTTATCGTCGGCTTGAAGTTCTCCTTCCAGACACCTTCGGAGCTGTACTTGGTGACAGACTACATGTCCGGTGGCGAGTTGTTCTGGCATCTTCAGAAAGAAGGTCGATTTGATGAGCGACGGGCCAAGTTCTACATCGCCGAGCTGATTCTTGCTATTCAGCACCTCCACAACAACGACATTGTATACCGCGATCTTAAGCCGGAGAACATTCTCCTGGACGCCAACGGCCACATTGCGCTCTGCGACTTTGGTCTTTCCAAGGCCAACCTCACCAAAAACGACACGACCAACACGTTCTGCGGCACAACAGAGTACCTAGCGCCCGAAGTCCTGATGGACGAGTCAGGCTACACGAAGATGGTCGATTTCTGGTCACTGGGTGTTTTGGTATTTGAAATGTGCTGCGGCTGGAGTCCCTTCTATGCCGAAGACACGCAGCAAATGTACAAAAACATTGCGTACGGGAAGGTACGCTTCCCGAGAGAAACGCTCTCGCAAGAAGGACGCAGCTTTGTGAAAGGGCTGCTCAACCGAAACCCGAGACACCGTCTCGGTGCCACCAACGACGCGCAGGAACTCAAGGAACATCCGTTCTTTGCGGACATTGACTGGACGCTTCTGGCCAAGAAGCTCATCTCTCCCCCATTCAAGCCAAAGTTGAAGTCCGAGACGGACGTCTCGTACTTTGACCCCGAGTTTACGACCGCGCTCGACACGAATGGCTCACTCAACGAGCGAGCGGCGGCCTTGGCGAGAGGGTACGCGGCTAGTACTCCGCTGTCTCCCTCTGTCCAGGCCAACTTCCAGGGGTTCACATTTGTGGACGAGAGCGCGTTGGATGACCACATGCGTGATCGCCCCGTTCGGGATGACGAGGAGATGGATGATGCCAGGCGCAGTGATGATGACGACGACGATTGGGACAACCTTGACGACATCGACCCTCGAAAGGCCAACAGGATGAGCGGCATCATGAAGTCAGGTCCACACGATGAACAGATGGTGGGAGGGTCGCATTTCGATATGTAATAGCTGCCTATCTCTCATATTCTGTACATCCTTTCATCTCGGCGTTTCGTCTTTCCTCATCGCCAAGTCCCTATCCTGCGCACAGTTTCATGTTCTATTAGAGGGTCTCCCATACTTTTTTTTTGCATGAACGGGGGGGTTTGCATTTTCGAGATGGGGAATGGGTGCATGAAAGCAATAGGGGACATGGGCGGCTGGTTCTTCACTGAGTGGCGTTCGATGGGCTTTTTGCATTAGTGACATGAGCAGATGCGAATAAGTAGGGTCGTACTAGTAATCCGAGACTCTTTCACGCAAGTCAACACGATCATCGTATACACACATGCTCTGCTCGAAGCCTTGCGTAATCGCAGGACCTGGCTTGTTGAACGTGGCAGGGAGCTCATTCGTGGCTCCGCCAAGCTTCCGTATCATCCCGACAGCTTGATGCTTAGTGGACTTGGTGTTGTCGAACTTTCCCCAGTCACAACTCTAAACGTGTTCGATAACTCGAGATACCGCGGCATGAGACATTGCAATTATACCCGTGTGCTTTCTTTCAGAGCGTTCAACGGGTGAAACTTGCTCGTTGCAGAGGCACCCGTCAAAAGCCCAGCTGATGCACGCTGTGAGGATAGAGCCGAATCCAACCAGGAATCAAATGGATTATAGCTGGCCGTGATTGTTCTCTAATACATCTTGGCACGGTGCACACGTGCTCACTGCAATCTATGTCGTCTGCAGAGGTGATCCTTCACATTGGACTCGCTCAGGTCTTGTTTGGCATTTGCGTTTTGCATTGAAATGAACTACACCAACAGCAGGCTGTTTCGAGGCAAGTATACACAGGATTACCGACACAAAGAAATCCTCATCGTTTCGAGACGATTGCTTCGTCTTCCGCGGCCCACGGCCACAGGCACGCCTTCTCTCGAGTGCCGGCGTGCCGCTCAATCCCCCTCTCTCCAAGCTAGCGTTGATTCAGTAGCAATAGCTCTGGCGAGTGCTCTTCTCCGTGTCTCTCTTTCTATCAAAGAGCGTAACGTTTAGTGAGCCTTGGCGTCCTCCGCATCCTCAGTCTCGAGCCAGTCGGGCAGCTCAGCGGGCTGTGCGGTGGCGGAAACGCTCTCCTGGCCCTCGATCTCGACGGCCATGTTCTCGTACTCCTTGAGGCTGCCGGCGAGGTCGGCCTCCTCGGGGGAGGAAGGGGTCTTGGGGGTGACAAAGGTCTGGACCTGGCCGACAGAGTCGCTGTCCTTGACGGTGGGGACCTTGTAGGACTTGAGCTCCTTCAGGTAGAGTTCCTGGACGAAGTCGGCTGTGGGTTTTAGTTAGCATCACATTAAAAGAATTAGATGACGGCAAGGATCGCGAGGGTGCCGCGTGGATGGATTGGCGGTACGGAGGTACAGCGGCGTCATATGTCGGCGTTATTGATTGCGTTGAGCAATAGTCGCGTTCCCGAGTGACTGGCCGCGAATAAAACCATCAATCGACAAGTTTGCTGACCGAACTGACACAGGTTCGTTTGTTGAAAATTGATCGTGGCTCAGGGTGTCGGGCTCGGTCGGGGTAGTGCATCGCCGTCGTCATTGTCGTTCCGTGACGCTCCGTACCGAACCAATCCATCGCAACGTGTGTCGAGTCGAAGCTGTATGGAAAATCGGCTTACCTCTGCGGGAGACAGTGGGAGCAATGAAGCCCCTCATCTGCTGTCGGGTGATGGCACCGACGACGGAGCGAGCGCGCTAGATGAGATCAGTCCTTGTCCTTTGCGACATCGTGCCACGACCAACTATTCCTGGCGAGGCGGAAAGACCAAAAAGTCGCTGGAGAGGGCCGATAGAAATGACTTACCGTAGCTCGGGACAATTGGCAGAGCATCTTGGGCGAACGGGGTCGGAATGCTCAATTGAAGGCAGGCCCGGTGAAGGTGGTTGGTCGATTGAGGGTTTTGATGAAAATCGTGAGGAAGATGCTCGGCTAAGACTGACTGGCGGGTTCCAGGCGTGCCTGAGGCACGCAAAGCACAGCTGCAATTGGGGGATGCGATGGCCCGATGGGGGAGCTTCCCCCACTGCAAGCAAGCTCACGTGATTCCGATACATACCACATGCAGCGCGGGATGCGATCATCCTTCACGTTCATGCGGTCATGACGATGCACTAAGCGCTGTCACGCATCTGGCTTTCTCTGCTCGATCGTCGTCTTAGCTGGGTGCCCTGAGGCGTTCTGACGCCTGTCTTTTGACTCAGACATCTAGGACGTTGCGCGTCAGTCCCCGACCAGACGTCCTCGTGACGACCGATTAAAGGAAGCTCGAGGTCGACACATACCTTACCTTACTCACTACAAGTCTCTAGCAGTGCACTATTGACGAAAGGCTCATAACCAACGGCATGCTTGAACTAGGTCTATAATGAGATTTTGACAAAGATATGACACGAATCAGCACAGGTAACAAACGCCAGATCTATCGAACCTCCAAAACATTCCCACCTAATACCGATCTTCTGGGCGAAATTGCCCATCATTCTACTCCACGCTCCTTATCGGTGACAACTCCGTGCTGTCTATTGGTGAAATCTTTGCGCCCGAGACGCGTCTTCGTTTCCTTATCCCGCTGAAAATAGTGAACGCAATATAGGCGACGAACATGACGACTGCCACGACGCCGTAGGCGATCTTGAAACCGGTTGATGAATCCATCCATTGGATGCCAATTCCGCCGTTGATAACGCCCAAGACCAACAAGATGTGTCCGTACCAGATGTGGATATGACTTACGAAACCGCGCTTTTGGTGATTAAGATAATGGTGATGGTGAAGCCAACCCAGCAGGGGCTGGATGCCGAGCAAGGCAATCACAACGGTGCCTAGAATCGTGTGGGTTTGGTTGAAAAACTAGCACTGGTAAGCTTGCGTTCCGCTGGACCCTCGACAAGATGATAGAACTGACCTCTCCCTCGCTATTGGCGGCAACGTATCCCAAGCCAAAGGCCGCCCACATGGCTAGCCATGCAAGGCTTTGTGTCAACGAATGAATATACCAATTGCCCACAAGACGCATAAGAATGGCGCCAAGGGGATACAAGAACGCGAAGACGACGAGCGCGACAATGCCGTGGGCAAGGATGATGGCGTCGGTGTTGCTGCCACCTCCCCCCTGAGAGGAGCCCGAGTTGTCACTGCTGCCACCAGAGCTGACCACAGCACCGTTGCCGCTGTCGCTGTTGGTGACGTTGGTGAGGAAGGGGTTCTCGTCCGACGTGATGCCAGCGTTGCCAAATTTCACCCGCATGCGCGTGGTCCCGTCGTGCTCGGCGATGGCATAGTTGACGTTTGTCGAGTCGAGGGCATTGCCGGATCTCCAGGCCGCGTTCCAGCTGTTGGTACCGGCAAGGTCGAGATTCTGGAGGTCGCCGCAGCGGACGTTGGCTACCATTTTGCCGTTCGCGATGCCAGAGCCGGCCAGCAGCTCCGTGTTGCTTAGCTTGACGTGGTCGGGCAGAACATGGCCTGTGCCCTCCCGCGTGCTCAGGGTCACATTGCCATTCCCGTCGGTGTACATGACAAACATCTGCGATCCTCTCATCTCACTGCCAGTACCCAGGCCGACCCATGCGTATGAGGTTGGGGCTTCGAGCTGGAAATAGACATTACCCGAGCCAGAGCTGGCAACAGCCTCAGGGACGCCCCATTGGAATCGGATGTCGCCGTTGGACCCTGTGCTCGTCGATGCTAGGGCGGATACTGTGGCCGTATCTACAATACCGTCATCAAGTGTTCTTCTACTCCAGAGTAGATGCCCTCTTACAATGCAAGACAGCAGCAGCGGCGGCAGCCAGCATGGAGTGGCCCTTCATCTTCCTCGATGTTCCTTGAAGATATAAAGGGTGCTCTGGATGCCTTCCGTCGATTCGAGTGCAAGTGGCAAGGGCTGAAGTTATTTGGCCTTTCCGACTGAGAGCTGACAGGAAAGAAATCTGAGGGGAGTAGGAAGATATAATAGTACAGAGTTAAATATTAGCTCAGCGGCAGTGCTCTGAGAGGGCAGCTGGCACCCGGCTTATGATAGTCATTGAATCATCCTGGTCCAAGGGGTAATACCGGATCCGAGTTCCGCAGCACACATCGATCTTGAGCAACGGTGCAAAGGCTCCTTTAGTGACTTGACAAAAGCACACCCATCAATGTCGCCAGTAATTAGCTCTGCAAGTGCAACTCGACGTCGGCGAAAGTCGTCGCGTCATACCGCGTAGTCCATGGGATTGAGTTTTGAGGCTGGAATGGCTTTCACACATCTGTAATTCACTGATTCAACCAAATTGCACGAGAGAATGAATTCACTAGTGATTGCCAAGCAATGCAGAAACCTAGAATGAAGCATAACTTGCCGACCAGAAGCTTGCAGGGCCCTGGTTGCAATCCATCCATGGACATACGGTTACTCCGGAGGCCTCTAGAGTTCGGCGACCTAAGAGCATCAACCCATCGCATCATGTTCTTGATCGCGGACGCGTAATCGAACGCGGCGACTGTCGGCAATGAGCTGCCGAAGTAGTGACTGAGATGCGTGTCCCTTCTGCTATTTCCGTTCTCAGGAGTCAGAACAAGCCATGGCTGCGCGCCAGTGTCAAGCCTAGACCCGCCACCTTGTCGCAGAGCATGGACCCCGTTCGGCCGCCCCAAGTTCACCATGATCAGTATCGTTCCACTCCGTGGTGCGTCTGCGGACTGCCGGCGCGGCATCTCTGCAAGCCGTCGCCTTCTTGCGCCAGATTCCGTGGCTGAGCAGGCGACATTCGTGGTGTTTGGGCCAGGGCTGACAAGAGTTGCCGCTTCCCGATGAGATTCATTGGTCTAGCCTTCTCCATGACCCCAAGTTAATACTGGAGTCCTGACATGGGTCCTGCGAGATCGAGCCTTGGCACCCGACTAGTAGTCGCATAGTCGGTCGCAGATCAAGGCACACAGCCAATGACAAGAGGCTGATTTCAAAGCAATCCCATCACCTCCAAAGTAGCGGGATGACTTGCAATTACATGACGACGACTGCACGGCGGTGCCTGCAATGCGCGGCCTCCACAAGATGACCACTGATGCACTGCCTTCTCACTCAAACAATTTGTCTGTCATCGATCGTTTTGCCGCGAACGCGAATTGCACTGCAGCATTCTGTGCAGCATTCTGCACGTGTTCTACTAAGTACGGTACTAAGTACAAATGTACTCCATAGTCTCCACAGCAAGCTCTTCAAGTTGTCGATCAGTCGATGCATGCTTCAGACACCAAACTTGACGGCCCGTACTAGCGCGAGCAATACTACCGGAAGACTTGTTGACCTGCCCGTCCCGGCGCGCAGGGCCCCAAGAGTCGCTGCCCGTTGTCACGGTGGCACAAAGGTACTTAGTTGAGCTTTGCCATGTGTCATGTGAAATGCTTGTATAGGGGGAGAAGTGAGCCGGACATTGGGTCAGTTCCAGGACGCTACGTCGAAGGCAATGCCGTGATGCCCGCTAGCTGCTCTTGAACCAAATGTCTGTGTGCATAAAGCTGTATACGTACTTATCTGTTCCACAACCCATGTCATAACATGCGTGTCTAGTGTCCTGCAGTTTCCTCCCCATACAACAAATAGCAGCCGCTATGCCCATAATCGACGTCGAGAGCCACGCGGTCGCGCCGTACCCAATAAACCAAATCGCACGAAAAACAGAACACTCTGCAGCAAGGCGGAGTCAAACAGCCAGGGGGAAATGGTGCTCGTCCAGCAAGCTCGAAGAAGCTACGAAGCTGAATCCTCCAAAGACATCGTCCTTTGATGCGCTCAAGAAGCTTGGGTCCTTCGAAGTTAGCAATGGACTGAGCGCAAGCTCAGTGAAATCGGGCGCAAAGTTCTCAGCAAGCTCTGGATCTGTGATCATGGGCTGAATGGGAGGCTCCAGTTCTCGTGCCTCGAGCTTCTTCCAGTCGATCTTGCGGAAGAAACGGTGTTTCTTGAGCGTTGTCAGGTCCCTGGGCATGACGGCGCCGAGTCTCTTGCCCGGCTCTTTGCGGAGCAGGCGGGTGAGGAGGTCCTTGGCATCAGGGCCGAGAAAGTACGGCATAACAAGCTTCTGCTTGACAATGTTCTCCTGAATCTTTGCGTGGTTGCCACCACGGAAGGGCGGATTGCCCGTCATCAAGTCGTAACCCAAGGCGCCAAAGGACCACCAGTCAACAGCCTTGCCATACTTCTTCCCTAGGATCACCTCAGGCGCCATGTACTCAACTGTGCCCAACATAGAGTTGCACTCGTCTGTAGGCTCGGCCGAAACCTTGGACAAGCCGAAGTCTGTGAGAAGGAGATGGCCGTCGGCGTCAAGCAGGCAATTCTCCGGCTTCAGGTCCCGGTACACTACACCCAGATCGTTGTGCAGGTGGGAGATGGCCAGCAACATCTCAGCCATGTAGAAGGCAGCGACAGGCTCCGAAAACATCTTCTCAGTGTTCAGATGCGTGAACAGTTCGCCGCCTTGGCCGTACTCCAGGATGAGGTACAACTTCTCATGGTCCTGGAAAGCGTAGAACAGCTTGACGACAAAGGGGTGGCGGTTGACGGACTCAAGAATCTGACGCTCCGTCTTGGTCTGCTCGATGAGCTTCTTCTTGAGAACAAGCGAGGCTTTCTTAAATTGTTTCTGCGCATACAGTCTGCCAGTGGCCTTCTGCTTGACCAGGAGCACTGTACCATATGTCCCTTTGCCCAGGCAGCGCAGTGATTCGAAATCGCTGGAAGTCATCTTCCGGTTTGGGTCGAAGCTTTGGCCGTTGATGTCAAGATACCCAGAGCCAGGATCCTTGACGCTTTGGCTGGCGAAATCGGCATGAAGCTCTATCTCATAGCTGGTAGTCCCGTTCCCGGAGCTCTCACTGCCTGCTTCACTGGGCGCGCCATCGCGACTATGAGAGCGGCTGACGCCGGCGGACGGTCCCTGGCGACTCGTCGTGCGAGACATGGGTGTCGACCCCGGAGTTCCGTCCAGGCTAAAAGGTTCCATCTGCATGCGAAGCATGGCAATCCCAGACACGCTGGGCGAGGGGTTGGCGCGCATGACAGGGCTACAATGCGCACTGACAACGTCGTCAACGCGGCCACGTCCCCTCAAGTTCTTGCGCGACGCCTCACAGCCGTGATCAGAATCCTCGTCTCCGGATGCCATGGGGGTAGGTTGGAAGCCGCGCGCAGTGTTGCGCGCGGCAGATGCTGGGCTTATCATCACGACGTGGTGTTGAAAGTGATTGCGCGAATCAACGTGTCTCTTCAAGGTGCACCGCGACGTCGCTCGGGGTCAGCGCGAGGCTCAGATTCGTAGAGACGAAGATTTGTATAGTGGCTGCTGCTAACACGCATTTGGTAGCGGAAGAAGGACGTGCGAGTGGTGAATGGCTTTTGTATATGCATTGGCAATGGTGTCGTCGGTGAAAAAGAGTCGAGGGCGTAGGTTGGACGTGATGTGGTTCACCAAGTTGGTGTGAGGAGGAAAAGAAAAGGGAGAGGATGTTCAAGGCTGACAGAGGGAGGATCTGGAGAAGGCTAATCCGGGGGAGCGCCCAGTCCTACGTACAAAAATCGAAAATTACGTTAGTGAAACGTGGCTCGCGATTGGGCACCAAAAAGAAAATCCAGGCACATGCAAATCATTTCGCGCATGCGGCTCTAATAATTCAGGATTTTTTTGCATTTCTTTGTCAATGCAATGTCACTGACGCGCGACTTGCCCGCTCGGATCTGAGTAGGGCTCAAGCAGGTTAGATATGAGCATTGGGACCTTTATGTTGGTAGTAGGACTCAGTCCAAGTCTCTGTGATTGGATTCACCTGTGCAGGTGCTACGTACCGCCGCCTGGCGACACCTTAAAGTGGCAGGTACACCACCCACTGTGCGCTCGGCCCGCCCTTTTGATGGCGGGGGTTTTTCTTAGTGGGCGATGGCACCCGATTCCAGGCCCCAGGCCACTAATGACCTCAGACCTCGCAGGCCCTGGTCATCGCTTCGGTTTCGTTGACTGGACCCGGTGAAACGCCGACGCGTGCCGCGATTTGACATGCATCAATAATTTGTTGCAAGATCTACAAAGTTCGTCACGGCGAATCGCGACAACCCATAACCTCCAAGGCACCCGCTGCGCCTTTCAATCCCTCCCGCTCACCGATCCCTACCACCTAACGTGCACATTATTCAGTTCTATTGCCGGCCCCAGCGAACAAGAACCTCAAGATGATGCACCCATCGCGGCAGGCCTATGTCGAAGAGGCCCAGTCGCCCGCCGGCATCGCGCTGGAGGACCTCCCCGATGACCATGACTACGAGATGAATGTTGGAAACTCGGAGAAGGCATCGGCAGTGCTCAACCAGTTCAACCGAAAACGACTTGCCGCGTCTATAGCCGTGCCCACCGACGATGGGCGTGTCCGCGCAAGACTCCGAGAAATGGGGGAGCCTGTCACATTGTTTGGCGAAGGATTGGCTGATCGAAGAGACCGCTTAAGAGAACTTTTGACAATCCAAGCCGAGCTCGCGGGATTAGAGGGCGCCGACACCGAAATGGATGATGCGCCCGATGAGCCAGAAGATGAGCAGGAGGAGGAGTTCTACTCTAGAGGAGGAGCAGAGCTCCTTACGGCGCGCAAAAAAATAGCAGAATTCTCCCTGCCTCGAGCAAAGCGGCGGACGGCGTTTCAGAAGTCGGAATCTACAATACCACTACGAACCCACGTCAAGTTCAGGAAGGAGATCAAGGACAGGCTCAAGGAATTCGAGTTGCAGGGCAGTCAGACAGTTGGAGAACGCCACATCAGTATGACGAGGATCTCACCCAACGGAGAGACCGTGGCCGTGGGGAACTGGGGAGGCCAGGTGAAGCTTGTGGAAATACCCAGTCTCACGGAGAAGATGACTTTTCGTGGACACACAAACAAAATCAGTGGCTTGTCGTGGTATCCCGGCGCCACGCTCCCAGAATCCGGCGTATCTCCTGATGCGGTCAACCTCGCATCTGGTGGCGCCGAGGGCATGGTCAATCTGTGGTCTTTGAATCAAGATACGCCTTTGACGACTCTACAGGGCCATTCGCAAAGAGTGTGCCGTGTCGAATTTCACCCTTCCGGACAATATCTAGCATCAGCGTCCGACGATACATCATGGAGGCTATGGGATGTTGAGACCACCGCCGAGGTTCTCCTACAGGAAGGCCATTCCAGTGGCGTATATGCCATCAGCTTCAACACAGACGGCTCCTTGTTGGCAAGTGCCGGTCTGGACAGCATAGGGCGGATCTGGGACTTGCGGTCTGGCCGTACTGTCATGATCCTTGACGGGCACCTGGACGGTCATATCAAACCCATACATGCTCTCGACTGGAGTTCCGACGGACACCGTGTTTTGACCGGTTCCGCCGATGGCTGGATCAAATGCTGGGACGTTCGAAAGGTGCAAAGGACTGGCGGTATCGGCGCTCACAGCAGTGCCGTCTCCGACATGCGATGGTACAAGGGACTCGACGACCCACTACAAGGGACGCCACCAGGCGCCGACGACAAAGGCCATCAGATTCCCAAGAAGTCTGGTACATTTTTCGTCTCAAGTGGCTTTGACAGGAACGTCAAGATCTTCTCGGCAGACGACTGGACTCTCGTGCAAACACTGAGCGGTCACACAGGGCCAGTAACTAGCGTGGACTATAGCAGAGACGGTAGGTGGATTGTCAGTGGAGGGCATGATCGGACCGTGAAGCTCTGGGGCAGAAATGACGGTGCAGCGCTCTAAGTAATGAAGGCTGGGCAGATCATATAATCTACAGCTTCATAATCGCAAGATACCCAACTTTCGTACGTCAATGCGTGTAAGCCCTCAATCATTTGCTACTGCAGAACTTTACGTACAACTTCATGTTCGAACCTTGAACCTTGATGAGTTGGTGGAGATGGTCATCATGTGACCACAGAGTTCGCGATTAGATAAGGCCCTTGAAAGTCCTCCCGCCTTCAGTCGTCGACCAAGCCGACGTCACGCCACAAACTTTCACTTTCCTTTCAACGCCCCGCGGTAGCGCGCCTTCTCAGATGCCTCACGACTTTGTCTCATTCAACGCGACACGTTTGCTACAAGCGCCATAGCGATGGCCTCCATCGATCGTTACCGCCCAGCGCGCGAAGGCTACAAACCTCCAACGGCGAACAGGCGGGATTACGGGGCCTCGAAATCGCCAACTCAGAGACGCGATGTGCCCCCAGCCGTCCCGACTCCGCCTCAGAACAGCTCTCGGAACTCGCCACCACGAGCATATGCTCGCGCTGGGCATCAATCGCCAAATCGGTCAGGGGCGCAAACGCCGCTCGCGAATTACAACCAGTGGGCCTTTTCGCAAGATGAAATCAACAGCTCCCCAACGATACTTGATGGCATCGCCCCATCAGAAGAGAGACTGCGCCGGGCAAAAGGCATCAACTTCATTTATCAGGCGGGTGTGGCGCTAGATCTGCCACAGATCACGTTGTGGGTGGCCGGCGTTTTCTTCCATAGGTTCTTCATGCGCGTCAGCATGGCGCCAGAGAAACAAGGCATACACCATTATGTGAGCTCCTAGCCTCTTTGCTCGGTTGGGGAATGGCACTGACAAATCTCAGAACATAGCGGCAACTGCTCTCTTTCTCGCAAACAAGACCGAAGAAAATTGCCGGAAAACCAAAGATATAATCATTACGGTAGCCAAGGTGGCTCAGAAGAACAACAACTTAATCATCGATGAGCAGAGCAAGGAGTATTGGCGCTGGCGAGACAGCATCTTGACCTACGAGGAGGTCATGCTAGAGCAGCTGACCTTTGATCTCATGATCGATAATCCATACCGCAACCTCTTCGACCTACTGGGCCAGCTTGAAATTGTACACAACAAGCAATTACGACAAGCTGCATGGGCGTTCTGCAACGACGCATGCTTGACGACTCTACCTTTATTGATGGATGCCCGGGACGTCGCCATCAGCGCAATATTCTTTGCAAGCATACACACGAATCAGCAGATCGACGACTTCAAGGGTGAGGCATGGTGGAGGTATCTGAGAGGCTCAGAGGACCGCATCATCAGGGCAATCGAGACCATGCGCCAGTTCTACACGGACAACCCGCTTAGGAAGCAGAATCCGTCGTTGCCATCACCGGCGTTTGATCTGGAAAGCTCTAGGAGGAAAGGAGAGGCGTACGCAGATAACATGTCGTCGACAGCCGCGACGCCAATGGAGATTGATAGAACGAGCAAGAGTCCCCTACCCAGGGCCAACGGCGCTTCGCATGAGAGAGACTCGGAGCAACACGCTTCGCAGTCAAGCAACCGCATACCTTTGTCACCGTCCAAACGGAAGATGCCGGAGGATGGGTCAAGGCTTCAGGACGAAAGAGATGAGAAAAGAGCGCGAATGTCGGAAGATGAGGAAGGCGAGCTCGTGGAGGACTAGGGGATCACGCACACATGCAAGAGACGCCCACCACATTATACCACACCCGCAGGGTTCAGGGATTCTTCGGGCGTTTGGGGTGAATTTTATTTGTGCTTTAGGAACAGCGAGGGGCAAGAGCATGATTCCCGATGACTTTCGCGTGAAAGATCCAGCGTCTAATGGGTGTTTTAAGATAGCTGTTCTGGTCATGACCAAGAGAGAAAATATGATTAATCGAGCAATCAGAGTCTCAGATGCGCGCACACAGTCACCCACATGCTAATGCATGATCCAGTCAAGTATTTCCCAGGCCCTACACTAATTCTGGAAGAGGCCATCCTTCAAGCTGAAGATCTCAGGAACACACAATTTTGTCGTTCTTTCTCGAGATCCACGAAGCGCTGTACAGTCCGGGCGTTCAAGACCCAAGCACGAACCACCACATGAGCCTGCCTGGATTTGATTGGCCCAGAGCCTGACGTCAGCATTGTCGATTCTGCCGCTGGCGGCAGCGAAACTCTCACCGCCCGGGATGCGAGTATATAATTCTTGCGCGCCCGGCCCAAGCTTCGCTTTCCTCTTCTCTTCTCCTCCTTAGCTCTCTTTGCCTTTTGGCTTAGATCAAGTGTAGTATCTGTTCTTTTCAGTTTAATCTCTGAAAGGTCTCTAAGGAGACCAATCGTGATTATTCTTATTTTTGGTCTTTGGGTGGTTTCCTCTGTGCTTGCACATGATCCCACCCACAGTGTCCCTGGTATTACACTGCCTCCAGGTGACGCGAACCTCATTTTCATTGCATGCGCTGGCCTGCTGGTGCTGTGAAGAAGATATTCCCTTTGTGTGTCAGACAGAATGAATGCCTCTACCCTTTAGTTGTTGGAATGCCTCATTCGATTCTGAAAAGTGTATGTATACGTAATTAGCTGCGTTCACGACCACGACTTGGCCCGGCGCTTATCGAGGCTTCGTCGAGCCCAGCCGCTCCCGTACGCTTGAAAAAAAATTGATCGGCAAGCTTGTTGCTGTCACTGCGTCGAGCTTCGAATCAGAATTGTTGGGCGCACGACAGATCTGGATTACCCTACCCCAAGCGGTCATTTGGTGACTGCGATGTTTTAACCGCGAAGACGTGACAATGCCCCGATGCTCTCTAATTCAGCTTCATTAATAGGTTGGCGGGTCAGGTTGCAAAGCGGCGTACGTGGGAACAGTACCATATGCCCTCGTGGGAACTTGTTTTAAGATGGAATCAACAAGCGCTGGGCCCCAAAAATTGAGCTCACGTCCAGCAACACCTTGGGTACAAGGTCAGAAGAAGATGAAGAGATCTCCTCACCACACAGTATCTTACGCGAGCTGCGCAGCCCCCTTCATAACAAGCTTGTTGTTACCGTCGGTTTCGCGACAAGCTTCAAAGAGAATGTCTGTAGACAGCCAAGCTCCTTGCGGCCACCAAGAATGGGAACCGACAAGTCAAGTGCATAGGCAGCATCTATTGAGATGAGGCAACCAGTTCGATGGACTTCATTTTCTACATGCCGACCGTGGGATCAATAAAGAGATAAACAATGCAGTAGTACCTAGGCGTACTTGTATGTAGTGGACAAAGTACGATGTCGATATGAGAGCATCTCAGACCAACCGCGCTAGGTTCTGCGGGCCAAATCATGGTGTTGGCTGGACCCCCACCTAAGCTCAAGCCGAAACATCGAATCCACGAACCTCAACTTCATACTCGACAACAGTCGTCACCCGCCACCACTCGCAGCGACGTCATTGGTGACTCCCGAACCCGTCATATCGATCCAGTTGATTTATTGGTTCACCTGCGGTCGGCCCTGCCGGACGCGCTGCCATGGCTTCTCTGGGAGCGTATATCAACAGTACGTCCACCTCCTCCGACCCGGTGGCCGGGTGCTAACACATTGCGCAGAAAAAGTGTTGATCATCACTGCCGATTCAAGAATACTGGTCGGCGAGCTCACGGCGGCCGACAACTCCACGAATCTAGTACGGAAACAACAACCCGACTGCGCAGGGCTTGATAAACTGACAGCACGCGTGCGCACAGGTCCTCAAGAGCGCCGTAGAGCGCATTATCCGAGAACCAGACGACGACGAGGCTTCGACCGTGATCCCGCTCGGGCTATACCTTGTGCGTGGAGACAATGTGTGCTCCATTGGGTTGGTGGACGAGAAGCTCGACGACAGCATCAATTGGACAGAGGTGAAAGGCTCACCGATAGGCGGAATCAAGCACATATGATACGCGAAGAAAGTGACAACAAGCGAAATGTTGCATAGAGCAGGAAAACTACGACTGGCATTATTGTGGCGTTGGGGAGCAAAACTGAGAAAATCATTTCAAACTGGAGGACCTGTAGTTGTCTATTTGTTAGGGGTATGAATTCTGCCCTAGATAGCCGAAACTATGTCCTTACTCTCTTCACAGCTGAGATCCTCCTCTTCCCAAAGATCTGTGGCCTTTTTCTAAGCGAAGACACGCTTCAACCATACCTCCTTGAATATCCTTTCGCCTGGCGAACCAACTACGCGGTAGATTCGATTTCCCTTGTGGGCGTGCAGCCAGCCATCATCATCTCCAGGAATCTCCTCCAACGCCGTGACATCAGCCTGCAGCTTCCTCTGACGGCCACGACGATCGATAACGTGCATGCCGCGGGTCCATTGACCAGCTGTCTCCACGCGGATATCCTCCGGCTCGGTGAGTTTCCATGCCGGGTCGTTACAAGACATGGCGTACCAGACCGTCAACGGATCATGCAGAGATAGCTCGAGTTCTGAGTCATCAAAGCCCATGCCGCCGATCTTGCCGAATGCACCCATGATGAAATGGGACGTCCACTGGGCAAGAGGGCTCCCAGCCTCCAGGTACGGCTTGATACTCTCAGAGAAGTACTTCTTGTCAATGCCATGGGGCGTGGTGATATCGAGCGGACACAGCACCAGCCTCAGGGGCCGGCTGAGCTTCTCTGGGTAGGCGGGCATTGTCGAGCCCTTGGCAGGAATGATGGGCATCGTGGAGGAGGGGTTCGGAGACGTAAGGGCGTAGACGCGCGCAGCCGCCACCGCATCTGCGTAACAATTGAACTCGGCGGTCGGGGTGCAGTTGCCCTCGACGTGGACAGCTCCGCCCATCACCACTAGCTCCTTGATCTTGAGAAAGGTTTCCGGGTCCTCAGCGGCAGCGAGAGCGACGTTGGTCAAAGGTCCAACGGCAAGGACAGACACAGTATCGGCAGGGTTCTCCTTCAGGATGCGGAGGATCTCCTTGTGAGAGGGCGCTCTGGAGGGCGTGAAATAAGGCGAAAAGTTGTCGGCTTCAGGTGCAGTATCCGATGTCTTGTCGAACAAAGCTTTCCATGTGTCGGCAGGGCTCAGGTGGGGATGGGCATCGTGCACATTGTGCAGACCATCCAAGCCATCTAAGGCTTTCGTTAGTGTTGCGCAGGCAGTGTCGTTCGAGGCGGCTTACGAAAGTAATCGGCCATGAGCTCCTCGTCATCCAGGGGGTGCTCTGGCCCGACAGCCACGATGGGCTTGTTCTTCCTCATGCTAGCGAACCCTTCAGGCCGCCCCTGCGATTTCCTCCACTCAATCTCCTTCTCGAGAACGTGAAATAAGGCCACCACGTTCTTCAAACAGCTTTAGGCACCTTCGTCAGTCAAGGTTGAGTCAGCTTGAGGTGGGAGACGCTCACCTTTGCAGTGGAACGTTGCCGTACGTGACGGACAACATGAGAACTTCAAGCTCCTCCGGCTGAGCACTCAAAGCCAGGAGCATGGCCATGATATCGTCGACACCTACTCCATAGTCAACATCTATATTTTTCAGGTATCTTGAACAGGACATACCGGGGTCTGTGTCGATGATTATCTTGTTGGGCGCCATGTTGGTTAAGCTTGTGAGTGGAAACGGATGAAGTTGTCTCGAGGTGTTGCTTTCTGATACCACTTTGAATTACACAGTCGAGATCTCGCAGAATAAGGCAGCGAAACAATGTTAATGATAGAAAGCACTCAATGAAGGTGGCCGCTCAGAAATCACGATGCCTCCACGGTTGATGAAGAAGCGTCGAGTCGTGTGGGGTCCAAGGTAAAGTAGTAACTTGTGGTCAGTTGTTGCCCCTCATCATGATAGGCACCGCGTCTTACACATCTCAGGTGTCTATCAGGGCAACGGCCGGGCACGGCCGTAAAGGAACCTTTGGTTAAGCTGTAAGCATAATTACTAGTACGCAGAGGATCTCGCCGGGTACCATATGATTGTGTAATATCACATTACCACGCGATCTAATTCGTTCCCAGCTTTCGTCATAGTGCCAGCGTCCTGCAAATCGGGGTCCCCCACGAGCCCAACTCCGTACGTAGTCTTTTCGAAAGTCCACGTTCGAAATATTTGTTGTTCAAGGTTGGGGTGCATGCAAGTGGCCGTGTGCACCGGGAACACCGGCTAACGTTAGTGTGTACATTGCGCCGCACAGCATGCTTTCGAATTGGGGGCTTGGGCAAGCACCTAAAGTTGTATACTACAACTAGACTAGTATGTAGCATATTCTCCTGGTGATCTGTGGTCAACAATCTGATGTGAGCGCCTCAGCTTCATATCCTGTTAGCAGCGGACCCGTGCATGATCGCTGGTGACGACTGGAGATCAAAAGCCACGAACCAGAGCCGCCGTACATGATTGAAAATTGGAGGGGGCATTGAAGGCGCCAAAGCCCTTGAATTGTTGAACTCAGAATCCAACCCGCCCAAGATTGAGGCACGCAGTGGAGTTGTTGACGGCACAGCACAGTGCACTGAGCCACTGACTGCAATTTTGAAGCTGGGGCTTTTGACACAGGCCCAAGCAGCAGCAAGCTCGCAGCCCCACCGATTCAAGGTCACAGTCCCAATTGAAGACTCGAGAAGTCAAGTTGCCTCAGGCCCAAATTTGTGCCCCTGTGCGCTCCCAGGCACCCCTGCAACAGTCTCCGGCGCCAACAATCTCCCTCCACTCCCACAGCTTCCAACTAAGAGCCCAGCACGACAAGCAGCAGCTCCTCCGACTGTTACTTGGGCTCGTCTTTCGCCATTCCATATTTCCATCTCTCAATTTTGTCCATCTGTCTATCTGATCCCACAAGCTTCAAGAAGCGGGTGGTAAGCCACGACAAGAGACCAATTCGGTTTGCGTAGTGCAACTTCGGGTTCCCCACACAGCCGGAAGAACTGCAGCTACGTAAAGACAGCCTGGCCTCACACCTGTGACGAACGATCAATTCACAATCGACCCATCGACCAAGACAGCGAAAGCAGCGCTACAAAAGCTGTGAAAAGCTTCCGTTCATATCCGCTCGATCGGCTTACCATTGGGCAAGATTGCTAGCATCTACTTCCTCACAACTCAAATTGTTGTTGGGAAAGCTGCTCCGGGATTGCTCCCTGGCCCCTTTTGCGACATCCTCGAAAGCCTCCCACCGTCGATCACACAGCACTGATCAACTTCGCACCCATTCGCACAATCGACATTCGCCATGGCGGACCTGGGTACAAGTTATGCCACCACAGCTGCGAGCTATGTTGCTCTGGCAGCTGTAGGTTATGGCGTCTACTACATGTCCACCCAGAAATCTCGCCAGAAGGCTGCCGCAACTCAAAGCAAGCCTGCTGCCAAGACGTCTCAACCAGAGCCTCGCAAAGAGGATCGCAAGAAGAAGCAACGTCTAGAGAGCTTCACATCAGAGACGCAAGCTTCCAAGGACAAGTCGTACGCCAAGGCTGCCGAGCCCAGCGCAGCTGTGCAAGATCAAAAGGCTGAGAAGGTCGTCAAGGAGGACATTGATAACAAGGAGTTCGCCCGCCAACTTTCCCAGGCTAAGCAGGGCAAATCATTCACCGGTGGTAGCGAGCCCGGCAAGAAGCAGAAGGAGAAGTCCGTCAAGCAGTCGCGTGCCCAAGAGAAGGTCACAAAGCCGGTGGCTGCCCCCGTCCCTGTGTCGATCGAGCCCGAGCCCGTCAACGAGGTCGCCGACGAGGCGGCCCAAACGACCAACGACCCCAGCGGCGTTGCGGATATGCTCGAGCCTGCCTCTGCAGCCCCGTCTGTCTTGAGGCTCACAGACACCGAGTCAAAGTCCAAGCCCAAGAAGGCGGCCAAGGCTGCCGAGCCGGCCGAGACCAAGAAGCAGCGCCAGAACCGCAAGAAGGCCGAAGCTGCCAAGGCTGCCCGCGAGGAGGCGGAAACTGAACGCAAGGCTCTCGAGGAGAAGCAACGCCGTGCTGCTCGTGTCGCCGAAGGCCGATCGGCCAAGGATGGTTCGCAGTTCACCGCTGCCGCCGTGAAGAACTCTTCGTGGAACCAGGGCGCTCCCAACGGCCAGAAGGCTGCTGCGGCCCCCGCTACGAACGGGAACCACCAGTTGCTGGACACTTTCGATGCACCAGCCGAGCCATCCCCGGCAGTCGAGGCCCCCAAGGCTGCCCCCAAGGCCAAGCAGTCGGACTGGGTCTCGTCACTCCCTTCTGAAGAGGAGCAGATGAAGCAGCTTCAGGATGCCGACGAGTGGAACACAGTTACCACCAAATCGTCGAAGCGCTCCGCCAAGAAGGCCACCTCTTCTTCTGGCGACGAGGCCGCCGCGCAGCCCACGGCTCCTGCGCCAGCCCAGGCTCCCAAGGTCCAGGAGGCCGCCGCTGCCTCCAAGGCTGCCCCTCAGCCTACAAAGCCCAAGGGTCCGCAGACCTTTGGCTCCTTTTCCGCGCTGAGCACTAAGGATGACCCAGCCGAAGAGGTCGAGGAGGAGTGGGACGTCTGAGGGTGCTTGCACTGACCAGAAACACATCCCAGGATATGTATTGTTGCTCTCTTTATATGTACGTTGCTTTGCGAGCATTCATTCCCAGCTTTGTACAATACAGCCCGGCCAAGACTGAGGCGGGACCAAAAACCTTTTTTTTTCCTTTCCACATTGTTGTGTGTTCACACGGCGATTATTATAGAAAAGCTGGCTACGGACGGAGTCGTGGAGGGTGATGCAGTTCGAGCTGCTCCAGAGGAGCAACAAAGTCAAGCAGACAGCCGACGCAGGAGCGTGTGGTTCGATCTTCAAACGACTTTGGAGGAAAAATTTAGCTATCATGTAGTTTGTTAATATGCAGTAAGCTCAACTTGACCCTGATTGTCGAAAGCTATGGGCCTGTGCCGGAATCGATAGTCTTTCAATACACGTGGACACGGATTCGATCTTTCCTGGCGGTGAAGCAAACAGGGTGCCGGTTGGCACACATCTGGAAAACATGGAGTTGAGTGCATTGCACTGCATGAATCAGAACGAGTCTGGTGATCCCTGATGACGCTTGGGGAGCCGGATCGCCACGGGGGTCCTAATATCGGATTCGGGACGCGTTCGAGCGCCTGTGCGAGTGAAACATAGGTCACGGCACCAGCCATAGTGTGCATTTGTAGTTGTCTTGAGTGGCCCCGTAGCAGCCCGACTCGCTAATGTGTCTCACTACAGCATCGCCAATCTCTGAGAAGACTCAGAAAGAAACATGAGACATCGAGGTGAGTGGGCAGGGAGGGGTAAAAGTGAGGCTATATGCAGATAACTTGATGGTCTCGAGCCAAGAAGTGGCATGTTGTGATGTTGACCCAATCACAAGCGCCATGTTTCAAGATGGATCGGAGACACCACCATTCTCATGGACATGGAGTGGGATGTCTTTCTCGAGGGGGCCATGGTCGATCAGGTGCTAGTAGTGGCTAACTTACCATGATGACTTTTGGGAATAGCAATGGACAGAAACGGGCTATATGGAGCATCGTGACCACTGCTTTACCTGAACTGGCCTCGGCTGGGCGACGTACCACGTAGTATTACGTTGGTTGGGCTCGACTCTGGTCCCTTGAGGTGCGCCGCGCGTGCAAAAGTGGAGACGTCTATGGTGATGGCGGACGGGAACACAGCCCGTAGTTCTCGAACCAAACAGCAATCGCCCCTGGAACCGTGGAACGTTAGCGCTCTCCCCTTCTGTATGCACTAGCGTCCGGTGTTGCCATCAAGGCCGCGACCCTTGCGAACCGCCCTCCTCCTCCGCCTTCATGTCCTCCTCCATCCCCGTCGTTCTCCTGCCCAATTCATACACACCGTGACTGCCTTTGTTTCCTTTCTCCATCTCTCGACATTATCGCCGCACGGCATACTTTTCTTCATCTACGTATTTACAAACGAGCCAAGTCGCTGCATTCTTGGTGTTGCAGCAATTCTTGATTGGCCTCCACCGCAACCACCCGGAGCCCCCTTTGCCGCTATAGACGGCAGTGGCATTGTTCAACCGTCCCGCGCCCCTGCCTCCAGTCGTGGACTGCCAACTCTCTCGAAGTTGTCGAAAGCTTCAAAAGCCGCGGCTTCGAGCCATTGCGTCATTGGAATCATACACGGGACCGAATCGATCACACCATCAGTCGACGATAATTGCGCACCGGAAGCCGGCTGACATCGAACACGACCACTTGAGCCCTTGAGCCTTTGCGCACGCGCACGCGATATATCCGGGTTAAGGGAGCTTTGAAGAAAACATCAGCCGACCCGGGCACTATACTTGGGCTGGACTTAAGCTTGCAACCAAAGTCCGTCATCTGCCACGAATTGGCGGTTGCCTCTCTGGGGTTGGGGACCGCCGACACTCCATCAATTGGCTCACCTGCGCGACATATAGCCTCTGATGTCTTCGAACAACTCCAGCGGAGCTCGGACACCTGTTTGAGCGTGGAAAGGCCACTATACGTCACAAAATGTCACTGCCCATAGCGCTCCAATCAGTTGTGTTTTACTTCGCGGCCTGCACACCATGTCGGGCTGCGTTAAAGCGAAGGCAGCAGAAGGAGATGTTTGAGGCGGAGAAGGCCCAGCGGACAGCTCTGGAGATGGAACAGCCTTCTCTTTACCTGCATCCAGCGCCGTTCACAACAAACCCGTACTGGCAAGAGGAGATCAACCGGGGCCCGAGTTTGCCCAAAAAGTCCGCGAGCAAGAACTCGAGTGCCCGGGGCCTCAGCAGCTCCGGAAAGGACAGCGATGTTCCCAGGGGGAGCAAAGAAACCGATGCACCCAACGAGTCATTTGCCGATAGCTCGACGGCTGTACCGGAAAGCGAAGCCGCCCCCGATGACTTGAACAAGAGGACGAATTTCCAGCGCGCAGATGAAGAGCTTTGGGGTGAATGGTCTGGTCATAGAATCAAGGACGCCTTCTCCAAGGCCAAGGATTCCGCAGGTCGCCTGATGGATTCTAGGCTGTTCTTTGATAAGGAGGTCACCGACGAGGAACGACGAGAGTTTTATCAAGCACGAAGAGTGCCACCGGTCAATGACTATCACCCACCAGTTGTCAGCAATAAGGCACCTAGTAGAGCCGCGCATCAGTGGATGCTCCAACCTCCTCCACCAGCCAAGGTCATGGAGGGCAAGGTCCCCGTCAGTCGCAACGTCAGCTCAGGGAGCAGGTCCAGTGGCCGAACGACCATCGGGGAGGAGAACAGTCTCGCCCGGCAGGTGTCAGAGAGACTTTTGCGAGAGCGCACACTCAAGGAAAGAAATCCCACCGAGGAGGAGTTGATCGAGTCTTTGTTGCCCCGCACCAATCGGTCGCTTAGCTTCCATCGCACGAGAAGTCTGTCACTAGACGGCGTTGCTGAGGATCTCGAGGAGCCGTATGCTGAAGTGCGAAGCACTCATCTGCGTATTGAGGTGGAAGCTCGGATGAGAGAGAGCCAGCACCAATCGCCAGCCCCTCGAGCAGCGCGACGACCAGCCCTACGGACGATTGCAGGTTCGAGGTCCAACAGCGGCAATAAAGTACCACGGTCGTCAATGGCAAACAATACGGAGCCATCGGCCGCGAAAGGCGACACGAAACATGCGGGCTACATCGACGGGCAGAGCCCTGTAGATGGGCACAGTGACAAAAGTGGAACGGCAGCTCCCAATTCCGAATGAATGAGCAGCCGTGCGCGCCAGAAGCGATTTTTCTTTTATTGTTAACATAGCAACTCGAGCGTTGTCGGCTTGGCGTATAGCTGGTTTGAAGACCATTCATTGTCTGTTGGATTTGCAGCATCGGGATGCGGGGCGTTTACAGGTTTTGGAAAAAAGGGATCATGTAACTCTTCAGAGTCCGAGTCTGCGATGGCCACCTTTATCCTTTAGTAGCACAGCAGCCATCGACTGCTCTTCAATCGATTTCTTTCATTGTTAGCAAGCCCGAGCTCGTACTTGTCGCCCATCCAGGCGAAGGTATCCATCCAGGTTGACCACCTGAGTTGAACTTACACAGACGCCAAATCGGGTTAGTGCGCGATTAGCGCAGATGCGATCACTCACATTGACGGCTCTGTGCCCCTCCTCCACACCTCCACGCGTCAGGGATGTGCTATACCAAGTATGCGACACGAATATTGCAGTCGCAGCGACCAGCTCTCTGTGTTAGAAGGTAGTACGGCCTCTACGGGACAGGCTCTCATCTTGCGCGTGAATGACCACTCGCGCCATGGGATCAGAGTTCCGTATCCGTCTTGCTCATGCCGATTTTGTTAGGAAGGAATAAAGCTCAAAAAGATTTAGCGTGAAACCCTGGCGTCCAGGGACCCAAGAGCCCCTCTCATTTCCAATGTACCTTTCGCTGCATGTCAGGTACCTCGCTTCTGTGATTGATGCTTCGCGAGCGATTCGTACCCTTTGTGTTTGTGTTTGTAATGTCCGGTGCATTGCAAATCAAAGGGGGGGGATAGGGACTGCGTACAGCCACAGGGAGGAGGCCTGTGCTGACGCGCAGTACGTGTTGTGTACTTCGCTAATAACAAGGAGTGCCTGATGTTATGACAGGCGTCGCGCCTGGCATTCAATACTTCCACGTGCTTTCCCATGTTTGTTTTCTTCCCGCCAGGTCTTCTGCAAGCCCCCCTAATATTAACTCTCCGATACTTCAGAATGTTCCCTGCAGCCTTCTTCTCTTCCTACTAAACTCACATACGACGCCGTTCAGTCGTACACTGCAAATCACACGGATACCTCGGCGCGCATCGCATCAACTGCTCATCAGGCTTTCAGCTCAACTACTAGCTAGTCTACACTGCATTTTGGCCGTCGCAATGGCTGCTGCCACTTACAAGCAGTTCTTGGCCTCGCCGACCACCTCGGTTCTCGACAACAAGGCGTCGCTGCACTATGTGACCACGACTACTTCCATTTCTGGTGCCACAGAGATCGTCAAGCACCTGACGGCCGTCCACAAACAGCTCAAGAAGAAGAAGGAGGATGTCTTGACTGAGGTTGAGGGGCAGAACAAGCTTGCGCTCGAAGTCGATACCGTGATCGAGTTCCTCATCAGCGGCGGGCCCTACCTGCCCGGTCTTGATGACAACTTCCTCTCGGATCGCACAGTGTACTTGCCTGTGGTAAGTTTCCCCCTGTCCAAGTGCGCATTGTCTCGAGCCTAACGAGTAGGCAGACACACTTTGTGAGCACCAACTCGGACGGTCGCATTACCCAGATTCGCCTCTCGTGGGACCAAGGCGCTCTGCTCAAGCAACTTGAGGTCATCGGCAAGACTGGTCGCAATTGGCCCATCACAAGCAGCAAGGAGCAGATTTCCCTTATAGAGTCTTGCCAGAAGACTGCTGGTGGGTTCTCTACAGCGGCCGGTGAAGATGCCCACAAGGAGACCGTGAGCCGAACTCGCGGAGGCTCCACCAACGCTCTTCGCGACCCTTACGCAACCCTCCACATGCAACCTACCAGGGAAGAGCTAGAGAGCTCGGCCTTGGACAAGGTCGTGTCGCCGTACGGCCAGAAACATCGACCTCAGCAACGATCTGCAGCTGACATCCTGGGCGACGACCCCACTGGCGAGCACTACGATGACCGCAACGCCATGTCTCCAGCTAAAGCTGGTGCCAACCGCCACTTCCAGCCAATCCGTATATTCGAAGGCCAAGAAGACGAAAGACCGGAGGATGACACTTCCGAGACCCGACCAGCCAGCTCTTACATCAAGCCCCACGCTACCAAGTACAACCACTTTGACTTGCTGGACGGGTCTGATCCTGCCGATGCGCCCAAGCCTGGGTTCTTGGAGGCAGACCGCCAGAAGACCAAGCGTGATAGCCAATGGTCGTTTGAAGACTTTGTGACTCCGTCCAAGCCAAAGCCATCGCGCCTCCTGCGTCATGAAGATGTCCGTCACTGGGACACGCAGAAGGCAGACGAGGATAACTCGACTGCCCCGGCCCAAGGCAAGGGACGTCGCGATGCTGACGTTCATTTCCAACTCAAAGATGACGGCGAGCGCGCCGCCCAGCAGCCAGAGCGCGGACCTAAAAGGGGCGCAGTGCATAACGAACAGCTCGGCCTCTACAAGAACCAGCTCTTCGACCAGGCCGAGCCTGGTGAGGAGAACCTGCGCGCGCTTGGTAACATTACAAACAACAAGGGCCGTAGCAATACTTTCGAACCCCACTGGGAAGCCACAGACGAGTCTCCTCTCCCCGATAGGACCCAAGCCAAGCCTATGGGCCATCAGAAGGCTGTAAAGATGATGGACTCGACCTGGGACACATATGACAAGTCGCCCAGCCAAAAGGAGAACACTTTCCTAGATGCTGATCAGCCCGAGAATGACACTCGGATCCGGATTGCTGGTGATGGCATGGGGAGCAAGAAGGGGACAAACCGCGACTGGATGTGCGGCGGTGATGACGACGAGTCGCCCAAGCCTGTTGTGGCTCGCAAGTACAACGCGTCGCAGCAGCGCAATGACATGTGGGACTTCTAGCGGCTGTCCGGTCGAGCAGACAAGGAGAATGTTCCATTGACTCGCAACAGTGGTGGTATGCCCAGGCCAGGGTGCTGAGGCGGTTGCGTTCAATGACTGTACGCCTACGTGTGGCTCATGAATCATGAGTGATTAGTTTTGTTTTCACATAGTCTTGTACCCCAATTACAGACTGCTAGCTTTTACGTTGAACATGGGAGCAATTGCGATATCAGAAATAGCATTTAACATCATGGCTCACTGAAATCGAACTCTCCTAAAATGTGCCAGATAGACTGTATCCCCCAGAAACGCCAAAATTCTCCCTTCCCTCTTCCCAAATAGCACAGGAACATTAGCAGATAAACTTGTAAAACTTCTTCCAACCTGGCCAAGTATCCCGCTCTTCCTTCTCTTGCTGTATCAATATCGGTACATTGAAATCTCTCCGCCCCGTATTCACATCCATGTCTCGTAAACGTACGTAGGATGTCTTGTAATAAAGCTTGTGCCCGGCGTAAAAGATGAAGATGATGGGGGCACCCATCCACTTGAGAAAGAATTCTCCGGCCACTGCTCTGGTGCTCATATTCTGCCAATTGATGGGAAAGGCGCCGACCCAAAACTGAGCGGCGAGAACGAGGAGGTTCATGGTGAGGCCGATGTACGATCCCAAGACGCCAACCTGCGACTGGAAGGGCAGCTCGTTCGGCGAGTGACCGTTCAATGCCCAGGCGCGTCGGAATCGGATGTGGCACAGGCAGATGGAGCCCCAGGTGAAGATGGAGGACAGGCCAGAAATAGCGAGGAGCCAATCGAGCACGTTGTTCTGCCCAGGAAGATCGGCAAGGTAGGACAGGAGGCCAACGCAGCCAGCGACCCCAACAGCCATGAGCGGGCGGCCGCGACGGTCAATGTAGCCGAGGAACTTGGGCGCCTGATTCATGTTGGCGAGGGCGGCAAGGGTTCGTGATGATCCAAAGACGGCCGAGTTGCCGACGGAAAGAACAGCAATGAGGATGACGGTGTTCATGACTGAAGGGAGGACCTGGATACCGGCTTCTTCGATGGCAATGACAAAAGGCGAGGCTTTGGCATCTGCATCGTTTTTCTGGCCTGAAGGCGTGAGGCGAGGGTCGTCGTGTGGCACGAGTAGCCCCACCAGCGTGAGGGCGACCACGTAGAAGATGGTGATGCGCCAGAAGACTTGCTTGATGGCGGTCGGCAATGATTTGCGTGGATTCGCGGTCTCGGCAGCGGCTAGGCCGACGAGTTCTGTCCCGGTAAAGGAGAAGGCGGCCGTCACGAAGACGCTGCAGAGGCCTTTGAAGCCGTTGTTGAAGGCACCCGGTTGATGCCAGAACTCGCCGCCAATGTAGCCTCTGTCCGGAGTGCCGCCACAGTTGAGTACGATTCCTAACAATCTAGAAGCATCCATCGTCAGCGTCCGCGTCTCCCATACCTGCATCGCCTGATACCTACATGAAACTGATGACTGCAATGACCTTGATAATGGAGAAGATGAACTCTGCCTCACCGTAGCCCTTGATGCCGAATAGGTTGATCGCAATGATAACAAACAGGAACAAGGTAACGAAGATGGCCCGCTTCAAGGCTTCGTCCCAGTATCCTATAGTCAATGATGCGGCAATGATTTCGAGAGGCAGCACGGTCAGCCACTGCATAGCATAACTGCATCCGTCAGCATGGTGCAACTGGGGGTACTGTGGTACAGCGAAGCTTACTTCCATCCCATGGCGAATCCCCAGGAGGGATCCAGGAAACGGGTTGCCCATGACGAGAATGATCCTGCCACTGGGAATATAACGGCCAGCTCGCCCAGCGCTTGGCAAGTACAGTAGAGCATGGCGCCGATGATCGAGAAGGCGAGCAATAGCGACGCAGGACCGCCGGCAGCCAAAGCCCTGCCCGATGCCACGAACAACCCGGTACCTATTGAGCCTCCAATGGCAATCATCTGCAGATGTCTGCCTTTCAATTTCCTGGCCAGCCCGGTATGCGCATTCTCTAGTGTCGCCAATCGTAAATCGTAGTAATGAGACCCATCGTGATCGTGCGTCGACCTCGTCTCGAGCTGCGCCAGGTGATCCGAGGGGAAGAAGGTCGTGTTTGGATCGCGCCGGAAGCTGTCCAGAAAATCACCCAAGCGCTTGGGCTGGAAGATGTCGTCGTAGTCCGGCTCGCCGCGCATACTGTACGAGCTGCCCTGCGCCAGGGACTCTTCTTTAACCTTGAACGTGTTTACTGTGCCGAGCTCAATGTCGCGGGGAGGCGCCATTGTAGGCTCGACGTGGGGGTCGTTGTTGTTGACCTGCCTCAGTATCCGAAGAGGTGTGTGCGGTGGCTATCGCCAGGCCGCAGAGGGCGTCGATAATGCGATGAAACTGTCACGACAGGCTTGGGAGGCGATAGTTTGGAGACAGCTGAGCTAGCGAGTAATTGAACGGAACGACCCCAGATAAGTCGCGATAAGAGAGCCGTCTAGGCGTGGTCGGACCCGACCGTCAGTCGTCGCACATGCCTGCCTGCCGCCGTTACAGCTCGCAGGGACTGGAAGGACTGGACTGGAGGGATGTAATACTGGGCGAGATAGCGGAATGGCGACTATCGGTGAAGTTGGCGCTCGATTGGAGGGGCAAGATGGGAAATAGGTCGCAGGTAAGACTAGTGCGAGGAGACGCGGTTCCAAGATAACAACAGCAAAGTTGCGCTTTCTTGCATCATAATTAATCCCTTTGCTCTGAGGCTGAGGCTGGGGCTGCCCGAGCTGGGGCCGACTGCCTGACTGACTCCAGTCTGCAGTCCAGTCCTCTGGCTTCTTCCTTTCTTGGTGCGTTCGGGTATCGGGTGGTTGGCGCCAGGTACCTTATCTTGCTTGCCATCACTGACTGGAGGTAAACTGGTTACTGGGCCGTGCCTTCTGTAGAGCACGTGCTCGGCCCGCTGACGATCTCAGCGATAGCTGTGATTGGCGGGCTTAGTGCAGGCGCCAGTCGGTCCCTGCGTCAACCCCAGCCATCACGTTATATCACTACGACTCTAACGTTAAACATCTTCCGTGCCTCACGCGACATTTTGCCTTTCTGGCTTGCATTGGCTTTAACTGGGTATATCCCAGAGAATGGTGGAATTCCACAAACATGAGCAGAGGCTAGCAATTCGAGATACCCACTATACCGGGCCGTGTTCGTAAACGCCGTATCCAGCCCCTGGATCTTGAGCCGAAGGGCTTCAAAGGGTCTTTGCATGTGATGCTCTGTTCGTATGAGCATATGTGGCGTGCTAATAATACTTTGTAGACCGCTCGAAGAACAGACAGCTTTTATCTGACACTTGCTCCCCACGCCTGGCTTGACAAAGGGTTTGACTTTCAAGAGTTCATGTCGTCCTTCAGGGCCATCGACCAGACGGACGGTCAACGAACACAATGCATCTGCAGGATCTTCAACCACCTTCAAAGCGTGTTTTGACAATTAATCCAATCACATATCGATTCGAGCCACTATTTTTACATATGTTCGCAGCCAAGAACCGGATGACCTTATTAGTTCAATTATTCAATCCCGATGCTGTCCCCCTTTTCTCCCAACATCGCGACTATCCTCACCTCCAGGTTGCTGCCCATGTGAATGTCGCAGACTCCAAGACTTGCCATCTGTCAACCCAAGGACAAAGACTTCGGGCTACCAATTACTAGTAGATAGTAATTATCAATGAAACTTTTGTCGGCTACTTTTGGTACGCTTTGGCCATGCCTCCGCCCCTCGTCGCTCCTTGCTCAAGGGGAGGAGCGATCGTTTCACTAACAAAGCCTACACGCACATTTGGGCAACTTACTACTTGTATAAAAGCACCTCCCAGCAGAATGAAGCCTACCATTCACTGAGACGTGTCAACAAAAAAAAAGTACAAATTGGCTGCGCCAGAAGAGTGCGCCACCATTGACACCGGTCACCCGCGTGGACCACAAACACATCGCACACATTCTCTTTGTTTGAAGTATGAATCAGTTGGTATTGAAAAGCATACTTGATCCCATCAAGTTCACGCCATTCACTCTACCAGACCGCGCCTATAAAGACTTCATGGGCTCTTTCCTGCCAACCAGCAGCGCACGCACGAGGACCCAACAGAGTGGAATACTATATCATCAGGCAGCACCATCGAAACTCCGGAAACCAATGCTCCATCCAATGTTATCCTATGCTAAGGTGTTGCAAGGTATTGACAGGAGCGAAGTCTTGATGTTGCCAAGGATGACTTCCAACAACCCTCCCGCAAACCCTCGCGCGCCCAATCATCATCAACAACACGAAGATGACACAACCGAGGGGCGCGCCACCATCTGGCAAGAAAAGAATGTCTCTGTGGCAGAGATAAACAACAAGGGAAAGTCCAAGCTGAATGCCAAAGCCAACAGCTTCCGCTCGGATTCTTCTGATGTGAAGCCTACCAACGGCTCTTCGAGCTCAGAGCTCAGCCAAAGCTGTCAAGGCGACCACGAGAACTGTGCTCTGACGCCGTCTTCACACGCCCAGCAACCTCCGAGGGACTATCTCGCAGCTGACAAAGCTCCTGTCTTCGACCCAGCACTTATGGTTGCGCAGAGTGCCTACAAGTATAAACAGAACCGTCGGAAGACGGGGCAGTCATCTGGTCAAAAGGAGGTTGAGGAACCTGCGGAGACGAAGTCAGCAAATTGTGTGGTTGTCTGGCGGGGTGACAGCGTGGTATATTTGCCGCCACCAAGTCCGGATCAAACAGTTAATTCACAGGATACGAAGGATTGATAGAGGATTACCCCTGTTAGCGAAGCAGTGACCGGACAGCGACCACGAGTATCCCTACATATGCATCGTCTTCACAATATACTATAATGAATCGCATCGTGTTTGTACATCGCTTCTAACGGGCTAGTATATACATTGTCTCACAATCCTATGTGCATCGCTCAAACCCGCTAACATTACACTCTCATGGCGTAGGCTCGCCAACGAGATCACCATTGGCATCGCGTGGCTTGCGTTGCCAGCCTGTTGAGAAAAGGGGCCCCATGCTGAACCGGGGGAAAGGGTGCCCCTCGGTGTTGAGGACGACCTTGTCCAAGGGCAACAAGTCATCATCAGAGAAAAGCAAGTAGAGATACTTGAGGGATTCGGCCTGTCATTGTAAGCATGATCCGTGGGAAGAGAATAAGAGTGACTCACGATCCAGAAGCTCTCCATATTGTCCTTGATGCGTGGTGGGATGGTGTTCGCGTTGGCTAAGCCGGTGAAGCCGCCCTTGTCCTCGACAGCTTCGTACTCGAGGAAGGACTTGAACATCTCCCATCCCCATTCTCGGTATTTGATGTCGCCTGTGATACGCCACATATAGAACAGACTCTCCAATGTCTCGGGACGCTGGAGGTTATGCTGGTCATTGTTCTTCACAATAAAGTCTTTGCGCCAGCTAGCGTCGGGGTCCGGGTCGAAAGTCGCTGGGGGAACGTTATGAGGCTGCCCGTCCATCAGGGGCGGTTTGGCAATGTTGAAGTATGTGATCTCGGCGGCGAGACCCGTGGCCATGTACTTGTACATACCCCAGCAGGTCTGTGTGATCTCATGCGCAAGCTGCATGTCATCCTCATCCTGCTGTGACCACGTTGGCAGCTTACGGGCCTCGGCCTCCGTCAAGCCGCCTGTTACAGCAAGCGCGATTGTCCCCGGGTAAAAGCAAACCAGGTGGTCCATCTTGGGAGACAGTGCCTTGTTGAGGCCACTTGGACGCTCGCCAATAATCGTATACCCGGAAGGCTCGGTGTACGTGACCAGGTGCTTGCGAACACCAGCCAGCGATTCCTTCCACATCTCCTGATAGATGGGTTCCTCCTTGTTGGTCTGCAAGTATTGCTTGATTAAGTATTCGTAGTATGAGTCGCCACGGCTGCCGAGGCGGATATTCTCGCCCTTGAACTCGCCATTGATGGGGTGCATGTAGATTGGGACCAATCCATCTCGTGGATTGTTGTCGTCAGCGATCTCCATGACCTTTTCGACTTTGTCCCAGAAATACTTCTCGCCCGTCAGCTTGGCCAGGTACTTGAATTCTAGCTGCACGCTCAATGCCTCGGCCGTCGAGGCAGCGCCTTGATCGTCGTGCGACGGAATGCCTTTGAACTTTTCGAGATTGACGCTTGAGTATGGCACGCCAGAAGGACTCTCGAAAGCACTCAGCAGACGATCGGCAAGATCCTTGGCCTTCTCGAGATAGAGGTCCTCCCCGGCCGCGCCTTCGTCGTCCTCCTCTAGAGGGGCGAGGTTGGGAAACTCGGTCTGTAGGTAGTGGGCCGAGAGCAAACCACCCAGCATGCGAATCGTTGTCTCAAAGGTGCTCACGTCCTGGTTTTGCTCCCACGTCAGACTCTCGGAGATCCACTGCCGCGCATGTTGCAGGCGAGATGTCTGATTCATCAGAATCATGGTGTCCAGTGAGTCAATGATGATCCAGCCGAGACCCTGAGGTGCCATATTCTTGCCCGTCTTCGCGACCGGGTGAAATTCGTCATAGCCCCATGCGTAGCGCTCGTAGGCATCCCAGCTGACTTGGAAAGCTTCCACGACAGCCTGCCGCCTCTCTTCCCAGTCGACCTTGTCCGAGTTTGACATGCCAATCCATGACCAGGCTGACTTGGCCGTCGCTGGCTTTGACTTGACCTCGGGGCTTGACCAGAATCCCAGCATGTACAGGGCAAACACCACAAGCATGGTGATGCCTCCGAAGAACCTCTTTTTCCGCCATAACGGTCTATTCTTATACGACGGCGTGTACGTGAAGGGCTTGTCCTTATACATTGGTAACGAATCCTTTTCGAATATTCCCGTCACACGGGCGCCGGCGCCCCGGAGAGACGACCATGCGTGGTCCTCAAGGTCGCGATTTTGACTTCCAAAGTCTGGCAGATGGCGAGGAACGTTGAACGCCATGGCGGCAAGGGTCTGGCAATGCCTATCGCTTGAGCCAACCAAGCTGTTAAATTGTGCCCGACTCCAGTCAAGCTCGAATTGGCATTCGTGGGTTCGAAGGGCGTTGCGGCTCGGTTCGTGCGCTCGTGATGGGCATCAGCGGATCGAATAGAAGTAATGATGCAATCTCGATGCAGCAGGCCCAAGATATGAGATGGGCCTATGTCATGTTTAAACAAAAAAACCGGAACGCCTCTCAAGATGCAATGAAGGTATTGGTGATATGTTGTATGTCGAAGAGGACAGAATACCTTGACAATCTTGGCTGCACCCACTTTAGCACGTCCGAGTCGTGAGCTGGTGGTACCTGCCATCCTTCGCCTGGGAAATCGCGACCCGACGGGCACACGTTACCACTGGTGCCTACTTGCGAATAGTAGCATTGGAACGGTGCCTCATTACATTGCCTGCGATCAGAAATCTAAGTAAAGTATCTATCAACATGGTCGCACACGGTCCGTCGAAGACAGCTTCAAAGGGTGCCAGCCTGGTACGTACGTTACCTGGACCGGGATTGGGATGCGCATCGCATTCCAGGGTCCATCAACCCCGTCCTTCATCCACTTGTGGCTTCTGCATCGTCCCCTCGCACAGGTCAAGCAAACGAGGGAGCAGTGTCGGTGAACAAAGCTAGTTCAGGAACTGCTGTTCTCAAAATCTCTGTGCCTAGAATATTGTGACTCTGAGAGGAAGTGCGGTCAGAGCATCACGAGTTGCGGATGATCCGATCATCACCATGGGATCTCCTGACATCGCCAATTATCCTTCATTGACTGCAGAGGAGTTTGAAGAAGCCTGCCACCATCTAGATAGCAGGTACCGACGGGCGACTCTAGGCTTCAAGCGCGCGCAGTGGAGGCTTCGATTAAGGACGGGCCTGCGGGGAAATGACTTCCATTATGGGTGTTCACCAGGCACCAGTGTCGAGATCACGAAGCCACTCGAACCCTTCAACGACGACATTGATCTCGATTTCGAAGCTTTGCGCGTTTCAGGAACACACCACTGGATGCCACAGGCCGATCAAGAGATGAGAGATATGGAGGCATCAGATCAGGTAGTATATTCACTCCACGCGACGATGCCGCAAGCTGACAAGATCAAGGCTGCCATACAGAAGTCTCCATCTGCACATCAAGGCGGATGGGTGACCTATGAGATTCTGCTTCATCCAACATATCAAGTACCTGTCTTATATTTCCAACTGTATGGTCTTCCGGCATGCGAGCCGCGGTACGATGTAGAGACTGTGTTCCGGCGCCTTGTCCCGGACCCGTACAAACAAGGACTTCGCAGCCTCAACGGCGTTGGGGGTATTTCCATCGATGTAAGTATTTGCACGCTGTGAGAGAGGGTTAATGAGTGGGAGGCCGTGAACAACGAGGACCACAGGCGACTAACGTCTGAGGCAGCATCACCCCGTATATGGCGAGCCATGCTTCTTCATACACCCCTGCCTGACAGGGGAGAACATGGCTCCTTTTCAGTGCTCGCGAGAGGAGTATCTCACGATTTGGATCGGGCTGACAGGCGCTTGTGTTGGTTTAGCCGTGCCCATGGAAATGATCCCACGAAACGGTGTTGACATTGTTTGAAAGCCTGCGCGTAAGGGCGCGCCGATTGCTGTGCACAAAGGTTCGGGCGATCATTCGTCGTCGCTGTCCTCTTCCATAGCCACGTCCGAGTCACTGTCCTCGTCGTCGCGTGTTCGCTTCTGCCCTCGTGCGTCGGTCTCGGCGTCCTTCATCTGCTGATCAGCCGGGGCCGCAGCTGGCTTTGCAGGCAGTCCGCTGCCAGTGGTGGCTGGCGCAGCCGCGCCGGGAGGTGGTGCGTTGAAGATGCTCTGCTGCAGCTCGGTCTGCTCAACGTCGGCGGCGCCGGACATGTTGGGGATTTTGAACGTGCCGTCCAGTTTGCTGACGAAATCGGATTTGCTCTTGGCGTATTGGATCTTCTGTAGATAACGCGTCAGACTTGCTGCCCTATGATCAAGACGTCATGCAATAGACTTACCATTGGCCGACCGAGGAACTGTTGACCATCAAGTGATCGCATCGCCTGAGTAGCCGCCTGAACGTCCCTGAATGTGACGTGTGCTTGACCGCGCATCTTCATCGTCATGAGCGCGACAACGTCGAGGACAGGACCGTATGTGGAGAAGAGCATATAGAGTGCGGTCCGCAAATCGGCTTTCTGTATCTTGTTTGATGGCAAGTTGGTAATGTATAGTCTGACTACTCTTAGCGAAGCGCATGGCCCAATGAGCAGTAGCACTTACGTCTGATTCGGTGGTATCGACTGGACCTTGGCTGGGAGGGAAGCATTGGGCGCGAGAGTGCGAGGTGGTGCCGCGGCCGCCATTGTGTGCTCGAACGAATTGAGAAGATGCCTTGCGTAGGATACAGGTGAAGCTTGTCGGCAATGCTTGGAGTGGTCGTGACGAACAGGACTACTAAGGCTGGTGTAGGTTGGTGGCTGGTACTACAGGGTTTCTTCCGTTCGCCGTGGTGTCGTTGATTTTTGCTGGATCCGACTCAGCAATTCGATGTGGTCCGAGCTTTGACTTTGAGCTGGAGCTTGCCCCACCATCCCGCAACAACGACCGCCGTCGTCATCCCTCCAACCTCACACTGCCACCCACGCTCCTCGCTTTCTCCTAACGCTCGCGGTAGTTGAGAGCTCCTCCTATCGCAGTAAACACCCGACAATATGGCCAACCCCGAGGTGCACCACTTGTTCCACAATCCCATCGCAGACCACTCGTTCTCGGCCGACCAGCAAACCCTCGTTGTCGCGCGTGACACCTCGGTCGAGCTCTACGGTCGGTCTGGAAGTAGCTTCAAGCTGCAGGATGAATTGAAGGGCCATGACAAGACCGTGACCAGTGTCGACATTGCGCCCAGCACTGGACGCATTGTGACGTGCTCGCAAGACCGCAATGCCCTCGTCTGGGAACCTTCGCCGACCGGCTACAAGCCCACCCTCGTTCTGCTCCGCATCAGCCGCGCGGCTACTTTTGTTCGTTGGTCGCCCAACGAGTCCAAGTTCGCCGTTGGCTCTGGCGACCGCCTCATCGCTGTCTGCTACTTCGAGGAGGAGAACGACTGGTGGGTGTCAAAGCACCTGAAGAAGCCTATCCGCAGCACCATTACCAGTGTCGACTGGCACCCTAACTCGGTGCTCCTCGCCGCTGGCTCGACGGATGCTCACGCGCGTGTGTTCTCGAGCTACATCAAGGGCGTTGACCAGCGCCCCGAGCCTACTGTCTGGGGTGACCGGCTGCCCTTCAACACTGTCTGCGGCGAGTTCCTGAACAACTCGGCCGGATGGGTGCACTCTGTCGCATTCTCCCCTAGCGGCGACAGCCTCGCCTTCGCGGCCCATGATAGCAGTATCACCGTTGTCTATCCCAGTGCGCCTGAACAGCCTCCGAAGGCCGTGGTTTCCATCTCGACCCAGCTGCTTCCCTTCAAGAGTTTGATCTGGAGGTCCGAGGACGAAATTGTGGCTGCTGGATACGACTGCGAGGCTTTCCGCTTCCAGGGCGGCGAGGGAGGCTGGCAGCTCGCTGGTGCCGTGGATACTAGAGGTCCTTCGGCTGCTGGCGGCGAACAGAGGGAGGAGTCCGCTTTGAAGATGTTCAAGCAGATGGATCTCAAGGGCAAGGGCAAGGACGATACTCAGCTCAAGACTGTCCACCAGAACACCATCACTATGATCCGCCCCTACCAATCCTCTGGCAGCGGAGTCGCCAAATTCAGCTGTAAGTGACCTGCGGTCCGTCAATGTGCAGTTCAAATACTAACTTTGAGCAGCGAGCGGTGTCGATGGGCGTGTCGTTGTCTGGACAATCTAGACGCGGGCGGTGGATAGAAAGCAGCATAGTTAGGACAATGAACGCCGTCCCGGGCATTGTTTTGTAGACGTGTGTATGTTTCAATGCAGTTGACTGGCGGTTTTTCGTTACACTCTATCACATTACTTTGCTACACGCCAAGACTGGGTAGCACTGCTGATGGGCAGCTTGAGAAGATAGGAGCTAAATTTCGGCATTGCTAGTCAGACTGGTACGGAAGACTGTGCACGCGTGAGGCAGGTATCGAGCCATGTTGATCATCTTTTTGGTGCTTAAGGCAGTGCGATAACCTCAATCTCAACGTCAACGTTCTTGGGAAGGGTCTTGACGGCAACACAGCTGCGGGCAGGCTTGTGCGAGAACCACTTCTCGTACTCGCCATTGACCTCCTGTGAATCTTCGTCAGTCTCAATATCTCCTCACAGGGTTCAGGTACACGAACCGCAAAGTGGGCCATGTCCGAGAGGAAGACGGTCGTCTTGACGACCTTGCCCATGGATGAGCCAGCAGCCTCAACGACAGCCTTGACGTTCTTGCAGCACTGCTCGGTCTTCTCTGCAATGGAGCCCTCGACAAAGGTGCCGTCAGGCTTCAAGGGAATCTGGCCCGAGCAGTAGATAGTGGAAGGGGTCTTGATGGCTTGAGACTGCGTGCCGTGTCAGTAACATATTGTTCGCATTGACCTGTGAGGCTTGAACATACATAGGGACCCAGGGCCGCGGGGGCGTCCTTGGTGAAGATGATCTGCTGGTCGGATGCCATTGTGGATTGATATTGAACACGTAGAGCTGGGAGACGTGTGAATGTACGAGCGCGATTTGAGGCCACGAGAAGAGCCCGAGTGGAGGACCGTAGGGTAGTGGGGGTGATCATACCTGTGAATGTGCTTGGTCAGAGATGTCTTGGTAAGATTGAAGTGTGCGAGTGACTGTACCGCCTTTCGAATTGAATGTTACTGGCTTGGAGCATGGGCTGCTCGGACGATGGACTGGAGCTCAGAGGAAGCTCCGGGCATCGGCGCTGCCCCGCCTGCCGTCATGCCATGGTTCGGGGGGGGAGGGGCGCCGAGCTCTCGTGTCGATCGTTGGCGGACTCAGTCCCTGTTAATTTGACAAGCTACCTACCCATGTACGTAGATCTTTCAGATAGACTAATGGATTCCACTGGGCTGCCGATGCCATTGAGAGCTATGATGGCTCTTTATGGACAACTGTACGTGCTTGGTTAGGAGACGATGTGCTTGCGATACAGGGTAAGCATCAGTTCCCCTGAGTGGGGCGCCGACGTAGACTCGGACCCCTGGGAGAAGGTACGTACCTCCCCTACCTAAGCCCAAGAGATCTGTACACGTCGTCGCCAGCAACCGAAAAGGAGGCTCTCGCTAGCGCGTCGGTTTCCCACCCTTCAACGTCGTTGCTTGCGTTGGCTTTACTCTACTCCCTTCATTAACCCTTTCCTTTCTTTCTTGTACGCCTTTTTCCTACCTGGGCAGTAGGCAGCCGAGCGCGGCCTGCGATTAACGTGCGTTTCCCCCATCTTCTCTTGCTTCCAAGTCCTCTGCCAAGTGTCACGTCTTACCCAGGTTTGGAGCTCCTCGAAAGCTTCCACTCCAGCTGCCAACACCGAACCCACCATCAACTAGCCCATCGAGACGCACTTGCTGACTGACAGCGTTCGAGCGCAGTGTAGCTGTGGTTCTGAACATCACATAGCCCACAATGGCGCGCTCTTCGACGCCGCAGGGCAGCCTGCGCCAGAGGAACGTGGCCTCCACCAACAAGAAGACGACCGATGTGGCTGCCGCAATCGAGACTGAGATGGACAAGCTGGCCAAGGCGTCCCAGCAGAGGGTGAAGACAGACAAGGAGCGCGATTATCAAATTGCCTTTGTCATCATCACCGTTCTCGCCTTTGTGACGCGATTCTGGGGTATCAGCCACCCCAACGAGGTCGTCTTCGATGAGGTTCACTTTGGCAAGGTTCGTTGTGCACGCATTCATCAAGTTGCTTGAAGACTGACAAATCTGTAGTTTGCCTCTTACTATCTCGAGCGTACCTACTTCTTCGATGTCCACCCTCCGTTTGCCAAGCTCCTATTTGCCTTCATGGGCTGGCTTGTCGGATACGACGGGCGGTTCCATTTTGACAACATTGGCGACTCTTACATCGATAACAAGGTGCCCTACGTCGCGTACCGTGCGTTGCCGGCTATTCTTGGAGCTCTGACTGTGTCTGTGAGCTACTTGATCATGTGGGAGTCTGGTTACAGCCTGCCCGCCTGCATTGTCGCTGCTGGTCTCGTCCTCCTGGACAACGCCCACATTGGCCAGACTCGCCTGATCCTCCTGGACGCGACCCTTGTCCTTGCCATGGTCTGTAGTCTTCTGTTCTACATCAAGTTCTACAAACGACGCCACGAGCCCTTCAGCCGGAAGTGGTGGAAATGGTTGATCTTGACCGGATTTGCTTTGTCCTGCGATATCTCGACAAAGTACGTTGGTCTCTTCGCCTTTGTCACGATTGGCGCTGCCGTCGTCATCGACCTCTGGGAGCTCCTCGACATCAAGCGTCCAGGAGGCGCTTTGAGCCTGCCAGAGTTTGGCAAGCACTTTGCGGCGCGTGCAATTGGCCTCATTGTGTTGCCTTTCATGTTTTACCTCTTCTGGTTCCAGGTCCACTTCACGATCCTCAGCCGCTCCGGCCCTGGAGACGACTTTATGACCCCAGAGTTCCAGGAGACCCTCAGCGACAACATGATGCTTGCCAACGCCTTGGACGTTCAGTACTGGGATGATCTTACCATCAGACACAAAGAGACCAAGGCCTATTTGCACAGCCATGAGGACAAGTACCCCTTGCGCTACGACGATGGTCGCGTGTCCAGCCAGGGACAGCAGGTGACTGGATACCCCTTCAACGATACGAACAACTACTGGCAGATCCTGCCCCTGGATGGTGACGAGAAGAAGGGCCGCAACGTCATGAACCACGACCTTGTGCGCCTCAGGCACGTGGCCACTGACACGATCCTGCTGTCCCACGACGTTGCCTCGCCTTCGTACCCCACTAACCAGGAATTCACCTGTGTTTCCCTGGAGGATGCTCTGGGCAAGCGCCAGAACGACACTGTCTTTGAGGTCCGAATCGAGCACGGCAAGAAGAAGACCAACTTCAAGTCCGTTGCTACCCATTTCAAGCTTATCCACAACCCGAGCAAGGTCGCCATGTGGACGCATACCAAACCTCTGCCGGAATGGGCCTATAAGCAGCAAGAGATCAACGGCAACAAGCAGATTGCTGCCAGCTCCAACGTGTGGTTTGTGGAGGATATCCCCTCCATTCCCGAGGGAGACGCAAGGCGCAACAAGCCGGAGAAGAAGGTCAAGTCTATGCCCTTCCTTCGCAAGTGGTTTGAGCTGCAGAGGGCCATGTTTTACCACAACAGCAAGCTCACCAGCAGCCACCCGTACTCTAGCCACCCCTACCAGTGGCCATTCCTGCTCCGCGGCGTCAGCTTCTGGACACAAAGCGAGACTCGCCAGCAAATCTACTTCCTGGGCAATCCTTTTGGTTGGTGGCTAGCCAGCAGTTTGTTGGCAGTGTACGCAGGTATCATTGCTGCTGATCAGGTGTCTCTGCGCCGTGGTGTTGATGCTTTGGACAAACGTAAGTTGAGGATTCGCTAACACGGGTAATATCTGCTAATCAGTACAGGCACTCGCTCGAGGCTTTACAACTCTACGGGCTTCTTTTTCCTGGCGTGGGCTACTCATTACTTCCCCTTCTTCCTCATGGGTCGTCAACTCTTCTTGCATCATTACCTTCCAGCACATGTAGCCTCCTGCTTGGTAACTGGCGCCCTGGTCGAGTTCATCTTCAACACCGAGCCCGTGGACGAGGAGACCGTCTACGGAAAGGGCAGTGGGCCCAAGAAGCATGTCACTGCCCGTGAGCGATACGGCGGCCAGAGCATGAAGAGTGCCTGGGCGGCTGCCCTGGTGATTCTGGCGGTTGCCATTGCGGGATGGTACTTTTTCCTTCCATTGACCTACGGCTACCCCGGCTTGTCCGTCGACCAGGTGAAGATGAGGAAATGGCTCGGCTACGATCTCCACTTTGCGAAATAAATGGAGTCACAATCGACGACAATGTATGATATGGGTGGCAGTGGGGGTCAAAGAAAAGTTTAGCAAGGTTAACTATGTCTTGGAGTCACATCAGGGCTATGGAATGTCGAGAGATCTCATTACAAGTAGCGAGGGGCGGCTTATAGCAGATAGGCGCGAGTAATGATATCTTGTAATTTATGATAATGTCTACAATGCTGTCTCCAAGAGGTCCTTTACGGTGCGTTCTCCATTCATGCCTGCTGATGGCGCAAAGGACAGGGTCTAAGGGACAGAAACGGGGTCAATACCATCCGTCTCCTCTCCTCAGTACCATCCGTCTACTCTTCTCATCTCGGTCGACCTATGACTGGACATCAGGGTCGATACTAGCTGCTTCATCTGTTGGCTCGGCACCAGGTCCATCTTGCGCCGCACCAGCAGGAGACCTACCTTGTTCACATGCTCGGGTGGCCCACTTTCTGTCCGCGAGCAACTGTGCATGCACAGAGTTAAGATTCATGGGAGCCCTCTTCGGCATCAACGCCTTTTCCGGCTCATGTGCATCATCAGCGTCGACGACGTTGCGGAGTGTAGACTGGGGACGTGCCCGACGCTTGGCCACATACTGGTTCCAATGCGCCATTTGACTATCTTTAAAGTCGGGCTTGCACTCGATGACACGACGAAGCATGATCTCAGATCCGCGGATCCGCTCGCCCTGAATGAAGCTAGAGCGAAGCGCATTCAGTCCGTCGTGAGGATTGTCATCTCGGACAAGGTTCCTGAGCATCGGGCTCTCCCAGTATATCTCGTCAATGTGCTCGGCCAACATCTCGTTGTGCACACGGTTTCTAGGGCTTCGGACACGCGTCTCACGACCAAGGTAGCCCTTGTGGAAGGGGTCCAGGTTCCTGGCGGGCAGGGTCTGGCTGTACATGTGCTTGACAAGCATCCATGACTTGAGCAGAACGGCCTCTACGTGACGCGGCTCGCAGTCGGGGGTAAGACTGAGGCCCTTGCGGATCACCTCGAGACATTCCTGGCCGAGCTCCGAGTAGGGCGCGTATGGCGGCCCGGGCTCTGGGTCAGCAGCCCCCGTGAATTCATCGTCTGAGGGTGGTGAGACGGCGCCTTTTTCGTCTTCGCCCCGGTCTCTATCGCCCCAGTCTTCCTCGTACCAGTCTGGAAGGCGTGGGGTGTCGGCTCTGAGTGATTCATGGCCTGAGAAGGCCTGTCGACGGGGGCGTCGTTTTTGCATGATCTGTTTGCGGTACTGACTGGCGAATTCATCCAGGGATCCCGTTTCTGACTCGGGACACGCGTGTTCGTCATTATCGTCATCTCCATAGTCTTCGTCATCGAATACAGTGGAACGCCTGCGCGTGTCGTGCTGCTGATCGCCATCGGAGTATTCGATGGCCTTGCCTTTTCCCTTACCGTCGTTTGTGTGCGTAGATTGATCATCCTCGTCAAAGTAGGGGATCGAACCCCAGTCATCATCGACGTGTGTGTTGAGCTTGGGAGCTGCAGGGCGAGCAGTCGACTTACCTTTGGATGTCAAGTCTTCATCTTCATCGTCAATGCCAGTGTTGATGTCCCAGCCTTCATCGACATCGGTGTAGAAATTCAGGGAGCTAGCTTGGGGGATACTATCCGCAAAGCGCAAGTCTCTGCTCCGTTGCAGGAACTCCTGCCCTGTCTTAAAGTCGATGCCAAGACCTATGTTGAAGAGGTTCCTATCGCCGCCTTGATACTCTGCGTTGAACGGATGGCGGCGTGGGCTGTCGAAGGATCTGGACCGTGAAGGACCTGCCTCGGGGTTCTCTTCCACCGTCTGAGGCCGGCGGCTGATCTGTCGCGTAAGCTTTGGCACTGATGCGACAGGTCGATGCTCGACAGGCTGCTGGTCAGCCGGGCTTCTTGCTGAAGACGATGAGGCAGACTCGGACTTCCGAGCCATGCTCGTCTCTCGTCCGGCCATCCTGGAAGACGATGAGAGCTCTGCACTGGCAGGCTCTCTGACGGTGAGTGGTGTGGTGGAGCGATTCTTAAACATCCGGAGCCAGAGTGATGAATCGTTAGAAGAAGCCGACGTACTGGAGCGCCGGCAACGTGGGAGACTCATGGCGTTCCTGGGGGGAGACAAGTCCGTTGAGAGCTTGCTCAGTTGAGAATTCAGATGCGCAGTATCATGCTCACGGACATCTCTGCTGCGCCATAGTTCCCCACTCGCTCGACCTTCGTGCTCTTGGGGAGGCGACTCAGGCTGTTGGGGAGACGTGCTTGCACTGTCTGATGTACCGGAACCGGCCGATGGGGCCTTGCGCCTCTTGACCTTGAAGAGGTTCCAATACGGCATACCGACAGTGCGGCCGTATTATCGACACGAGAAGACGTACCTTGTCTGGAAGTGCTAAGAGATCAGCAGCTGCGGTATACGTTTTGTTGTAAAGTAATATCAGATTGTTTGTAGGATGGTGGAAGAAGGCAAGAAAAAAAGAAGACGTTGGGCCGTATAAATGTACATTTCTAATTCTATCGAATTTCTGACTGAGGCCTGGTATCATCTACCTCAGTGTTCTTGGGTGTTTATGGTGGTGTTGCCTGGAGTCGTTGCGAGTTCCCTACCCCTGAACAAAGGGGAGACCAGAACAAAGTACAACCATACTAGGCACGTCCCGTCCCGTCCCGATGCACGCACTAGTTCTGGAACAACGGAACTATTTTGTACGTATTGGTTCAATTCGTATCTAGTAGTCACTGACTCTAAGAGTTTTGGAGAGAATTGTTCTTCTCGACAGCGCTTGTTCCCTCATGCTGTTCTGGTACTCCTTCAGGCGGACACTGATTCTCAGTGAGAGCCCCGTCAAAGGTGAAAGGCTATTCCCTGGATAGCAAGGATGACTGCCTCCCCTAGACGTGATTTTTAAAGCAATGAGGCCCCGAGCGTGTATGGTACGAACACGAACAGGCCAAGAGCCCTCTCGTTGTTCCTCGTCGTTGGCGTAGTGGACTCGTTTCCGCCGCGTGTATCGCCCATGAATGGAGCGAAGTCTTGTAAAATCCACAATCCCACTGGCGGTCAGCTAGGCCTGAAGGTGGCAGGAAATCACGATCCTCTTGACCGATGGCCACAGACAGCCTGAGAGCCGTATGTATGGTGGGCCAGTTGCGGTGGGAAATACTTCCCCCATCGATGAGGTCCTCGCCGCATGAACGGAATGATCGTATGTCTGAGGACATGTATCTTTCTTTCGTTTCAATGATCACTCCAAGCTCCTCCGCGGTTTTGATCTCGCGTCCATGCTACCATCTGTGTCCTCCTCCACCTCGACAGTGTACGTGTACTGTGCCCGTATCCCCTTGACGCTCTCCTTCCGGAGCAGATCCCTCTTGTCAGAGTCCCCATCGTTCAGCCTCTCCCACTTCTCGCCGTGGGTGCGTCCCTTGACAGTCGTAAGACTGATGCCCACGTCCGTCGGGTTGTGGAAGGCGCTCCGCGTAGTCTTGGAGCCGCGGCCCTGCTGCTTCGAGGAAGCACCACCGCTGCCGCCGCCGCCGCCACCAAAGGTGATGATGTCGTCGGTGTTGGGTTGGTAGTTGTTCTCGGTGGGATCCGTGCCGTTGTTGCGCAGACGCCGGACGAAGCGGCGCACCGAGGGGAACGAGGAAGCGATGATACCGATGCTGCTTTCGATGATGGAGCAGAAGACAATCATGGCGCACCAGTCTGCGAAGCGTGTCAGCAACGAAGCTCCTTGTGAACGAGTCTCGAGGGGGGGAGGCAAGACTCACAGTGCCTGTCCTTGAGGCCGCCGTACTTCTGCACGTACGGGATGCGGACGACAGTGATGAGTGAGGCCAGCGAGGCAAAGGACATGAGACCCATGACCTGCAGCTTGGCCTGCATCTTCATCTGCGTCTTCCAGAGCAGCATGCCCGGGACGACGACGAGCGCCGCGTCCGTGACAATGGTGCACACGGTGGCAATGTACCCGAGCACGATGAAGATGACGGTGGGCGCGCACCATGCGTCGCCCTGGTCGACGAGGTACGGCCTCCAGTGGGCCTCAAAGGGGATACACTGGACCGCGGTGCCGACGAAGGCTGCGATGAAGGAGACGAGGGTGATGGCCAGGAGGATCCAGACGACGATGCGGAGCGAGCGCTTGGCCTCGGCGATGCGGCGCAGGGTGATGCAGATGGACGCCTTGATCAGGGTCATGGCGAGCGAGTAGGCGAGCAGCCAGACGGTGTGGATCTTCATCGACTCCTCGAAGCGCCATTGATTGAGATGCACGTCACGCGTGCCGATGCCTGTCAGTTGGCCTGCGATGCCTACACTGACGGAAGCGACGTGGGCAATCTGTGTTGGTGGTTGTCAGCCCAGATGTCATTTCGGCATGTAGTATATATATCTAGTTTGACTCGAACCAACCGTGCCATCCCTGGCCCGGTCTCCAGGTTCGCGGAGCCAAAGGGACTGGGAATAGAGACGTCCTTGATTCACAAAGGGAGAGCGAGGGGCCGAAGAAGCACTCACAGTACCGGCAACCATGAGGCCATCATCCCAGCCAAAGACGCGGTCTTGCCAGCGGACATGGCTCCGTATGCCCGCAAAGAGGAGCGAGAAGAAGAGGAAGATGCTCGAGGTCGTGATGATGCCGAGCGGGAGGCCAACGGGCGTGATGATACCAAGACGAGGGTCGAGGTCGTCGTTCCACGTGCCGCTCATGATGGAGCACGTTGGCGAGAGTGTAAAAGGAGGAGGAGGGGGAGAAGAAGGGGAGGAAGAATCACCACTTCAGCAAGCGAGCCATGAGAGAAGAGGGATCTTGGATAGTAATTAGAGTTGTCAGGACAGACTCCTGCATCGACTATTACTTATTCCCGCTTCCCCGAATCCATCCCGCGTGAAGGCGTCGGATCCTTGCGATGGGCATGGCTGGCTGTCGACGACAAGGGGCTGCCCAGCTGGCACATTGTGGACCGCGGCCGCCAGGGTCAAAATTTGAACGGTACGTAGCAGGGGGCCGATTGATTGCATGCATGCAGGTGGCCATCGCCCCCCGTGTGCCGTCGTCCCCAGGGGGCGCCTCCGTGTCTTCATGTTGCCGGGGCTCTGGGCACATGTACGATGGTTCGTTGTCGAGCCAGCCTTGTTCTCGTTGTCGGAGAGCATAGGTATTAGAGGCATGTTGACCACAGGTTGACACTCCCGCCGCCGCTTCCGTTGCTAGTCTACAGTAGTGACCCCAACGCCAGTCTAATTAGTGAGTCTGTGGCTTCGGGGACGGCTTGGACGGCGGCGGATACCTCCCGAGTAGCGGCCCACACGCACCAAGGCCCTAGACTGGATCATTCCTCGAGGCTTGGCCGACCGTTTGGATCGCTACCCTTGTCGTCGCTGTCGGCATCCAGAGTTCCAGACCAGAGGCAGAGAGCAGAACCGCCGATTGAAGGTTCGGGAAGGGCACGAGCCGGTTCGCCAGCCTGCAGGAGGATAGTATCATGAGACAAAAACGGGGTACATTGCGGCCTGATCGTCGAGGGCGCGTCCTGATTGATTCTAGTACTAGTTATGTACGGGCAGCAGCACCAGCGCCCTTCCTCGCGGACAATGCGCCGCCTACTTTACTCAACGAGCACCTTGACGCCGCGGCTCCCGCTCTTCGCCATGGGTACAAACATGTCGTGGTCGTACGCGATATCCTCCTGTGTCGTATCGACGAGTCGCATGTGCGGCATCACCCGCAATACCAGAGCCGCGAGGGCCAGGTGCAGCTCGCAAAGGGCCAGGCTGTTCCAGCTCTGTTAGTACCAATTCAATTTACCAACAATGACAGTGTGTCGTGAATACTTGGGGGATACTCACTTCTTGCCCAGACACGCGCGGCTGCCCTTGGAAAAGGCCATCATGCCATGCGCAACGTCCTTTCGGAACTCGTTCTTCTCGTCCAGCCAACGCTCGGGGATGTACGAGTACGAATCGGGAAAGATGCTCTCGTCGTGGTGCGTGATCGCGGCAGACATGCCGATGGCATAGCCCCGGGGAAGGACCAGCTCCATGGGCTTCTTGTTCCACTCACCGCGGTAGACGAGGTCCTCCTCCGTCGGGGTCCGCGCCGAGCGGCTCGACACACCGTACGACAACCGCAGCCCCTCCTGGATGACCGCGCCCAGGTACGGCAGCTTCTCGAGGACGGTCCACGCGGGCAGGTGACGGGGGTCGTCCACCACGGTCAACAGCTCGGCGCGCAGCTTGTCCATGATGGCAGGCTGCGAGAGGAGGTGGAACGTGATCACAGCCAACGCCCAGCTCGTCGTCTCGGTGCCGGCACCCACCACAGCGACAGCCTCGTCCGCCAGGCGCTCGGGATTCTTCTCGCTCTCGTCAAGTTCCGACTGCAGGAGGTCCCCAAAGACCGTCGGGCGGTCGTAGCTGATGCCGGCGTCCAGGTCGTGCTTGGTCTTGTACACGCGCGAGGGTATGTCGATCTGCAGGGTGCGGATGAGCAGAGCGGCGTCCGGGGGCAGGTATGGCACGAGATGCTTGCCCATCCGGGAGGTGGCGATGAGAAAGGGGAAGAAGCGGAAGATGAAGACGGGCTTGAGGACGGCCAGCGTCGCCTCGCGAAAATTGGGCGTCCACGCGTCGCGCGAGAGCAGACCGAGGGGCTCGCCAAAGCTGTAGCTGAAGATGGCATCCGAGGTGAAGCAGCTGTAGGCGTGCGCAATGTCAAACGGCTCCTTCTTCTTGCCTTCGCCCTCGGTGGCCTTGGACCCTTCAGCGAGCAGCTTATCGCAGAGCTTCTGGACCAGATCGTGGAGATCGCCCTCGAGGCGTGCGATCATGGCACGCGAGAAGAACCTGGCCACGGGCACGCGGCGCGAGCGGTGCAGGTCGTGGTCCGGCGTGCCAAAGCCATTGGTGGTGCCGACAGCAGAGCCGTTGATCTGGTGGATTGGCTTGTCGCGCTTGCGGCCGCCAATGGCATAGATCTCGTCGGCAAAGGCCATGTCGGCACAATGCGTCTCATGGGGGTTGATGCGCACAATGGGGCCTTGGTAGGTAATACAAGTCAGCCTATTGGGCCACATGCCACGAGGTGAGTGAGTGATGATGACTGCATAGACCTACCATACTCGTCGTGCATCTTCTTGATCTCATGAGTGAACCGGCCAGTCAGGATCACATCATGGTAGAATTCCGGCCAGTACGTGGCCGCCGTGAGCTTGGGGCCAGGCACCTTGCTCAGGGGATGAAGGGGCGAGATGTTGTACAGCGCCTGGAGGATCTTGAAGACGATCCATCCGGCGCAGGAGAGGAGGAGGACACGGCCCAGACTGAGATACGGCGCAACGGCCTCGTACGGTGACTGCGCCATGGCAGCAACAAGCAGTCAAGAGTCTCGCGATGTGATAATCTCGAGCCAGAAGGAGTGGAAGTGGAATCACAAAACGCCTTTTCTAATTATTTTTCGTGCCCCTCATCAATCATCGTGTCTGTTGGACTCGGCTCCAGCTGGCTCAGGTCCTTGCTCGAGTCTGCAATGTCTGCATGGAGACTCCACGCATGTCGACGATTGGAGCTACTAATAATCAAGTTAGCGGTGGATGAAGATGCAATGCAGGCAGGGGCTTGCTCGGCTACAGGTGGCCAGGGCCCAGGGCTCCATGAGTCCAGTCTCCAGGACTCCAGCTCCAGTGCAGGACTGCAGGCAGACATCGGCAGATAGCTACGCGAGGCCCCTGAGAGTGAGGTTTTTCGTACCAAGCAAGGATACCCAGAGGTTTGATGGAAACTACCCACCTGGGTGAGTGCTTGCGTGATTGCGTCTGCCTCGGTTCCTGTGCAAGGACTCCTGGGCCTTTGCACGATAATAACTTTAAAGTCGATGACTTGCCTGCGAACGCAACCTTCGGTATTTTAGAGTGAGGGTCCCCGGCCAATGCCACGCGTTGGATACCTTGGTGGGCAGGCCCTGGCGCCATGATACGCCTGATAGCCAGGGTTCCATTTTCTTCTGACCAGGAGCGGGGGTTGGCGCGCGCTGGCTGCGTGGAGAGGAAACCCGTTGCCCACTAATAAACATGGAGGTGCCACCTTGATTTCTCGAGCGCGTTTCAGTTTCGCGCGATGAAATGGGGTTGGGCCGTTATCATCAATTAAGCGATGGACCGAGCAGGGACTTTTCTTTGACTTGAGCGCGCACGTGTCAGAGCCTCAGAGGGCCGTTTCGCTCAGCCTCCAGCCACAGGTGGCTTGCCATGTTCTTCAGCCCAAGGTTTGGCGGCACCTGGGCAACATTCGCATGCCAAGGCACTGGACGAAGAGGGCATTGGTCATAACCTATGCTTCACCTACAAACAAACACCATGTTTCTCCCTTTCAAGTGTCCGGCCGTCGCCAGTCCAGACTCCAAGGTGGGAGGCCTTGAAGCAGTGCATGAGAGAATTGGCCGCCGTCGTTCCCTCGTCGCCTGGCCAATCCTGCCTACCCTACGCTGCTCGCCTCGATGCCCCCGCCCCCTGCACCAACGTCACTGAGCCGAGCTTCAATTGAGTCGGGCCGTTCCTGGCAGAAGGCATACTTGTCCTCGCGGCGGAACAGTGCCAGCATCTTCCCTTGCTCGTTCGACAATCCCAGCGCCATACCGAGTCCGATCGCGCGACAACACAACACCTGTACAGAGGCTTCCCCAAGCCCACAGAGCCCACAATGGCGCCCTTCCCCATCGCGCGTACCACGCTCGACTACCCCATCTGCGCCCTCGACTTCGATCCCCAGGATGCCAATCGCATCATAGTCGGTGGTGGCGGCGGACCGCGCAAAGACGTGCCCAACAAACTTGTACGTACCCTGACCGTCCTCGACCCGTTTGCGCCGGGAGCAGGAACTAACACGTCTCCCCCATCAGACAGTCCTAGAGACCACCAGCCAGGACGAGATCCAGATATCCGGCGAACTCAAGCTCGACCGCGAAGAAGATAATGTCGCTTCGCTCGCCGTCGGCCCGCGCAAGGGCAAATCCACCTGCGTCTACGCAAACGTCAACTCGAGCCCCAAGGCCATCGCCGAGGGCAAGAACCAGCACCTGCGTGCCTTTTCTGTCGAGCAGGCCAAGGCGCGTGTGTCGGCGGGGAACAAGGCGGCTGCCGTGGCCGTGACGGAAGCCTCGCGGACGCCCATGCTCGGCGACACCGACTCGGGCACGTATCAGCCGTCACTGCGCGTGGCAGGTGGCCTTGGTGTGACGGCGTCGGCGCTTGGCAAGCTCAACGAGCTGGCCGTCTTTGACGCGGCCGGCTTGAACCCCAAGCTCAAGGCGCTCCTGGAGCTGCCGACCCAGGCGGAGGATTTGGACATTATACAGATCAGCGACACGCAGTACAAGGTGGCCTTTTGCTACCGGCATCAGCTCCACGTCGTCAATGTCGGCAAGGAGAATGGCGACCCCGAGCTGGCCTACCAGATGCACGAGGAGAACGGTGTCCTGCCCGAGTTCCGTTTCCTACGCTTCCTGACGCCCGACTTTGTCCTCGCCGTCTCGAACCTGCCCAAGGCCGGCGGCATCGTGCTGCAGGGCCTTCGTCTCCCCGGACCCGGGGAAGAGTCGGCACGCCTCGCCGTCTCGGCCAAGATCTCGAGAAAGGTCACGACGCTCTCCATGGCCGTCACCAACCTCAGTCCGCCCCCTTCGCCCGACACCGCCGTCTCGGAGACGCAGTTTGTCATCGCCGTCACCGGCAGCGACTCGTCCATCTCCCTCTTCACCGTCGACCTCATCAGCGAGGGGAACCTCAAGCTGCTGCGCCAGCTGCTGCCCTTTTACACGATACAGAACGCGCACAACGGCGGCCAGGTCACCCGCCTCGCCTTCTCCACCTTTGTCACGCCCAAGACACACCTAAGGCCGCAGTTTATCAAACTCGCCAGCACGTCTGTCCAGTTCAAGGTGGAGGTCTACAGCATCCCTCTGAAACGCTACATTGACACGGTGAAACGTAACAAGAACGGCCCGCCGCGTGCCACGCGGTACGTCGTTGACATGAAGCCGCAGCACCCGAGCCCCAAGCCCCTCATCATCACTCTTACACTAATGGTTCTGGCCATGGCTGTTGTCTGGCAAGGCTTCATGGAGATGTACGGAAACGCGAAGCCGATTCTGCACATTCATAAGGTCCTGCCTTCGTGGCACGGGACGCTTCGATCGCCGGAGCACCAGCCCCCCGTGCTGATGCAGGAGGACCAGTCAGTGCTCATGGAGACGGGTGATTCTCTTGTATATGATGGGACAAAGGAGTCTTCGGTTATTTCGGAGGATATCGTGGTCGAGGAAGCTGTTCTCGTTGGCGAGCCCGAGGCTGAGCAGAGAGCTAAAGAGGAGTTGTAAGCCTCTTCTGTATGTACGTGTTATGATGCCAACGAAACGAGCGCATGAGGAGAAAAAACGAATCGACATGTGTACGAGACGAATCTAGTTATGCTGTGGATGCGCGGGCGTCATGTGTACTTCTTCGTCAAGATGGATTTGATTTGTAAACCTCTCAGAAAAGTTAGCAGAACCAGGGGTGTCGTGGCAATTTCTGGTATTCAAGTCCTGATGCTAGGCACAACCATCGACAAATTTACAGCAGTCTACTATAGATAGCAGCCTCTCGGCCACCAAAGACAGTCCTAGCACAAGTCCAGTCCTATTGACCTCTACAAAGATAATGGCGTACGACGCTAAAGTACATACTTGCTCAACAGGTCTCTAAATAACTCCCACTTGCGACACTTGCATCAGCTGCTGCTCGACACCACGGCGTGGACGGCCTTTGCAAAGTAATCAATGTTCTTTGTGTTCAGACCCGCCATGCTGATACGACCGTTCTTGGTCATGTAGATGTGCGACTCTTTGCGCAAGCGCATCACCTGCTCCTCGGTCAACCCAGTGAAGCTGAACATGCCGATCTGGTCCGTGATGTGGTTCCAGGTGCCTGGTGTGCCGAGCTCCTCGAGTTTGGCCCTCAGAGAATTGCGCATGTCCTTGATGCGGCCAGACATGGTGGTCAGATTGTCCTCCCATTCAGCAAACAGCTTGGCGTCATTCAAGACAAGGCTGACGATGCGCGCACCGTACAGAGGTGGGTTGGAGATCTCAGAGCGCTGGAGGATAGCGAGTTGAGAGGCTATGCGGCTGATGGTGGTCTGAGCATCTGGCCCGGGAGCAGTGACAGCGTGGAAACAACCAGCACGCTCGCCATAGAGACCAAAGTTCTTGGCAAAGCTCTGAGCGATCAAGAGCTCGAAACCTTGTTCAATGAAATAGCGAACAGACGCCGCATCGCGGGCCAGGTTGCCCGAGGCGAAGCCCTGGTACGCCGAATCGAAGAAGGGGAAGTGGTTCTTGGAACGGATCACCTCGGCGAGCTCTTTCCACTGGTCAAGGGTCGGGTCGACGCCGGTGGGGTTATGGGCACACGGGTGAAGCAGAATGATTGATCTCTCGGGTGCATCTTTGATGGCATTCTTCATGCCCTCAAAGTCGAGGCCCTTGGTCTTCTTGTCAAAGTAAGGGTACTGTTTCGTGGGAATGCCGACGTTGCTGAAGATCTGGTGGTGATTCGCCCAGGTAGGGTTCGAGACGTAGACAGTACGGTTACCCTTGAAGAACTTGGCGAGGAAGAGAGCGCCCAGGTGGACGGCGCCTGTGCCAGAGATGGTCTGGATAGACGCAGAGCGCTTCTCCTTGAGAGCGGGCGAATCGGCACCAAGCATGAGCTCGGCGGCCTTGGACGTGAAGCTCTGGATACCAGCAATCGGCGCATACTCGTGATTCAGGTCGGGGTCGTTTCGGAGAATCTCATCCGCCTATGATACTTGTCAGCATGGACATGTCGCGAGACCGGTCGTAGTTCGGGGAGTTCGGTGGGGCAGGGGTCTCTAAGCGAGGGAGAGGTCATGATCGCGTGATGGGACTCTCAGCGACAGATAGGGAGAGATAGCCGTACCTTCTTGACGACTGGCAGTATCCAGGGTTTTGCGTTGTCGTCGCGATAGGCGCCGATACCCTACGAGCTCACAGTTAGAAATGATCCGTCTCGCATTGAGGACAAACAAGGTCGAATGTCAGGGAGTGACTTACCAAGTCCACCTTGTCTGGACTTTCATCCGCCCGAAAAGCGGCCATCAGACCAAAGAGAGGGTCCTCAGGCGCTTGGGGGACAACGTCCGATGGGAAATTGGTTGTGGAAGCCATCTTGGGCGCAATGTGACTGGCAATGTTGTTCAGACGGGAGATGGGAGAAGAACCAGCGGCAGCAGAGTCTGAAGTACTCGAAGCACCTTGACTCGAAGGTGGGGAGCTGACGGGCATCTTTGCGACTGCCCTCGTTGCGGTTGCGCTGGGCGGCGAGGAAGAATGTGGGGTGATTGTCTGGCGCGGCCTTGGGGTAACTGAGTCTACCAGTGGCAGTAGCCTCCAGTCAGTACTCCGTAGGTACCTTATTTAGTGAGTTCGGAGCTGGGCCGGACACGGGTCCGTTCGTTGAAGCGATGACCAAACTGATGGGTTCGGCCAGGTCAATCCGCGCGCAGCGATTGGGGCTGTTAAACTTGTGATGCAGCTAGCACAGCCCAGCTTTGTGCCTGAAATGCGCTCCCTTCCAAGGATCCGTCGCCAAGGTTCACGTAATGGATAAGGATGCAGCTGCACGTCGACGGCTCTGGTGACTGTCTGACTTTTTCCTCTGGGGGGGCAATCGGTCCAGTCCCTGTGAGGAACGCTGTGCCAGGACGCGTGATAACAGGCTCTGTCTCAGGCTTCAATCCGAGTAGGGCGAGGCGAACAAATGCTGCTTGTGAGGGATCAATCGTGTAGTTTGTGGATGAGGAGGATAGTCGGCCGCTGGGATACCTAAAAAAATATCGAAGGCCAGCCTCGTCTTGGTGTTCGAGGTATACTTGTACTCGTTACGTCTCGCTGCCGACCGGAATCCGGTCGCTTTATTATACCCCAGACCAGCTTGGTGGAGCCGAGGCCTTCGGTTCACCCGGTACAAATCATTCACCACGCGGAGACGCACCGAGCACCTAGAAACCATGACACGTGTGGCCTTTTGGTCGCATCAGTCTTGCTCCTACGAGATGGCTCTTCCTGACTTTCATTGACCAGATGATTCTCAAGTGTCAGTCACATGAATGCCGCATTGCAAGTCACCACAGCCGCGCACGTTGCAGGCTATGGCGTCATATGCTCCAATCACCAAGAACCAATTTCACATGCTCAGAATGTCCTCTATTTGACCTCTAGAATATCAAATCCCACAATACCAAGAAAGCACATAGGCCACTGGTAGCATAGAAAGTCATTCGCGCTGTGCTTGGGCGTTGTGTTGCTTTCTTCAGCTGCTTGTTGCCGCCCTCGACGTTCTCGGTTGTTGAGAATGAATCGGCCACCAGATGATCGATCTGCTCCGTTTGGGTCGCCAAATGGCTGATGAGCGTCGACTGGAGGTCGCTGATCTCAGCTAAGGATTTCTGGGCGGTTCTGCAAGGTCAGCATGGGGGAGTTGACCTGTGACATGGTCCATCGACTTACTGGACAGACTTGTGCATGCTGTCAAAGAACTTCATCATGTCCTGGTTGCCTTCTTCGAACATCTGCACCTGCTCAGCGCTCAGTCCCTGGCCCTCGCTTGTCGATTGGTCTCGGCTCGGATCATGGCTCTCTGTCGCGTTCTTCGAGGGTCTGAACTCGGAGAAGTCCGTCATGTTGGGTGCTTGCGAGGCTAAGCTGCGGCTGGCTTCCACCTCCCTGATGAGCCTTGTTTCCATCATCTGTTTTTGGGTGGCGCCGCAAAGCTGCAATCGCTGTCGTAGGTACCAGAGAACACCATCCCGATGCAATCTGACGTCCTCCGCCCGCGCCTCTGCTAAAGACTGCTCCTGCGTCTTGCCGCTCACGGCACCACCCGAGGCCCAGGCCCCGAGGGCACCCAGTCCACTGCCGTATTGCTTTTGTATTGCTTTCATTTCGGTCTCGTAACGTATCTTTTCAGCGCTGTCGAGGGTATCGATGCTCCAATTGAGCTCACGAAGCATCTCCTTGGCATCCTTGTCCACCGCTTCTCTCTCCTTGTCTGAAAGCACCGCTGGCTGTCCATCTGCTGCGCTGCTATGGCCTTTGCGCGGCTGCGCTCGTGCGAGGTATGCTCTTCGACCGCTCAGCAGACTTCGATGGAGCTCTGCAATATGTGTGTTCTATGATCCGTGAGCGGAATGTCAAAGAGGCCTTCCGATATGGCTCACAATGCGGAGAGCTTCCTTTAGGAAACCATCAATGTTCTCCAGCGTAACTTCAGTCCTCACGGGAGGGGCATGCTGCTTGCGCAAAAGCTCGTTGAGGTCGGGTGTTCGGTCCATGGCGACAGAAAGGGGCTTGGCTCGTAAATTCTGCTCTAGCTGGGCATAGGAAGCCCGCGATGAGAGCGCAGATTGGAACGATTCGCTGAATCGGTCATGCGGAATCCCCACGGAGTCGCGAGGTGGCATCTCCCCACGGAAGCTTATGGACAGCGTCACCAGCTAATAGCTGCCAGCACCCATAGGTGGTGGGGGCACTGAGTCAGCGACTAATGGGCTACCCTGTAGACCTGAATCGCCTATCGTTAACAAAGGCCGGTCGACTTACATCTGTCGCGAAATTTGAAAATAGTCAAATACGTAATATTACGTACTGGTACTTGATGGCCGTTTGACAATGTCTCCAGCCTGCAGTATTGTGCCGGAGCAAAGCACTACTGTGACTTTCTGTGCTTGAGGTTGCGATGTGCATTGTGTGTGGTAAGCCACTCCCGAATTCGCCATATTTACATCTCGCCCCTTTTTGGCAACATATGAACCTCCAAAGGCAGTGAATGTGCTCCTCACGAGGGCTTTGGCGCTTTGCAGACTCTTTTTGCTTGTGCACGTCGCATCACATCTGCTTTTCTCGCTATCATGTAACGGCGCCGTTATCGGCCAGCGTGTGTTGGTCCCCACAGTGAGAGGCGCCATGTTGCGCTGACAAGCAGACCACCAGGCTATACGATCAGATCAATCGTCTGCAGTGAAAGGTAGAAGTTTCTATTGCTTCTATAGACACAGGTTAATGATGGCTCGCAGCACGATTGTGCAGCCTCGAGCTGCAGTACCAAGGTACATGTAGTTGTTCCAGTACTACGTCGACACGAAGCATCTCATGTGCCTCGTCACCGCCGTTCGGGAATAAGAGTCGGAAGTACTCCGTGGCGGCAATAAGAGTCGCCATCTGACAAGTAGCCGAATATCCATGATCAGGTTCAATTTTAAAGGATCTGATCGACGGAAACTTGACTTGATCACTAATTAATACTGGTGTCCTTCATATCTCATGGCGACTCAGTCAAAGGTTTGTAGACGCCACCCACCATGGCCGATATTGAGCGACAGTCCTACGACCAAACGGAGTCTCTCTCACGAGTCGATACTGAGGAGACATCCGATCACGATGAACCCATAAACACTCGACCAAGCGCCCTTGAGCGCTTCTCGTCTGTCGTAGGGGACTCGACGATGCCTGATCCCCAGGCTGAAGAAGACCACATGTCCAGGGTGTCCAGCGGGCCAGCCTACAGCGCCTTTTCGCCGGCTATGAAGACATGGATCACGGTCATGCTCTCAGTAGGGAGCTTCATCTCGCCCATGACCGCGAACATCTACTTCCCAGCTCTCAACCCGATTGCAGAAGATCTGGGGGTGTCACTTAGTCTGGTCAACTTGACTCTGACGACATACATGATCTTCCAGGGTTTGGCACCAACGTTGTTTGGTGATTTCGGTGATATGGCTGGGCGACGACCAGCGTACATTGTCGCTTTCACCATTTATTTGTTTGCCAACATTGGACTTGCGCTGCAGAGGAACTATGCGGCCTTGATGGTGCTCCGGTGCGTCCAGAGCTTCGGATCCAGTGGCACTATCGCCTTGGGCTTCGCCATGGTCGCTGATATTGCGGCCCCCTCCGAAAGGGGGCGATACATTGGCTACCTGGGCGCAGGTATCAATGTCGGGCCTGCCATTGGACCTTTTCTCGGAGGCATTCTGAGCCAGTATCTTGGCTGGCCATCGTTGTTCTGGTTCCTGGCGATTGTCGTCACAGTCTGGCTGGTTCCTTGGATCCTGACTGTTCCTGAGACGTGTCGCAACGTTGTTGGAAATGGCAGCACCCCGGCGCAGTCGTGGAATCTGCCGGTGATACAGTACTGTGGAAAGCGCAAGAGCAGTCAAGAGCACGCCGAGACTCGAAAGCTGCGCTTCCCCAACCCGATACGCACACTCGCTGTCGTCTTCGAAAAGGAGATGGGACTGATCCTTATCCTCAATTCCCTGCTGTACGTTGGCTTCATCCTGACGGCTGCAACTCTGGGCACGCAATTCAAGGAGATCTATGGTTACAATGACTTGCAAGTTGGGTTGTGTTACCTTCCGTATGGTGGTGGGTCGATGATGGCAGTTATTGCGCAGGGATACATACTTGATTGGAACTATCGCCGTATTGCGAAGAAAGCCGGGATCACCATCAGTCGCCGGCGAGGCGACGACCTACGCGACTTTCCCATCGAAACCGCACGTTTACAGCCCATCTATCCAGCCATGTTGCTAGGAGCGGGCGCACTAGTTGGGTATGGCTGGGCACTGCAGGTCGAGACGAGTGTTGCAGCACCGCTGGTCCTTTCGTTCCTGATTGGCGTGCTCGTACCGACGTCATTTCAGACGTTGAACACTCTCATTGTTGACATCTTCCCTAAAGCTCCCGCCACAGCGACCGCGGCTAACAACCTTGTCCGCTGTTTGGTGGGAGCTGCAGGCGCGGCAGTCATTGAGCTGGTGATCAAAGGTATTGGACGGGGGTGGACCTTTACTATCATGGCGTGTCTGGTTTTAATTTGCATACCGGGTCTGCTCTTTGTTGAAAAGCATGGGCCCAAATGGCGCAAACAGAAGCTCGCGAAGATGGAGGCGCCGGCATCATCGCCACGAGAAAAGTAGACAGTCTGTCTGAAAGCATCTTTACTTTATTGCATCTGCTCATCTATAATGCTGGCACCGCATTGTCGAGTGACTGTCGCTGGGCCTCCCACATCAACCAGTCTGACCTCGTGGTTCTGATTCAGTTAGCATCGTACATAAAACAGTAGCCGCACGTTGACTTACGGTAGCAGCCCCATCTGGTTGACCTTCCAAATTCCCACAGCCAATGCCACTAGCTGACAAACTACATAGACGAGCTTGACTTGCAGCAGGCGTCCCGAGACTGACGGCGACTCGAAGCGCTCAAATGCCTGTTGGGTATTGACGATGCCCATCAAAGGATTCTTGAAAGCCATGACCACCATCATGATACTGAAGATCTGCAGCGAGCTGCCGGACATGTACATCATGATGGCCGTCATAGGCAAGCTCTTGACTGGTGCAAGCGCAACCTCCCAGGCCTTCTTCAGCTTCAGCGTGTCCATCTCTTCGGGCGTTTTCGCTTGTCGCGGCTGCACTTTCGCATCTTTGCCAGACTTCTATTTCTCGTTAGCGACGGTCCCCAGACACCTTGTCCTGCAGCTGCGGCGCACCTTGTTGCTAACGACGCTGCTGTGGAAGCCTGGAGGGTCGGGAATGGCCGAACTTTTCGATTTAGCGGCGGGCGGGGACTCGAGCTGCAGCGCCCAGGAAGCAGCCTGTTGGTTGACCATGTTGTCGAGCTCGTAAGTGAAGTAGCACCGTGATAATTATCGTCAGTGGCGGGCGGTTGCGCGGATGAAAGGCGAGCAATTCGTTGGCGGCGGGTGAGAGTCGACGTTGGATGGGTGACCCACATCACCTCCAGCCTGAGCCTAGCCTGTCGTATCGATAATGGGAGTTCCGCTGGCGCCGCAGCCGAGTAAGGTACCACCTGGTAAGGAGGGTCCTTCCCCCTTTCGCGGCAACAACACAATCACGACAGACCTCACCAACGACTTATAGAGTGTCGACTAAGCACCTGGCGATACTGTGTGCGGCCCTAGCCCCCGGCGCTCGATTCAACCGCGGTCTCGGCACACATGTGACGTTTTCCTGTCCGCCTCCACGAACAGCTCTGTCGCGATAGAGCAGAGTCTCACCCAATTGGCTGGCCGCGGCTTGGACCAAGACGACGCTCTGAAGAAGGTGGTGAGGGGTTGCAAGTGAATGCGTCTTGCATCCCGTGACGGAAACCAGCGAGGAACCATATCTGTTGGTAGGGGCTCTACAAATACGGCAATATGTCGAGCTCCGCTGGAGGAGGAGACTCCAAATTGTTCGCACGAGTAAGCAACGCCCATTGTCTTTCTTGTAGCACGAGAAACGCCGTGTCAATCCCCGTCAGCTGTTCCTGACTGGCGTCCTGCTATCGTTTATGTGACCTTTCCACCGCATCTGCCAAGCTTGGCAGCGCTGTGGCAGCTAAACACCATGTTCTTCGCATATGTACCGCCGCCTCACTTCGAGCCCAGACTAAAGACGAGACAGGGTAAAGTCGCCGAACTGCGCCTCGAGCTGAACAGTGGAGGCAAGAAGGACAAGAATTATGCCGGCAAGAAGATTGCGCTGAAGAAGATCGTGGCCAACATGACCATGAGTAACAATGACATGGTAGCCTTGTTCCCCGATATCATCGGCTGCATGCACCTACAGAGCCTGGAAATAAAGAAGATGTGAGTTGCCCTGGTCTGCGCACTGCTGCCGGTTGCTGATCTCCGCAGGTGCTTCCTCTATCTGGTCAATTACGCACGGTCAAGGCCAGAGATGGCTGTGAAAGCGATCCCTCTCCTGGAGCAGGACCTCGAAGACCACAATCCGCTTGTACGCGCGCTTACGCTTCGAACCATCTCATACATACACGTACGCGAATTCGTCGAGGCCACCGTGCCACTTGTCAAAAAATCGTTACGAGACTCGGATCCATATGTACGGAAGACGGCTGCCTTTTGTGTTGCGAAGCTGTACGATCACGACAGGCATATGGTCGAGCAGTCGGACTTGATTGAGAGGCTGAACTCGTTACTGCGCGATGACAATCCTACTGTTGTCGCGAGTGCTCTGGCTGGTCTGATGGACATATGGGAGCGCAGTGATGCGATCAAATTGACGATTGACTACAAGAATGCCTCCAAGATGGTGGCCATCCTGGCTGATTGCTCAGAGTGAGTTACGGCAAGGGTAGATTGCGCAACCTGGCTAACTTGTGAAGATGGGGACAGACTTACATATTGGAGGCTCTCATGTCTTACGTCCCTCAAGATTCGGGCGAGGCACTGTTACTTGCTGAGCGCATCTCGCCGAGGCTGTCGCATTCGAACTCTTCGGTGGTGTTGACCTGCATCAGGGTCATTCTATACCTCATGAACTACATCGCCGACGAGAAGCAGAACACTGCCCTTTGCAAAAAGCTTTCGCCGCCTTTGGTTACTTTGCTTGCGAAAGGACCCGAGGTCCAGTACCTGGCTTTGAGGAACGCGCTGCTCATCTTGCAACGACGACCCGATGTGCTTAGGAACGACATTCGTGTCTTCTTCTGCAAGTACAACGACCCTATCTACGTCAAGGTAACGAAACTGGAGCTCATCTTCATGCTCGCCAATGAGAAAAACATTGACGAGGTGTTGACTGAGCTCCGGGAGTACGCTACTGAAATCGACGTGCACTTTGTGCGCAAGGCCGTGCGCGCTATAGGGAAACTGGCGATTAAGATTGAGCCAGCAGCCCAGCGGTGCATCAACCTCCTTCTTGAGCTTGTGGCGACAAAGGTGACCTACATCGTACAAGAAGCTACCGTCGTCATCCGCAACATCTTCCGCAAATACCCCGACCAATATGAGTCCATCATCGGGACTCTGTGCGAGCACTTGGACTCGCTGGATGAGCCGGAAGCCAAAGCAGCGATGGTGTGGGTGATTGGCCAATACGCAGATCGCATCGAAAACAGCGACGCCTTGCTGGAGGACTTTTTGTACTCGTTCGCTGAAGAGCCGGTCGAGGTGCAATTAGCGTTGCTCACGGCTACAGTCAAGCTTTTCATCCAGAGGCCAACCAAGGGACAGGAGCTCGTACCAAAAGTGCTCAAGTGGGCTACCGAGGAGACTGACAACCCCGACCTGCGCGACCGTGCGTACATGTACTGGCGTTTGTTGTCGACGGACATGAACGCCGCAAAGCAAATCGTCATGGGTGAGAAACCTGCCATCACGGCGGAATCAGAACGGCTCGACCCGGCGACGCTGGAAGAGATGTGCCTCAACGTGGGGACCTTGGCGACCATTTACCTCAAGCCTGTGCAGACCGTGTTCCGTTCGGCACGGCCGCGCAGACTACAGGACTCCCCAGCACTGCAAAAGCACAACACCGTGGCCTTTGGAGAGACACAGAAGAGTATCAGCATGTTTGGACGAGGCGGTCAGCCCAACGATATCGATGTGCGGACCAGAACAGCAACATCGGCCAACGGTGGCCAGGGCAACATGGGTCAAGCGGTCAACGATGCTGACGCCTACTTCTCAGGCGTGGGCAATCAACAAATGGCTGCCATGCGGATAGACCAGGGGGACGACCTGTTCGGTGGCAACAGCGGTGGACATGCGGCCGGGTACGTCGTGAGCGCCCATGCTCCGCAAACTGTGCTTCAGCCAGCACAGGGCGAGGGGAAGAATGGCGATTTGCTGCTTCTATGACGTGGCGATTGACAATGGCCGTGGACATTATGTACATGATACCTCAGTATAACAAGCGATTCATCCTACACAGTTCGGGAGGGGTTGACACGATGGAATTACACGTGCCCTGTGATAGATGACCCTGACCTCGGGCCTCACCCGGGGGATGTCGATAAGCTTATCTCGACACCACAGCTGCCAAGGGTCTTGGTATCGAGTTAGCTCGATGGCGGCAGGCATTGAGAAGGGCACAGCCTCGGGTAGCACGCCGTGATTTGCTGATTCCTATCACGAGACGGGACCCAGCTCGCATGTTACGCGTCAGTTTGGGCTTGCCGCTCCCGCTCGCACTGGGTGGATGATGGCTTTACAGTAGTAGAGGGTGATCATCATGCACAGTCAGGCACGGTCTCGCCATGCAGACGGTACCAAAGACCCTGGTGGTTGGCTTTCTAAGTACCTCAATCATCAAGTTCTGTAGTGCTCCATGCACGTTCGAGGGTGCATCGAGGTCTTCCGATGTTTGGCTTGTGCGTAGTACGTACGGATCACTTTGTCTACTACTATTTTACCTTCGGGAATCGGAATACGTACAAGTATAGGCGGATGCATACCAGGCCCGCCTCCCCACCCGTCGATCCGAGGGGCTATTCGCGGGGGACTTGATCTTGTTCAGCCCTCGGGGACTGTGAGGCCTGCAGGAGAAGAGGAGAGGGGAATGCGTCTGTCCACGTATAGCAAGATAGGGGTCCTGTCTTTTCCCGCGTATGGGCACATGTGAGCACAAGCACTGCATTTCATTAGGTACCTTATTACTTAATGTTTGATTGCTGGGTTCTTGGCCGCCTATTGGCCTGCCACAAGCGTATTAGAGGCTCGTTGAGTACGCGGTTTCGGCCGCGACCTTTTTTTGGCAACGCGATTTAGAAGTGTCTAGTCGATTGTGCTATTCTCTCGAAAATCGATGATACCAGCATTAGTTAGTATCGAGAAAGCGCCCGACTGAAGAGACGGGTTCGAAGTGGCGTGAGTGGACTGGAAACAGCCGGTGTTGGAGGGCGCCGGTTAGCGGGGATCACCTGAGTGCAGTGGTGATGATACTGGACTAGCTCCACGGACCACGTGTAGAACTGGATTTGCAGTTGGCTAGCATCGGATAGTCAAGAACACTATCATTCATGGCCTAGTAAAGCTAATTAGATACTCGCAAACAAAAGCATGGCAAAGGCAGCATCTGTGCCAGCCAAGCCATGCGCTTTTTGGATACATGTACTATCCGCATCCAGTCGTGCCACGAGTCAAAATGCTGAAGCCCCAGATGGCCAACGATCTCCACTAACGCAGAGACGGAGCACACCCACTGAAAGCGCCTAGGCTACCCCAGTGCCACTTCTTGTGCCCGCCGGATGCCCGCCCGCACTTCCAGCAGGTTTGTGGGTAAAGTGAGCGACTAATTAAGTCATCACTTCGCTGGGCTATACGTACGTCCACCACTCGAGCATGAACTGGAGCGTCAAGCTGACGTCCCGGTGCTTCTGCAGGCCAGTCCCCCAGTCTACCTAGATCCGTCCAACCACCCACCACCCAAACCTTCCAGATCCAATCCGGTCATTGCTGGACTCTTACCCTGCACTCAAATCAACTCCAAATACTGTCGTTTTCTTGGACCAAAGGACATTTCTCCTTGCCGCGCACCCAATACACCCAGAGGTGTTTCTCACCACCACCCCAAGTTCCTAGCGCGCATCGCATGTCGTCGTAAGACGCTCTATTAGCGGAAGCGCTCGCTTGTCACTGCCACATCGACCTGCATAGTACATACATAGCAGTGGTGGCTGTGGACGTGGGAAGAGAGACACTCGACCCAGGTCCCCTGCGCTCCATTCATTCCAGGCCCGCGAATCACCATGTCAGCACCGACCGACACCACCCACGCGACTACAACGACAGGTGCAGCACCCGCAATCGACCCTTCTCACCTTGAGCAGCCCAACGACGCTGTCCCGATGGAGAGCATGGCGAACGACATGGAGACAGAAGCCAACAAACCATCGACGTCCCCTGCGGCGGACGCAACGACTTCGAAGGCAGCCCCGAATGAGGCCGCCACCGAGGCAGGGCCGTCAACGACTGCCAACGCCGACGGCGAGGCCACTGCTGGCTCCCCCGTTGGCGAAACAGAACGTCCCCTCCAGGAGCGGCATGACTCAGTGCTGGCCATTGGTCCTGCGCAGGACGAGATCAAGGCCGTCACGCCTGGTGCCGATGACCTTGGCCCCGTCTGCAATATCACGCTTCTCCTCACCAGCGGGAGCCGTCATCCGTACAAGATCAGCGCAAAGTACTTGTCCAGGAGGAACGTCCCTATTCCTGAAGAAACCGACTCCGGTCTGCCGGACCCCTTTAGCATCAGCGTATACACACTCAAGGAGCTCATTCTCAGGGAGTGGCGCACTGAGTGGGAAGAGAAGCCGGCGAACCCGGGTAGTATTCGCTTGATTCACTTTGGAAAGTTGTTGGATGACAAGGAACCTTTGCGGAGTATGTGGACACTGTCACAAATGTACCGGTGATTGATGGCATGCTGACAAAAGATCACAGAATATCAGTTCGTTCCGGAAAGCCCCAATGTTGTACATATGAGCATCCGCCCTGCGGATCTGGAAGAAGATGAGCCCAAGACCGGGGGCAAGAATCCCTCCCAAGCGGGAGGCGACGGCGTCCGCGAGAGGTCAGGCGGCTGCTGTGTCATCTTATGAGCGACTCGAGAGTCTGTTCAACATTGCACACCACCATGCCAGCTGGTGGTGCTGAAGCATTCTAGGCAATGCTCCCTTCGGACTTTTTCCGATGACTACCCTCGTCAGGGAAGGATATAACCGCGGCCGGCCGCTGCGCCTGAAAGACGGCAGGCAATGGCCCGGCACATACTCACTCATTTGCACTTTCGCAGCGTTGGGTCATCGTCGCCTCTATGCGGTGACGGCGATATACAGAACACGACATGACCCAACAGCGGTACATCAGAGGCATTTGGCGTCACAGTGGCGTTTTGGGCTGGATTTTCTTTTTCGTGATGATTTGCATGTGCAACTACGTTCTGGGTCTTTGTTCTTTACGTTCATATCTGTAAAATGGCGATCTTCATCTACGCGCCGGGCACTGGACCGGCTACGCTGGGCATCTTGATGGGCAGGATAGAAGAACGCAGTACATTCCACCAGCGGCGTGATTGGATTTCGTTTCTTTGCATTAACCTCGTGAGGACCATGGACAAAAAAGGCCTAATTCGCACCACCATGTCCCGTTAAATCTTGAGCTTCTTCTCCATCTCCTCGTGCACACCAGGCACCTGCCTCTGCTCCTCGTTCGTAAAGATATCCTCCCATGTGATCATGTCATCGCGGCCCATGAGGATATCCTCATGCACGCTCTTTCCCGCTCCATTCTGGAGCGCCAGAGGCCGCCACTCGCTGTCTCGCACCATCTTGAGCTCCATACCACGGCGCACGGGTTCCGCGAGGCCATATGTGCGACGCAGCGTGTTCATCTTGAGGGCCTCCTGCGTGGCCTCCCAGTTCTTCAGTCGGGCCTCGAGGGGGTGGGCGGAGGCAGGGACGCTGGCATCGTAGGCTGAGGGGGCTACACCGTGGCGGAGGGTGTCGTGTACTCCGGGCGCCGAGGGGGCGGATGTTGTCGTCGCTTGGAAGGTGTCGGCGTGGCCGGATTTGGGGACGATGCGCATCGACTGGAGGAGTTAGATATTGTCGTAATTGATGGGCGATGCTTGAGGGGAGCTTACCATCTTGGAGGCTTGGTGTTGGGGTGATAAAGGGTTCAAGATTTCTCGAATGCGTGGGAGCGTCAAGTGATGCGGTCAGAGAGGTAGGCGTATGCGTTAGGCGTGTGTTGCTCGAGAGGTCGCAATGATAGTCGTTTGGCCGCCGATGATGATGAAGCTCAAGCTGCCTGCAGGCAACGCCCAGGCCAACGCCGCCAGTCTCTCGACCCGCCCCCACATTTCGTAACCCGGCTAGGCTTAGGCCCGACTAATGCCGATATCGCTTCCTTCCGTCTCTGACGATCGCCATCATCCTTTCAACAGCGGCGCCATGGTACAGACTTCGATTCTGATCTGTCCAACTTGGATAATGGGTCAATCAAGGCCCTGGTCGCAGAAAACATGCCGCCTTGTTCCTCTCGAGCACCCATAATACGGATCGCCAATGGCACCTTCTACCGCCACCATCCCAATTCGCGACCCTCGCATCCAAATCCGCCGCTCTTCAGCGACCTGAGCTTTGAGCTGCCGTCGACGTCTAGCACACCGACGAATTGGTGCATTGTTGGGCCCTCGCTCGCTGGCAAGACGACTCTTCTGCAAGTTCTACGGGGCAGACTCCTTTGCGAACCACCTACTGCGAGATCCTACCCCTACCTTGCGACAGATCAGGTACCGGACCGGCTGAGGGCCCCGAACAAAGCGGTGCAGTATGTTGGGTTTGATGCCGAGTCTGGGAACCTCGGCGGTGGTGGCGCAACGACATCGGCGTACCTGTCCGCACGGTATGAGTCAAGACGAGAGTCTACAGACTGGTCACTACGTGATTTCCTCCTAGGAAACACGCATCTCAACCCTCTCCAAGCCTTGCCCGGCGAGGAAGAGGAAAGGAAAACTACGACGCAGCTGCTTGAGAGGGTGGCCACGGACTTGAAACTTGTCCACCTGCTAGATCTTCCTGTGACGTTCCTAAGCAATGGACAGGGGCGCAGGGCGAGGATTGCTAGGGCCCTCTTGCGGAGACCAGAGGTTCTCCTCTTGGACGAGCCTTTCATGGGCCTTGATCCGACGACAGTGCAAGGCTTGAGTCCCGTATTGAAGTCACTCGCGGACAAGGCAAGCCCGCGGCTGGTCCTGACCGCGCGCCCACAGGATCCTCTGCCTGACTGGGTCACGCATTTGATCTACCTACGTACGGATAACCAGATTGGCTCCATGGGTTCAAAAGAGGAGGTTTTAGGAGGGTTGAAAATGTATATGCAGGGTGTGAAGAATGGCAAGCTTGCTGAGGATGTGACACTGCCTCTGCAGACTCTGGAGGGTATTGGTCGCGTCTTGTCAGACAAGGGTTCGTCGAATTCGGCCAGCCTTGGTCAAGCAGCCTCATACCGACTCCAACCGACGAATCCCGATGCGGAACCACTTGTTGAGATGGAGGGCTGCAAGGTGCGATACGGCGACAAAGTTGCGCTGGGTAATTGGAGCCTGAAAACGGCCGAGGGTAAACGCGAAGGGCTCGACTGGACGGTCCGCCGCGGCGAGCGCTGGGGCGTCTTTGGGCCCAACGGATCGGGCAAGACGACCATCGTGTCGCTGCTGTGCTCAGACCATCCTCAGACGTACTCTCTGCCCATCAAGCTATTCGGTCGTAGCAGGCTGCCCGAGCCCGGGTCGGGGCAACGACCTCTGACGTTCTGGGACATCCAAGCTCGCATTGGCCACTCGAGCCCCGAGGTTCATCAGCACATTCCGCGTAGCCTGACGATCCGACAGGTCATTGAGAATGCGTGGGCTAGCACTTTCCGCGCGCTGCCCAAGCTGGACGCCGAAGCAAAGGACAAGGTCGATGCTGCCCTCGGCTGGTTCGCCCACGAGCTTCGACCCGGTGGTGTGTCTGCCACGACTGACTCCCTGGACTGGGCGGACGAGTACATGTTTGGTGAGCTGTCCTTCAGCGCGCAGCGTGTTGCGCTATTCATCCGGGCTACGATCAAGTCGCCCGATGTCGTTGTGCTCGACGAGGCCTTCAGCGGCATGGACGATGCTGTTCGATCCAAATGTACTCTGTTTCTCACCGAGGGCGAGACCAAGACGCGCGACGACCACGGCAAGATCATTCCCAGCGATGTGCGGGATATCACGATTCAAGGTTTGACAGACCAGCAGGCCTTGATTTGCATTGCCCATGTCAAGGAGGAAGTGCCGGAATGTGTGCGAGAGTGGATGTGTCTTCCCGAGGCCAACTCTGGGGAGGCAGCGAGGTTCGGCAGGCTAGACGGGCCCCTTGCTGGCGAGGAGAGGCGGTGGCATGAGGTTTGGGGGTTTGAGGCCTCGTGATTCTGTACATGATACCTAGCGTATATATTGCAGACCAATAGTCGTGGTCATCGTCATGCGAGCCCGCTGTGTTCTTGTTCTGTAACGTGTGTGCGAGTCGTGTGCTCACACTGTTAATGGAGGCACATTCAAACAGCCCAGACACAGTGCGCATGTCTGTCTACCAACCTCATGTCATAGCACGCCATCATCTGCGCCAACTGACGCCCGCGATCTTGACCCAAGGAACCGTCCTTTGGCGATCGTCAATTATGTCGCCAACACGATTAGACGACGAAGATCTGGATCCACGCTACTGTGTCTCTACGCAATCTCTCACTACGCCCATTGCAGTCGGCGCATTCGGGTACGTCTCGCGCTTCCGCCCCCATGTCTAGTTCACCTTTCGGGAGGCGCACCACTGACCAGCTGGCAAACTTGAAGGCCTACCCGCGCCGGAACGTCCGCGTTTTTCGCATGGCCGCCCTTTGGGCCACTCCTCTTTGATAATGAGAGCTCCGATGCGCGAGATCACTGCGCCAACGAGCGGAGTACGTTCACTGCACCGTGCGAGGGCGAAACGAGGCACTAACAAGCGATGAAAGCGTTTCTCTCCTATCTGCGACTGTCGATGACAATGGCCGTCGTGTCCATTGCCATCACCCTGTCTTTCCACGTCAAGCATCAGCCCGGCGAGATTGAGCGACGGATGGCCAAGCCTCTGGGCATCGTGTTCTGGTGTCTGTCTGTGATGATGCTCCTCATAGGACTGGGGAACTACATCCGTAAGTTTTCTCTCTGCACGATCCGAGACTCTATGAAAGTCTTGCGAGGCGGAAAACGACTGACTTGGAGGTGTGCAGGCACAGTGAACCAGTACAGTCGACGCGTGGCCATTGTGCAGACGGGGTTGAAGACGCAACTCAGCCTCGGCGTGCTGGCCAGTTGCATCGTCGGCACATGCGTCGTGCTCCTGGCGACCGCGCAGAACGAGGAGGCGGAACCTGTCAAGTGAAATTTGAAGTTGAGATAAAAGATTGGAAAATCATGTAGTTCTGCGTTGCCAAGTGTCATGACCCAGTGATAGATATATATGCTATGCAAGCACGTACGCGCCCGATGGTATATCCTAAACGCCCCATCCCAATGATTTGACTCGCCCCTATTATGCAATGGAAGAGGCCCGCTGATCACATGTAGCAAAATAAGTCGTCCGCAAAGGTGTGCGGTTGCCGTTCCAGCTGCTCATCCTTGCATGGGCCCACCTCTGTCATGAACCGCGCGCGGTAGGCTGCGGCATCGTCGTCCAATGCTGTCGCGGAGGATTCCTTGCCGTCCCAGCTGAGCATGGGGAGGCTTCTCAAGTTTGGCAATTTGCCACCGTTTGGCAGAGTGTGTAGAATGTCCACATGCCAGTGAGGCTCGAAGACGGCGGTTGCATCATCACCCACGTCTTCTCCCATGGCATCGCGTCGCGCTTCGTCGTCTTCGCTGTACTCTTCCGGCACGTCGGGGAGGTCATTGTGCACGCCCACCACCACCCTCGACGTCTCCTGCCCGGGATACACGCAGTAGTACCCACGTATGCGCGAGAGTTGCAACACATACTCTAGCCATGACGGGTACTTCTTGCTGATCTCCTTGTGGGCCAGCAGAGGCGGCGACTCTGTGGACAAGGCCTGTAGTTCGAGGATGTGTGAGATGAACCCGTGCAGTTCCATCCACTTGTCCCCTGGGATGACCATGGCGTCACTGAGAGGTGCTTGCCAAAGGAACGACGACCCTGCGCCCTCGCCAGGAGCGGGCGCTGCCAATGGTGACGACCCGTCCAGCAGCTTGGTCGGCGTCGCTAAGCTGAGACCCATCATCTGCGCATCCCAATCTTGGACGGCTGCACTGTTTGAGTGTCGATAATGCAGGATGCTAAACTTGAGATCTGCTTGCTGTCAGTGGATGTACTTTTGCTCACGTTGATTTCACGTAGACCTTACAGTGCAAGAACTGGGGAGTCACCTCGGTGTGAGGTGACAACACCAGCACGTAGGAGTGGCTTTTCGACTTGGGCCAGAACGACTCTAGGAACCTCACAGAACTCTCCTCTGCAGATAGTTTCGTGCGCGGGATGCGGCGATGTAAGGAGAGCATGTTTGGGAGATGGGCGTTGGCGCCTGTCCGCGGTGGCCACTGGAAGTCGGCGAGGAACTTTTCGGTCTGCCGCTCCGTCTTGTGCGGAAGGTCGACCGTCAAGTGCGGCACAGGCACAGCGGCTATGTCCACCCGCGATAGCGAGGTCAGCAGGCGCATGATGTTCCCGGCACCGCTTGTCGGGGCTTGGACGAGGATGTCGATGGTGATCTTGTCCCAGGCAGCCAGTGCCGCTGAGTCCAGCTTGGTGATCCAGGCTAGACGCATCCCGGGTCTTTCTGGGAGCTCTATGATGGCGGATGCGGTGCCCCGCGTCTGATCGCGGAGTCCGCGCAGAAAGTACGACTCCTCGGCCGACGTCGAGTCGATGAAAATAGCCTGCGGATGCATGTACGTGTTGATATGATCTACGTCACATTGTTAGCGCGTCTCCCCTGGCTCAACTACGGTGGTCTGTCACGTACACATGGCGCGCGCGGAACACAGCGCCATCCGCTGCTCCGTCGAGTCAACGGCGTGGTCGGGCCTCGCGTCGTGCAAGATCATTTGGCATGTGTCGTCAATGCCGTTGATCTTGACCAGCTCCTGCAGCGGAACGTCACTCCGCCCCATGAACGCAAAGTGAACATAGTTCCGCCTCTCCAAGGCCATCTGACAAGCCAAGGGCAGAAGCGCGGATGCGCTCTTGAGGCTTGCGGCCGCAAAGAGGACATTGCGATTCTTGGGCTTTTTCCCTTCCGTCGCTGCTATGGCGTGAAGGGATTGGCCCAGGCCTGGCAACTTGATGGCGCCATTGTATGTCTTTGGCTTTTGAACACTCGATGCCGCATCGTGCGCTTCTTCGGTAGAGCCTGTCGAGCCTCGTCCGGGAGGGGGCCGACCGTTGAAGGTTGATGATGGAATCAGGTCGGAGGTGTCTCCGTGCGGACTTGAGGTGAAAGCTTGCGACAGGGCGTAGAAGAGGAGGAGGGCGACGGCGATGTAGGCGAGCAGCCTCGCCACGGAGCGGCGGCGGGGGGTTCGAACGGCTGCCTGCCATTGTCCGTTGGGGCCCTGGTGCTGGTGCTGATGCTGGCGGACTGGGAGGTGGTCGTCGTCCTTCTTGGCGAGTTCCTCGTCGCTTGCCCATAAGCGGGACATGGCGCGGGCGCGCGACGTGTGCGCCGGCATCATGGGGCGCAGCCGGCAAGCCGTGGGACGGCGAGGCAAGCTCGGTTACTGTATCGTTCGCGATGGAGGCGTGGGAGGGTGGTGTGGACGCGAGACTCGTGTCTCACATTGCGCCTACGGTCAAGGACCTTGCCAACTACCGAGAAGGTGGCGGCAGGAGCGCGCGCGTATAGGGCGAGACGGTTTCGAAGCCTATCGAGAGGTACAGGCGATTATCGACGACAATCAACTTGCAAAAGGGGCTCTGGATGCTTTGCTCAATTGACTGAGGTTGAGATGCAGGCAGCTACTATAGCCAGCTAGCTCAGCTCAGCTCAACCGCCGCCGCCGACTGGACCCGCCATGTCATACGTCGTGCAGGCGGCTAGTATTAATAGAGCGACCACCTTGGGCGCTAGTCTATTCTAGGCCAGTCGCCAAGGGACAGGCGTCTTCTCCCCCTGATTGGCCTCGTGGACTGGGACAATCTGGCCTTTGAGTCTTGACTCTTCATCACCATGTCCTGCAACCAACAGCGTGCGCCTAAGCAAAAGGATTGAACGTATTCTCAGAACATCTTGCTTGACGCAGCTGCGATGCGAGTCACCTCAATTTCACCAGCCAACAGACAGAGCCCACCCACTGGCAATGCTGAGGGTGGAGCAGCTGCTCGCGCCAATCTACTACTATTACTACGTACAAAGGTAGAGAATATACACCCAGGTTTCTGCGCACCCGTTGTCAGAAGGACGAAGCTTAGGCATGTATTGTAATTCCCGCAAGGCAGCCTAGCTACCCAGCACAACAAGGTACTCCCAAAGTTTTACCTCACCGGACCGGGTGCGCGTCGCCTACAGGTATGTTCCAACAGGGTGGCGTAGTGCCCGCAAGGCATGTCGTCCAGTCTGATCCAGAGACACCCACGCGCCCAACATGAACGATGGAACGCTGTTGCAGATCTCCATGGGCGCTAATTATTAATGATCACCATGCATGGACAGAGTACATATCATGTTTGCCTCCCTTGTATTATACTTCCCTATCATCGCAATCTCCCAGTCGTCCTGAATCTTCTCTCACGTCGGACATTCGCTGCTCGCCCTCTGCAACCAGCCATACTGCCGTACTGTTCGTCACCATGGGACGCAACATCTCACTGCACGTGAAGAGTGTTGCCGCCGCTTCCTTGCTTACAATCCTCTTGATCATTCTCTATGTTTACAACGACAGCGTGGGCGTGCAAGTCTGGAGCTATGCAGGAGCAGGCGGCACAGAAGCGCATCAAGACCAAGGTCATACCACCGATGACATACCCAATATTGTCCATTTCGTCTACATCCTTGCCAACGAGAGCAAGGGTTTTAATTTCGAGTTTAGCCATTTCCTGTCCATGTATGCAGTCTCGCTGTACTGGGAACCCGACACCATCTTCCTACACACCAACGTCGACCCAGACGGCACAGCTGTGGCCAGAGCCAGGGATGGCTTCGGTGGGAAGTGGAACAAGCTGATCTTTACATATTTCAACCTCGACATTCGGAAGGTGGAGGTGCCCTCTTACGCCAACAACGGCGTCAAGATCCAGGGACTCGAGCACAAGTCCGACTTCGTCCGTGTCAAGGCCGTCCAGGAACACGGGGGCATTTACATCGACTGGGACGTCCACGCGCTGCGGGACGTCAAGAGTCTGCGGCAGAGCGGCTTCAACGCCGTGGCGGGCAGGCAGGCCCACGGGCAGATCAACAGCGGCACCTTCATGTCGAAGAAGGGCGCCAAGATGATTGACATGTGGACCGATGGCATGCACGAGGCATACAATGGAGGCTGGACCACGCACAGCAACGAGGTCATCACGAGGGTGGGCGAGCTTCTCGTCCAGGAGCCCGGGGAGATGCTCATCCTGGAACGCGACGCCTTTGCACCGGGGAGCTGGGAGAGCAAGGACACGGATAACCTCTTTCAAAGCCATGCTGAACCGGCCGGCTTCACGGAGCATGAGCTCGCCGCCATGCGCAGCCTGCGACTGGCCGAGTCCGAGACGCCTGGGGACGTCCCAGAGTGGGCGTGGAATTGGTCGCACACATATCTCCTGCACGCCTTCAGCCCGGATCGCTGGCATCAAAAGGTGCATGGCTACGACCACATTTCGCCGGCGTACGTGTTACGCAGAGACAGCAATTTCGGGAGAGCAGTGTACCCGGCCGTGCTGCACATGTACAGGGAGGGCCTTATTGGGGTGAACGATCCCTACGATGGGTGAACGGGGGCACCAGGTGAACGATGATATATGCATGGCACTTTGCTTGTTTAATAGAGGTTACCGATGCTGTATTGGCGCACGCTCTGCCTTCACAGAAGCTCACCCCGAACGCTTCATTCTGCCTTGACGTCCATCTGCGTCCTGCGGGTCGGCTTTTGGGTGCTCGCCTTTCGGGGGTTCGCCGACTCAAAGACCTCGTCGAGCTCCTCCAGCGTCCTCCCCTTTGTCTCCACAAAGAAGAAGTAGATGACAAGGAACTCAAACAGGTCCCAGAAGACGAAGAAGACGTAGAACCAGTAGCGAATGTTCTTGAGGGCAATGGGCGCCGCAAACGTGTTGACAAAGCTGGCGGCGCCGGAGGTGAGCTTGTAGAAGCCCATGGCCTTGGCGCGCTGCACATTGTCGCACACCTCGCCCGGGTAGATGGGCTGCATGGGCGTGAAGGCAAAGGCGAAGACGCTGCCAAAGATGTAGATGAAGGCGATCGAGGCCGACGACATGCGCTTGTTGCTCGGGTCCTGCTCGAAGCCGGCCGCGGTGCCGGCCGCGATGGACAGCGTGACGGCCATGCCCAGCGTCGCGCCCATGAGCATCTTGCGACGGCCGATAATGTCGTGGAACCGAGCGCCGCAGACGGCAAAGATCCACCCGGTCACCGAGTAGATAGCGTTCAGGAGCAGCTTGGTGTCCGTGTCGTGTATGCCCACCGCTTCGACCAGCAAGGGGAGGTACTGTCACGGGTCAGCGGGAACTCAACATGAACTTTGCAACATGCGTCTTCCAACGTACATAGGACACCACATTGTTGCCGGAGAACTGGCCAAACCAAGAGAAGGCCACGCACAGCGCAAAGCGGTAGCGTCTTGCCCGCGTGTTGAAGAGTGGCCTAATGTCAAAGATGGTCTTCCATGTCGACATCTCGGCGCCTTCCAAGCTCTGGATCATCTCGGCCATTTCCAGCTGCACGATGGGATGCTCGGCGTCGCTATTGGCGTGGTACTTGACGATAAAGTCCCTTGCCTCCTCGTGTCGTTCTTGTCCTGTGGCACCGTCAGTCAAGGGAGTTCTTTGCCGGGAGTAGCAGACAGGATATTAGGTTTATCTTACCGATCAGCCAGCGCGGCGATTCCGGACAGAACATGATGAAGATCGCCACGACCCCGGGACACACCATCTGCAACCAGAGGGGCAGTCTCCAGGTCAAGTTCCCCGTCAGGTTGCGCGAGGTGCCATAGACGGCAAAGTTGGCGAGGATGCTGCCAATGTAGTAAAAGGTGTTGTACAAACCGGCTATCGTGCCTCGCAGGTGTGGAGGCGCCACCTCGATGAGGTACATGGGCGCACCAGTTGAGGCGAACGTCGAGAAGAAGGACAGCAGGAATCGCCCGCCGATAAAGGTGGCGAGGGTGGTCGCGGTGCTGGTGATGACGGTGCCCACGCACACGCCGAAGCAGCCCACGAGGATGGCCATCCTCCTGCCTCTCCAGTCCGCTGCGAGCTAGTCAGGATATTGTCTTGCACGGGGTGGCAGTTGATGGCAGGGTGAAAGCACGTACAGAACCACGCAAAGAGGGCGCCCACCATCTGGCCCACGTTGAAGATGGCAAAGACGATGCCTGTCGACGCCTGCTCGTTCTCGGAGACGTTGTAGTACCGCTGGTAGGCCCCGATGGAGTTGATGCTCCCCATGAGGGATCCGTCGAAGCCGACCAGGGCCGCGCACAGGTAGACCAGGAAACAGATTTGGTACAGCTTGAGTTGACCTCGCGAGAAGGCGGCGGGCCTGTTGTCACCCAGCTCGGCCACCTTGGACGATGTTAGTAGCTGGTAGCAGGAGAGATGTTGAGTCAACTCACCACGTTGACTGTGCCCATTGATTCTCTCTTCTCCGGGACATCGACTGTCTCGTTGTCAGTGGGAGGTTGAGCGAGCGCAAGAGATACACCAAAGACATACCATGGTCGGTGCCTGGCGCCGGGACCTGATCTTGATCCGAAGGTTGTTTCATTGCGCAGGCGTCAGTGCAGCCAGGTCGTTGCGCTCACTGTCAATCGGGTGATAGCACAGCTCTGCAGTCCAGTCCTCCAGACTAGTCTAGATGTGCCTGATGAGGAGCTGTCTCTTATAAGAACAGCGTGACAAATCGAGCGGCTCTCGAGTGCCGCTGCCCCTGCTGCCTCCAGCCCCAAGACCCCGGACTCATGATCGTCTCCCCCCGCAAGCTTCGACGCTGTCTCGGGGATGTTGCGGCTCTCGCCTCTGCTCGAGTGGTGGTGGATTCCGCCGATCGCTTCCTGTCCGCACCTCGCTCGTGTTCCTGTGACAGGCCCGATATGATATATTCCCGGGCAGATCAATCCTCCAGGGCGCAATGCCGACGGCTGAGCTCAGGCTGACTTTGGATGTTGTGATCCTTTGAAATGTCCCCTTGGCGTCGAGACGGACCGGACGCCAGTAGTAGCGAGCGAGGATTTACGGGGGCGACGATCGACATCGGAGATTTGAAGTACCGCTCGGGTTTGGCTTTGGTGACAAAAGCGTCCGGGACATGGAATCTCGTGCTAGTGCCGAAAGGACCTACGATAGAGCACGGTAAGACACTCTTCCGTTTCTCGTGATGAGTTGCTGTGAAGGCCAGGCTTTCAGCTGCTGGAACAAGGGGCGATTCTGATGCGGGCTATCTTGTCTGTTACTGACGCTCACGAGATGATTGTAAGATCCAGTTCATTTCAACATGGAGTCACGCGAGAGCGGGCATTGGCGGCGTCCAAGTGGACAGCCAAGCAAGATGCCTTGATGGTTGTTCAGAGGCTGGATGGTTCTGATCGCTGCTTGCACTGGCTCTCAGCCCATTGGCGACACGCGGTTCATTTGACATGATGTTAGCGTGGAGAATGTTCATCGTCTTTGACAGCATGCCAACTTGAATCAGATCAGTTGCATAAGTAACACAGTGTCGCTTGCACTTGATCGCTCTGCTGGCTCTGCAAGTTGAGAACGAGCAGGGCTCAACTCCAAGCCAGCCACTCGCAACGAGCGACGGGGATTCTTGATGCGCGAGATTGAAGGGGTAGAGATGCGTATTGACACTGATGGGACTCTGCAGGAGTCTGGACAGACTTCGGGGTAGAGGAAGTCAGAGCCATGCAAAGCACAAACTCGAAGTCTGCGATCTGATGGTGGCCATCAGATTTTGTCCGTCCACAAAAAGTGGATCAGCCTTAGTTGGACCCTGACGGACGACCCTTCAAAAAATTGTCACGACCAAGGTCTACTAAGGTACACTCACTCACAGCCTTCATACACTCGCCTCTCTATTCCTCCGTTGCATTCACAAACTCGCAACATGGGAAAGTCTAGGCGCAACAGAGGCGCGCACCGCCGCGACCCCATCGCCAAGAAAGCCGTCAAACCGCCCACAGACCCCGAGCTCGCTGCTCTGCGCGAGTCCAAGATCTTGCCCATTGTCAAGGACCTTCAGAATGCGGATCCCAAGCAGCGAAGCACGGCCGCCTCGGCCATCTCCAGCATCATCCAAGACAGCAGGTGTCGCAAGCTCCTACTGCGGGAGCAGATTGTGCACATCGTCCTCACGCAGACCCTCACCGATGCGGCCCTAGAGAGCAGAGCAGCAGGCTGGGGCATCCTCCAGGTCCTGGCGCTGGAGGAGGAGGCCGACTTCTGTCTCCATCTGTATCGCCAGGATATCCTGTCCGCCATGGAGTTTGCCTCGAAAATGGTGAGTCGCGATCCTCTGCCTCAAGCAAGTATACGCACAAGCTAACGAGACATCAATCGAAGGTCTCAGACAAGCTCTCATCAAAGGACCCCGTGCCGGCTGCCGAGAAGTCACTACTCGTGAGCATCACTAGCTCCATCATCTCTCTATCTTCGGCGCTGGCTGAGGCGCGGGACGAGATCCTCGAGGCTGTTGCCAACAACGCGGCCATCACGAGCTTGCTCTTCAGCATCGTCGTTCACGGCAACAGCGACGAGGGCCTCGCGGCGCTGCGCATGGACGCCATGGCGTGCGTGATGGTCCTGTCCGAGGACAACGAGAAGCTTGCAGGGCACATCGTCGCTCAGCATCAGCCACTATACGAGACGCTGCAGGTGGCTAGGAAAGATCCCTCGGGCGAGGGTGTGCTAGCCTGCGGCATCATTCACAACATCTTCGTCTCACTGCAGGGCCAGACGCTTGATCACAATATCCTGGACGACGCCGAGATCATACCGACTCTATCAAAGACCATCTCCACCATCACACCCGCCTCATCATCTACGACCAACGGCCACGGAGAGGGCTGGGCCAAACCCTTCGAGTATCAATCTCTCGCCCTGGAGATCATCGCCTCCATCGGCACGAGTCTCAATTCCGCTACCGACGAGCCAGCCCCAGACTCCAAGCGCTCTGGTCCGGCAGATGACGAGGAGGGCGACGACGAGGACATGGGCGACGTCGTCGACGATGCCGACCCAGACGACAGCACCGCCGACCCCCCAGAGGTGTCAGAGGAGATGGACGATGACGAGATGCACGCCGACATGGACATGGTCACGGGCGCCGACGACGACGACGCACAGGCCGGCTCCATTGACGACGTGCCAGCACTCAAAGCCCTGCTCGCCCACGCCCTACCAGAGCTCGCCCGCGTGGCCTCCCTCCCGCCCAGCGACCAGGACACCCTCCGCCTGCAAGCCCTCGCCCTCGCCGCGCTCAACAACATCGCCTGGTCCGTCTCCCTGATCGACTTTGTCGACGAGCACAACGCCGGCATTCAGTCCGCGTGGCGACCCGCTGGCCGCGCCATCTGGCAATCCGTCATCAGCCCCATCCTCGCCAGCGACACCGCCGACGTTGAGCTTGCCACGCAGGTCACGAGCCTCGCATGGGCCGTCGTCCGCACCCTGGGTGCCGACACGCCCCTCCAGGCCGACGAGCACCGCAAGTTCATCACCTTGTACCAGGCCACCCGCACCTCGCCCAACATGGGCGCCGCACCAGAGGCGGATCCCTTCCAGGCACTCGGTGTCAAGTGCGTCGGTGTCCTCGGCCAGCTCGCCATGCATCCCGCGCCCGTCGCCCTGAATAGGGAGGTCGGCACGTTCCTGATGACCATCTTGTCCTCGCTGCCCGACGCCCCGGCGGCCGATGCCGTCGAGGCGCTCAACCAGATCTTTGACATGTACGGCGACGAGAGCTACGAGTGCGACAGGGAGGTCTTCTGGAAAGACAACTACCTGAAGCACCTGGAGGATATCTTGCCCAAGGCCAAGGCCATGGTGAAGGGGGTGGATAAGAGGAGCCAGGGGGAGCTGAGGGCGAGGGCTGATGAGGCTGTCACCAACTTGACCCGGTTCTTGGCCTATAAACGCAAGCACAAGCCGCAATAAGGGGTGCTTGAATTGGAAAAATTGAAAGCAAGTGAAGCTCATTGTTTCATTGTCTCGTGAGATTGATTATGTCTAATGGCTGCCAAAAATATCCCTTGCTATGGAACGCCAGACTGAAGTGCGCCCAACAAAACTCTCCCCATATAGACGCCCGTTGTCCCTTTCTCTTTAGCATCGTTCAAAAACCCGATACAGCCCCTTTAAATTCGCCACTTCCAACACGCCTCCCTTCATCAATCCCTCTGTAGCCACCAAGCGCGCCTTGAATGCTGGAAAGAAAATGTTCTCGACCGCCCATCGTACATGCTGGCGCCTGCCCCTGACCTGTTCGGGAATGTCCTCTTCCCTGTGGCCGCCCTCGCCACCGGGTATCGCGGGGAGCTGTTCGGGCACGTAGAACGTGGCGAGCTCTCGCAGAAACGTCTCGAAGCAGGGCTGTTCCTCGTCCCACTGTACGTTCGGCCCGAGTCGGAGGAGGAAACGCGGAAGTTTCGCCAGTGCCGGCGTGTAGCCCTTGACGAGCAGCGGTATGCTGAAGAGGTCACCCGCAGCCGAGACCTCAAAGGAGAAGTATTCCAGGAGCATCTCACGCCGCTCAATCAAGCGAGACACTACTTTTCGCACCACTCGATCGACGTCAAAGTCTCTGTCCGTGCCTTCCAAACCATTGCGCTCCGTTTTGGCTGCCATGCGAACGAGTTCCTCCACGTTCAACGGTGGGTTGAACTTGATGGATCCAAAGTTGCCGAAATCCGTCAATCCCAGTTGGTAGAAGTACTCGAAGCAAGTGTGACCATAGTCAATCAAGTAGAGCTTGATGCCCCCCTGAATCGCCGCCAAGCGCCTCTGCTCGTCCACGATCCCAACGAAGGTATGTGTCGAGAAGATTTCAGTAAGCTCCGTGTGCATCTTCTCTCGCACCTCGGCTCGCAGGGCCTTGACACTTCGTAGTCGACAGAGCGTGGGCTCCTTGTCGCTTGTCTGGTACTCAATGTTCTCGGGTTTCGACAGAGGTTCATCGGCCCGATCCCCAAATTTGGACGCTTTGCTTGACCCAGGGGTATATGTGAACATGCTTGTGAGCTTTCGCTCGGTCGTGTCCGTCCTGACGAGTGAGGCTGGGTTCTTCGCCGGGGTCCTGCCAGAGGCTGCGTACGACGTCTGCGGCTTGAGGCTGTCAGGAGGGGGCGAGGGATCAAGAGGGCCCGCCCCCGGTAGGAGTGTCTGGGTCATGAAAGTGCGGCTGGCGTCGACTTCCGATAGCTTGGTCTCGATTTCTTGGCAGATTGCCTGGACAATCTCATCTTCGTTCAGGAAATGTACTTCTCGTTTTGTAGGATGGACATTGACGTCCACTCTCGCGGGGTCGATTTCCAGGTTCAGGTAGGCGAAAGGGTGCCCTCCTTTCGGAAGATATGCACTGTACGTCTGCTCCACTGCCTTTTTGATGACGGGCGATTCGACTGAGCGATGATTGATGAAGAGAAGGAGCGTCGTCTTCTTGATGTGGTAGTTTGCATTGGTCACCAAGCCATCCGCCTGGAAGCCCCAACGGTCGTCCGTCGCCTTGAAGCTGATGAGCTCGTTCGCCACGCTCGCCCCGTAGATCTGTCGTATCCTGTCGTTCACCGTGGCGTGCGCCTGCACCGAAAGACTCGTCGAAGATTCGCCGGCTTTCTTGCACGTGAACCCAACCCCCTTGCAGTGTATCGCATACCGGCCCACCATGTCAATGATCTTGTTGAATTCGTCCGCAGGCGACCGAAACGCCCTGCGACGTGTCGGCACGTTATAGAACAGATCTGCCACAGTGATTTGTGTCCCAGGGCGGCCTGCCACCCCCTTTGGCTCCGCCGGTTGCCCAGGTTTGGGTGATGCAAGGCGTCCATCTTGATAGTGAGCACGCCAGGCGAGGTTGGAGTCCTTGGTCTTTGTCGTCACTGTAAGGTGAGCGATGTGGCTGATGCTGGCCAGGGCCTCGCCTCGAAATCCATAGGTAGAAATTGACGTGAGATCCTCGAATGATGTAATCTTGGAGGTGGTATGCCGCTCGCAGAGCAGCACCAGGTCGTCTTTCTGCACAATAGTCAATGGCCGATCTCCCAGGTGCATGGGCCATGATACCAACCTGGATACCGCAGCCATTGTCGGTGATTTGAAGCAGTTTCAATCCGCCTTCCTTGGCCAGGATCTCAATCGAGGTGGAGCCAGCGTCGACGGCGTTTTCGATCAACTCTTTGAGTGCATGGACAGGCGCTACGATAATTTCACCTGCGGCGATTTTATTGACGACGTCTGGGTCGAGGGCCTACGGATGATATCAGTCAATGAGTTGCAGAGGCTCACTCCTAGCAGAAATGGACTGACTCGAATCCGCTTGGCTGGTTGGCTGTCGCTTAGAGAATCGTCTGCTTTCCTTTTGGTGCCCGCACCAGCAGGGTCATCCTCCGTCGATCCGGAGGCCATCCCACCTCATGAGTGAGTGACGTGTCGCAAATCAATAATGAGGCTAGATGCTGTGGCACCCGGGGCGCAGGAGTCAGGACCGCGCGCGAATAGCACAGAGGCGAAGTCACATGAGCCAAGGAGACGCAGATGATAGCAGCAGGAGACTTCGTGGCGAAATTACATCGTCAAGGGGAACAGCGACTTTGGAGAACACGAACAAACCATCAACAAATTGGAGAAGGAGTTGATGCAAGGAGCTCAAGTCAGGAACCGCTCCCCAAAGCTGCTCCACGTAGCTGGTGGAACTAGGCACACGAGCCTCCCGCGAGCGCACGTGATGTGACGAGTGCCGATGGCCGAGCACTTGCGCCACATGCGGCTTGGATTACTTTTCTACACGGAACCTCCCGCGCGTCAGAGACGTCTACGACTTCCTGTCATCATCATCATCATCATTTATCTTCACATACTTCTGATGATGACATTAAAGCATGATAGCATTTATCTAACCACATGTACGTTTGTCAGCGAGCGCACTCAGCCTCCAAGACTGCCATCACATCATTGCCTCGATGCGAACCATGCCGTCGTGGTTCATCCTTTTTCGTCCTCGACCTCGCTGTGCGCGAACCCATCATTGGTGCCCGACCACCGCTCACTCGCCGCGATCACGGTGCACCTGGTCGAACAGGATTTTCCAATCCCCCGGCGGACTCCGTGACCCGGTCTGATGAAAACTGAAGGCAACAACTCAAGGGGTGTCGAACCCAACGGCCACTCACATGTGTCGCTGCGCCACCCAACCAGAGCCACCACCTATAGTCCCCTCCCCTGACACTGGCGGTGTGATATCAACATAGAACCGGTATCACGACCACTCCATGTCGAGTCGGGCGACCATTGTTTTGCACTTTGTGGTGGCTCATTCGTGTGGCTCATACCATGGCCATCAGTCGGTGAATCAGCCAAGAGGCAACCGAAGAGAAAGGCGAGCCATTCATGTCCACATTTTGCTTCTAGCATCACTAGTCTCGGCTAGATGGTGTCCAGCACACTCTGCTCTCCGGACGCCTACGAAAGTGGTAGCTACTTTCGATTGGCCCTGTTCTGTCACAGGTATAAATATGGGCCCGATCCCCCATAGCCATGATGGTAGAGAGCACTGCATGAAATCAGCAAGACTATCCTTCAGTATGACGAACAGAAAATCCCGCCGTCGTGAACAACACCGTCCAGACGATCACCAACATGGTGGCTATGAAGACCCATACCAAGAGGATCGCGTCAACAACTATTCGAGGCCTCAGCAATATGCGTCCGATGACTCCAACGGTGCCAATGCGTACGTTCACGCTTGCCCTCACTTGATGGACGTCCACTGACAGCACAAGTCCGGACTCACCACGTGAGGTGCCACAGGAATGGTTTCGTGATCCCCGTCGCTTCTCTCCTACCCCCCGACAAAGCTCACGAGAACGTACACGAGACGCTCTCGACGGTATGTCCCGTGGCAATGAAATGTGTGATGAAGAATTTGACGACGATCCCCAACACTACGGAATGGGCCAAAGCAATCAACATCGTGGAGGAAGACACCGAAGCACAGACGACGGAGGAAAGGATGGGCATGGCGAACGCACTCGACGTCGAGTCCACAATAAAGACCGCGAGGAAGAACACCGTCAGAGCGACAGACGGCAGCGCCGCCGCGACCAGGATGAAGAGTCACTCTCGCAAAGGGCACATAGAGAGAGGAGCGCCCGGGGCCACTCTGAGAAGCATCGTCGAGAGAAGTCTGATGAAGAGAAGAGGCGGAGGCGGGAGCGCAAGGACCGTAAAGATTGATCTCCTTCACCCGCACTCACTCACTTCCAGCCTCTTTCATTTGTCTCTGAATTTCTTTCCGTTTCGTCCGTTTTGCTGAGGTAGATTACAGTGACGCTTCAACGTCATGTGTGGATATGTGCCTGTATCAGGGGTGTCGATGAATTGTTTGAAGAGGGGGAGCGATACGTACTCACATAGACACCTGGCAAAGACTTTCATCTCAGGATAGCACGAGATGGTTGAATGCAATTCTGAAAAGTATTTCATGTTATGAAAAGACACTCTTCTTCATTGCCCAGAGAGAGACGCACCTGGTGTCGTCGTGTTGCTCGCCCAGACATGCTGAGTTCAGGCAGATATTGTGGTCAGCCTACGACTCAACGTCCGCGACAATGACGACAGAAGTCGCATAAGCTCCCCTCTTGAACTCACAGAAATGTCTAGAGCCGCTACAGCTCAAGGGCCTTCTTGTTGCGTCAGCGAGTTCTGCGGGCAAGGGTCTGTCGTCGTCATGGGGTGTGGTCGTCTCAACGTTGTGATTCGACGTGTCCCCTCACTTTTCGTCAGTCCTATGCTCCTCCAAAAGATCTCCATGAGATTTCGGGCCCGTCCAACGAACAGGAAGCAGACCTTAGCACAAACAAGGCCCAAAGATCCTGTTGAGCCCATGTGCATGGAAGCAGCAACATCCCCCAGATAGGATGTGGTCAGAGGTATACCTCAGACAAGACCACCTATCGACCTAGAAACATAGGACCTTTTGACGGTCCTCACAGAAGCCTCGGTACAATCATTGTCCCTTCTCAGATCCTCTCTATGTCTGTGGCTGCTTGGACCCTGTATGGCCGCCGCACGTCCAAGCAGCTCCACGCGCATAAAGAGCCAGAACACTTCATCGTGCTTTTTTTTTCCATGGTCTATTAGACCGTGAATCGTATTTCTATGAACTAAGAGCATTGCCACTATTCCATGGCTGTTCCCCAGGCACCGGCAGCTGGGCGTAGTCTAGTGGGCTGCGCACTTTGGAAGCTACCGTGTCACTTTTGATCAGGATTGGAAACCTGAATTCTGCCATTTCTAACCTACTCAAAAATTCAAGTAGATCTTTTGCCTCCGCAGCAAACCTGGTCCCCTGTCAGGTTGGTCTGCCGTGTGCATCTATTGGCTCCAAAGTGGCCTCCATGGATATCCCGCCTTCAGCCCCCCCAACTAGAAAACAGGTTATCCCATACATCCTCGCAGCGTAATAAGCACATACTTTGTAAATCAGCTGTCTATCCTGCCTATCTGAAACGTCATTCCTTCGATGATCTGCAAGATCGATTTCCAGGGACCGCAAATCCACCCCCTGACGTCATTCCAATACAAGGCCAGGTCGCATATAAGTCATCCTTCCATCCCGGCGGACGTTGTCTTTCGCTCCTTGTCATCAACTTCACAAGCCAAACAAACAATACACGAAATCCCGATCTCGAAGCCTATACCACACCGCAATCATGAACAACAACAACAACAACAACAACAAAGGCGCAGGTGAGCAGCTCGGCGGAGCTCTCAATGGCATCACCTCAACTCTCGGCAACACCGTCGGCGCCGTAGGCCGCACAGCTGGCAACGTGACGGGCGCAGCTTCGCGCGGTGTTGGCGACACAGTCACCGCTGCGACGGGCAGCTATGGCAAGCCCGTCGGCGATGCCGTCGGCAACGTGGGCACCGGTCTCGAGGGTGGACTGGGCGACGTGTCCAAGGGCGTGGAGGACGCTGGCAACTGGAAGAAGCAGTAGGCGCCGCAACGACAGATCAAACTTCATGCTGTACGACTTATGAAACGTTAATATTCAAGGGCTGGATGTCATCTATCCAATGTTAAACTCGCTTGCACCCGCGCTCATGAGCATCTTGCTCTTCTTCTTGAAAAGATCATGTGAAGCCTTCTCATCCATGCCCGTATTCTCGTCAAAGTCGCCCTTGGAGGCGCCCCCTTTGCTGTTGTTCCCACCCTTGGTATCTTTGCCGCCCTTGTGGTTCCTCTTTGCCTTCTTGTCGAGGCCGGCGCCGATACCACTGGGTGGCTCTCGTAAGCCAAAGCTCTTGGCCGTGTGACCCAGGTGTAGTTCGGTAATGTCGAAGAATTGTCGTTCCTCCTTTGTGTGAGTGGCGTACGCGCGTATGTGCGACTTGAAACCGTTGCGGGCAAGATCCAGCTGCTTGGGATCGTTGAGGATGCGCTGTTCGAGGTGCAGCTGCAGCTTATCAGGGGGCTTGTGATCGGTGGCCACACCTGGCGGTGCTGCTGCCGTCTGGACAGGATAATTGATCTTGGCCAGGTTTCCCTTTTCCAAAATCGTCTCGAACGGTTGGTTTGTGATTGCTCCTGACGTCTTGAGGAGGTCAATGTAGCCCTCCTCCGTACCGGGCTGGAGGAAGATAACAGCATCACCAGGTCGGCCTGCACGGGCTGTACGTCCGACACGGTGAATGTGGTCTGCGAAGCTGAAGGCTGGGTCATACTCGATGACCAGATCGACGGAAGGGATATCCAGACCACGAGAAGACACATCAGTGGTGATCAGGACCGATGGCTCCTTGCAGGCGGAGAATGACTTGATTGTCGCTGTTCGTGTTGACTGGGTCAAGGAGCCGTGCATGCGGTGCAGGATGACTTGGGGGCTTGCGGGCGTGGTGACATATGACGCCTTGGCCACCGTCTTGCTCAGAAGCTCCTGGTCTCGCTTGACAGACTCGGGGAGGTCTGGCTTCGCTGGGTCCTGAATTTTCTCCGCCTCCTCTGCCTCTTCATCATCCGAGTCCTCCAGCTGCTTCGGTTTCGTGAGGGGCTTGACTTCAGCGGGTTTCGTTTTCGAGGTGTCGTCCTTGTTTGTCTTCTGGGGGATTTTGAGCAACTCATAGTGGAAATCAACCGAGTCGGCACAGGCCATAAAAATAATGGCCTTCATGGTGCGGCCACGACGAGAAAACACCGATCGTAGGTACGATATCAACGTGACGAGTCGCAACTTGGCGGGTACGATGATATGGCTTTGGTGTAGTTGTGCTGGAGCCTTGTGCATGCCGTGATTGTCAATCTGCTCGTCGTCCTTCTCTGCAGCCAGGAACGTTGCGTCCGCCAAACTCATCTCGCCCAGTTTCTGGACATTCATTTTCATCGTGGCCGAACAAAGAACTGTCACTCTTCGCTCTGGAAGGGCCTCCAACGATGCACCGTTGGGAGTCTCCTTCTCCACCTGCACTCGCTTCAATGCGTTGATCGCGGTCTTGAGGTCATCTTCGAACCCCAGATCCATCAAGCGATCGCCCTCGTCCAGAATCAGCCATCTCACCGTGCTGAGTGTCAGCGCCTTCGTGTTGTCGATGTGATCAGCAAGACGTCCCGGTGTCGCTACGAGAAAGTTCACGCCCTTGCGTATCCTCGCCTTTTCGGCCTTCTTGGACTCTCCACCCGTGATCGCGGTGGACACGAGCCATGGAAACGGTCGGATGAGGGTCTCGAGAACAGTGTGTGTCTGTCTCGCCAGCTCGCGCGTCGGTGCAACGATGATGGCAAACACTCCCGAGTCGCGATGGATCTGCTTTCCATCTCCCTGCTTGCTGAGTTGAAGCACACGGTGCAGAATCGGGAGTAGGTACGCAAATGTCTTTCCAGAGCCAGTCTGCGCTTGCACAAAGGCGTCCCCGCTGTCCTCGAGAAGGTGTGGAATGACTTTGCTTTGAATGGCGGTCGGTCGTTGAAGGTCCATCTTGGACAGCTCATCCACCAGCCGGGAGGCCAATGACAGCGTGCCGAAGCTGGCCACATCCGATAGAGGTGCATTCGTCGCTTCCGGTGCCTTCCATTCCTCCTGCTCCTCCTCAAAAACAGTCTTTTGTGCGGGGTTGTGCGAGAACAGGCTGGAGATGACCTGGCGATCACCTCTGCCAGCATGGCCCCCTCCGCCCTGCTTTTGCTCCTCCCCGGGGCGTGCGCCGCCCGGCCTTGCTCCGAAAGATCTTGACTTGAAAGGTCGCGAGGAACCAGCGTCGTCGTCTACTCGCTGCCTCTTTGGCGCTCGCTCGGGGATCTCGACATCGTCGGTCGGTCGTTGCCCTCCGCCTCGTGCCGACTTCTCTGCCCGTTTCCTGTCGCGCCAACGGCCTCCAGTGAACTTAACTTGGCGCTTGAGTGGCTCAGCGCCAAGCTGGAAGTTGAGGACCATGCCATCGTCAGCCATTGTGAGGAATTGCGTGTCGATGTAGCTGGTGGTGGTGGTGTGGCTGCGGTGAATCCTCGTCCTGCGACGATGAAGAAGAAAAAAAGTTGGCGGTATATCTTATCGCGTTATCGATAAGACTTTTACCTACCCTATGCACTGTCTCATCCAAGACATTGCCTTCGCTGTCAATGTACTCGTATAAGTAATATCATTGTATTTTTTATTTGTTTGGTCGCTAATCCATATATTCAATAATTGCTTTGCATCACTGTGAGTCGGATCACATTGGGCTAGTCAAGGGTGAGCGTGGTGGGTTGAATCTCCGTCGTATTACCCCATTACTTGAGAGTGGTTGACTGTCATCCGGCAAGTCCTCGACCACGATAATTTACTCCAGAACAAATTTCTATCATCAGTGCTTGTGATGATCATCCCCTCATCAGCAATAGCTCATGATTTCATAACCTGCTAATTAACTAGATAACTAAGTAGGTGACTGCAATAATTCATGTTCCTCACGGCCCACCCACAGGCCCAGCAATGCATCACGATCTACCCACTGTGCCTGTCAACGTGTCGTCTTCGGAGCCTAAGAGTAGACTTTGCGACTATAGATCATTAGTGCGTGCCAGCGTAAGGAGCTAGAACATGTATCCACAATGGTCGTCGAGCAGGATGCATCAGTACTTGCATGAGTGCATCAACGACAGAGTGGCACGCCAACGCCCGACAATGTTATCAATCTTGATCAGACACGAACTCACAACTGTCGAAACGTCACGCTGCGCAAATCCCAAAGGTCGTCATCGCCCAGAGAAAAGCGGTCCGGAGCATTCTCGTGTACACGATCACCTGCCCTCGCAACGCCGAGATGTTCGGAGCTGACCTCCATGCCCGGAGTGACTGTAGACACCGAGATCACGAATACTAGTCCGGGGCGGAGTTAACAAAAGTCAATTGCCAGAGCCCTCCCGCCCTATCCGGAAGTATGCAACATGTGGACGCAACCCACATCAGCCTGAGTATGGTCCCTTTGGCGGGACATTTTCGTAGAGCGTCAGCATGTGACACGCAAAGATGCAGCTAGGTCGGGGGCCCCCATTTTGCCCAAGCGTGGAATGCCGCATGCATGGATGTCCGGGCAGAGCAGGATGCATCGATTGACAGATCGAGGATGTCACCTTGCATTCTGGGGATATTGAGCAGCCCTGGTACTCCGTATCCGTTGTCGCGTGCTGATCGATGAAATACTGGTAAGATGCGGCGGCAGCGACTGGAGGCTAATTACCGGCACAAGCGTAACATCTTTTAAGCACGGCTTCCCGAAAGATTCGCGTCGTGGAGTAAACTAACATTATAAATGACGCGGAAAACTCAACTTACCACACGAGCAGAATAAATGCAACAGTACACGTAGCAGTCTGAGCAAAATGTCGGATCACCTCCCCAGGGACAAGTGCGACCCCGCTGCTGCATTGTTAATGAAACGCGCTGCTATGAATATCCTCAAGATGAAAACTCTGCGCCATGAAATTAGTAAATTACCAGACCTTGAGATCCAATGCCATTGTGGTGACGAGATTGACTTGGACCATCAGAATAGGAGGGCCCTGGGGAGCGATCCGACAGGCTGGTGGACATGGGGCTCATGGGATTCCGAGTTTCCCCTAGACCCCACACCAGCTTCCACTCCATCTCGAGGTCCGGCTTCCAATTCCAGCTCCAGTCTTCCAAGGGATTCCAGGGGCTGACTGCTGACAGACCCGGCCGGTTTTTCCCTGGGAGACACCTACTTACGCCCCCTGGATCTGCATACTCCCGTCCGCCCGCCCGCCCGTAGGAGAGGATCGCAGAGGACCGGAAATGTCAGCAAGTTCAACACAGGATTGTGGTTGTGCGTCGTCATGCAGTATGCGTCGCATAACTGCGATGCAGCCACTTCTCCCTGCTGCATGTGTGCCTATTGGTTCGTCTACGGATAAGTGAATGGTTGGAAGGAAAGGTGCTGGTCGATGTTGCTTGCTTCTGTTTGGCGCAAGGGGGCCTTTATATTCGAGCTGGATCGCGAGGGGAGAGCTTGTGTTGGCGTGGTGGCGATGAAGGTGAGGTGATGACGAGCACACTAGAGCGAGTCCATCAAATATTACAAGTACACCACCCAGGGGTCCGTGGGGTTATAAGCCGTTGAGGCGAAAAGATGTTCAGGGCAGTATTAATTATTACAGGCTACTCCGTAAAGGTGAAAACCCCAGCGCCTTGGGACGACTGGACTTTGTACTGACTGGACTGGAGGGAATAGGGGGGACATGGGCCGGACCTGTGTAGCGTGTTTTGGGTCCCCCAGTTGGTGGAAGGCACTACTCGCGGGCCCAAGCCGGACCAGCCAGCAGGCATCATAACGGACATGGACTTGAGTCATTACGTTAAAATGACTGGAGTGCAGGGCACCGAACTCGAAATACAAGTAAGGCCAACTGGCACCTCGAATTCGAAACGCTGCATGCCGACATTGCAATGGGTAATAGCGACAGCCAGAGAGCGAAAATAGCGGGTTTCCTAACGCGCAGTAACTGCGTAATTCCGTGTTGTAAGTTTGTAGGGCGCGGGAGAGGCAGGCAATGCCCAAGTGTCAAAAGCATGGTTCCAACGGACCCATGCCAGCTGTGCCCACCCGCACCCATCCATCCCAGGCAGTGGTGTCCCGTAGCGTAACTCCACTGCAGACAGACAGCTGGTGGTGATGCTTGCTTCGACTCAGCCATCAGGCGAAGAAATAGCCAACTGCCCCCCGATTCGAGTCACACCTCCCATCCCGTCTAGTCCCCCTTCTAATCCATCATCCATCCGACACCAAACACAAAAATCCTCGCCACCACGTTTTGAGGTCACCGCATACTAATAATTGGACTTCCATTCTCTCATTCCGCTTTTTTCTCACCACGCCCATCATTTTAATCCTGGAACTGCGCGTTCGTTTGACTGCAGTCAAATGAACCTGCAATCGACAGCAGTCCTTCCTCTTCCCGTAAGTACCGGCTCGGCTCGCAAGTCTCGTCACGACCTTTGTTGTCTGTTGCTAACCGTCAACAGCCCTCTTTCACCCCGACTGAACTCTAAATGCCGGCATACTCGTCGCTGTACTCGAATTTTATCCGTTCAGGATCATCATTCGCAAAGTCCGCTACTGCACACGGCTACGCCCAGTCTGTTGTCGCGGCGACACATCCGCATCTCCTCAACTCACAGAATCGACCCGCCTTCACTCGGCGGCATACGAACCGCCTCGGTCGCCCGTCGCTCCAGCTACACTCTGCTTTCCACACCGAGAAGAACGCGCCTTCGCTCATCTTCAGCGACCACCGCCACGTTCAGAACCATGGAGGTCTAGACGGCTACTTTGAGAATCTACAACAGATTCAGGAGGCTACCGGAGAAGAAGTCGACAAGGAATGGACGCAATATGAGTTTCCCAAGCGCATCGAGTGGAAGCCCAGCTCCGACTCTGTCGCGCTCACTGGTGAGCAGGCAGTCGCAGCGGCTGCGGAGGCTGAGAATGCCGCCACACTCGCGCTCGAGCTGGAGCCCCGGCCGATGACCCCGGAAGAGCAAGCCGCTCTCGCTCACATTGATGCCGCCCTGCAGCGCGAGATCGAGTTCCGCGAACAGCTCGAAGCCGCCGAAAATGAGCCCCTGCCTCGATCCCGCACTGCGACGCCCGGGTCGATTGCCCGCTCCGCCACGCCTGTCGACCCTCAATCACAGTCTTACGCTGATCATCTGTCGAAGCTCGCCAACGCTGGTCGATATGCCGAAATTCCTGCAGTATTTGAGGCGATGTTGGAGATGGAAGTGCGGCCCATCGCGACAGCTTACAACGCTTTGCTGAAGGCCGCCATCCACCTTCCCACCAAGAAGCTGGATGTCACCTCGAAGCCGCTCGACGTCTATGCTGACATGCTGAGAAGGCGAGTTACACCAGATGCGCAGACGTATGACATCCTAGTGGGTTTCTTGGCATCCCGGTCGCTGGATGTCTCCCAGTTGACGGCGACCCTGGAGGCAAAGCGTCACCGTTTTGGCGGCATGGAAGAGCCTGGCAAGTTCATGCTGGCTTCTCACGAGCTAGAACACGCCTTCTTGTCTGAAGACAATCGCCTCGACTTTGCCATGAAGCTGTTTGACAGCTCTGTCGCCACGGATGCCGACATGTACTCGTCCATCACTTACAAGAACATCATCAACGCTTGCGCTTCCGCTGGTCGCGTTGCCGACATGATCCGCTTGTTCGAGCACATGGAGAGCACGCACACAGCGCCACACGCAGAAGTCTTCCCATCCATGATCAACGCCTTTGCTCAGTCTGGCGACCTGGTCAATGCCGTCGAGTGCTACAACGAGTATCGCGCCTTGGCCATCTCAAGCGATGCGGGTACCGATGCTCTTCTGGAGCGCCTGGATGCTGAGGTGTATGCTGCTGTCATCCATGCATACGTCGTGTCGGATAAGATTGAGGGAGCTATGAAGTTCTTCCAAAAGCTGGTTCAAGAATATGGCGTCCGGGCCGTGGACATCAAGAACGTCTTGGTCAGCCAGGGATTCGTCAAGGGCTTCATTGCCCGCGGCATCTTTGACGAGGCGATTTACTGGACCCAGTCGATCGAGGCGACTTCCCGCACAAAGGCTCTGGCCGAGATTGTCGCCATCACGGCTGATAAAGGCGATCACGCCGTCGCTACTGAGGCATACGCCTGCATTCCATCGGGAGCTGATCGTGTTGCACCGTCAACCGCGATGCTTGCCATGAGCATTCGCAGTGGCGATGTTGCATCCGCTTCCAAGTACTGGAATGTCCTTTGCCAAGCACCGGCGGACGCTTCTCTCATCGACCCAACCGCCATGTACGCCGTCGCTATGATCGGGTCTGGCCAGGTTGTGGAGGGTCTGAGTGAGGCGGAGAAGATGTTTGGCAAGCTTCGCGCTGCTGACGCCCAACTTGCTGAGCCCCTTGACGAGGCAATCAAGTTCATCGGCCAATATATGGCGGTGCGGGGCATCGTCGATCCTCGCGAGGTACCTTCGCCTGTGTCAAGCCTTCAACAACAATCCCTGGCCAGCAGCTCCCCTTTCATGTCTTCGGAGACAACCGCCAGCTATGAGGACACTTTTGATCCTTATGCTCACAGCACCGACTTCAAGGGGTCATCCCTCATTGCCGACGATCTCGAGGGAAGCCACGGCCGCAAGGGTCCTCGCATGTCCGATGCTCTGCATCGCTTCAAGAACATGCGTCGTGCGGGAAGGCACCCAAGATACATCACCTACGCCAAGCTGATCACTGCTGCCGCTCGAGACGGCAAGATGGAGCTGTGCCAAGACATTCTTGCGATGGCTAGATCTGACGTACCTTTGATGCCCCAGTATGCCGTTGTTCGGTATGGCTGGTCGTCGATCCTTGACGCCATGGTCGGTGCTTGCTTGAACCTTGGCAACCGAGGTCGTGCTGAGCAGTACCACCAAGAGCTCCTCGACATGGGTGCTGCGCCCTCGGCCAACACCTTTGGACTGTATATCACAACGCTCAAGGAGTCGACCAAGACTTTTGATGAGGCTTCCGAGGCTGTGCGCATCTTTCACCGTGCCAAAGCCGAGGGTGTCGAAGCCAGCTCCTTCCTCTACAACGCTCTGATTGGCAAGTTGGGCAAGGCTCGCCGCATCGATGATTGTCTCTTCTACTTTGCAGAGATGAGAGCATTGGGCATCAAGCCCACCTCGGTCACTTACGGCACTGTTGTCAACGCGCTGTGTCGTGTGAGCGATGAAAAGTTTGCTGAAGAGCTCTTTGACGAGATGGAGGCCATGCCGAACTACAAGGCTCGCCCCGCGCCATATAACAGCATGATGCAGTTTTTCCTGACCACCAAACGCGACAAGAGCAAGGTGCTGTCGTACTTTGACCGCATGCAAGCTCGCGGGATTGCACCAACATCGCACACCTACAAGCTTCTGGTGGACACGTATGCGACACTAGAGCCTGTTGACATGGAAGCTGCCGAAGAGGTTCTGGCCAAGATTCGCGCTGCTGGCCAGCGTCCTGAGCCAGTACACTTTGCGTCTCTCATCCACGCTCGAGGTTGTGTTCTCCATGACATGCCCGGTGCCCGCAAGATGTTCGACTCCATCATCAGCGAGAAGCTCGTGCCCATGAACGCTAGCTTGTACCAAGCTCTTTTTGAGGCCATGGTCGCCAATCACAACGTGGCTGATACCGAGTCGGTTCTCGAGCACATGCGTAGCCAGCGCATCCAGATTACACCCTACATCGCCAACACGTTGATTCATGGATGGGCTGCCGCGAAGAACATTGCGAAGGCCCAGTCTATTTACGACGCTGTCGGCCGTGAGAAGCGTGAGCCTAGCACCTACGAGGCCATGACCAGGGCGTACCTTGCTGTGGACCAGCGTGACCAGGCCAAGGCCGTCGTCGGGGAGATGCTCACGCGAGGCTACCCGAGCGCTGTGGTGAACAAAGTACTGGAACTGTTGGGTGGTGGCCACGAGGCTCCCCCGTCATAGATGGTGCCACTTCGACTCATTCGAACAAGTGGGGAGAGGGGGAGATGCGATGATTTTCTTTGTTCTGTTTGATACCCTGGGTTTACCTTCGCGACTAGAAGATTTTGGCGCTAGTCTGCACAATTTGCTTGCTATTTGGAATCATGTCTGCGAAAGTTGCAGATACTTGGCGTTTTCGGGAAAGGGTCGCATTATAAAAAAAAGGGGCGGTTTGCCATGCGGTGGCCGGACTGGTGTTAAAAGGGGTTGACGGCCACGATTGTCTATAGACACATCTCCACTCGGACAGGCACAGGAAAGCAATTGGGACGGAAACACGAGTCTATAATCGCAGCATGAAAGGGATTTACGGGAAGGACGGTCGGTTGTCTGTTATTAGAGCGTTGCTTCTTTCAGAATCCTGCTGCTTGTACTATACAGCTGAGGGGAATTGAGCTGGTTCTGTCTCATTTGAAACCATGTCCATGGTGCCTGGTGTCTGGTGTCGTGATGCAGTTCACTCAAGTAGCAATTCAGCCAGTACTTCATGATGACTTGAAATCTCCGAGTTGTAGAAAACACACCGAAGATAAGTCACAGTGTGTATTCTGCCATCCGGAATAGGCACTGTACGAGCCCCGCCGTCCATCGTGGGAAGCTTCATCGAGCCCCACGGTGCTCACCGTGCTCAATCACCTCTTCGTTTCGCTACTCTGCTCACCGTGTCTTGAACATGTCCGCGCAGAAGAATCCTACGGTGGCCGTCTCGGCTCCCGGTAAAGTCCTCCTCGCTGGCGGTTACCTTGTGCTGGATCGCCAACACACGGGCCTGGTTTTTGGCCTTAGTGCGCGCATCAACGTCATTGCTGGGGAGATACACACCAGTGAGGGGGTGCAACTGAACGAGATTGTCGTGGACAGCCCTCAATTCGAGGGAGCACAGTGGCGATATGGCTACCATCGAGCACCTGAGGGGGGAGGCATCCAGGTGGTGCAATTGCAAGTGTGCGTTATTCCATGACCGTGTAGCAACTATTCAAGACAAGAGAGAAGAGGCAAGCTGACACAACCGCAGCGGCGAGAAGTTGAGCAAGAACCCCTTTGTGGAAACAACACTCAGTTACGTGTTAAGCTACGTCGACCACCTGTCCGCAACGCGGGTGACGTCGTCTTCGTCGTCTTGGCTCAGACCAGCCAGGCTCATCATCCTGGCCGACAACGACTACTACTCCACGCCTGGCGACAAGCACACTGGGCCCAGCGCGCGCTTTGCCAACTTTGGCGTACCTCTGGCCTCTGCGAACAAGACTGGCCTGGGCTCCTCGGCCGCGCTGGTCACAGCCCTGACGGCGAGCTTGCTGACGCACTACCTGCCCAGGGAGATATACGACGTGTCCAGCGAGGGCGGCAAGAAGATCCTGCACAACCTCGCCCAAGCAGCCCACTGCGCGGCTCAGGGCAAAGTCGGGTCCGGATTCGACGTCGCCGCCGCCGTCTTCGGCTCGTGTCTGTACAGGCGGTTCTCGCCTTCCGTCCTCGACGCCCTTCCGGAGCCCGGCACGCCCGCCTTTGCGAGCGAGCTCGGCCGCGTGGTGGACGGCACGGCCTGGGACGTGGAGGTGTCGAAAAAGGTGGACATGCCGCAAGGTCTCGCGCTGCGCATGTGCGACGTGGACTGTGGCAGTCAGACGGTGGGCATGGTGAAGAAGGTGCTCGCGTGGCGGGAGCAGGACGCGCAGGTGGCGGGTGATATCTGGGGCGAGCTGCAGGCGTACAATGACGGTCTCGCCTCGGTGCTGAACGAGAACCGGACGGAGGATCTCACCATGTCGTTGGAGATGATCCGCGGGAAGATTCGCGAGATGAGTGGACTGAGCGGTGTGCCCATTGAGCCAGAGAGCCAGACGAAGCTGCTGGACGCCGTGACAGAGTTGGACGGTGTGTTTGGAGGCGTCGTCCCTGGTGCGGGTGGCTTTGATGCGTTAGCATTGCTGATGAGGGATGATGAGGAGACCAAGACACGCGTGATGGGTTGTCTGGCGGAGTGGAGTAAGGAGAAAGACGAAAAGGTCAAGCTCATGGATGTCAAGGGTGAGATGGAAGGTGTGCGTATGGAGAAGCTGGATATTTACGAAGGGTGGCTGTAAGTCGTACTTGTTCACCGGTCAAGAGCAGAACCAGGATAGCGATAACAAAAAGTATTATTGAGTCCAGTGGACCTCCGTCTCTAAATTAACCCATTGCCCCAAACACCGAATACATATTTTTCCCAGACTCATGAGACCACACCCCATAGCGGTGTGCTCGTCAGTATCTATTAATAATTCACAGTTGAAGTTGAGGCGGTGCTCGGGATCCTCGCCATGCCGGGTTTGGCAAGAGACAGCGTTGAAGGGCTCCTCGGGGGCATCATTTCAGCAACCCCAATGCAGCTCGCGGCCGCCTTCTCTCGGAGCATAACCAGTCTGTTTATGACGTTAGCACGCTATGGTCTGGTTCATGTTGTTACCCTGGTGACAGGATCAATGGGTTGCTTACTCGTCGTGGGAGATACCAGGGAGACTGACTGGCTCGCGTTGAAAGTTGAAGGGGGCCGACTGTTGATTGGTATGTTAGTTGATTTGCAACCATGGCAACAGTGCCAGAAGTAGGGAACTCACGATTTCGAGGGTGGGTTTGTGGCTGTCCTTGCTGCCACTGCGGCGGCGGCTGAGGATGGTCTGAACACGCGAGTAGAACATGGTGATGATGTTGTTGTTCTTGTATTGCATCATACGGTAAGAAGAAGTGAGTGAAAGCTGCTTGTATCTTTGATACAATCTTTGCGGACTTGTAGAGTGAAGATGTCGAGAGCTAGTGGACCTTGATAGAGAGAGTTCAGGCCAAGAGCATTCCAATAAGAGAGGTAGAGCGATGGTAGGGTCCAGCTAGGACTTGGCGTAGCAAAGATGAAAGATGGTGAGGTAAAGCGAGAGGGTCTCCGGAGTCGGTGTGCGTCCGCGAGTACGTCGTCGTAGATGCTGTTGTTGATCTTGGATAAAGAGTGGAACGCAAGGACCTTGGATGTTTGGTCGTGTTGCTGGTTGTGATTGTGGTTGTGGTCACAAAGAGAGTGAGTGACTGTGGATGCTTCAATTCCAGAGAGTGCTGAGCAAGAAAAAGATCACAACAAACAAACGAACGACGCGCCCACTTCTTATAAAGATGAAGCGCCCTGGCCATGGGCTTCAATGAACGATTGCAGCATTCCGGTTCTGGCAGAGAGTCCACAGACGGTTGCACGACGCGGGCCACAGACAGGCACCGGCTGAGGCGTGAGGTCGACTTATTGTAGGAATGTGTTTGGAAAGGGTAGGAAAATGGAATGGAATGAATGACAGCATTCCTGCGGTCTATGTCTCTCCTTGCTTCCCAGTCTGCAGTGGCTGCATGCAGTATAAAGTGGTGGCTCGCCTCCCTTGCGTCGTGACGACCTTGTCTCATCTCCTGGCGAGACATGGCGCTGTGCGACCTCGATTGATGAAGAGTCAATTCACGCCGAAGACTATCATTCAGTAGCAGTTTCTCGCAATCCATCTCTATTTTCATCAGTGGGTGCGTGAATTGTCCAATTCGGCGGCGGTGGTGGTGATTGCGGGCGACTCGTTCACGGTGGCGAGCTTGCTTCCCCCATTTCACTCCAAGCTGCTCCATTCACGATTCACGGTAAGATTGAGCCCCGTACAATTTTTAAGATTCAGGGCGAGACCCGATAATTTATTCTTGTTCCGGTTCGGATCCTGGCTGTAACCTGCATGTTGCCGCCTCAGTAGCTTATTTCGGGTAGTCCTTGAGATGGAAGCTCTTGCTCTTGACAAACTGTTCAAACCCGAAACGTCCAAGCGTCTGTCCCTTGCCAGAGTTCTTGTAACCTGTCCAGGCGAGATCCTGTACGTCCATGTTAGCCCTATTGACGATATCGCTGCGTCGCGTCTGTGCTTTATACGTACCGGGCTTGGATAGTCACAGCGGTTGACAAAGACAGTGCCGGCCTCAATGTCCTCGATGAGCTCAGCCGCCTTGGCCGTGTCCTTAGTCCACACGCTGGCCGTGAGACCAAACTCACTGTCGTTCATCAGGCGGACAGCTTCGTCGTCGCTCTTGACCTTCATGACAGGGATCACGGGACCAAATGTCTCCTCCGTCATTACCCTCATGCTGTGGTTCACGTTGGTGAGAAGCGTGGGTTTCACAAAGTTACCCTTTGGGGGCGGGTTGCTGAAGCTCTCATTCTCCGGCGTGGCGTCTTGGGCACCCTGGTCCAAAGCATCCTTGATGTGTGCCTCAATCGCCTCCTTGGATCGCGTAGAGATGACCGGCCCAACGTGGGTGCCCTTGTCAAAGGGGTCACCTAGCTTGTAGCCCTTGAGCACTTTCTGAACAGCCTCCACAAACTGATCGTGGATCTTCTCATCGACGTAGATGCGCTCGAGGGAGCAGCAGCTCTGACCCGAGTTGAAGATGGCACCGTCGACAATCTCCTCAGCCGCCCAATCAACATCTACATCGGCACGAATATAGGCAGGGTCCTTGCCACCCAGCTCCAGGCCAACGGGGACAATCCGATCGGCCGCAGCCTTTTGGACCGCCAGACCACCTGCCACAGACCCAGTGAAACACACGAGGGCGATCTTGGGATCACGCACAATGGCTTCCATGGTTGTTGGCGACCCGCAGTGGAAGTACTGGAGCACGCCCTGCGGGAGGCCCGCCTCGGTGAAGAACTGCGACACCCTCTCTGCGATGGTGGGCGTCTGTGGGGAGGGCTTGATGATAACGGTGTTGCCTGCCAAGAGGGCCGGAATCAGGGAGTTGACGAGGATGAGGTATGGGTACTGCGAGACATGAGGCCACGTTCAAGTGGAGGCGGGGAACACTGTACTCACATTCCAGGCAAACAGCACGAGGACAGGACCCACGGGCACCTTGCGGATGAAACGCTTGAAGCCCTTTTCCGGCTCGCCATCTGTGTCTTGGAGAGCTTCGTCGCTAATCTTGAGGAGGTACTCTGCACGCTTGATAGCCGTCTGGATCTCCTTTCCGCCAAAGGCGATGGGTCGGCCCATCTGTACCGTGAGTTCCTCGGCCAGCTCATCCTCATGCTTGGACAGGATCTTGAGGAACTTTTTGACGATCTCCTGGCGTTCCTTCAGTGTGGTCTTGCGGAACGAGTTGAAGGCCTCAGTTGCCACCTGAGGGAGCGACTCCAAGTCCTGTGCCGAAGCACCATTCCGAGTGAGAATGGGCTCGTTGGTGGTGGGTGAGATGGTCTTGATGACTTCGACAGACATGTTGATCTTGAATGAGGGTATAATTTCAGTGTCAAAGACGTGATAAGGAAAGGTTAGGGATAGTTCCTGTGCTCCGTTCTCGCAATGATACCAGCCAGAGCCCCACGTCACGAGCTATGTCATTTGCCCCGCAACAATGAATAAAGGTTCGCGTCACGTCAAGGAGGGCGCTCTCGTCTTGGAGAAATTTTGAAATGAAGGAGAGTCAGTCCAGACGATTGCATGGTTCTCAAAGCAGATTATAAATCAAAGGACTCGGTTCACACCAGCTACATCTTCCAATACTCGTTCCTATCGACGATCGGACTTCGGAGTGCGACCCCGCGATGAGCACCACTAACCACCGAGCCTCGATAAGCTCTTATCGGGTCTGGCTCTTATCGCGATACCGTCTTTTTTTCTGAAGGTAATCGCATGCGCCTCCCAAGTCTCAATTCCAGTTGAGTACGGAGTAGTGCAGCACCCCAACCGAAGCAATGGCGCCCGAGAAAAGAAACGAATTCCTTGACGCTTCCGACAGCGAGGATGAAATTCAAAACTACGATTCCGACGATGATTTGAAGAAGGGCGGCCGCAACGCCAAGCGTCGGAAAGTCGACTCCGACGACGAGGCTAGCGATGCTGAACCCGCAGTCGACGATGCAAAGGACGAGTCTGAGGACGCGGGCGAGGATGGCGACTTGGCGGCAGACCAGAGTGAAGAACCGGGCACATCAAAACCAAAGAGCAAGGAGGCCTTTGAACTTCCTGACATTACCACCAATGGCACCAAGAGGAATCTCGTTGTCACAGAGGCGGCGGTAAAGAAATCCGGTGTCGTCTACATTTCACGCGTACCACCGTTCATGAAACCCGCCAAACTTCGTTCCTTGCTCGAGCCATATGGCAAGATTAACCGCATCTTCTTATCCCCCGAGGATCCCACGGCACACGCGCGGCGCGTACGCGCTGGCGGCAACAAAAAACGCACATACACAGAAGGCTGGGTCGAATTTCTGAAGAAGAAGGACGCCAAGGCAGTGTGCGATCTATTAAACGCCAACATCATTGGCGGAAAGAAGGGCAGCTACTACCACGACGACATCTGGAACCTGATGTATCTCAAGGGCTTCAAGTGGCATAACCTGACGGAGCAGATCGCGACGGAGAATGCCGAGAGGGCTAGTCGCATGCGAGCGGAGATCAGCAAATCGACCAAGGAGAACAAGGAATTTGTGCGGAACATTGAACAGGCAAAGGTGCTGGATGGGATACAGGCGAAAGCCAAGTCCAAGAAGAGGAAGCCCGAGACTGAGGAGGAGGAAGCACCAAAGCGTGGTGGCAGAGGCAACATGTCCTTCAAGCAAATACCCCTGGCCAAGAAAGGCAAAGAAGGAGAGACGCAGCCGGATAATGTCACGAGGGTGTTGAGCAAGATCTTTTAGTAATCAGATATGAGCCATTCTTCATCATAAGCTTGAATTACCGACAATGTCATTGTGACCAGTGCGGATACCCGTTATGTGCATAGCCCCAGAGGAAAAAACGTCAGGGTCCGATAAGACTTTTCGCGGCTTGATAAGCAGCGGGGCAAATAATTTCTACCTGAAAGCCGCCCGCCTGCCCGCCTTCATTCGAGTCACCATCCCACCAAGATTCAACAGAGTCAATACAGGACCAAACCACCGAAAATGTCGATGGATATTGATGACCAGCCCGTGGCTATCCAGCCTGGCGGTACTGCTGGCAATGGCGCGACGTGAGTATCCTGCTTTCCCGTCGTGGCTGAGCAAAGACTAATCCTTTACCAGGATCCTCTGCTGCAACTGTGGCGCTCCCATCGATGGCACATCTGCGACCGGCGCTCTCTGCTACGACTGCGTAAAACTCACGGTCGACATCTCCCAAGGCGTCCAGCGCGAGGCGACGCTGCATTTCTGCAAAGACTGCGACCGTTGGCTGATGCCCCCGCAAACCTGGATCGTTGCTCTGCCCGAGTCGCGCGAACTTCTCGCTCTCTGTCTCAAAAAACTACGAGGTCTCAATAAAGTACGCATCGTCGACGCGAGTTTCGTCTGGACAGAACCCCACTCGAGAAGGTTACGAGTCAAGATCACCATCCAGGACTCGGTGCAGGACGGTGTTCTGCTGCAGCAAAGCTTTGAGGTGCTCTACCTTTTACACACACAGCAATGTCGCGAGTGCGCAAAGTCGTATACCCCCGCGCACTGGCAGGCCTGTGTACAAGTACGACAAAAGGTCTTGCACAAGAGGACGTTCTTGTTCCTGGAGCAGTTGATCCTGAAGCATGGCGCCCACAAAGACACGCTGAACATCAAAGAGGCCAAGGATGGTATAGATTTCTTCTTCAGTGCGAGAAATCAGGCAGAGAAGTTTATTGACTTCCTCAACTCGGTGGTGCCTGTCAAGGTGAAGTCATCGCAAGAGCTGATCTCGTTGGACACACACACCATGAAGAGGACGTACAAGTTCTCCTTCTCGGCCGAGATCGTGCCGGTCTGCAAGGATGACCTGGTCGCGATCCCCATCAAGTTGGCCAAGCAGTCGGGCAACATCTCGCCCCTGCTCCTGTGCTACAAGATCGGTACCGCAGTGTACCTGATGGACCCTCAGACCCTACAGACAGCCGACATTAGCGGCCCCATCTACTGGCGGGCACCCTTCAGCGCATTGTCAGACACACAAGAACTGATTGAGTTTATTGTGATGGATGTCGAGTACACCGGTCAGCAGAAGGGCAAGTGGAAGCTCGCGGAGGCTACCGTTGCCCGCGCCTCGGACCTCGGGTCCAATGACACGACATACTTCACCAGGACCCATCTCGGTGGCCTTCTACAGCCAGGCGACTCCGCCATGGGATATCTCCTCAACGGAACCAACTACAACAACCCCGAGTACGAAGCCATTGAGCAGTCCAGCACCTACTCTTCCACAATGCCCGACGTAGTGCTCGTCAAGAAACACTTCCCGCGCAAGAAGAAGAGCCGCCGCCGCAACTGGCGCCTCAAGCGCATGGACAAGGATGAGGGTGAGCTGTTGCCCAAGAAGGCTGACCAGGACCGCATGGACCGCGAGTACGAGGCCTTCTTGCGGGACGTCGAGGAGGACGAGGAGCTGCGCGCGGCACTGGCGCTGTACAAGCAGCAGAAGGAGGAAGAGGAGATGAGCATGGCGGATGAATCGGACGACGCCGAGGCGCCGCAGGTGAACATGGAGGAACTGCTAGATGACTTTGATGAGCTGCGCATGGAAGATGCGTAGAAAAGCCGGGTATCATGAATGAAATTGAAGTAAACGCCCCCATGCTGATCGTGACTTTGTGCTTAGTACCTCGCGGCCCGTTTTAGAAGAACCGTGGGATAACATCTGGCGATGGTTCACGCGGTTGTTCCCTCGGCCTCCGTAGCTGCTCACGAGATTTTGCTCTCTGTAATCGCCTCCTTTTGATTCCGAAGGGATCATCATCATCATCGGATGACGATAATTCGACTGCTTTTTCCGTGCGCTTCTTAAGGTTCGGTTCCGATCTGGAACGATGTATCGTCGATGATAGCTTCCCTGCCGAGGCGGCTGGTCGGGTTGGGACCTTTGAGATGGTGGCTGCGGCGGAGATCTCTCGACCAGCCATGCTCTGCTCCCTCCTCGCAGTCTTGCTTTCCTGCCCTCGGATGGGCGTGGGACTGGCAGCCCTCTTGGTTGCGGCGGCCGCCTTGGTCAGCAACCCTCCTCCTACTCTCAACACGCGATCAGCCTTCTTTGGACTGTCCATGAGCCCGCGCAGGCCGCTCGTAGCAGGCACCTCTTCTCCCAAGACATCCTGCTGTTTCTTAGTTCTACTCGTCAGCGCAGATCTCTGCCTCACGAGGCGACTGGCTTCGCCGACGGTGGGACGGGCAATGGCACTGATGGCTGCGGCGTTCTGCGAGGCGGCGAGAGTCTTCTGGCGCTGGTACTCTGCGCGGTGGAGATGCGCGGTGAACTTTTGCGCGGTTTGGTAGAATTCATCTTCGACCATTTGCCAAAGATCATCAGTCGGTGTCATGTATCTAGGGTCGCAGTAAGCATGTCAAAGTTGCGAGGATGTGAAGCTGAGGACAAGACGCACTCTTCCTTCGGAGGCTCGGGAGGCGGGGATGTGGACGGGCTCCTTGTTCTAGCAGGTGCTGAAAATATGAGCTCATCGAATTCATAGAATGATCATGTCCAGCCGCATGGTGCTGTGCTGCTTACATCGTCTTTTGATGCGCTTTGTGGGTTCCGAGGCTGGTGTCGCGATTACAGGCGAGCGAGGAGCCTGTGCTGGGCTCCTTTCCACTTTGACAGGCGTATCGACTTGATCACGGTCCCACGGCAGTTTGCGCGCCATGGTAATGGTGCACACGGCGTCATTGGAGACTCGAATGGTAGAGCGCGATTGTGGGAAAGTTGACTAAGGTGTGATGTTGATGTGCCCCGCCGGGTTGCGATGGAGTGTAACGATCGCCAGGAGGGACATGGTCTACAAGACGCGCGCATTCTAATTAGATGCAAGCACTGGCTCAACGCTCAAGGCCATACAGAATTGAACACAAAAATCTCACATAGCCGAAGGTGTCGCTATGTCGAGCATGTGCGATTCACCACGACCGTCGCTGCGAACTGAAGCCATATAGCATCAAGTCATTTTCTTCAAAACCGCGCCATCTCAAGAGCTTCATTTTCACAAATCACACAGGAAAGACAGCGCGCACGATCCCGGAGAGAGACAGCGAAGGTGATGTGAGGAAACTGTATCGATAATCACACTCCATCTGCCAGCAAAACACCGCGGTCTATAGGGCACCGGTCCCGTCGTATACGTACAACATGTGACAGCCTCCTGCCACTCCATGCATCACAAACCAAACTTTTGCCCGACATGACATTCTCGTCGTTTGATCCATCTTGCGCTTCTCACAGTGATGCCAAGGCACACTGCTTAGACCTGCTCGGCGCCCCAGCCGGCGACGTCGGCTTCGCGCATGTTGGCAGGGGGCTCGATCGAGGGGATGAACTCGAGGGCGACGTAGGCAATACCGACGATGCCGACAATGCCACCAGCAATCTTGCTGATCACCATGTCGCCGAGGATAAGGCAGCCGATGAAGATGTAGACTGCATTCGTTAGTTGCGCCTGGAAGATGAGGGTAAAAAAGACTTACAAACACCACGGCCGACGAAGGAAAAGAGGAATGAAGCATAGCGCGAAACTTGAGGGGGAATCTGGAACTCTGCATATTATTAGCCTCACGTCCCGCGCCTCGAAGCACCTTGAAGGGGGATGTACCAAGCAGAGCAATAGCCAGACCAAAGACAATCAGGTATACGCCGACAACAATAGACGACCTATTCAAACTGTTAGTCGGTATGCGCGAGGCGCACAAGCTTGTGCGATAGCTTCTGACCCTCAGCCACCGGGAGGGACACGTACAGCGAGAATCCAAAGATCGAGGCGATACCACCGAGGGCGGTAATGACACCAATGGCCAAGTTGACAATGCGGCTATCATCGCTCTGTTAGCAAAGTTGCCTCCGGATGCGCCAGCGCAAGAGTGCCATCGTACAAGATATCAGAGAGCTCCATTGTGGCGGTGGTTGGCGATACTGGACACGCGGGCGCAAATTTGAGATGACGGTGCGTGTAATTGGTGATGGACTGCCAATGTACTGGATATAATATATCTCGAGGTTAGGCAGCACTCTTGAAAGAGGACCTGGATGACGACGATCGGGTAAGGATAGAGGGATTCGGGATCTGGGTTTTGTAGCAGCCTAGCTGGACGAAGGAGGCTGAGGTGGATGGTTCGTCACCAGGCGGATCTGCTGGGCGTTGGGAGATGAGCTCCAGCCCCCAGCCACATGTCCTTGGTCAGCCACGTGCGTCATCCTTCAGCCACAGCTGCGTTTCGAGCTTTGGCTACCGCTGTGGCTGGTGCTTTTCAGCGATGAAGCACGATGTTGAGCTTTGAAGCGACGCAGCAATTCATCACAAACGCGCTCAGCGGTGTCGTGCAATGCTAATGAGCCGGGCGTTGAGTTCATAATGATCTTGACGCGGGTCCGTCAGGCCCATGCCGGACGAAGTTGCCTGCAGCAGCTCAACTGCACGAGAAGGCTCTCGGTCTCATGGCAGCAGGGCGGCCGATGGAGATTTTATAGTCAAGCGGCTTCGGGGTCGCAATTGGACAACACGCGCAATATCGGAATTATCGCGCACGTTGACGCGGTATGTTATCTGACGTGGTCAACGAGACTCTGTTCTGATCACCACTCAGGGGAAGACAACCACTACAGAGCGCATGCTCTTCTACAGTGGAGTGACACAACGGGTCGGAGGTATGAACCGACTGAATTCTTTCGTCTGATAGAAATTAGCTAACACTGACAGATGTCGACGCTGGCAACACCGTGACCGACTTCTTGGAGCTGGAGCGCGCCAGAGGAATCACCATCCAATCCGCAGCCATCACGTTCCACTGGCCTTTGCCACAGAATTGTGCAAAAGGCACTCGCCCCAAGACAGTGAACCTCATCGACACGCCAGGCCATCAGGACTTTCGCTTCGAAGTGGACCGATGCTTGCCAATTCTAGACGGAGCGGTTTGTATCATCGACTCTGTCAAAGGCGTGGAGGCACACACCGAGCGAGTCTGGTCTTCAGCGCATGATTTCCGTATCCCGCGCATCGTCTATTGCAACAAACTTGATCGTGAAGGTGCCTCCTTCCGAAAAAGTGTTCTGGAGATTGGCACCCGACTCAAGGGATGGCCTTTGGTCTGCCAGATCCCGTGGTGGGAGAAGGACGAGTTCGTTGGTGTCATTGACATCGTCGACCGCATCGGATATCGATGGAAATCCGAGCGGGAGAAAGTGCGGTACGAGTCGGATGCACTGAAGGAGAAGTTGGCCTCGTCGAACAAGGACCTGATTGCTGAGGTGGAGAATGCCCGGCAGCGGCTCATTGAAGGGCTGGCAGACTTTGACGAGGCCATCATGGAGGAGTTTCTGGCCGAGAACACGGACATATCTTCGCCCATGATCAAGCAGGCGATCAGAAGGGTGATACGGACAGGCGACGGCTCAGTCATACCCGTGTTCGCAGGCTCGAGCTTTCGGCATATCGGCGTTGAGCCTTTGATGGATGCTGTCACAGACTATCTCCCCAGCCCACACGAGCGACCGGACGTGGAAGTTCGGATAGGTGGACAGAAGCAGAAGCTTTTGGCATATCTCGCGGAGAAGGATAAAAAGGGCAACAAGGCCACAGTTGCCTCGGTGGCGTCCGTCTTCAAGGTGTTCAACCATCCCAAGGAGGGTGTCATAAGCTTCGTCCGTGTATATCACGGTTCGATGTCAAGGAACGCCTCCACCTTCAATACACACGTACACGCGACGGAGAGACCAATGGGTATCCTACAAATATCAGCCGAGAAGACCCAGGAGGTCCAGGAGCTCACGGTTGGCCAGATCGGTGCCCTTCGTGGTCTCAAGCAGTCACGCACAGGAGATACTCTCATCACGACGGTGGGCAACAAGCCTACTGCTGATGCCTTCAAACACATGCAGATCCGTCCTCCTGAGATTCCGCCCCCGGTGGCGTTCTTGCAAGTCGACCCGTTCGGGAACTTGGCCGCGCAGGAGCTTCAGGTAGCCTTGGAGAATGCGTCGCGAGAAGACCCGAGTCTACGGTGGAGCCGGAACCCAAAGACGGACCAGTTCACTATCCAGGGTATGGGCAAGCTGCATCTTGACGTGTCCTTGCACAACATGCGGCAAAAATACAGAATTGACGCCGAATTCGGTGCGATTGAAGTCGACTACAAGGAATGCCTCACGGAACCAGCGCCGCCGCTCACAACCGTCTTCGACCGTGCCGTGGCGAGCAAAGCTGGCAAGGTGACATGCAATGTCGCTATCCGCCCCTTGACGCCCGATGAGTTTGAAGCCGAGGCACAGAATGCGTTTGAGCGGGATGGCAATGTCTATGACATACAGATACCCGACGGTGAAAAGTCTTTCGATGTTGAGGAGACGAGGCATCAGCTGCTCAACGGCGCAATAGCCGGCATGGCGAGCGGTCCACGAAGGGCCGCACCGGTACATGGCAATCTTGTCACGGTGGTCCTGGACGACTCGGACGGTGCCATGGCCACCCCAACAGGCGGACACTTTAGCGGAGCCGCAAGAGCAGGCGTACAGGCTGTCCTTCGCGGCGCCCTAGAGAGGCACCAAATCGGCGTCCTAGAGCCCATCATGCTCGTGCACATCCTCTGTCCCGAAGCCGCAGCGGGCACCGTGCAACACGACGTGACAGCCGGCGCAGGCGGTGCCATTCTCGAGGTCAACGACCGCTCTGCCGAATCGACGGGCGACGAGCACATCGATGTCTCCAAGATATACGCACCGCCCGACCCCTATGATTCCGTCACGTCGCTCCGTGGCAAGAAATCCATGGCTCGGGTGACGGAGATTGTCGCCAAGGTGCCCTACAAGGAAATGCTGAACTACGACGACCATCTTCGAAGCAAGACGGCCGGCCGGCATTCCATGACCATGTCCTTTGACTCCTTTGCGCGAGTCGTGGGGCATCGTGAGAAGGGGCTTTGAGTGCTTCTGAATATCATGTACGATATTGTAGGGACGATGTCTAGGGGTGTAATGAAACGAGGCAATTTTTGAATCCAACTATGTTTCCAGAGCAGAATCAAGTGTATAGTAACTGCCCAGTCTGGCATCCTTTGACTATGTGGCCGAGCCTACATCGAGACACCAGGGTCCCAAAGCACTAAACTTAGTTGCCGGTGTGATGGCTCCTGGGGCGTCACGTCTCGTCTGACCTGCGCCAATCTCAGAGACTGCAGCGATGAGAGTAGGCCTAGCTGAGGGAACGCTGGCGAATGCCACGCAGTACGAACCAGGACAATGCATATCGAGCAGTACCTGAACCTCAAGTATGGCAACTGTAGAGCACACAATTTCAGGGCAAGCTAGAAGACACAAAATGACCAAGAGAGCGAGTGGATATCAATCATCTATCTCATCAAAGTGTTGGCTTGCTAGTTCCCAAGCAAACAACACAGCTTTCGACATCTCGCCTTGAGCAAATGCAGACGTCTGGCGCCTCGTCAATACATGAAAGCATGCAAAGCACTAGAAAAAGAAATAAAGCCTCTTGAGACCAAATCTCATAACAGGGGTAATAGGTGTGACCAGCGAGTGTTGAGAATGAAACCCCTGACGAGGTAAAAAAAAAAAAGAGAACTCCCCGGCCCATCCATATGGGCCGCACACAACGAAATGCTCAGCTGATCCACAGCAAATATCGAACGCCTTTCCTATTAACCGTCTTCTTCTTTCGACGGCCCTTGTCGCAGATGATGATTAAGTTTATGCAATTCAGGTGGCTGTACTGATTCCTCTTCACATGGCCTGGCCAAACACTGACCCGGGAGACGCCGGACGGTTTGGCCTAGCATTGGGGTTCATGGGGCTCGGCCCGTGGCTTTTGCTAGGTGCGCGAGGGCGCCCTGCTGGCGATTGTGATCGACCCCCGGCAGGCGATTGGGACCGGAAACCCGCAGGCGATGCCGAGCGTCCAGGTCCATTCATAGAGTGAGCTGGTGACGCGGGACGTCCGTTGGGGTTGACAGAGGGCCCGCGAGCACCGCCCTGGGGTGGCCTAGGCTTCACAGGGCGAGTTGACAAGCAAGTTCGTGGCACGACACCCTGGCGAGAACGGTCAAGCTTGATGCAAAGCGCCTACGTTTGTTAGCGGAGTTCGTTATCACGGGCGCACCTTTCTACTTACCCAGCCGTCGTCATATTCGTGCAGAAGTCGGACCAGCTCGCCCGCGCGAAGCTCCATTTCATCTTCCAAACTAGGCTTGAAGTCAAGCTGAACACGGTGGACATGAGTGTTCTGGGGACCGCCGGCGGCTGCGATCGCAGCAGCGCCACTTGATGGAGCAGCAGAACCTGCACCAGGAGCAATGGATGACATGCTGAACTCTGTACCTGCAGGGCTGGGTGGGCCCCTCGACTCCGGCAGGGTTAGGTCAAGATTCCTCGCGCGATCAGTACGCATGGACTGCTGGCGACCAATGGAGGGTAACGGTTTGGCACTCCTATCCGGGGTAGGAGGCGTGTTGCGGGCGTACATGCTGTGTTCCTCCGTGATCGGTGAAGCCGCACGTTCAGCTTGGTTGCCGAATGGGTTGGCAGGATGCGTGCTGTGGCTAGTCCCAGGGCGGTCGAATGGCGAGGGGCCTGGGGAGCGGTTACCTGGACCAGATGCACCCGCGGTGCTCATGGAGTAGGCACCAAAGGGGCCCTTGCTGGTGTGCTTGTCGCTGAAGTTGGGGAAGAATTGTGTGACCGGTCGCAGGCTGAGACGGGGAGACTTGCTCGATGTCTTGACAGGGTCTTTCATCGGTGGAGGTGGCGCCAAGCCAGCTGGCGCGAACTTCTCCTCGTTGTTCTGCTGGCGGTTCTTTCGTCGGTTCACAATGAAGTAGACTAGTCCGGCGATGAGGAGCACACCGCCGAGGATGCCAAAAGCGATACCGGCCTTGGCTCCAGCGGTCATGCCTTCCTCGACCTGCTCATCCGAGTTCTTTGAGGACGAGGACTGAGTAGGTACACTGAGCGGTTCCGTCGCAGTCGCAGTAACCTTGCCGATGATCTCATCGCCTGGCTTCGTCGCGTGCCCGGTGGCTTTGGCAATCTCGGTAGCTGTAGCAATATTGGCGGTCTTTGTTGGCGCATCGATCACCGTGGGAACGCTGGTCCCGGCCTCATCCTGCTGGGCATCGGCATCGCGCTTTTCACCTTGAACGGGAATCGCGCCTGGGGCCACATTGGCACCGTCGACAATATCGCCGACCACATCGATCAGTTCCCTCCGGGGATGGGCGTGTCTGTGAGACACTGGCATCGTGCAAAATGTAGGCGTCGGACAATTTCGTAAAGAACGAGGTACTGTTAGGCAGCTAGGGCCTTCTGAGGCTGTAGAGCGAAGCTCAAATGTGGGCGTCGGGTAATCGTGTATTTGAGATGAAGTCGTCGCTGTGTAGCAATGAATGATAGATAGAATATGGGTCAGGCGAGAGCACTTGGCTAATTGCGCGCGCGGCTTTGGTCGATTCTGTCGCTGTGGTCACGGTTCGATGGCAAACTGCGGTGCAAAGAATGGCGCGCGGCGTTCTGGACAAGGACTGTGCGCTTTGTCCGGCGACAACAAAAAAGAGGCAGTCAGGGAATCAGTTAACACATGGGCCCGCTAGCAGCTCGAAACGTCCCCAAAAAGGCGATCAGTCAAATTCGACTGGGGAAAAGAATGTGAAGTGAAGTGAACGACAGGAAAGCCAAGACGACAAGGCGATAATTGAGAGGAGAAGTCGAACAGCGCTGGCAGGGAGAATGGAAGGACCATTTCGACGAACGGAGGGGAGAAGGATGCAGGCGCATCCCTGCGCTGAACCAATGCACAAGCTTGTGCGGTCGGTGTTACGCGGTGCACAAGGATGTCTGATAGCGATCTGCACAAATGCGAGATGTTTACGGAGTGAAGACGCTAACCACGTTCACATCCAGGGGTATCAGCTCCATTTGCCAGGTACGCCGGAGCTGTCATTGGCTGTTCTTCCCCGAGCTAATTGCACCGTCTCCAGCTGGCCCCTGGGAGCCTTCATTTGTGAGATGTGAAATGCAAGCTTCATCAGTCCGTCAGAGGCTCAGAGCTCCGCGACGCATTCGTGCGAGTTCGATGAAACAAGCGAGGTGAATGTAGTCGCCGAAGAAAACGGACAGTACGGCATTGTGAGGCCGAGGCCGTGGAGCCGGGAACCATTATATCAGACTGTTTCCGGGCGGGCGGCGTCCGCCACTGCTACATTGACCGCTGAATGCATTAGACTTCATTGCAGTAACCTGGCCTTCATCGCAATTCTTGTATAAGATGGTTTGAGCCGGGTTACGTAGTTGCTGGTGAGCGACGACATTCCTCCTTTCCGACGCATTTAGACGTATTTGCCGAACACTGAGCGAAACCCCCCCCCCACCTTGGCGGATTCTCCAAATGCGAAGCCACAGAGAAACAAGCACAGCCTTGAAAACCTCTGTTTTTAGTGCAGCTGGAACGTGAATCGTGGGGCAGCACCACCGAGGAAGATGTCCATGAGCTATTAGGGTCCGGCAGTGATAAGGGTTTGGTAATGTTAGATCATGAAGGGTATCGTGGCTAATCCGAAAGAAGCAATCTCGAATACGCACGTCTCTTTTAGGTTAGACTGTCGTATTCACGGCATCAACTTCGTTGCTTTGACTTGGTGGGACTTGGCCGAACCATGGCATATAAGAACTCCAAGGGACACATGTAATATGCTTCTCAGAACACTCAAAATAAAAATCAACCGCGCAATTTCCTTCCTGTTCTCTTTCTCTCGAGTTCACAATGAGTCAAAAGCATCAACCAATACCCAACGGTCCGCCTCCGCCATACCCACAGGAGCACCAAAGTGACCAACTTGAAGCACCTGCGACCCAAGTCCCCCAACCCAGAAGCAGCAACTGGGAGAATGGCATTTGCTCTTGTTTCTCTCAATGCGATACATGTATGAGCCCAGACATCCAACTACTACAAATATCGACATTTGTAGCAACAAGTAAACGCTGACACAATGACAACGCGTCTTTAGGCTTGATGAGCTGCTGCCTTCCATGCATCACGTATGGCAAGACGCAGACCCGAATGCGGGATCCTTCCCTGCGGAGCTACAGTGCTCTCAATGGTGACGTATGTTAGAGACTTGAATGCAGGAAAACGGTCTGTACATGCGAGACTAACATTTGTATCAGTGCCTCATCTTTGGACTTCTAAGCTTGGGAGCCCTGAACTGGATTATCCAAACATCGACACGGGCACAAATGCGCAGAAACTTTAGCATCGAAGGCTCGTGCTGCGGAGACTGCTTGACTGTTTTCTTCTGCCCTTGCTGCGCCGTTGGACAGGAAGAAATGGAAGCGCAGACTCGGCTGCAAGGCGACCAGACCGGTTACCGCATGTCGGAAGGAATGAACTATCCCTCATAGATGTCTGCATTACACCTATTCGTTTGTATATCTAGCTTCTTTGTAGTTCCTATATTTAACTAAGTACGCAAACTTTTCCTTCTCCTTACCTTGTCCATGAACATGTTGTCCCATGTTTGAGGACACATCTTGAACACCAGTAATTGTTGCAAACAAGAAATTACTTCCTCAAATGATTGATTGAGCACTGTCCGAACCGGCAGTTTTAACCACAAGCCCCGAACTAAACCATTTCGTCGTGATGGCATCTGTAGAGCATTTCAGATGACTCCGGATCAGAGCCTTTGTGCAACTCAAGCTTGATTAGCTTTCTCTCCGTACTTTATAATCCAGCAAATGGTGCACCTGTGGGGTAGTCAAATCGAAATGGTAGGTAGAATTTGAACACAGCCATGGCCGAGACTTGGCGCTAAGCGTTTACTGAACAGATAACGTGCCGGTGCCGCGCGAGGCTCACTCGAGAGTCCACAAAACCTGAGATTCACAAATCCATCTCGCTTGCTGGCACAACTTCCCCCCCCAACATGAGCTCTACGGATACCACAAGACACAGGAGGCCGCATCGCAAGTCGCGATCGGGCTGTCAGAATTGCAAGAGGCGCAAGATTAAATGCGACGAGACTACACCCGAGTGTCTCAAATGTACCGGGCGGGGAATTCGGTGCAACTTTCTGTCGCCAGATGCAGCGTCAAGTGAAGAACGGCTCAGCAACGCCAACATGGACTCGCTGTCCGCCCCAGACTCTGCCTCTCCTGTTGGCGCATCAGCAGGGCCCTACAAGCGGGACCTCCACTTCATTCCGTCACAGTACAATGCCGCCGATACGTCAGAGAGCTCCGATCGCACCTCGGAGTACGCTATGGGTGTTGTGGAGGAACAGAGGCTTCATTTCCAAATCCTTTCGCAGCGGCTAGCGTCTCTCGAGTCTCAGCTTCTCGTGTTGAATCGACATGTTCCTCCGCCGCCATTGTCATATGGCGATATGGAGCTCTTTCACCATTACATGGTTCTGACCACACCAACTGTGGGCAACGACGAAGCTGCTCTGCACTTCTGGCGCGTGCGCCTACCAGAGATTGGTCTCCGACATCATCATGTTCTTCATGTTATCCTAGGTCTCGCAGCACTACACAAGGCCAGAATAGAGCCTCACAGGCGGCTAGACTTTCTCCTTGACGCAGACCGTCACTATTCCATTGGCCTCCGCTCGACCGCATTGACACTCGCTTCCATCGACGAGCAGGACCCTGAGGTCGTGTACGTCTCTGCCATGTTGCTCGCTTTTTATTATCTAGGCCTTGGCCCTCAACCAGGACAATATCTTGCCTTTAGCAACCGCGATGAAGTCAAGTTCATGTCCTTCCTGCGTGGTGTTCGTTCCATCATTGGATATCAAGCGGCATCCCGTTCCCCAGAGACGGCCCCAAGTTCTGTTGAACCAACGCAGAATACACAACCAGCCTCGAGGGAGGATAATATCCTCGGCCATGGGTATGAAGTACAGTTTCATAAACTACGATATTTTGCTTTAGAAAGCCCCGTCTCGCAGGATGTCGAGATGTGCTTGCAGGCACTAAATGAGCTTGAAGCCTTTTTTGTAACTGCATACGGAGAATCCACAGAGTTGTCCGATGAGGCCAAGGCGCGTACAGAACATCCTTTTGCATGGCTGTACCGGGTGTCTGACGAATTTCTTGGCTGTCTTCAATCGAAAATGGACCTCGCACTGGCTATATACTCTTGTTTCGCCGTCCTACTCAAAGGGCTTGATTCACAATGGGTGATTCAAGGATGGCCCGAGCATATCATGTCTGGCGTCTGGCTGTATCTCGACATCGACCACAGGGATCTAGTCCGGTGGCCTATGGAGCGGATCCAATGGGTTCCTCTATACTGAAGGAGGAGAGACGATATATTCGAGTAAATACTTTAGGTTAAATGTCGCATTCATCTTAGATAATTTGATTGTATGTAGTTGGAACTCCCACAAATAGCACAATGATGTTTTGATAAAACCTCGCCTGACTATGGCTGTTTGGAAATCTAATCGCACATCTATACTGCACTAATGGGACATAAAGTGTCTTCTTGAATAGATCCGCTGTCGTGAGTGCCGATCGCCTGCTTCTGTGAAGGGTAATATGGTGAATTCCATGTCGCGTACGTCGTGCTCTCAATCTCTGGCACCAATGACTTTCTCTCTTTTTCGCCCGTGTAAGTTAGTTCTTAGAGCGCGAAGTGTTCTTCGACATATTTTGTGTGCAATCATCCGCTCGCGTTCGCAGACTTGTTGAATGACATTTTAAATTATACGGCCGGCTACCCTAGTCGAATTAGCATTCCGTAGTGGCTTGTGAATGGCAAACTAATAGCCTGCAAATAGTAGTGTCGCCTTGTGCACCGCGGTAACAGCAGTTAGATTCCTTACCGACCTCCTTTACCAATTACCTATTATTATCGACAGTTCTGCGACCGTGCCCCTCTCACATCATGATCGACATTCAAAGCCCCCGGAGATGACGACAGCAATGTTTCGCAAAATGGGAGCATCTGAGTGAAGTGGAGGAGGAGGCAAGGGACCGTTTCGACGACGAGTCAGGGAATGACAGTCCTTGCCAGCTTCTGGACTTCCACTGCTCGGCTAATACGCACAGAATAGAGGCGACGATTATGTGTGCAAAGCAGCACCTCGAGAGGATGGCGCACAACAACAAGTCGCCGCTTTATTATTAGGTACCGGACCAGAAAGAAAGGAACACCCGCCGAATGATTCAAGTGTTTCTGGCTAGTAATTAGCAATTTAGCAGCTAGCCCTGTTTCAGCGTTGGCAGTTACTCAATCTGCGGCCTGATTCGGGTGGATTGAGAAGTCGGCCCCTTCGATTGTGTTAAAATAAGGCCAGATTGGATTGGATTGACTAGATTGACTAGATTGAGTTATTGTCTGACTCAGCAGAGGCTTCTCACTGAATTATAGTTATCAGGCTCTGAAGCACTCGACTTGTTCAAAACTCTCGTTATTGATGAGGCCTTGGTCCTTGAGGGCATCTCGGCAGCCGCAGGGGGGCAGCCTCGAGGCTCGCCGGCCAATAGGTGGCCGCCCGGGGCTTAATAGTACGTAGTAGGTGGGCCGCCGCGGCCGCGGCCAGCCTAAAGTGGGTCACGTGGAGACCCACCTACTAATCCAATAACTACCCTATACTCACAATAAAACACCAAAAATACCGCGAATTATCACCAAATACACGCTATAAAGGGTATTAAAAAAAATATTCAATAGCTACCTACTTAGATTGACTTTAACTCAATCTACCTCTCGCGTCGATTCTGTGATTGAATAAGGCAAAAATGGCCGGATTGGATTGAGTGGAAGATTGATTGAGTAGGTCTAGATTGAGGAACTGCCAACGCTGCCCTGTTTATAGTTGATTAGTCTCCCGTTTGAAACACAAGTGCCAGCGGTCACATCCGCATTCCCGGTTCCGAGAATCCCATTTCTCCGCCCCACCCCCCCCCAACATCGTCACGGACTAATTGCGACTGCCGGTCGTGTAGGTAATTAGCGTGCTGAAATCCAACGACGTTCCGCCCGTCATTGATGATTGCAGAACTTCCATAAACGCAGCTTCGACGCTGAAGGGACGTACGTATCGATAGCACATCCATCACCGAGGGGCATTGCATAATACACAATGTGGACGCTGAAGTGTTGGTTGGTCCGCAACGACGGCTCTCCTCTGCAGAGGACGGCGAGTGACTCAGTGGTCTGAACGTCTCCTCGTGCAGCCAACTGCATGCCACCGCACTGCTCCCATAAGTACGCTGCTTGACCGTCGCATCACGTCTCTGGAATCAAGAGAGACCTGGGTATGATCATTCTGAGAGTTTGCTTCCACCCACAGAATGGACGAAAACAGTGTGATCAAGACACGCATCGCCTCGCCTAGGTCATTCCCGCTCGACCCTCGCCATGAACAGACACGCACCAAGAACATCCGCCCTGCGGCGCGCGTTTTCAACGACAAAGTCAAGCGCGACGCAAGTCGTCTCCTGAGCCTGCCAGATGAGATATTGTGGCGCATTCTCGACTTCCTCGCCGAAGAGTACTCGGGTCGCCATCTTTCAATGTTTGCACTGGCGTCCGGGCAATGCAGGCAACTGGCGCGGCCTTATCAGTTCGCCGATATCTGGATCACCCGCAGCGAGCTGTCGTGGGCATTGGTGCGATACCTGATCCAAGAGGCGAAGACAGAACAGGTTATTCCATCTATCGGCAGCTACATCCGCTCAATGACTATCACTATCGATCACGATCACAAAGTGGATCTGAGCATACCATGGTCGGAACCACTTGCCGTCTTGGATGAGTTGGAAGTGTACGAAGAGTACTGGGCGCCTCTATTTGACGATTTGGCTGAAGCGGTTGACTCGTCCATGCCGAACCTCGAGAGCTCTTACTGGACGGATACTGGTGAATTTGCGACGTGCGACGGCCTGCTCATGTCCCTCCTGCGGCGGACGACATCCAGCGGCCGTCTGCGGAATCTTTACTTCTCTGAATACGACTTCTTCTTCGGTGAGGTGGAGGAAGTTAGGTCAAAGTTTCCTTCTGGTCCGCTCCTGATACGTGATTTGGGCTTGGGCTACGATTACTGCTATAGGAGCACCCCGGGGCCGTATGATAGCATGCGATTCTTTCGTGAGGCTATCCTGCGCCAGTCCTCTTCCACGCTGGAGTCCCTGGTCTATAGCGGGAGCTTAGGTTTTCACTATCTCGAACCTGAGAATAAGAATGAGCCGTACTCGTTAACCAATCTTGAGGATGGACCTATTGTTTTCGACAGGCTGCAGAAGTTCTGGGCCGGGTGGTCAGACAACGATATTGAATTGGACACCAGAGTCCTTGAGTGCATATTGGCGGCGCCCTTGGAAAGCTTCGCGCCCTCAGACACCATCTGCACGGTGATGCAGGCACGCGGACCGGCAGACTGCTTCCCACTCCGTCATCTCAAGACATTTGCCATGACGGGGGCCGGCCACACGGTGGAGTGTGAACAAGCTGAGTACATGTATAAGCTTATTAGTCTTGCTGAACACTACACCGGGCAGATGGAGGAGCTCTTCATCTATTACTTTGAACATGGAGCAATTGACGACCAGCGTGTTCCGAAGCTGGAGGCACTCTTGGCCACCAACCGATTCGATAATCTCCGGTACCTGTGCTTCAGCTGGCACCACGACCCACATCTCACGATTCTCAAAGCCATTGGCGCGAACATTCCGTCTCTAGAAGAGCTATCTTTCGGCTTTCAACCAAGAGACAGCGAGAGTGGGTACGATACTAGGATTGAACAGAACAATGGCTGGGAGGATCTGAGCACGCCGGTTCACGAGAACTTTATAGCGGCCATCTCGCCCCTTCCCAAGCTGGCCAGGCTGTGTGTCTTTGGTGACGAGTACATTGCCGACTGGTGCGAGCACTGGTCTAGACACCGGTTCCTCAAAGAGCACGTCTGGTTCCATCAAGGACGCAGCTACACTAAAAGGGAGTGTGGAAGAAAGCCATGGGAGGGACAGACTTGGTCAGAGGCCATCAGAGGACATACGAGACCGGGTGACAAGATTGAGGACTGGCTGGCCAAATGGGTCACGGGATGTGCCGACACGGGCCAGGATCCACGAGAGGCCGTGAATGCGCTCGCTGCTCAGTATGCAGAAGCCATTCCGAGCTTGCGGGAATTCATGAGTGGAAGGGTGTTGGTGGAGATCACTCGGGAGGGAGTAGCCAGCAACGCACGTTGACCCACGACTACAAACAGTGAGGCTGACCTGTATGTAGAATGACAACGGTCTAAGCTGGGCACACGGGTATCTTTCCAATGGCTAGGCAAGCAAATAAACAAGCAGGCACGCTCTGCCTCACATTGAGTCTTCATACTGCCGACTCCTCGCCTTGGTCCAGCTATCTTTATTCCCCTTGCCGCCCTGGCGTTCCAGTCCCATGCCACGCTCCACCCACTCTTTGCTCTCCATGTGCTTCAACCGACTCAGGGCTCGTGCAAACGCAAAGGCCTCCTCCTCACCCGCAAACAAGTCCGTCTTCTTGAGCTTGTCCACATTCTCTTCGATATTGGTCAGCAACTCGCCGGCCGCTTTGTGGTCCTTCTTGTCTATCTTGGGATTGCTCTTGAGAAGGCTCTCGGCGATCTCGTCTCTGGTCACAAACAGCTCGGTGAGCGGCTTCTCGGTCGTGAGCACGAGCTTGGCGTTGCCCTCGTAGACGGCGTCGATGAACGTGATGAAGCGTCTGGCGAGGTCCCGTTGCTGAATGTTCATGCCGGGCACCTCGGTGACGACAAACGCCTCGTAGTGGCGCACCAGCTCGAGGTAGTCGGCCGCGCTCTTGGGCTTCACAATGAGCTCGTCAAACGTGAACCAGGCGCAGCGCCCGCTGACCTTGGGCACTACAATCTCGCGGCCCCACACGCTCTGCGTCTCGGCGCGCGGCTCTCCCTCCTCGGGGTCGCCCAGGAAGCGGAACCATTTCTCCGCATGCGAGTTGGCGTGCGCATCCAGACGGGTGTGGTAGACGCCCGACGGCGGCCGGGGGATCTTTCTGTAGTCTGTGGGTGAGTCGAGGTTGATGACGTGTAGCCGATCTTTGAGGAGTTTGATGGCTGGGATGAAGGACTCGCGCTGGATTCCGTTCTTGTACAGATCATCAGGGTGACGATTCGAAGTCGTGACCATGACGATGCCGTGGGCCATGAGCGCCTCCAGCAGTCTACGCAGGATCATGGCATCCGCCACGTCGGTGCACTGGAATTCGTCAAAGCAGAGCACATTGCCCTGCTCGGCAATGTCCGCCGCCACAAATGGCACGGTGTCCACGTCTGTCCCATGCTCCATCTTGAGCTTGTGTAGTCGTTTATGAACGTCCTGCATGAAGTTGTGAAAGTGTATGCGCGTCTTTGTCTTTACCGAGGGGGGCAGGGTGTCGTAGAAGAGATCCATGAGCATGGTCTTGCCGCTGCCCACGTCCCCATAGAGGTAGAGGCCTCGCGGCAGGTCCTCTGGGATTTCGCCTATGGCATTGGGGGCGCTCTTGGAGGACCCAAAGAGGGAGGAGAATACGGATTTCTTGGTTGGTTTGAGCAGGTCGAGGCTGGGGTGGACGACTTTGCGTGCTTGATAGGGCACCAGTTCGTCGTGGAGGTGTTGTAGATTCTCGATGATGCCTGCGAACTGCAATGAGCAACGGTGTGACACGTGTACTGGTAGAGAAAATACCTCGTTGATGTTCATCGTTACGGAGTATCCCCGTTTCTACCCGTCTGTCGTATTCCGCCAGTGGCCCCAAGACACTGTCCTGCGACGTCCCTGACTGCGTGGCCAGCCCTCGCGTGCTTGTTGGGCGAACAGCGCCCGCGCGAAAACCCTGGATCTGCTTGATCTGCGCGGTCCGATAGGCGCCGCCGTTCTGTGTGACCAGCGCACGTTCCCCAAGTGCTGGTCGCGTGCAGCGAGTCCTAACACATTGGCGGGCGTACCCGGTCGTTCGCACCAGGCGAAGATGATTGCGCGCACCAGCGCCAACTCGCATGGTCGATCAACCGGTTGCGCAGGCCGAGGGATCGCGAGCGACGGTTTTCCGGGTGTCGATTTCGGGGTATGTGTGCTTTACTAGCGCGTGACATGTGTTGTCGATGGTTGAATCTCTGCAGAAGTGACGCAGGGCGGGACATCCCGAATTGTTGCCGTCCGTCAGTGATGGGCCACTTCGGCGGTAAGCTGCATGCCGAGGTCCGCCTTGGACCCCCGGCGTCTACTTTTGGGGTCCGGTCACTGTTTACTTCACCTGGCCCCTTGATCTGTTCATCAATATTGATGCGGCCTGAGAAGGAAAGAAACATCCATTGCTTTGCGTTCGAAATCGTAGACATCTGTTCTATGACACTCTTTTATCGTTCAGGGCAATGCAGAATACGAACAGGTGTGAACACCTTGAGCTGTAGTAGTATGAATTTCGCCAAGTCGATGCCTTCTTCTCTCTCTCGGCATACTCAACAAATTCCAAGGCGTCAAGAAAGGTTACTTCTCTCCAGGCAGGATACTGGAGTAAGTATCGAGCATCTATACACAGACATGTCTGAGCTGGGAGCTGCAAAGGCTGCTTTCAATCGAGTTCCAACTTCGTCGGACTTTACATTTATAGTCGGCCCAGAAGCTCAGGAGTTCATTCTGCCACGAGATTTGGTCGCGAAGCTATCCCGTCCTCTCCATGCACTGCTCAACAGCGGCATGAGAGAATCCCTAGAGGGCAGAGTTGTGTGGGAGCACGTCTCCGTCCGGGTGTTTATGCATTTCATGTCCTACGCACATAAAGGTAGATGCATCTTGGACACCAAGCCGAACCTTGCCTCGAATGGCACAGATGAGTTTTACGACACGATATCCAACATGCTGCATTTCATGTCAATTGACGATCTGGTGCAGCGCTGTTCAGCTGCTGGTCGGTACCAATACAATTCTGTACTTGGCGTCATGTTTGAAAACACACAGACCAGTCTACTTAGGACCCTTGCGGAAACCAATCCCGACACATGTCATCTTCTAGAGTCCAAGTGTCCCTCTGCTGATGCGGAGGATCAGATCTTTGTCTTCGCCGAGATTTACATGTTCGCCGATATGTATTGCATTGATGGCCTTGCTCTTCAGGCTCAGATCCGGCTGACTGCCGCATTGAAAGCCCACCGACTGAAGCCGCCCGGTTGCGAACGGATGGTCAGTGTGACTCTTCAAGTATTGGAGACCAGTGCTTCAAGCGAGTACCTTCTCCATGTTTTCCACCGCTATTGGGTATTCCACCTTCGCAGACCCGACATTGTAGCTGCGCTTCAGCTAGCAGGGGTGGACATTCTTGAGCTCCTGGAGCCCCGGCGTAGACAGGTGCTGGAGGCGCGTATCAGAATGTCTGGTGGGATGTAGAGGTAAGTTCAGCTTTGTTACTAATTTCACTTAATTTTGAATTGTGTCAGGTGGCTGCATATGGTTTGTTCTTGGAGTCAAGAGTACTAGACCCAGCCTTTGCTTGGTCTTTATGATAGAAGCCTTGCAAAAGCAGGCCTCGCGATTTTTTTTTAGTTATTCCTACCCTTGATTCAGCTTAGATGATAAACTTTCCCCCACAGTATCCGCACAGCTCTCCAGGTTCAGGCAACGGGGCCGCAGGACCATACTCCTCCGTCGCCAGCCTGACAAGCTCGCTGTACTTGAAGCATCGATTCCGACAGAGAGCACAGGTCCTTGATACATCCGGCGCCAGGATTGCGAGGCCCGAAGACGAGCAGGAGGCTGAGTCTGAGCGTCAGAAAAATCCCATCGTAGAACGGTAGTGTCTTATCTTACCGAATGTATGATTGTTGGAGCACCTAGCTTCCAGTCCCTCAAGTCTCACCTTTTCCTGGCAGAGCGGACACTTCTGCTTCGCCTTGAGTAGTTTGAAAAAGTCTCGCATCGGCGAGTGACCCTCCAGCATGGCATGATCGATGGGCACCGTGACCCCCGGTACATCATCGCCTCCGCCGTACATCCACTCCCACGTGCGAGCCTCGGTAGTCAATTTCTTGCTACTGGCGTCGAGCGGAGACCGCTCGTCGTCGTCCGCCTTGTTCACCTTGTGAGAGAAGTAGACTTTGCAAGTCGCTTTCCGGCCAGGGTATACTGTGCTTTGCTTCTCGACGAGTACTGCAGAGCAGCCGCCCCCTGGGGATATAGCGAGGCCTTGGAGCCGGTATCGAAGGAGGGGTATCTTCTTCTTGGGGCTCTTCTCTGCCCCTTTTCGATGAACGCCTTCCATAGCACCGTTTCCCATCCCTTCATCGTCGATTCGTTCGCCTTCCGCCTCCTCCTCGTCTGACGACGACTCTTCCGAACCTGAATCTGCGAAAGCCTGCGGAGCTTCGTAGCGGGTACCCGTGCGCGTAGGCTTTCGACTTAAAGATCGTACCCATAACGGAGTCGGAAACTGGCCTTCAATGTCGTTCGTTTCGTACCAGTCCTGGTTCTTAGCGGTGACGGATGATCGGACAGCCATATACAGTGGAAGTTCCGTCTTTTGGCTAGGATCTGTGGGATACACGACCAAGCCTGAGTAGAGTCAGTGAGTGAAAGATGATTGATGCCTTGCCGGGCCTTACCAGTGATCGGGTTCATGGTTGTAGTTGCAGCATAAGTCGTTGAGCAATCCCTGCATGAGTGCGCTGGCATCAGCGGCTTGGGATCGTCAAGCAGGTCAAGCTGGAAAGGCGCCACTTGATACGGCGTGCATATCACTCCTCGGGCCAACCTTGACTTTCCTTCATTCCAAACCTGTGTTTTGTTAATATTCGCCACCTCATCTTGTACATGCGAACTCACGGTGTCCTCCCACTCCACAAAGGCATCAGCAGACAGACCCAAGCAGATTGCAAGACTGTCTGTCTCTGCCACCACCACTTTGGGCTCACTGCCTCTCTCCCATTTTCTTGGAAGACTGACTTTGCGGAAACTGACGTGATTCCGGGTTATATGTGCCAACGCGGCGACTCGGCTTCCTCCCGAGAGCACCCAGGGACTCCATCTCAACCCAAAGGCCGTCTGGCATGGCTGGAAGTCGGGATCTAAATCGTCTTGTCTCTGGGGACTGTCAGCTCTCGGCACAGCGAACTTCAATCCCAGCATACGTACGCCATGGGGTCCCTCGCCATCAAAGCGAGCCGCTTCCCGAACTTGCCACACATGGCCACCTCCTGGCTGGGTGACATGCTGAATGCTCATGACCACAATCTCATCTTGGTCTGTCTCATATGCCAGCAAGGCTTGCCCAGGGGCAGCCTCCTTTGCCCACGAAAAGCCCACGATGCGCTCATCCATCGTGCGGTACGCACCTTCGTGGTCCTCCGCTGGAATGGGCATGCCAGCACCGATGCCCCAGAGTATCTTCCACATCTTGGTGTTGCGCGTCTGGAATGATGCGACGCCAGACGCAGCAGAGTCATCCTGTTCGCCCAGTGCAAACAGCTCGCCACTTGTTGTCATGACCATGAGAATGGGACGCAGGTTCGCCCCGAGTCCGTTGGGCGACCATTCCACCCTGACCACTTGTGAGACCGTCCCTCGACCGGTCACAGCGCTTTTCGAGAACCCTGGAGTGATGCCATCCTGCTTCAAAGTGAGATTGGTGGGCGGCAGGGTGACGCCAGCTTGAGCGCAGAGTTGGTTGTTGACACCCGTCAATGGCATGAAGCAATTCGCTGCGCTGATGGACAGCGTGAACTGGCTTTGGATGGCAATTTCGGATTCATCGTTTTGGTTGTTGTACTCGGGAAGGAAGATGTGAACCGTGTCGTCCGTGGCCACCGCCAGCTCAGCATCGCAGGACCAGGCTATCGCGTGCGATGTCAGCGGTCGCGGGCTGAGCGATAGTGGCTTCAAAGGGCGGATCTGCGTTCAATTTCAGCTTTCTTGCGCAATGACCGTGATGACCGCCACCTCGTATTTACCTGCGATCGTTGCATCTTCGTAGTGCAGAGATCCTGCTAGCGATTTTCAGGAAAACGCCATGATCCAGATATGATGTCTTTGCGAAAACGGGCCTATTTTCACAGGGCACAATAGTCAGAGGATGGCTGTCAATTGGGGGGTGGATGATGAGGCTGTCAGGTGAAAGTGGGATGAACATGAATTTTGATCGCGAGTGCTTCATTCACTCTCAGCTATACCACACTAGTTCCCACCGTGTTGAAGCCAAGTTCAACAGCGATGAATCAAAACACAATTGGCAGCTCCATGCGAGCGCGGTAGATCCCAATCAATATCATGCAGTGGTCATGGTTTTCATTAACATCATCTAAACTTCAAGGAACGTACCAAGGCCCCAGAGCAGAGCGCACCCAGCCAACGCAGACGCCCCGATCACCTTCTTTGACCACCAGCTATCATCTGTCAACGCAGTGGCCCCTAGTATCTTCTTTGCAGGCTCGGTGGGCACGCTGGCTGGCATGCTAGCAGTCTGGTTACGTGCGGCAGCCTCTTCCTCCTCTGCCTTTTTCATCAATCGAGCAATGGTCTTGCTCAACTCGAGCATGTCCTCGTCGAAACCGGGGTCCTTTGACTTGTCCACCTCCACGTTTTGAATGTTTCCAAAGAAGTCGGTGATGAGGCGGCCGCGTGCCGCGTCGGCGCCCCCGGGGAAGAGGTCGTAGCGCATGCCAGGATCGGAATGAATCTTGCTGATATCGTAGCTGTCGAACAGCTCGCCCATCGTCTTCTTGCTGTTGATGTCCTTGACCTGCCCCTCCAGGAACTCGAGGTTGTAGTACGTGTATCGGTCAATGACGGCCACGCCAACGTCATTGTCGGCGTGGTGCGAATAGGAGGACTGGTCAAGTTTCGAGGAGCCGGTCGCGATGATGTTGGGGGAGTACAGCCTGCTGAACATGGTATTTGCCTGGCACGTGTCGATCATAAAGAGGATCTCGTGGTATCTGCGAAAATCAGCCAATGTCCGTGTGCTCCTCGGACGAGGGAACGGACCTCTTCTTTTCCCACATCTGCTCGAACGCATTCGCCAGATCCCATGCACCGATTTCCTCGGCATCTTGAAACTTCAAAAACTCGTTGCCTCCGTGGCCCGTCATGTACACCAGGATGTTGCTTCGGTCGTCTGTGAGCAGGCGCTTGCTCCTGGGCGTGTCGGGTCCAACGCGGTCGGTCAGGAGCCGGATGAAGTTCTCCACGGTGACCTCGTACCCTCGGTAGTCCACCTCGATATTGTCGCCATAGAGGTCGACGGCGCGGTTCGAGTTGCTGTACACGGTGCCGGGGAAGGAGTTTCGAGGGTTGCACGCCATGTCGTCGGGGAGCATCATGATGATCTGCGAATCGGGGATGCCGAGTCGCTTGACGGTTCGGTACATGGCCAGCACGTTGGCCATGTGGCGGTAGTTGAACCAGAAGCGCGACGTGCCGACCAGGACTGCCCAGTTGTTCGTGTGCTCGGCAAGGGCGACGCCCAGGAGCATCGTGGCCACGATGGCCAGACGGACGTTAAACAGCATCGCGCGGGCTCAGCAAGCGCTTGCAAACGAGGATGGGTGAATGAGCGAAAATCTGTAGTCTTTCGGCTACAGGTGCTGTCGCATTCAGGTCATCACGAGGCTGGCAGACCTGTCGATGCTGGTAATGAAGGCGTAGCATGGCAATGTCTCAAGCTTACAAATCTGGGGTCGCGTCGTTGTCCGTATCGGTCGGTGCTGACATTCGGCAAGCAGCTTACCCTACATACTGCACCTCCAGGCTCTGGCTCTACAGCCAGCTTTGTTTGGTGTCGCAATCTTCAAAACTGCAAATTTTGGCTGTTTCTTGATAACCACCAGTCATAATTTACAATCGCAGGTCTGTTCTTCCCATTGGCAATGCTTTCATGAGTTGACAAGGTGCCATCGTCGGCGCCTTGCCAGTTTGAAATCCACGTTTTGTGAACAAGCAGTGATTCAATCATGGCAATTGTGAGAAGAGAAAGTGCTTAGCTATTTAGGAGCGACCTATCTACCAACGCAAACTCAATCAAGTATCCAAGAGAAATTACCACGTTGGCTACACATAGTATTTGATTGGGTTTGAAGACCAAAGACAACACAGGAAGTCTCCCCGCAAACGACATGCGCCAGTGCAGAAGCGCTCGTGAAATAGTAATAAAAGTGGCTTGCTCAATCACATGCTTGGGCTAACGAGCCTCTGCCTTGACGTGTGACCTCTCGAAACTTCGCATGAAAATACGAACCGACTTTTGGCGCTCACATTCACCAGTGTCTAGTTCATGGCTGTCTGAACATTTCGCAATGCCGCCCGGAATCACTGTCTTGGCCCGCCGATGTGCACTGCCGACGTCTGCTTGCTTCTGTCATGTACCCTCTCCGACGCCCGAAGGTGAGGTGAGGTCACTGGCGGTACCGACGCGAAGGCGCACGCTGCGCCGACGTAGCCACTCCGTGTATCACGAGACACAGACTTTCATGTCGACGGTCTTATGCTCACCATGTCCTGAGAACGAGTCTGACGGGCAGCGGATGCTGATCACTTCATATGAATGGTAGTTTGACATTTCCTGTGTAATAATACAGCACTCAGTCAGAGAGAATCGATTCTACAACACATGGCCCACCCCCCGTAGGCCACGGACGGTGACGGACCCCAGCGCAACCGGACCGTGACCCCTAAAGCTACCCCTCCTCAGGGACGTTTCCCTGCTAACTCCGTCCGTCACTCCAGTCCACGCCCTCATGTCGTCCTATGGAGACAACTCACATGGAAGTCAGTCATCTTGTACTTGCCATTTTTGCTCGTCGCGGTTCATGTCTCCAAATAACATGCGGCGAGCGCCTGTCCGCCCCATCGTCCATGCCCACCACCATCCTCGTTCTCCTCATCCTTCACATTTACGTGATGTAGAATCGAACCCAACCAGCATCTGTTCATACACTCCCTTTGCCTTCATCACACCCTATGCGGAACGCCCACGGATTCACGTTCCCTGGCTGAGCTGTAATACGCCGTGCTGAGCCCCACGTGGCTATCAATCTTCTCAAGCTCGACACTGCAGGCGCATCACCACGACCCGCCGCCGAAACAAACACAGGGCTGCGCGTCCAGTAGACTGCATTCAGTTTGGTCTCTCGAGAAGCATCTCTGTTAGCAGACTTACCAAAAAGAAGCCATGGCTGGCTTACCGTCGCATCTCTTCGTCATCAGGTAAGTCGCACAGGAAACACCTGACAGCGTCGTCGAGTCTGAGCTGACAAATGCCACACAGACACGGAAATCGTTTGGATGCTGCCGACAAGAGGTGGCACTTATCGTCACCGACTCCGTACGACCCTCCTCTGACATACGGCGGCTGGCTTCAAGCTAGGCAAGTCGGTGTGCAAATCAGCAACTACCTCGAACAAGCCAAGAACGACGCTCATCAAGTCAAGAACGCCTCATCCTCCCAAGAGCGCCCCCGCAAACGCTTCCGAGTCGTCATTCACAGCTCGCCCTTCCTACGATGTATACAGACCTCGATCGCCATAAGCTCTGGCTTGGCGCAGTCATCCCCCGACTCTGCTGGGCAGCCAGCTGATCTGCTCGTCCCTGTGCCGACACCGGCCGGCAAGACCAAGAACAACTTTCGCTCTTCGATACTGCGCCTCGACTCGTTTCTGGGTGAATGGCTGTCACCAGAGTATTTCGAGAACATCACACCCCCTCCAAGCTCTAGCTTGATGCTGGGCACCGCCAAGGCTGATCTGCTCAAGCGCGAGGATTACAGCATATACACAGACTTCTCGAATGCGGCTTCCGCCCCGCAGCAACCAGCACCTAGAAAGTCTTCGTTGTGGAACGGGTCGCCAGATCGCACACCTTCGCCCTCGTCACAAGGACCCTTCTCGGCCCCGGGGTCGTCGGGTGCCTTGCCTGGCGATGCCGGCAACAACAAAGGCTACAACGCGCCTCGAGCAACATATGCAGTCTCTAGCGCGGGAAAGATCCCGGATGGTTTTGTGGCACACGCACGTGATCAGTGCCTCGCGGTGGATTATCAATGGGACTCCATGAGGGAGTCGCTAGGCTTTGGCGACGGAGGGAATTTGGGCGAGGAATGGACGGCGATGCACCAGCGCTTCAGGGGCGGATTGAAGAAAATGCTTGACTTTTACGCCAACACAGGCTCTCCAGAGCGACTGGTCTCAACTTCCGCAAGTGGGGAGAAAGACGTGCCGACTGACGACGAGGATGTTGAGACCGTGGTCATCATGGTATCGCACGGCGCGGGCTGCAATGCATTGATCGGAGCCATCACCCACCAGCCCGTACTCATGGATGTGGGGATTGCGTCCATCACCATGGCTTCTCGAAAGGAGAACCTCGATTATGCACAGCTACGCCATGACACGGCCACACAGCAACCTGAAGATCCGCTCGTCCCCGTGGATCGCATGTACGATATCAGGCTCTCGGCAAGCACCGAGCACCTTCATTCGACCATGTCGACGCCCGTATCCGCAAGGTCAGGGAGCATCGGAACTACGTGGAGTACGGGGAGCACTCCTGGTAATCGGGGCCGTACGTCAACGTTGGGAACCATGGTCGGACCCAGTCTTGGGGCTTTCACTTATAACGACCCCTTGTCGGCGGCCGGTAGCCGCAGCTCATCTGCCAATGCGGCTGTCGTGGGCACATCAGTGCGCCGAGACTCGGGCCCATCCAAGACAACTCCCAGGCAGTCTGCCATGGCCTCTGTGAGCAGCATCTTCTCAGCCTCAGGCGGCAATGGCAACCCCAGTGGGCCACCCTCACCATCAGCCGGGTCTCCATCTGTGGGACTCTGGACGCCGACGCCATCCTCTTTGCGAATGGTGGACGATGGCTCGAACCAAACTAAGGACGACGACTATGGATTCCCCAACTTTGACGGCATGCGACTGGATGGACCGTCATCTTCGCTACCCTCGGCGTCGACGCAAAGCCCAGCTAGTGAGGTTCCCGCGTTGCAGAAGCCTAGGGGGCCCAGGCTGGCGGGCCCCATCAAGCTCCAGACGAATTGGGAGGATGCGCCACCGGCACCGGCAGCTGAAGAAGTGCCTAGAGGGCTTTGGGGTCAGCCGATGCCTCCCGAGGTGGACACAAACCAGGGTCCCAAGATCTCGAAGCGGCGGTGGACAGTCAATGAGCGGACGAGGTGAAAGGTCTTACTAAGGGTGAAGCGGGTTTCTCATCACTCTAGCGTAAAAGCGTGGCGATTGTTACGGCATAGCGAGGCAAGCAAGGGATCAAGGCACATTTTTCTTTCTCATCAAGCATACCAGTTGCTCAGATACACTAAAACCCCACATGGGTCGCCTGACGAATAAAGTCTATCTTCTAATCTCAATCTACAAATTCAATGTGCCAAACGTCTTGTTCATCGCCTTGTGCGCCAGCTCCACGCCCAAGAAAGTCGCAGCGTTTGCGGGAACAGCTCGGGTCAGCGCTGGCCCGAATCCAGGGAAGAAGGCCTTCAAACCACCCTTGCCGTAGAGCTCGCGCACCACACCGCCCAATGTGACATTGCCCTCCGCTGTCTGCAATCTCGACTTGACCGTGTCGACGGGGAACACGGGAATCCACATGGCCACACCGGCAGCCGCACCGGCACACGTCACGGCCATCAAGCTCAGATCCCCCGTCGGCTTGCCCGTCACGGGGTCCTTGGGACTCATTCTGCGCTTGATGTACTCGTACGCTGCAAAGTACGCAGCACTGCCGGGGCCGTCACGCGCCAGGGTTGCGACGCTGCCCCTGAACACGCTGCGGATACCACCCTCCTTGTACAGCTGACGGACGACGTCGACGCCGCCATTGTATTTCGGCTTCTCCCCGGGGGCGAGCTGCTTCTGGCCCTGCACCTGTAGGATGACCTTGACGCGCTCAAAGGGCGCGGTGATGGCTGTCATGGGAATGGCGGAGAAGAAGCCGGCCGCGGACGTCTGGGCAATGGTGAATCCCTCGGGGGAGACGGTGGATGTAGCGGAAACGATCTGCTTGCCGAGGTCGTACCCCCAGAACGAGACGGCGACTAACAGTAATACTGGTCAGCGACACTGGCGTTCCTTGCCTTGGGGGGGAGGTTCCTTACACATGGGCGTGACACCGACTAGCGGCGCACTGACGCCGGCATACAATCCCCGCCTCAGGCCATCCCTCGCGATGCTCTTCTTCACCACATCAATGGCACCGTTGTAGACGCCCTTCTCCGCAGTCTGGAGACGGACCTTGACCAGGTCAAAGGGGTGGCCCACGACGACGGCGCAAAGTCCACCGAATCCACCGGCAGCGAGGGCGCGGACTTGTGAGGCGATGGAGCTCTTTGCCTCTTCCTTGGAGGGCGGCGTGGGGATTGAGTGGGCGACGGCCTCTGTTTTCGACGCCATTGTGACGGGTTGTGCGGGTGTGCTGGAGTAGAGTCGAGCTGGTGAGTGTGAGAGACTGCGCGCGCGGCGAGGAAGGACGTCCAGTAGCTCGGTCGGAGGGAAGGTACGGCTTGGCGGTGGGTGAGAGGTGAGCACCTGCCGTTTGTTTTCTCCAATCAACCACAGGCTGTTGTGTCCGCTGCGTCTTTCAACCACGGCGATTCTTGTTCCGTCAGTGAAATCTCTCGGTGCGTTTTCGCGTGTCCTAGCCGGCAATGTCGTGCGGAGAAAACAAGAGTGGTGGTAATGATCTCTTGTCTCAAGCTGGGTCGGTAATGGTTGCTGGCGACTACGTCACAAGAGCCAAGCAGTCAGTCAGTCAGTCGACTTTATCCAACAGCACGACAAGGCGTAAATGACGGGTTCAATGTCGAAGACAAATTTCTCGGACGATCAAATGTCAATGAAAAGGATTCAATTTGGAGAAAGACCAGAAATAAAACAATTCCCCAACGGGGCCCCCTCCTAATGATGCTGTGTTCGCGTCCGTACCACGACCGAACCTCGGCTACGGCTCTTGGTGGGGATGTGGCCGGCTGTGACGCCTGGGCCCTGGGGTAAAGCGATGGGGTCTCCGCGCGCGCTTCAGCATCTTGCGCGTCCTCCGCACGACCGAGTTGCACCGTGGCTGCAGGCGGCTCATGTCAAATTCTGGCTGATTTGATGTTTCTTGTCTACATGCAGTAGTAATGAGGCCTTTTCTTTTTTTAGTGTCGTTGGTTTATTAGATGGACTGTGGACATGGAGCCCTTCTTAAGGTATGATGCGCCCAGCCCCGATTCCCCACTGACTATCACATGTTGATGAGAGTGTCGCTAGCAAGGTTTCGCTATACAATGGCATGATTGAGTACTAGTATGCTAGTGAAAAATCGAGTCGAAGACATACGCAAGTATATTTACAGAACGCTTATATAATCACGATAGGGGGCAAATCGACAGCCCTGCGCTGCATATCCGTGTACTAGCCTGCTCAGAAGCCTCAATCAGAAGGGCTTGGGTGTCGGTGGCGCGTTCATCGCTCGTCGGCTACACCAGCACGAGTTGTCTCCCTCTTTCTCGACTTGGATCACGGCTTTCACGCCCTCTTTGCTCAGGAACTCGTCCACACGGTCCCGTACGTCGTCGACCGACGCGTTCCTGGAGGCTACCACGTGCACAACACCCACGAGCTTGTCTCCCGCGTCACCTCCGCTGCGGTCGTCTTCCCAAAATCTCGGAACGGAGTAGCTGACCACACCTCTTTGCTGCAGGATGCCGCCGAGCGTGTTGCGCAGATTGTATTCGCTTGACTCTGGCACGCTGAGCAAGAGCTGCGTCGCCGAGCCTTGTACAAGGGGAATGGCAGAGACAAAGATGAGCCCTGCGATGAAGCACGAGGCGAGAGGGTCCCACCCGGCCCACCCGACCCAGCTCGTCAGAATGGTCGAGACTATGACCGACGCACTGCCAAGGGTATCTGCCATGATATGCAGATAGATCCCGTACATGTTGTCGTTGCCATGGCCTCCACAGCCGCCACCGTGGCTGTGAGCACCCTTTTCGTGTGAATGGGCATGGTCGTGATCATGTTCGTGGCCATGACTGTGCCCGTGCGAATGGCCGTGGCCGTGGTGGTGGTGTCCGAAAGAGGTCAACCCAATCAAGTTGACGAGTAGTCCAAGGGTGCTGACAACAAGCAGCTCGCCTAGCCGTTGCGGCTGGCTGCCTTCCCAGAGGCGTTCGAATGCCTCAAATGCAATTTCAACACTCAAGAGCCTGCATGCTGTTAGTGTTGTCCAAGTTTTGGGGTGGGCTACCCTTTCACTCACATCAATAACACACCATTGGCGAACCCACTCAACGACTCAATCTTGCCAAAGCCATATGGGAATTTCTGGCTCGGCGGCCACTTGCTCATCACCGCGGCCAGCAGGCCGACAAGCAGCGCAACACAGTCAAAGAACATGTGGATGCTGTCGCTGAGCAAGCCCAACGAGTCTGTGACGTACCCGTAGAACGCCTGCACCGTCATGAATGCAAAGTTGATCCTGTCACACCAGTTAGCAAGGAAACCTGCTGAAATCTTGATCGATTGGCCACGTACATCATGAAATAGAAAATACGCCTAGAATCCTTCTCCGTCATGATTGCGTGTACCACAGGCCATCTCGCAGTATGTGGGAGGACGGTGCGCGTGAACAGCGACTGTTTTGTGTCCTTCTTGTGGTGGTCGTCGTGTGCGTGCGAGTGGTTGTGCCCATGGTCATGATCGTGGCTATGGTCATGTTTGTGGTCATGGTCATGTTTGTGGTCGTGATGGTCGTGGCTATGGCTGTGGCTGTGGCTATGACCGTGGTCGGAAGCACTCGGCCGGTTGTAGGGGGTCGAGAAGTTCCCGGCCATTGGTGTGATCACGTCCTGTCCCTCGTGCCCTGATTCTCCCGCCCATCCACTAGACAAGTCCAGCGCGGCCGGTGGAACTCTGCGACTAGACAGCGCCGCGCTCGTGTTCGAGGCTTGTGAGCCGGCCCGGCCGTGAGAATGGTGTCGGTGGTGCGACGTTCGGCTGTCGTGGCCCGAATGTTCGTCCTCGGGGTGCGCCTGAAGGCCACTGCCCGTTGACGCTGAGGACTTCCACGAGTGTATTGACGATTGCGACTGCGAGTGCGTGTGCATGTGTTTGTGGTGCGCGTGGGGCAAGGCCGAGGAAGGCAGAGCGTATGACGAGGCCATGCTAGTGAACGGTCGAACACTCTAGCAGTCGGCCTGCTGCGCGAGCGATTTTAGAAGTGGGAGTTCAGAGTCCCTCGAGTCCAGTCTTCGCAGTGGCTATTATGTGCTGTGGTCCCGACAGGAACCTGCGCTACACGCTTGCGCTGAATATGTCGCGCTCGGTAGGTGCAATTGTACGTCGCAATTAGGTCTGGCGGCGCGCTCTCCACGAGGGACAGCGAATATTCCGAGTACGGGAACGTTCGAACGGGACTTTCGGTGGATGACGTTGGGAGAATTTCAGTCGGCCAGAGTCGCTCAGGGGCAAGAGTACGCTGCCGTTGGTGGTTGCTCGAAGGCGGTGATTGTTCGTCGAAACTTGCCAGAGGGACGCGTAAGGCCTGTCAATTACCTGCAAGTCTAATAGGACGCAGCAATGCCTTGACCTCAGACAGAACGAGGAGGAGGCGAATTTGGTTAGGAGCTGGGGATCACGGGGGAGATGATATGCAACCAGCTGCAGTCTACGGCCGGAGGTCTAGCCAACCTTATAGCAGTCCCCTGCTTCCTACTTCGCAGCTGCCACTCCCCACCGCCAGATGAATGGCGGCGAATTGGCGATCGCGCATCGCGTCTACGACTGCCAAGACGTGCATCCGGGATGCCCCTGCAGCCGTGCCAAAAGTGCTGGCGTCAATCGAATGGCTGCTTCTGACGATAACAGTCATAACACGTGGTGATCTCATGAGAATTCTCTTTGCATGACCAGCGATGACTCGCAAGTCGCACACGCTACCGCGATGCCATGATGCGATAAGACCAGCACCACCATAGTACTTGACGGGTAGAGACCCCGTTTCGCGGGGCCTGATAACGATAGGCTCGATAACGGCTGCCGCCCCTCAAGCGGCGCGTCAACTGCCAAATTCGACATGGGCTGGACTTTTTGATTTGGGCCCGATCAAGAAGCTGGTCTTGGATTGTTCCGTTTCTGTGGGGTGGTATCTTGGGTACGTATCTACAGAGTGCTGTAGTCGTTTCATTCATGTAAACCATGTTTATCCTTCAAAGCTTGGGCGGTTCAACTGCCTAGACTGGACTAGGAGAATGATGTAGCTGCTGGCGACTGGAGGTGTAGCAACGCGGCGCCCCACTTCACTTCAGCAACTCTGTCACTCAGGCTTCACGTAACCTCACACTTGAAGCTCTGGCTCACCATCGCCAACCCTCACTTCACCCTCGTTTATCTGCCGACGTGCCTCTGGCACACGACATTACTCGTTATGTGGGGTTCCTTCCTGCTTTCGATGCTCGCTGGAGCATTGACAATCATCTTCCTAGCCTTTCTCGTCAGGTTCACTGTCTGGGCAGCAAAGAAGTCCCGCCACGCGATCCCATCACGCTACACGCCCGCCGCAAAGCCTGAGGATGAGCATATTCAAATCCTTGTCCTTGGTGACATTGGTCGCAGCCCGCGGATGCAGTATCATGCCATCAGCATTGCGAAGCATGGGAGACACGTAGACCTGATCGGATATAAGGGTGAGCTACCACGCGCGGGTCCTGGCTATGGTTGTGTTGCAGAATGCTGACGAGACTGAAGAAACGGCCAGACATCCAGAGCTCATTGGGAAACCAAATGTTTCGCTGTATGCTCTATCGCCCTATCCGGAATGGATCGCTTGGGGGACCCTTCCATTGCTGTCGATTCCCTACAAAGTCATCCACCAGTTCTGCACACTATACTACCAGATGATGTATGCAGCACCGGCAGCGCAATGGATCATCATACAGAACCCACCCTCGATCCCGACTTTCCATGTTGCCATGTTCGTCGCTTGGGTGCGAGGAAGCAAGGTCATTGTCGACTGGCACAACTATGGACACACTTTGTTGTCGACCACGCTCTTGCTCCGGCCCCTCGTGCCGATATACAGGTGGTACGAGAAGGGATTCGGTCGTCGGCTTGGTAACGCCAATCTGGCCGTCACGGATGCCATGTGTCGTCAACTCAAGGGCCCGAGCTTCAAGGTCAAAACGCCCGTCGTGACACTCCATGACCGACCTGCGGCCGTGTTCCAGCCGATCACTGACCCCAAGGAGAGGTTTGCCGTCCTCTCCCGCATAGGTGAAACGAAAAAGGACGCCAAGAACATCATTGATGGTACGGTGCGACTCATTGTCAGTAGCACTTCATGGACGGCAGACGAGGACTTTGGCATCCTACTAGATGCGCTCATGGCCTATGCTGCGCCGCCGGCCCACGGTACAAGCACCATGGACAGCCCAGCCCCCATCCTTGCCATCATCACAGGCAAGGGACCGCAGAAGCAGCCCTACATTGAAAAGATCAAAGAACTCGAGAGCCAGGGCAATCTGCCAGGTATTCGTATCCTGACGGCGTGGCTTTCGACACGCGACTATGCCGCCCTCCTCGCCTGCGCCGACCTAGGCGTGTCCTTGCACAAGTCCAGCTCGGGCGTCGATCTCCCCATGAAGGTGGTCGACATGTTCGGCGCCGGCCTGCCTGTAGCCGCCTACTCGGCCTTTGAAAGTTTCGGCGAGCTGATCAAGGAGGGCGTTAATGGCTGTGGTTTCGAGACTGCGCCGCAGCTGACCGAGGTGTTCCAGCGATTGCTCGGCGTGTACGGTGTCAAGGAGCTGGCGAGGCTGAAGAAGGGCGCTATCAGCGAGGGAAGCCTCCGATGGGACGAGGAGTGGAATCGTGTGGTCGGCAGGATCATTGGCGTGGTTGATTCGTGAATCCCAGCCGGCGGTCAAATACAGTTATATTGATGTGATAACTTTTGGCAGCCCGCCCTTCCGCTATGCATGGAACGAAGGCGGCGCTATGAAAGACTTCTTCCCTTGAAATACCCAAATGTAACAAAGATCGCTGCGCTAAACACGTGTCGAAACCTTCAATCCTCCCCGAGGCTTTCCCTGACAGACTTCCGTACCGCTCTACGGAACTCCTTGTGCTTGCCCTCCCTCTCTTCTCGCAGTAGCTTGCCAGCCTCCACGTTCGCCGGGCTCTCGTCGCTCAAGTCGTGGAACAGACTGAGCACGCTGACGAGGATGGTCTCGGGCGTTTGTACGGGGCTCCATCTCTCGCTCGCCTTCTCGTACCCATACTGGTCCTCCTCGGGCGGGTGTAAGATCGAGATACACAGGCGGCCGTCGGGGTAGACATTCGGGTGGAATGGGATGCCGGGACTTTGGAAAGTCAGCGAGGGCGGCATGAGTGGGTAGTCTGGTGGGAAGCTGAGGCGAGCGCGAAAGTTGCCTCCTGGATATTGTGAGCCTAGGTTTTCTTTTTCCTACATCACAGAGGGACACCAGGGAGAGGATACCGCCGTAGTATTTGCAGTCGTCCGAGATCATGAGCATAATCTCCCACTCGAACATGTTCGCATCGGAGATGAGACCGCACGAGACGCCGGAAAGGTCCTTTGACTTTTGGATTTCGCGGAGCTGGCGACTGAGGAGGGCGGCTACGCCTGTGACGGTGCTCATGGTGACGGTTGGTGAGCTAATTTGCGGGCGTTTGTATTGTACAATGATCAGGCTGCTGGGGGTAGGAGACTGGAGCTGCCCCGAGAGCAAAATTCACGCCAGTCAGGTGAATGGAAGGGTTGTTCTGCCAGGGTCCATGTGATGTGATGGAGGTGGGCTGCGTTGGAGAAGTGGCGCGCGGGGCATTTCTGTTCCGCAGCCTTGAGCTCTGCGCGGTACTTGTACGGACTGGAGCTCGACAGTCTGAATTGGCCATGCCCAATGCATTGCAATAAACGCGACTGATATATGTCGCCAAATAAATGATTGCAGTCAACAGTCCCTTTGCCAACGCGATAGTGCCCATGAAATTCCCACAAGAACGCCGTCCGTGCGCCAATGCCATGTTGCTCCCTCTTCGTCACGGGGTATCCAGAACCAGTTCTCACTTTTTCGACGTGCCGAACCCTGTTATGCCCATGGCGGCCATCATGTCTTCTTCATCATGCTCGCCCTCAATCCGCAGATCCTCGTCGTATTCGGTCTTGACCTTGGCCGCCTGCTCCCTCTCCAGCCTCTTCTTCTCGGCAGCCTCCCTCCGTTTCGCCCTCTTTTCCTCCGCCTCGTGCTCTGCCTCTTCCTCGCGCATCTGGAGCCTGTCTTGCAGGCTCGTGGCCTTTTCGCGCTCCAGCTCCTCCAGTTTCCGGACGCGGTAGTCGATCCTTGCTTTGACTTCTTCCACCGTGGCCCTCTTGACCTCTGTCTTCTGCCCCGTGTTGGCCAAATGTTGGGTCGTGTTCAGATGCTCGACCCATTGCAGGTTGTCCTTGAAGGTGAGGTCGCACGCCTCGCAGTAGAAACCAGCGCCCCTTCCTCGCTTGCCGACGCCCGCGCCCGCCGGGACCAGCTGGGTCTTGCCGACCTGCGACTCGAGGTCGATGATTGTGCGTCGGGCTGTGGCGTATTGCTCGTCGCCGGTCAGAGGTTTGTGGTATTTCTTGCCGGCGAGCTTGGCCTCGTAGCGCGCCTTGCGTTCTTCCTTCTCGGCAGCTTCGCGGTCGGCGGCCTTGGCGGCGTATTCCTCTAGATCGTAGTTTTTGCGAAAGTCGGTGTCGCCGGCGGGAGCGCCATATGCGCCGCCCTTTTTGTCTGCCATTGTGTGATGTGGTGTCGCGAGGGTGAAGAGCTGCCTAACTACCGGATGTCCAGACGCGCATGGAAAAGTTGAGGATGGAGACGACGTGACTGGTCTGGACGGACAGGGGGTGGTTATGACGTGCCGCATCAAGGGTGCACACTGCAGAGACGCTAAAAGTGTCCCCTGTGGAGGACATTGAGACTGTTAAGGTACAGCTCAAGGTACTCGCCAAGTAGGGCATCTTGGGCAGAGCAAACTGGCATAAGCACCATAAAATACTTGGCGTTTCTTATTAGCGGACGATTATTGATCAAATTATCAATTCTATGATGTTGCCCCAACTCTATAGCAGGACGAGATCCCCGACATAGGCTGGGTCTGAGTTTCAGTGTTGGCATCGGTTTTGGGAGGGAACCCCGCCGCGGGGCATTTCTCAAAATGTCGATTGAAAGTTGCGACCAGCATTTTTCCAGGCTCGTCGTCTACCAGCAACATCACCACAAACATGCTGTACCTTGTCGGGCTAGGTCTCTCTGACGAGACAGACATCACAGTCAAGGGGCTGGAGGTGGTCAAGAAGGCCGCGAGGGTTTATCTCGAAGCCTACACGAGCATCCTTCTGGTCGACCAAGCCAAGTTGGTACGTCTTGCGGCTACGGGACAGCATGGCGGGAACTCACGATTGAACAGGAGGAATACTATGGGCGCTCGATAACGATTGCCGACCGCGAGATGGTCGAGTCCAACAGCGACGAGATCTTGCGCGATGCAGCTACCGAGGACGTCGCATTCTGCGTCGTTGGCGATCCCTTTGGGTGAGTCAAGGCATCCCTCCTCACCAGCCCACGGGAGACGGACTGACACAAATTGCAGAGCTACCACACACACCGATCTCGTCATCCGCGCGCGCGAACTCGGCATCCCCGTCGGCACCGTCCCCAACGCATCGATCATGTCGGGCATCGGCGCCTGCGGCCTCCAGCTGTACAATTTCGGCCAGACCGTCTCCATGGTCTTCTTCACAGACACCTGGAAGCCATCCTCGTTCTACGACCGGATAAAGGAGAATCGGACCATTGGCCTGCACACGCTGGTCCTGGTGGACATCAAGGTGAAGGAGCAGAGCCTAGAGAACATGGCCCGGGGCCGGCTGATCTACGAGCCGCCCAGGTACATGACGGTCGGCCAGTGTGCGCAGCAGATGCTCGAGATTGAAGAGGAGCGCAAGGAGGGCGTCTACAGCAAGGACAGCCTCGCCATTGGGGCGGCGCGTGTAGGTGGGAAGACGGAGAAGTTCGTGGCCGGAACGTTGGAGGAGCTCTGTGCGCAGGACGAGGCGTTGGGACCCCCGTTGCATAGCCTGGTTCTTCTCGGACGGAGAACGCACGAGCTCGAGCATGACTTTGTGCGGGAGTTTGCCGTCGACAAGGAGAAGTGGACCTCTCTGTGGAAGGCTGAGTATGACAGACAATGATATCTTGTTTGGGGTTGGGCGCCAACGCCGAAGTTCAAATGCCGGTCGCCCTTTGCCAATACGTGCTTGGACGGAACTTTATGGTCGAATGAGGAGACGCCTGTACTGGCACACATGCCTATGCTGGCGGTTAATAGGCAGCAGCTTCATGTGTGAATGCAGCGCGCGGACATGATGCCTTAAAGATAGCTGGAGCCGGCTAGGCACGAATGCGACACTTTGTATAGAGGCAAATCAGAGAGGATGAGCAGATTTTGCAGCACAAGGTACACGGTTATGCACCCAGCCTTACTTCATGTTGATGTTAGGGGAAACAGGTGATTGGAAAGGGGGCACGTAAACGGACCCATAGATATGCATGCCCGGTTGAATACTACTACTAAGGTACCTTAGAACTAACATGCCTAAGTCGCAGTCGCGGCAGCCTGTGATAATAAAACTTGTTAAGGTTCGCATTGAACCGTTGGTCCGGAACACCAATGACGGAGCGTATATGGCATTTGATCACAAACCGCCGTACTGCCCCGGGTCATAGATTCGGGGCGATATACCTTGATTGAAACAGGGGAATTGTGTTGTTGGCCTGCTACCAACAGCATCACCAAGGGGCCGGAGGAAGGCGCGCGCGCTTATAACAGCCGCAAGAATAGTAATTCATCAGTTTCGTCCTCCTGCTCCCTTGCGAGTCAGGCGCTTGTGATAGCATTGGATATGGTGCCAGCCTGATGATGCCTTTGTGTATAAAGGCCTGGTCTTCTTTGCTAAGAATTTGATGCACTTCAACTGCAATCTCAAGCTAAATCAAGCCAACTTAACCAAGGCAGCCAGATCAGCCAACCCAAATATCCAAACCAGACAATGCCTTCCGACAAAGATCGCCTTTATGTTGCCCTGTATGCTCATGGAGGGGCACCGACCATGCCGGGACTCGAAGACACGTAAGTCAATGCTATAACAGCGCATCATCCTTGTTCTAACAGTTGCAGGTATCACTGGGCTCTCATGCTAGGGCCGAAGATCGAGACAGAGAACAGCAAAGGCGCTCGTTATCATGCTCTAGAAAAAATCAGGTTTGTAGGGGAATCTGACGACCCTGTGTCGACTTGGGAGTATGACGAGCGAGAGAGCTCGTTGCTGGCGACATCCATGTTGCTTGTCCGAGTCATATTTGCCAAGGTCAAGGACAGAGACAGATCGGAGTTTATCCTAAGGAATATCCCGATCCGAGCAGGGGAGGTGGGATGGAATTGCGTCGGGTGGGTGAAAAAGGCCATAGAAACGGCTCTGAGTGATAAGAAGGCCTTGGGCCCCCCCAAGAATCTGAACTGGGATTCGATTCGAGATACCGCCATGTGGTATGTCGAGAAGAAGAAGGCTGCACATCGGTTTGATGGAAGAGTGAAGTACGATCAGGAGAAGGCTGCCACCTGGGATATGTTTGATGGGGTTGAGTTGGTGCCTTGAGCGCATGAAGCTTGACGTGTACAATGGCGCAGAAACTCACCAACTCATCAGAAATCGCCAAAATACTTGCGTCTGATAGTCTCCATCTTCCACTCCCGCGGCATCGGCGTTATGAAACGATCGACCGGTTCCTCCCAGAATGGGTTATAAGGGTTCACATATTTGGCAGTTGTATACTCCCAGTATGGCGGGAACCATCCTGCTGTCTCCCAATCCACGATGCCCACGACAGTATCCCCATCGACCAGAATATTGAGGCTGCTGAGATCACCGTGGGTGAGAACCAACTGGCTCTCTTCTGCTTGCTGATAGAATGCGAAAAGCTCGCCGAGGTCAGGGAAGTTGGGGCATTTGGCGTGCCATGGACTATTATCGGATAGCGCGAGATGGAATTCGCGTGTAGTAGCGAACGGGCCCCAGTAGTACTTCCTGGGCAGACGACAGTCCCAGAACGGCCCTCCGTCGATGCTACCAATCTTGGTCCCTTCCGGCGGCGGAATAGAGCGGAGCTCGGTAATCATGCCGCGTAGCTGCTCTAGTATCTTCGTTTGCGATTCATCTGAACGAAGTGCCCATTCAGATGCTGCCATTTGCCCCTTGATACGGCGCATGATTATATATGCTGTTCCTTTGTGGACGAACGCGTAGTATATCTTCGGCACGGGTATAGACGTGTGGTTGGCGACGAAGTGTATAGTGTTGGCTTCGGTCATGCTCCCTCCTTGTCTGGCCTTGATATAAAAAGGGCCGGTCTGTTTCTTTAGAAGTTTTCGTATGAGCCTATTCCCTCTTATTTTGATAAGCAGAAGGATGAGTGTTCGGATTGCGCGTCCAGGAGGCGGCGGCGGCGGCGGCGTGGTCGGAGATGCCATTTGGGTGCGGGTCGTTTACGAATGGCTTGATAGTAAAACAAGGCCGGAGGATGAAGTGAACGTGAAGATGGGCCGCTGAAGAATCAATCACTGCATATGCATCACATAGATTCATGGCTGGGGTATTGTTACGGCTCGATCGTCGGTCGAGTCTTTTCGTGGATGAAAATCGTTCTGGATTGCCTAACACATGGCGGCTATGAAGAAAAAGGGGGTAGTTAAGCGGTATAGAAAGCAGAAAGGTATCGGTATGTATAGAAGGAGAAGGGATAAGATTAGTTATCGTGAGATATATCGACGTGCACCTAGTTGATCTACTTACCTACCTGGTATATATGCACGGACCCGACTTTTACACGTGACGTTAGATTTAGAGGAATCAGAGAGCAGCTGCCGTGGCAGCGGAACACGCATTCCATCATACATCCTTGATCTCCTCCGACAGACAAAGGACAAACCAACAGCAACACTTCTATACAATTTATTGATAGTCACGCACAGACTCCGAAACGCCCATACATTTGTATGTACTGGCCATTATCGTCCATCTAGCAGTTCGCCCTCGCACCGATCCCTGCAGTATGAGCATCGCCCACCATGGTCTTCACTGGCCTGCTCACCTCGAGCGATAGGCCACACAGGCCAGCATCCGCGTCCAGTCGTCCGAAAGCCTCCTCCTCGGCCTCCGAAGTCGACCTGCTCCCCGAGTACATCCACGATGAGGTACAGCTCCCGTGTATACCTCCCGAGCGACCGAACCTGCGGGAGCTGAACAACAGCCTGGAGGCCCTGGCTGCCGTCTTCCCCGACATCCGCATCGAAGTGTTCCGCGAGCTCCTCGGAAGCTTCGATGGCGAGTCTCGTTTGGCACTCGTTGCCGATACGTTGCTGAAGAATCGCGTTCAGTGGGTCAAGGGGCGATGGAGGGTTGCTGAGAAACACACGGGCGAGTCCGAGCCGATCCCCCGCGGAGAGTCCTTTCGGAGTAAGGAATATATCACCGCCGTGCAGAACCTGGCCTACCAAGAGTTCAAGGGGCTGTCCAAGCTGAACATCAATGCCGTCCTTGCCGAGTCCAACTACTCGTACCTCGAGGCCCGCCAAACGCTCGCCACGCTGTCGTCCAAATCATGGCGCTTCACCATCTCCTCCTTCTTCCTCCGGCGAAAGCCCATCGCTACGGGCGAGGCAGAACACCACCCCCTGGTGGTCTGGCGGTCGACAGGGCAAGGGGCTATCTATCCCGCGATACGAGCGACTGGTAATGCCGAGTTTGACCGGGAGTTGTTCACGCGCCTGATTGCGCCCCTGAAGGAGCGCGATGCCGAGCGAAAGGAAGCAGCGGACAGGGAATACGCCGTGCAGATCAACAACGAGGAGGCAGAGGCGGCCGACGCGACGTATGACTGTACCTGCTGCTTTTGCCCTGGCACCTTTGAGGAGTTTACCCACTGCAACAAGGAAGGCCACATGATTTGCTTCCGGTGCGTGCAGTACTCGATCAAGGAGGCCGTCTTTGGGCAAGGCTGGCAGAGCAGCATCAACGCCGACGCGGGTACGCTGAAATGCATGGCTGTGGACGGCGACGGGTGCACGGGGCATGTCCAGCGCGATCACATGCAGCGGGCGATGACGGAGGAGAAGAAGGGCGCCGAGATCCTGCACAAGCTCGACCAGCGGCTTGCGGAGCACAGCTTGCTCGCGTCCAACGTGCCGCTCGTGCGGTGTCCCTTTTGCAACTACGCCGAGATTGACGACATTTACGTGCCGGCGCACGAGGCGCGCTTGCGGGTCGACATTGCCAGCATTGTCTCTTTGTCTTTTACTTCACTGGGTGTACTCTTCTTCGCGCCCATGGCCGTGTTCCTGTCGATAGCAGGCTCAGTGCTGATCCTACTTCTCGGTCAGCAGCACGCTTGGGGCCGTTGTCTTCGAAGAGAGTGGGACGCAGCGATTACACGGCACAGGCGGCGGAGACGGGGGCAAAAGTTCACATGTCAGAGCCCCGAGTGTGGCAGGCCGTCGTGTCTGACGTGCGGCAAGTCATGGAAGGATGTGCACGTCTGCAACGAATCGTCCCTGGTCGCGTTGCGGACGCAGGTGGAAACGGCCATGAGCCTGGCTATTAAGCGCGTGTGCCCCAAGTGCAACACATCGTTTGTCAAGAACGACGGCTGCAACAAGCTGACGTGTCCCTGCGGGTACAAGATGTGCTACGTGTGCCGCGCCGACCTGAGCGAAGAGGGATACCGACACTTTTGCGACCACTTCCGGCCGGACGGTGATCCACGCCCGTGTGAGGAGTGCGACCGGTGCAACCTCTGGGAGTCGGAGGACACCAACAAGATCCTCCGCCAGGCCAGGGAGGAGGCGGAGCGCAAGTGGAAGGCGGAGGAGAACCGCGATCTGTCCGGGGAAGAAAAGGCGTTCCTCGAGACGGGCGTCGCGTCGAGGGGAGGCGAGCCCGCCGCGTTCCGCTGGGACGTGCTGCGCGGGCAGCGGCCGACGACGGCCGAGGTGTTTGACTTGATTGTGAATTGCTTCTTTCTCTAGTACGGGCGCATCATGAGGGTATGGGGACAACCTTGGCGTCTAGCGATCCACGACTTTGAGCGGGTCCATGGCATGTGGCGTTTGGGCGAGGCGGCGTTGGTGCTGATCAGACATAGACGAGACCGGAAGGGCATTATTATCACTGCTGGTGCCCCCTTTTTACTACGGACACAAGAACAACAACAAGATCGCCTGCATGGGCAACCAGCAGCAGCAGGCGTAGCAGCAGAATGGCGTTGACGGACAATGGATTAATAAAGCACAGTGCTTGTATAATACATGACTATAAATGATTCACTTTCCTCCGCTTGTTGACATTCGTTATACACATCACACACTCCGTCAGATCTTGCTCTGGCTGGCGTCCACGAGCTCCGCCGCCGCCCCGGCAATGCACAGCTTGCCCGTCTCCTTGACCTTGACCTGGAAAGTGACCTTGCCGCCATCCCGCCACATCTCGGTGACCAGCGTCTGGCCGGGAATGACGGGCCCGGCGAAGCGCACCTTGATGTTCTTGAAGGCGCCGAAGCGCTCGTAGACGGCCTTGCCCGCGAAGCCAAACGTGCACAGGCCGTGGAGGATGGGCGCCTTGAAGCCACCCATCTTGGCAAAGGCAGGGTCGACGTGGAGCGGGTTGTAGTCGCCGCTGAGCCGGTAGATGGCCGCCTGGTCCTCGCTCGTCTTGGCCTCGACGACGACGTCTGGGTGACGCTTGGGGACGGCGTTGGGAGCGGTGGCAGGACCACGGTCGGCGCCGCGCTTGGGTCCGCCAAAGCCGCCACAGCCGCGGAGGAAGACGGTCATCTCGTTGTAAAAGACCTCCTCGCCCGTCTCGGCGAGGGTGGTGGTGACGCCGCTCTTGAGGATGGCGGCGGAGCCCTTGTCGACGACCTCGAGCAGGCGCGCCTTGGAGGAGAGCTGGGCGGCGGTGGGGAGGGGCCACTTGCGAACCTCGAGGTACTGCTCGCCGTGGAGGAGCATCATGGGGTTGAAGTTGGGGACAATGGTGTCGTAGTCGAACGGCATCTCGGCGTTGAAGGGGGGGATGACGCCAAAGGTGGGCAGCACCTGGAAGTCCTCGGCACCCTCAAAGACGTACTTGAGGTCGGTGCTCTTGGCGCCCACGCCGAGGTTGTAGAGGATGGTGTCGCGGTCCGTGAAGTTGTACGCGGTGGGGGGGCCCTCCTTCTTGACGGCTTCCTGGATGGCGGCGAGGTGCTCGCTGGCAGGCTCCTGGCTGGCAGGAGAGGAGGAAGCAGGGGACTACGGAGACAGGAAGATGATCAGCAAAAGCAGAACTTTGGTATTTACAGCTATGTACATGTTTGGCTGAGAACTAACGAGGTTTCATACCTTGTTGCGCTTGTTCTCCATGTTGGCCATGACCTTGGACAGCGAGTCCTGCATCTTCTCCGGGTGGTCGGCCTTGGGGCTGTCAAAGTCGACAATGTCCTTCCAGTGCTTGACGACCTCCTCGGGTACGAGGTCCACGTCGACGGGGAAGCCGTGGCCGCCGGCGCGCTGCCAGCGCGTCTTGCCGACCCAGCCGCTGCCGACCTCGTAGAGGCCGTTGGTCGGGTCGGGGCACTTGTCGCTGCAGAGGGCGAGGACGACGGGCGCAATGTAGTCGGGCTTGAAGGCCTGGACCATCTCCTCGGGCATGATGGTCGCGGTCATGGCGGTGCCGGCGTTGGGCGCAATGGTGTTGACGTTGATGTTGTACTTGGCGCCTTCGGCCGCGAGGGCGCGCGAGAAGCCCAGGATGCCGCATTTCTAAGATTGTCAGCTTTTTATTGGGATAGGATTGGTCATCAGGAAACCTACCGCCGCTGCGTAGTTGGCCTGGCCAAAGTTGCCGTAGATACCGCTCGTCGAGGTGGTGTTGAGCACGCGTCCGTACTTTTGCTTGAGGAAGTAGGGCCACGCGGCCTTGGTCGTCTTGTAGGTGCCGCGCAGATGCACGTTCATGACGGGGTCCCACAGGCTGTCGTCCATGTTGGTGAAGGCCTTGTCGCGCAGGATACCAGCATTGTTGACGAGGATATCGATGCGGCCAAAGGCGTCAATGGCGCCCTTGACGACGGCGTCACCGTCCTCGGCCGAGGCCTTGACACCGACCGCCTTGCCGCCGAGCTTCTTGATCTCCTCGACGACGGTGTCGGGGTTGGCAAGGTCGTTGACGACAATGGAGGCGCCGTGCTTGGCGAAGGCCAGCGCGTAGGCGCGGCCGATGCCCGCACCGGCACCCGTGATGAGCGCGACCTTGCCGGAGAAGTCGAGCTTCTCGCCCTGCTCGTTGGGGCCCATCTTCATCGACTCCTCGAGGAGGGTCATAAAGTCGTTGGGGCCTGTGGGGTACTGGGGGTTGGAGAAGTCGACGACCTTGTTCCACTTCTTGAGGATGGCGCCCGGGGTGTACGAGTCGTCAGCCTTGAGCAGCAGACCGCTCGAGCGCTCCCAGCGGAGCTTGGCCATAGCGCCCGCGCCGACCTCGAAGATGCCGCCCGTCTCGGTGGTGTTGTTCTTGTGGACGAGGACAGCGACGAGGGGAACGACCCAGTCAGGGCGCAGGTTGTTGAGCACGTCCGGGGGCATGACGGTCTCGGTCATGCGGCTGGCGGCAATGGGGGCAATGACGTTGCAGATAATGTTGTACTTGACGCCCTCCTTGGCGAGGGTCTCTGTGAAGCCGACCATGGCGAGCTTGGCGGACGAGTAGTTGGTCTGGCCAAAGTTGCCAAACAGGCCCGCGGCCGAGGCCGTGTTGATGACACGACCGTACTTTTGCTTGCGGAAGTGCGGCCAGGCGGCGCGGGCGCACTTGTAGGCGCCCTTGACGTGGACGCGGTTGATGAGGTCCCAGTCCTGGTCGGACATGTTCTTGAAGCTAATGTCGCGGAGGATGCCGGCGTTGTTGAGGAGGATGTCGATGCGGCCAAAGGCCTTGATGGCGGTCTCGATGATGCGGTCGCCGTCCTCGACGCTGTCGTAGTTGGCGACGGCCTTGCCGCCGGCCTTTTTGATCTCGTCAACGACCACGTCAGCGGCCTTTGTCGAGTTGCCCTCGCCCTTGAAGGAACCGCCCAGGTCGTTGACGACGACACTGGCGCCCCTTGACGCGAAGAAGAGGGCGTACACCTTGCCCAGGCCACCGCCGGCACCGGTGACGACGACCACCTGGCCGTCGTATCGCAATTGCTCAGCCATGACGGGGCGTGTCTGTGTGTGTGTGTGTGTGTGCGCGCGTGAGATGTGTCGAATCGGTTGGGATGTTAGGGCGATCGACGGCGGGGGGAGATGAAGGAATGGGGGAAGCAAGCAGAGGAGGGAGGTCGAGGAGGACAGAGGGAATAATTAAAGAGGTGGTTCGGCAATGCACGCCTCTCCGCAGCGAGGTGGTTGACGAATCTGGAGTCAAGGGACCGACCTGCTCTCCCCAAGGACCTCGGCTCGCCCTCTGCAGCCTCTGGAGCCGCTGGGGGGGACGCCGAGGGCCCCGTGGGGCGGGCGCTAGGCCGGATCCGGCATCGCGTGACGTTCACATGCTTCAGCTGTCAGTGACCTCATTTGTGGGGCGCCAGTGTTCACCAGGGAGTTGTCCCTAACCCAGTTACCCAATTGACAGCGCTCATCAGTGCCGTCAGGGCCATCACATGCTCACAGCAGTCAAGCAGCTTCCATGTGAGCACATGAGCCCATGTGCCAGGTGCGGACACCTAGAATATCATAATCATGGCTCTTGTTTCAATACGACACACTCTGGACTTGCGACCACTGCGGCAGATGTAGGTGAGCCTTTGGAGACGACAACTTTTGCGGTGTCGCTATGCCTGACCACTGGCTGACCCAGGCTGTTGCCCTCACAGACCGTCAATGCTGAGATCAAGACAACTACAAGTGTTGATCAAACAATTAATAGGCCACTACCTTGCCTCTCTTTCTCTCAGCCGAGCAGATTAGGATCAGTGAGACGCTGTGTTACTAGCTTAGACTGTAGGTTAGTACACGTCCACGTAGACTGACTCCAGTCGACCACTCGTGCAATGTCAGAGCATGCCATGTCCTTTTTGCAATCTACCTCCAAGAGCCATTCATCAATCGCTTATTACTGTGTTGCTAGCTGAGGAAGTAATAGTAGTCGTGAGCCCCGACCGAATCCCCGGACTAGGACACCTCCGCCCATCGGCCAACCCCACACAGCAACCCCAACCTTCAAGTTCTCACCACAAGATGTAGCTCACGCTCCTCCCCACATCCCCTGAGGATGTCGTCCCACGTTCAACCACCATGGCCACCTTTGTAGACGACAAGACGCCCATCTGCGTCCCCTTCATCCTCGACCACCTCAAGTCACACCCCGCCTCCGGCAAACCCTTTGTCATTGGCCTCAATGGCATCCAGGGCGCTGGCAAGACCACCCTCGTCAGGGCGCTCGCCTCCGCTCTCGAGGCCCAGGGCGTGCCCACACTTGTCTGCAGCATCGACGACTTCTACCTCAACCACGAGGACCTAGTCGCTCTCGGGCGGAACAACGCGGACAATGCTCTGTGGCAGCATCGCGGGGAACCAGGTGCGTTCCTATCTGGACTTCAAAGTGTCGACGTCAAGCACTGACTTGGGACGCAGGCACCCACGATCTGCCACTCGCCAAGGCCTTCTTTGACAAGGTGATGAAGGGGGAACCCACAAAGCTGCCCGTGTACGACAAGTCAGCGTACGCAGGCCATGGCGATCGCGCCCCCGAGGCGCAGTGGAAACCCGTCAACCAGCCCGGCCAGCCCCCCATCAGGGCGGTGATCCTGGAGGGATGGTCCGTTGGTTTTCGCGCTTTGAGCGACGCCGAAGTCGAGGCCAAGTGGAAGGCCCCCAGCCGCACGCTGGGCATGCACAAGCTGGAGCACTTGCTCCTCATCAACGAGCAGTTAAGAAACTACGACGCGTTGACGGACCTCTTTGACGCCTTTATCCACATTGACGCCGAGGACCTGAACTTTGTGTACGCCTGGCGCACGCAGCAGGAGGAGCATCTGCGCCGAGACAAGGGGGACCCTAACGCGGGCATGTCGGTCGACGAGGTCGTCAGGTTCGTGGACGGCTATTTTCCCGCCTACGAGCTGTACACGGACGGCGTGAGGGCTGGGGTCCTGCCAGGGCAGCCGGGGAAGCAGCTGCGGATCGTAGTGGATGCAGACCGCAAGGTCAAGGAGGTTCATCGTCTGTGACTGAATTGATCTCAAGCAAGATATGGGCCCGTGCCAAAAGAACTCCACGCAGGACCTTGACCAAGCAAGTTAGCAAGCGAACCCCAGTGCACCAAGATAGTAGATACACATGGCCCTCCCGTCATTCATCATCATCATCGTCAAGGGGTATTTGTCTCCTCCAAGTGCGCGGTTGAAGAAAAGACCTCCATGGAAGGTCAGCCTCCTCCAACAACCCGTCGTCCGTCCTGCTTCATCTTAGCCAGCTTGCGATCAATCGCCTCACTGCGCTGGCGCACAGCCTCCTCGCGCTGCGCCGCCTCCTTCTCGAACCCGCTCACCATCTCCCGCTTCGCCCGTCGCGCATCGCGGAGCTTCTTCATCAGGTCGGCAAACTGGTCGACGAACCAGTCACCCGACTTTTCCCAGTCGTCCATGGATGTTGTGCAGAAGAAGGCCCGCTGGTCCTCGTCGCTCTTGGACTTGAGCTGTTCCAGGTTCTTGGTCAACTGGTCTGTTTCGCTGCCACCCTGCCCGTGGGAATGGGCGGCGGCTTGGGAGGGATCTTGGTCGAAGGGCTCCTTTTGCAGGTCAGCCCAGGACATGGAGCCGAGGACCTTATCGTCGTAGTCTGTCATGGGGCGGTTGCGCTTCCTGCTCTGGTGGTTGCTGAGATCCATCGTGGGCGGCGGCAGGGCACTTTCCAAGAGGTGATCCTTTGGAATCGTCCTGGCCTTGCTTTGCTTTGCTTTGGGTCTCGGGGTCTCATAGATATCCTCCTCATCCTCGTAGCCATCACTGTCCGGGCCTCCATCATCCGTCAAGTTGATCACCGTCCTCGGCTCCTGCTTCCGCACTGTTCGTCGGCTTTGCTTGGGTGCCGGTTCCTTTTCGTACGCAGAGGAATAGTTCCTGGAATGGTGATTCTTCTTGTGTGCTCTCTGCTCCTTTGCAACATTCACCTGTCTTATGGGTATCTCTGTCCTGGCCTGCGGTGGGGGCGGAGTCGTCGCGGGGCGATAGTGTTGTGTTGCGTGGTATGGTCGCCGTTCTGCCAAAGGCTCATTCCTAAACCCGTCCCCGACTTGCGAGGCCTCCAGACGCTGCTGAATGTGGGCAACAGCCATCTTCCCGCTTCCATCCGTGTGGAAGACAAAGCCACCATTTGCTGGCTTGGGAGCATGGTGATGCTTCTCTCCCCATTCAAGGCGCTCTGGGCGCTCTGGCTTGCTCTCGTTCTCGCGCCGGTTTGGTGCGGCCTGGAGTGGCTCGTCATGTTGCGACTGGACCCGAGCCTTGAAATTGTCTGCTTCCTCGTCTGGGCCAACCATCAACTCTGTCGTGTAGCCTGAAGCCAGACAATCATCCGGCAGCGAGTCCCCTGCAAAGATGGATTTTGTCTCGTCGTGCTCTTCTCTGTCAGCGACGGGTGCTGGCTCGGGGATCTGGGTATGCTGTGGTCGGAAGACTTGGGTGATCTGATCCATACGACCCAATGGGAGTTTCCTTGGAGGAGAGTCGGGCAAAGGCTGGACGACAACATTGCTGTTACCACCGCCCAAGGGCTTTCTGGGTGAATTCGCCGCTGGCTTTGGCCGTGCTGTACTCGTCGGCAGCCTTGCTAGAGCCGCGAGCTCTTTCTTTGTGGGCAGTGGGGCCTGCTGGTGATTGCCAACCTGTGGCGTGGCCGACCGGGCAGGCAACGCCTCAGATTTTGGAGCGCCGGCATTGTACTGTGCTTCGGCATCTGAGCTGATCCTGTTGAGGGAAAAGTGCAGCAGATTCTGGCTCCGTCTCTTCAGGCGCCCTGATTCACTCATGGCGACGACGGTGTGTCTGATGAGCCCAAGTGGAACATTTGAGAAGGGGAAGCAGTGAGGCCAGCCTGTGCGACGGATGGCTGTTTGGTTGTAAGGTCAACCGAAGCTCGCGATGCAACAATGAAAAGAACAATGAGGCTAAGCCAAGCTGCCAACGATGGGATAGCCTGATCCAGCTGCCTGACGCTGGCTGGTATCTGAGGGCTGAAAGTTGATGGCATGAGCTTGGGCCGGCGCGTCGCATGGCAGGCACGTGCGTGCTGTGACGCGCTATCACGTGACTACGCCCCAGCACCGGGTAGGACAGACGCAACTGATCGCCTGGGCAGCAGCAGCCTTTCATGGACATGAATTGAGCATCGCGACTTTGGTATCACTTTCGCCGCGGGATTCTCTGGGCACTTGCATAGTCCTGTCAAGTGAAGCCTTGTAGGAATCCTGTCGAACAGTGGCTACCAGGTACGCTTACAGAGTACGGAGTAGTCCAGCTCTGTCTCCAGGCATCGCTGGGGCGTCGATCAAGGGACTGTAGAAACCTAGGCAGTCCAGTATTCAATCTTGTTTTCTCGATTTGAAAACTTGCATGCTGAGTTTGAACACCCGAACTGCGAGAACCCCGGATTTCTCTTCTAGACTTCTTCTCCAGTCGAACTAATCCATAGCGCCCCAGATCAAAGTTGAGTGACATGCGTCTTGGCTGCCTAATATGGCCTGGCGGACCCGCCCAGTTTTCACGTCTCCCGCACGCCTTGACCCGATCGACACAACTTCTCAACTCCAATCCATTACGTCCATCTTTCCCAGGTCTCGCGTAATCATTCAGAGTCCTGGCGACTGGACCTGTCAAATGTTCTCGATGCGTTGCTCACCGGCCTTTCCCTATATGGGGAATAAGCATCATGTCCCACTACCTTATCCCACATAAACTCCTCATGTCCCGACCATGTGCGGCTTGGCTTCCACACTCAGCCGACTATTGTGAATCTTTCTTTTCTATGGCTCTTGCCGAAGAAGCCTTGGCCTTGAAAGAACCATCGACACAAAGACGATCAACCTACCGTTCTCCGCGGGCCCCGCGAGGTGACTCTTCATGACTATCTGAGGCGGCGCTGCTGTTAAGTTTGCCACTACTCGAAACCGTTTAAATGGCGACATTGTAGCCATAGCTGTTGCCCTCTGATACTAGTTGGCCGTCGACTATACCTCCCGGATATCGGTTCCCCTTTCCATCTGATTAGAATCTCCTCTCTTGGTCTTCTCACCACCCTCGACCATGAAGGGAAAGACAGCATCGGAAGATGTGGCTGCCCACGTCTCGGGCCAGTCCAACGAGCCAATTTCTCGACCAGCGCACAGCCTGGCCACCGATGAGGTAGCTGTCGAGCTCGATACCAACCAGACTCAGGGTCTCAGCACCGAAGAGGCGGCTCAGCGTCTGCACAAGTATGGCCCCAACAACCTGGGCCAAGAGAAGGGTGTCAGCGCTGTGGCCATCTTCATGCAGCAGATCTTCAACTCAATGACATTGGTATGTTTGAGCTCTCCTACTTTGATATCGCCAGGGACACTGACATTCTTAGGTCCTGCTCCTTGCCCTCGCTGCTAGTTTCGTGATCAAGGCCTGGATTGAAGGTGGTGTCTTGGGCGGCATGATCCTCCTCAACATCGTCATCGGCTTCTACCAAGACCTCCAGGCTCAACGGACCATTGCCTCTCTGAGCTCCCTGAACTCGCCTTCCGCCCGTGTCGTCCGCGAGGGTCACAGCGAGACGGTCGATGCCGAGACACTCGTCCCTGGCGACATTGTGGAATTGAAGACCGGAGATGTGGTGCCTGCCGATGCCCGCATCATCGAGTGCGTCAACCTCGAAGCTGACGAAGCAGCCCTGACTGGCGAGTCTGTCCCTGTACGCAAAGACCCGGCGCTGGTCTTTGGTGGTGGAGGTGGTGCCGACAGTGACAGCGAGTCTGACGATGTCGGGCCTGGCGATCGTCTCAACGTGGTCTTCAGCTCTACTACCATCACCAAGGGCCGTGGCAAGGCCATTGTGTTCGCTACCGGCATGTACACAGAAATCGGTGCCATAGCGGCGGCGCTTCGTGCCCAAGGCAACAAGCGCAAGCTCACCAAGGATGAGGACGGCAAGTCCTCGACAAAGGACTACATTTTCTTTGCTCTTGGCAAAGTTTGGGACGCAATTGGCGAGTTCCTTGGGCTCAATGTCGGGACACCTCTACAGCGCAAGCTCTCTGGTCTGTTCTTGACTATCTTTGGCATCGCTGTTCTATGTGCCATCATCGTCATGGCTGCCAACGAGTTCTCGAGCCGGACAGACGTCATCATCTATGCCATCACCACCGCTATCGGCACTCTACCTGTCACCCTGATCTTGGTTCTTACCATCACCATGGCAGCGGGTACCAAGGTCATGATCGACCGCCACGTCCTCGTTCGCAACATGAGATCTCTGGAGGCCTTGGGCGGAGTCACAAATATCTGCTCTGATAAGACTGGCACGCTCACCCAAGGGAAAATGGTCGCCCGCATGGCGTGGATGCCAGCTCATGGCACTTACAGCCTCGGGGTCACCAACGAGCCGTACAATCCTGAAATTGCGGACCTCACTTTTATGCCTGGCCTGCCAAAGGACATGACCGACGGCGATGTCGGTAAGGGCATCAAGGCACTCGAAGAGGAAGAAGCCCATTCGCCTCTTAGAAACTTCCTCGATGTCGCACAGCTCGCCAACCTGGCTACTGTGAAGCGCGCCGTGTCCGACGAAGATGGTGCTTCCTGGAACGTGAACGGCGATCCCACCGAAATTGCTATTCAAGTCTTTGCCGCTCGCTTTGGCCGCAATCAGGACGTGAAGCCTTCATTTGATGACGCAGCGTGGAAGCAGCTGGTTGAGTTCCCATTCGACTCGAGTATTAAGAAGATGTCGGTTCTCTGCCGGAAAAAACACAGCGGAGACGCCATGGTTTTCACCAAAGGCGCCGTTGAGCGCGTCCTTGAGAGTTGTGATAAGGTTGCTGCTGCTGACGGTACCTCGATCGAGGGCATGTCAGACAAGGTCAGGGCACAAGTCATTGCCAACATGGAAGCCTTTGCTCGTCGCGGCCTGCGTGTGCTGGCATTCGCCAGTCGTGCATCACCGCGCGCTGTGACCGAGAACGAGGTTCGCCTTGGGTCCTTGAAGCGCGAGGAATTTGAAGATGACATGGTTTTCCGTGGTCTCGTCGGCATCTATGATCCTCCTCGGCCGGAGACTCGACCCAGCGTCTTCAAGTGTCACCAAGCAGGCATTGCTGTCCATATGCTCACGGGTGATCATCCCGAGACAGCGCGCACCATTGCTATCGAGGTGGGCATCCTGCCTAGCCGCATGGATCTTCTCCGCGCCGACATTGCCAAGCAGATTGTCATGACCGCTCATGACTTTGACAAGCTGTCGGACGAGGAGGTCGATCAACTGCCTCAGTTGCCCTTGGTCGTCGCCCGCTGTGCCCCGTCCACAAAGGTCCGCATGATCGACGCGCTACATCGCCGTGGACGCTATGTGGCCATGACTGGCGACGGCGTGAACGACAGCCCCAGTCTTCATCGCGCGGACGTTGGCATCGCCATGGGTCTCAACGGCAGTGACGTGGCCAAGTCGGCCTCGGACATTGTGCTAAGCGACGACAACTTTGCCAGTATCCTGAACGCCGTCGAAGAGGGACGACGAATCTTTGACAATATCCAAAAATTCATGTTGCATGTCTTGGCGGCCAATGTTGGTTTCGTCACGGCTCTGCTGATAGGTCTTGCCTACAAGGACTCGACGGGCGTGTCCGTCTTCCAAATGACGCCGATTGAGATTCTCTTCATGCTGCTCGTTGGTGGAACCTTTACCGAGACTGGCCTTGGGTTTGAGGGCGCCTCGCCTGATATTCTGCGGCGCCCCCCTCAAAGTGTAAGTGCTTGCTGCCGAGTTCTCTAATCTTCGGTATAATCTAACGCTGTGTAGCTCAAGCATGGCGTCTTCACGCCCGAGTTCCTCCTCGATCTCGTCGTCTACGGCGTCCTCATGGCGGTCTGCACAATCTGCACCTTTGTCGCCGTCATGTTCGGCATCTGGGACGGCAACTTTGGCGAAAACTGCAACATTGAATCGGGACCAACCTGCGAGGGCGTCTTCCGCGCCCGCTCCACCTGCTTCACCGTCTTCACGTGGATCTTTCTGTTCTTCGCATGGGTCCTGTGTGATGCGCGCCGGTCCTTCTTTGACGGCATGATCCACGATACCAAGAACTGGGCGCACCGTCTCTGGCGCAACCCGTTCCTCTTCTGGTCCATTGTGGGCGGTATCCTCATTATCGTCCCGACCCTGTACATCCCGACCCTCAACACCTACGTGTTCCTCCATGTGGGGATCGATCTGGAGTGGACAGTGGTGTTTGCGGCCTTCTTCTTCTTCGTCGCGTCGTGCGAGTCGTGGAAGTGGGCGAAGCGAGTGTATCTCCGCCGCAACAACCTCATGCTGCGCAAGGGTGAGGAGCTGGGCGAGGAGGATCTGGAGGCGAAGGTGTTTGACAAGTTCTTTCTGGGTGAGGGTGAGGGCGAGAACAAGAGCGAAAAGTGAGCATCATCTTGTGAAAGGCGATTGCATTTACACTAGACATAGAGGTCAGCATCTGCATGGCGATTTTGGTATGAACTTTGGGTAAGGTAGAGTAAAAGAGGAGTAAGTCGATTTCAAACATGAATGTACATAGGCGACATTGACTTTCAATATGCACCCAGGAGTTGAGTTTTCTGTACGAGACTAATAGCCTTGAGCTCGACATACACCTTAGTCAACTCTAGAGTCCTCCACTGCGACGGCGGAAGCATCGCTGTTCTTCCTCTCGAGCTGGTAATCCTCAAATTTATTGCCTCCATAGCAGTACATGAAGATATTCGGGTGCTTCTGATACGTCTGGCCGCCGCCCTGGGATATCCAACCACAATCATAGATCAGTACCCCTTCGTTGTTTGTAAAGTCCTCGCCTTCGTCTTCGTCTTCGTCTTCAGCTTCGGCAGCACGACTTGCCTCACCCGCGTCATCCATATAGGGTTCAGGCTCGATGTATACCTTGGGTAGCCCTGACCCATAGAGATAAGCCGCTAGACCGTCCACAAAGTCTTCTTTTGTAATTCCACCCTCTCTCTCCAGCACGATATTAGGTTCATTGTCCGGGTGGCAGCAGCAGCAGCCGAGGCTGTGCAAGGTGTCAAAGAGCAAGACGTTGGCTTTTTCGACCGGCGGGTCGGTCAAGTACTTGTCGATGCTATCATCGGCTGAGATGTCTTTTCGCATCTGCTCAAAGACATTACGCCAGTGTGTTTGGAAGCGTGCGGGTTCCTTCTCGTCAAAGGCCGGACTGCTAGGGTATGCTTTGCGGACAGCGTCGAGGACGTGAGTGGTAAGTGGCCGCCAGCGTATCTTTCCGTGGTCTTCACCATATTGCATGGTCTAATCAGCTGATGACTGGGCTTCCTCGACGGGAGTATCTGGGCGGCTGTCCTGGCTTGGTTTGGGCGGATTTGTCGTAAAGAGTCGGACGCTGGACATCGAATCTGCGTACACGACATCTTTCTTGTGGAATCGAGTCACCCTTGGGTAAGACCTGGGCTGAATTGGCTGGCATTTGGTTGTCAATCTGGTCGTGAAGCGGCGGTTTGGCGTCAAGCTTCTGAAAGAAGTGCGACTTGAGATCAAGGACGTGGCGGCACGCTGTTGACTCGCCGTACATCGGCAAAGCACGCACATCGTGTTGAGCGCAAACAGAACAATCTTACACGTTGAAGTCCAGACAGGAGAATGAGGCGAGTAGGCGAGGAGGCAATGAGGACAAACAAGGCTGGCGCTCTGCCTAAGGTATCTAAGAAGACAGGCTTGCCTGAGGCAGCTGCGCCTCGTATTGTGATGTTGCACAGGTTACACATTGAGTCGATGAGAGGAGCGTGCGACTCTCTAGAGGGGAGGGGAGGTTCAAAGTTGTTACCGGTCTGCAGCGTGTAAAAAAAAGGAATAGTATCGTATCTGCATGTGTGTTCTTGAGCAGTTGTTTTTCCAATACAAATACATCTTGCCATTAGTGTCATCAGCGTGCCTGAACAAGGTTTAGATGATAGCATTAAATTCATGAAACTCGGCAACGGACACACAGAAACCCTCTTGTACTATTATACCTTGTGACTTCATTATACAAAGCTCTCAGCCACCGAATGATTTTTCTCATCAACTAATATTGGCAGGTCAGCGACCGATAGGGGAGGGTAGATGGAGCTACAGGGTAGGCTCATAGACTTGGAGTCAACTGAGCTGCATTCGAGATGTACAGACAAATAGGCTATAGGCTATAGCCTCCAAATATGCTTGCTTCCCCACCATGCGCCATTCTTTAAGTCGGGCGGTCTCACCTCAATACGGACCCCTCAAAGGTCACCTGCCACAGCAACATGCCCGATCCGAACAGTGGCATGTTTTCCTGCGTGAACAGGGGCGGTTCGGAGGGGGTCGTGTGACGCACGTCAGCTTTGCAAGGGCGTCCTACCAACCCGCGAGACACGCTGAGCCGCCTGGACGATGATGAGGGGTGACGCACAGTCTCAAGCTCTCAGCAAGCTAGGCGACGATGCTCTCGACAATGGACGCGAGTTGATCAAGGCTGAGGTTGTCGTGCTGTGCGACAAGGTGTTGTGAGAGGAAAACACTAGCGAATAGAGAGCAATCAATGCCAGGCACACATCTGTCATGGGCATGAGTCTGGAGTCTGGACTGGACTCACATTTGCTCCGGGCTGCAGTCTCATAATGCCAAGTTCCAGCTGCAGGCACCTTGTTAATTGAGGACGGGGCCCCGCTTCTGCCCACCGGCCGCTGCTGGCACTGGCACTCACACCACCAGTGACCTCAGAGGCCCAGAGGCTCAGCTCAGCATTCATCTTGTTAAACGCCATCCGTGAGCTGCTGCCTCTCGCCTTCAACTTGCTTCCCTTTCCAACCTCGCACATATTCTTCCTGCAATAGTTCTTCGAGTTTTAGCTCACTGCAATACCGCCAACATGACCGACTGGAACAGACGTAGGTCTCGATTGATTTCGTGGGCGCATTCACGAATCACGACATGCTGACATGCGCAGACAACCCCTTCAGCAAGAGGGAGAACCACAGCGCGACGTCTGTGACCATCTACAAGGTCCTCACCATTCTCACCTGGCTTCTTTCCCTCGTCGTTTCGGTATACTACACAATCCACGCTCCCCACGATGGCTTCACCATCCGCAAGCGCATCTGGGATCAGAACTCCCTCTATCCCAGCGCTTTCACAATGAACTCGGTGATTGCATCCATCTACTGGTACCATTCCCGAAGGCCCGTCTATCCTCCTAGGTTCATACTGACCACGCTCCCAGGATCATCCTCTTCATCTTCCAGGCTGGCTACATTGGCCACCTCTTCTCGTCCAACGCCGACCATGTCCACGCAGCCGCCAGCGTGGGCAGCCACTTCATCATGAACAACCTGTTCCACTTCGCCTTTGTCATGCTCTTCGTCCGCTCCCACTTCCACTGGGCTGAGGTGATCCTGGTCCTCAACTTCCTCAACCTGACCTCGCTGTACTTCCGCCACAACACGTACCCGCGCTTCATCCACACACCCGTCGTGTCCATGCCCCTGGCCTGGACCTATGTTGCGCTGCACTGGAACGGCGCATTGATGGTCCCCAACCCGACCAGCCTCGTGGCCCGCATCTTTGGCAACATCTTCATCTGGGGCATCCTGGCCTACGGCAGCTTCTACATTGTGGCGTTCAAGGTAAAGCAGACATGGACCGTTCTTGACATTGACCTGCTGGCTGACCCGTCTGCGCTAGGACTACACGATGGGCTTCTCCCTCAGTGTTCTGGCGGCCGCCATTGGTGTCTCGCAGTTCCTCCGCCAGGTTATCGCCCTGCAGTGGATCTTCGCCTTTGTCATCATGGCTGTGCTGTTCATTGCCACCGTCGTCGTCGCCGTTCCCGCTTGGACCGGTCGCGAGATCAAGTGGAAGCGCTCCTCCGACGAGGACGAGCGCGCCCCTCTGCTCAACGAGCCTTAAGCGACGGTACTTACACGGTCACTCACACCCGGCGCCCGCGTCACCAGGACGCGCCAGTCCTTACCATGAAAATCTTTGCTATGAAATCTTGCCTTACCAGCACTTGCACTCATTGATTCGGCCTGCAGGAGTTCATTGTTTAGGAGTTGCCCTCATTTTGATTTGCACTCATGAAAGTGGTTTGTGTTTGATTTCTCGGTTTGCGTCGGAACAGTCTGAAACAGCGAAGGAAGCACGGAATGTAGGACCTTTTGCTCCGATCTTGTCAAACATTACCTCGTTAGCTAATGCAGTCGAAATAAAAGGCTGCGCATCCTTGCTAAAGCCATTCATAGATGGGGCTTTGACAGCGCAATACGTACCAATCTATAACTTGTTGAAGAACCCCAAAGCAAGCTTGCGTCATTGTGGACCTCATTCGGAAGTCGGTTTTATCGATAAGTGGCCCATCGCGGCCGCATAAGCGCGTGTCGCGCTCAAGTGGATCTTTATCTCCCGACTTCACAAGTTCACTGACAGACAGACGCTCATCATGCAATGTCGACAGCACTGGCCAAGCAGTTAGCTACGTTTCTTCATCCCTGCGGCGTTGGGATAGATATTTGCCAGATCAGTCGAATCTTCCAGATTGTCGGCAAAAGCCCGCAGCATACAGACAGGTTCATCTCTCGAGTCTTTGCAAAAGATGATCCCACCATCCACGTAGTGCGGCAAAAGATACATGAGACTTTGCGGTCCAAGCCAGAATGGCAGCTAGACGCTGCCAACAGCAATGGACATGAAATGCTGAGCCAACAACATCCAGAGCTGTGGGCGGGTGCTCGGTTCCTGGCATCACGGTGAGTAACTCAGTGCGCAAAAAGGGGGTCGTGTAAGACAAGCTGACCTCTGTTTCCAGATTTGCGGCAAAGGAGGCTGCCATCAAGGCCCACTCGCACAGAAAGTTGACCTTTCATGATATATCGATACTGAAGGCTCAAGAGGGAGAGGAGCGACTGGGCGGGCGAGCACCATACGCGAGGATAAAGGCTGCTTCGGGGGATGAGAAGGACTCGACAGCGCTGATTTCCATATCCCACGATGGGGACTATGCAGTAGCTGTATGTGTCGCGGAAAAGGCCGCCAGCCGCGAGTGATCAGACTTGCCCAATGTGTAGATGGTTGGCTGTACATGGGGTACCATTCTGGTACTTGGGAAGAAAAGAATCCGCGAACAATGGTACATGACATGTGCGCTCCAGGGGAGCAAGGGATACACTGGTATAGGAGACTCCAGTCCCCAAAAACGCCTACCAAGGACCATAAACAACTGGCACCCCTTCAGCTACAGCAGCCTCAGATGACTTCAAGGAGATGGGATTACGTGTTGAGTACTGAAGATTTTTCTGCCCTTGGAAGACGATGCAACAATTCAGCAAGTCATGAGAGCGAGCAGGGATCAGATGCTGGTACTCAGACTGTATCACTGCCTGCGTGGAGGCGCTCAGGCATCTGCCACCTCCACAGCGTTTGTATCACCCTGTCGTCAGTGCTCACCTAGCAGGCTGCTGAGTGCTGCCGCTCATGAGCCATCCGATCTTCAGCACCGCCAGTAGCTTCTAGCAACATTAGAAGGGCTTGAGCCCTCGATCAATCACAAAGAGCTGTTTTCACTATTCTGCTTCTCTCATGTAGTGCTTTCCTTTCTTACCCCTCCAAATTATTCTCAAAACTCCATCCCCACACCACACTGCTGCTTCACCTGTCATCCACACCCATACCCGCGACACTCAACAGTATTGCTGAAAACAAGCCTACAGAAACATACCCTTTCTCTTGAATGCCGGCGATGTCTTTCTCAGATCATCGTCGGCATTCATTTCTTCATGGTCTGTTGACATCGCAAGCCCTTTGACGAATGCGCCACCACTGACTCTCCACTAGATGGGCCCATCCGATAAGCATCATCTATAAACCAATGTTGCAAAAGAATCAAATGTGGACAGAGCTTCACGACCACGCACGGCAGGGCCTCTAGAGCTATTGCTTGTTCTCCCGTCCTGAGAAGTATGCTTGTCGCCCCCTGCCTCCACAATCAGCGTGACTAACCTGCCAAAGCTCCGACTACCTCTTGAGACAGACAACTCGCAACACTCTCCTGGCGCCAGCACGCTCCATTCTGTGATGAACCACCAGTGATGCTGGCGAGCAGTAAGGGCAGCTTCTCATTCGAGTTGTTGCCTGAGCTCGGTGAAGTTAGGACCCGACCTTTGTCGGTGTGAATGACGACATACCTTGACTTCCGTCGATGCGTATCGAGATAGGCATCTACCTCGACTATTCGATAGATGGCCCGATGTGACAAAAGGCTCACAAAAGGGAACCAAACGCCACCGTTGATTACGCAGCCTCGGGGTAGCCAGCTTTGTTGAGGAGGCGAGGGGAGTGTTTCAATCTCGCCGAGTCACTAAGCTGGTCTTTTTCACTCACTCTATTAGAGATTCACTCCCAAAACCCCTACCTACCCTGCTATATCACGAGTGCTTCCACATCACCTCGCAGAGCCACGAGAGCTCGAAAGCCTCTCACTTCATCATCCCGTGGACGCTACAAACGTCCTTATCTTCCTTCCTCGGTTTCGACTCTTACTGGCTGGCACACCGTTGCCGACTGACACTCTCTCTACGATTCTCAGAATTGCCGACACTCATTCAACCGTTCTGGTGCATCAACCCCCAGCCTCCTTGAACGCTCACCCAGCAGTCTACGATGGACAGATTCACATCGCCCCGGTACTATCAGATAACAGGTCTTGCTTCGCAGTGTCTTCATACGTGACCACATCGAGTTCCAAAGTCCTTGATTCCGCGTGCATCGCTCACATGGGCTTGTCACAGACCAAGGAAATGTCTCCTACGTGTTGCCTCCGAGGCGCATGTCTTTCTTACCACCTCTACCAAAGATTCGGTTGGCCCTGTCAATTGAGATGTCATTGTTCTGGGCTGTCGATACGTCGTTTGAGACACGCACGCAGCTGCCGCGGTCATCACCGCCACCTGCTCTCGTGGTACAAGCATCTTGTCGAACAGACCAGAAATCCCGACAGAGTCCGGGCATCAACTACTGTGTTGTCCGAGGTAACAAGTCCAGAGTCAGTTCTTGATGGCGACTTGAGCAGTGTTACATGTCTTTGTTTCACTCGCCAACCACAACGTCAAGAAGAGTCCTCTGCCGACTCAGTGTCATGGTTGCCAGCATGGATTGTTGGCATGATGTCAATGATTGAATACTGGCGCCTGCTCTTTCAAATTCGCTGTCGATGGCGCAGTTGGACTCGGCATATCATTGCCGTGGCCTGGTGCATGGACAGGCAGCATGATGGCAGCCCCTGATAATGGCTCAGATCCACTAATCATCAACAAAAGGCGTCAAGATTACTCACAGCAGACTGTCCGACATGCATCACGCATCTCTTGGCAGCCCAGAGACCCTCATCAAAGGGGTCCACGTCACTCCATACACCATCTGGCACCTTGACATCGACCCCTCTGTCCCCTGAGCACGACAGTGAACAGTCTCTGCTCGGTGGGCATGTTCCGAGCTTGAATGGCCAACCCCTTCGGCTTGCTAAACAAAGTTCATCCAGCCGCAAGAAATTCACCGTCTCTGACCACAACACGGTCGGAGACGACTTCTTGTCCGCCAATGTCATTGGCATCAACAGTCCTGATCACTGCAAGGTTGGCACCAGTGCTGCCTGCGGACCAAGTATCATGGAATTCCGATTTTGAGAAGTCTTGCACTCAACTTCAGCCCACCGCTTACCTTCAATGCTTGTTGATGCTTCGGCACACTCACGCTGACAAGCATTATCGACAAACGACGATGCAGTGGCCTACGAATTGGCAGTCAGTCAAGACGACAAAGGAAATTATTCTAGAGGAATCTTCGACTCTTCCCTTGTCAGACTGACCCGACTGTCTAGAACGACACACGTCAACACGATTCGATGTGGTCAAACTTTGGACAGTGCTCCTGATGAGCCTGGGCCCTGCCGCACAGTTGCATGCCAACTCCAGACAACAGCCGGCCTTCCTCAGACCACGAGGATCCTTGTGCGTTGCTGTTCATCTTTGAACATGGACTATGCGTTTTACTCTGAGATGCCTTTTGTCGATCTGTCGGCGAGACTTGGCTCGCGGGCTCGAGGGGGACAAACTAATGGAGTGACCTCAGACAGATGATACACGGCAGTGCTTCACCACCTGGAATCGGGGACTTGGCTTGATGGAAGACGCGACGATGCAACTGCGAAGGTTCTGCTATCAGGGCAATGTGATTTTCAGACTGTGATTGGTAACGAGGGTGGAGGATGGGCGGTGGCAGGGTGCCATTTTTGGAGGTTCCATAGGCTCGTGACGGACTCTGGCTGGATCTAATCTGAATGAACCTTATATTCACATCAGTTGTCCTTATGGAACCGCACTGACAATGATTCTTACCCATCCCCCTCACCATATTCTCCCGGGCCCTGGTACAGGACCTCCCTTGGTGCTTTCGATCCGATATTTGCGGAAGCTTAATCATTAGAAATTCGTTGCACCCATATACGGCGAGCACGCTGGCCATCACTTCTGGCAAAACAAGTTTGGGACATAGAAGTTGGAAAGGCCAATTCTTCTCGTATATGATTTGTCCCCACAGCAAGTATGTATGCACCCTCAAGGCTGTTCACCAATGAACTAATGTTAATAAAAAAAAGAAGAATGGAAACAACAAAGACAAAAGACAATGCCCCCTTCCCATCTCCAAACGCCGGACCCTTGCGTGATCGACTCTCCCGCGAGGCCTCAGGTGGTGCGTGCCGTCGTGGGGAGAAGCGTGCATCGTTTTTCTCGGGGTTGATTGATCTCATGACATTATTCCTGTATGTTTCATTGCCCGTTGTACTGTTCGTCCATGCCGGCACCGCCCGTCTCGATGTTGTGGTAGTCCAGAATCTCGGAGTACCTGGAAATGTGGTCAGTCATCGTCATCCCTCCGCATCCAGGCCGTGGACCTACATCATGATCTTCCAAGTGTCGACTGGCAAGTCAGCGTCGTTAAAGCTCCAGTCGAATTTCTCCTCGGCGACAGGCTCGTCGGTGGGGTCATGGTAGGGTGCGAGGTACTCGTGGGCAAGGGCATCGCCTGCTGTTATGCGCTTCTTAGGGTCAAAGACGAGCATGCGCTCAAGCAGATCGATTGCTGTCATGGTCAGCTATGAAAGTCCCTCATTGGGAGGGGCAAGGTACTCACAAGCAGGGTCAGCGTTCTTGAACTTGTTCTTGAGGGGCTGGCGCTCGCGCTTGGGCAGCGACTTGACGAAGCGCAGAGTGTTCTCGCTGGCGATTGTGTTGATCACGTCATCAGGAGGCGTGCCCAGCAGCTCAGTGATAATGGAGAACTGATTCACGTGGTCCTTGCCCGGGAAGAGGGGCTTGCCATCAAGCATCTCGGCGAAAATGCAGCCGGCACTCCAAATGTCCACCTCGACATCGTACTTTTGCCACGTCAACATGATCTCGGGGGCACGGTAGTATCGCGTAGAGACGTAGCCGGTCATCTGAGGATCTTGGATACGCGCCAGGCCAAAGTCGCAGATTTTGAGATCGCAGTTCTCGTTGACGAGGATGTTGCTAGGCTTGAGGTCACGGTGGACGACGCCAGCGGAGTGGACGTATTTGAGACCGCGCATGATCTGGTACAGGAAGTACTGGATGAACTGCTTTTCGAGGGGTCGCGAGGTGAGCAGGCGATGCAGATCGGTACCGAGGAGCTCTGTGACGAAGTACAAGTCTTCGAGCGGGGAGATGAAGATGTCGCTGAGAGAGATGATGTTTTCGTGGCGGAGATGCTTGAGGAGCTTGAGTTCGCGGTATGTGCGCTTAGCGAGGACTGGGGTGGAAAAGGGCTTCATGATCTTCTTGACGGCGACATTCTGGTTCGTGAGCTGGTCGCGGGCTGAGCAGACGAGACCGAAGGCGCCCATGCCCACAGGTTGCAGGTCCGAATACCGTGACGTGATCTCAAACGTCGTGCCAAAGATCTGGGCACGCACGAATTCGGCCATCTTGGAGGGTCGTCGGATATATCGGTCTGGGGAGAGATAGTGTCTATCGAAGGAAGCGTTGGGCTATTCAATCTTGTCGAGGAGCGTGTCTTGTGCGGTGTTCTTGGCACGATTCCTCTTGAGGTTGGTCTGCTCGTTCGATGTATGGCGAGGCAGTGTCTGACAGGATGGAGCTCAAACTCGGACAC